AGGTGAAATCATCCCCGCGCGACAACAGAGATCGCCCGCCGAGCCGTGCCCGTGGCAAGAAACGCGTATTCTCTCCCGCAACGAAATCAGCCGCCGAGCAGCCCCGCGCGCCGTCGACTGTAAATAGGCAGACGACACTCTTCGGCAACCAAGTCAACCGCCGCCTGCCGAACGCCCGCCCGTGCGTTTTTCTTACCAAGTGAAAATCCCCGTGACCAGAAACGCGTAAATATATTTTTGTATAGGCTGGCAACTAAAGTCGGCCGCCGAACGCACACCGTCTGCCGAACGTCAGCCCTATATCCGCGCCAGGTAAAAATCGCCGTGGTCAGTCAGTCGCGCTCCAACCCTTTCGACAACACTCGAAATAATTAGGCTCCACCCCCGCGCGGCCGGCCAGCCGGCCGGCCGCATCCCTCTCCAAAAAGCGTGGTGGTTATTCTCCGGTATAGTTGTTGTTTTACTTCCCTTACATACTACTATCTCTTTATGATTGAGCAGCGGGGCCGCAATTTGCTACGGGGGGACATCTGACCGAATTGTGATGCACCAAATTTTATTTGCGTTGCAACCAGCCGATTGGAAAAATGCATCGTCCCCCTATCGAACGCTGCAAATGATCGCAATCGTCATTCAGGGCTAAAGTTGTTTTTCATGTTTTAGCCACGACGTAACACAAACTAAAGAAATGTCTTAAAATCATAAATAACTTGACTTGAATTTCTTGGTTACTTTATTTTTTAATATTTATTTACAATTTTTAAAAATTTAAAAGTTTTCTTGTTAAAGATCTATTGTTTTATAATATATTTATTATATAATAATTGTTATTTGTCTAATTATGTGAAATAATTTTATATTATTTAGATCAACCAAAATGCCAACTCATTGTTAGTTTGAAAAGTTCCCTTCTACTTCAAAATGTCTCTTTCGTTTTTTTTTTTAAGGTATGAATGCAAAAGCACTAAATTTCCCTTTCTGGCTGCAGCTGAGAGCAATCATTCGTCAATAGCTTTCAACCAAATTTACGGCCCCCGCCAAGCCATTAAAAGGCATCATCCCGCAGCAGCAAAAGTTATTTATTCGTCTCCTTTCTTTCGCCGACACCAAGGGTAAAATATCCAAATGAAAGTTATATTCATACTGCGTGGGGCGGGATTATGTCCGCAATGTTAGGGAAAAAGGGTCGCAGGCGCGCGTGTATAAAAATGCTGCTTCGTTTCACTCATTTGTCATTTGGCTGCCACGGAAATCGATCTCCCCTTTGTGCTTTTGTGTGCGCTTGATTGATGCCGCGCCTCCGAAGATAGAACGAATAAGTCATCCCTCGCTCATCTTCTAGCGTGGGTGGACAAAAATTCAGGGCCCCAATTTCAACCACAATTTTTCAAACTTGCAAAGAATTAGTTTTATTTTGTAATTTTGCAATTGACCCCAATAACTTTTGGGGTTTTTAAAGCTTGATAAAATTTAATCAAAATTTATCGAAACACAAATATTATAAAATCATTATCAAATTCGGTTATAGAATAAAAAATAAACATTAATATTATTGCATAGTTCCTTTCATATTTCCTTTATGCGATAAATTGCTTTAAAAAAAATTGTGTAAGCGAACTTAAAAAAAAAATGGACATCAAGAAAACTACATCTCGTAAAAATATTCAGAGCAGTTTAAATTTTCCGATTTTCTTTTTTAATTTATGCCATCAACATAATTTTGTAATGAAAATATCGACATGTTAAGATGTTTGAGAATTTAAAACCCAAAGAAACCACTCGAAACGGGAAATAATTAATTAGTACTGTATGTCTCAAATATCTCGTTGTCTCGGAACGTAATTCCACGTCAAGGCGATTAGTTGCAGTACTAATTAATGTTAAGATGTGTCAAAAATAAAAAATAAAATTGTAACTTAAGAAAAGCAAACTCACAAAAAAATTGCAAATACGTTAAATCAATCCTGATTCAGATACATGAAGAAAGTATTAAATTCAAATAAGTTTCACATTAAAAAACCAAACGTAAATGCGAGCATTTTTTTCACGTGAGATGGTGCCGAGTGCGAAAAATCCACGGCTATTCCATTTCAACGCTGCGTTCTCATTGTAATATGTGCTGATGCTGTGCGTTCGCTCGTGAAAACAACCAACGTCCGCGCGTCCCCACGGCACTTCTCTCTTGCATCAGCTTTCCGCCTAGTCGCTGACTCACTTACAGATGCAACTCGCATTGCAACGAATCGAATGAATAAAATGCAGTCAGAACAAATTATCGTTGCCCTCAATGAAATGTGTGTTAGTGCTTAGAGATGCGGCGTTCTCTCTCATTTTCAGTCACTCTCTGCAGTAATGGTGAGAATTTATTACGATCGTTGTGCATGGAGTGTTTCCAATTGCGAGCATAGAGAGGGATGGAAATTCGCAACACCCTTACATCAAACTGATGTGCAGAGCTCGTTAAGCGAATATAATCGTCTCACTGCCAGTCGTTTTTTTTTCTTCACATAATTTTTGAGTTGTTTTACATTTGGCTGCAAAAATTTTCCTGTATACATTTAATCAAATTAGTGACTTCATAAATAAACGTTTCTGTGGTATACTTTTATAAAAAGCATTTTCTACTAGAGGCGGTGATAAAATTAAAAAAATTTAAATCTATTTTAAAGTCAGATTTTCCTCAATTTGTTATTTGCATAATACATATATCATGAAATAAAGGAAAAACGATAAAGGAATCATAAAAATAAAACACCGAGGAAATGCCAACTTTAAATTCACCATGAATCAGTCCTCAATCGTGAAATTCTCTATACACACTATAAAAGCTTTGAAAAATAGACAAGTTTGTTAAAAAAAAAATGTCAAAATTTTTTAGAAATGGATTTTCATTTGTGTATTTAAAAATCTATGTAACACTTTGTAAGTCATAAATATTATTTTTATCAAACATTATAATGTTATGAATGTTATACGTTTCTCACTTCATTCATTCCTTGCTTTTACCGACTTTTACAATAACTGATAAGATAATTTTTAGTTGGATTGTGATTAATTTTGCGAAAACACATGAGTCACGCATTACTACTGAACATGTACATGATAAAAAATTATATAAAAAGTTCCTTATCCAATTATAAATATGACATCCACAATATAAAAGAAGTAAAACTGCCTTACATTGGTTTTTTTTTGTATGGACAGAGAAGAATAAACAATAAAAATTAGTTAAAATGCCGCAGTTTTTGATCCGATTTTACTGGTATTCCAAAACAAATATTATCTGATGTTTTATTTAAGTTTAGCATTACTTAAAATAAATTAATATGTATTTAATGTTGTGATTTTTAAACTTAAGTATGAATTTTGAGTTTTTCTTTTAATCCAGACTGATAATTCTCGCAACTAGGACAATATTAAAAAAAAAAAAAAAAAAAAAAAAAAACGAATGACTCACTCATATTATAAAAAGCAGCATCTCTTGACGCGGTATTATAATAAGTCACGCATGCATTAAACAGCAACAAGTCCTCCATCTCGGCTGCAAGTTCTCGCACCTCATAAATAATAAGGTCGAAACACAATGAACGCGACCATGTTAATCAGCAGCGCCGCGTTGTAAATTTAAAAACAGCTCCGACACTTACAATGACGGATCGTGACTGAAAATTTCTGGTGTCAACAATGGGTTGAGACCAATTTATTTTTCCGACCAGGGTGCTTTTAAATTTATGATATGCGGGTGCCACTCTCGATGACGCGGATAAAAAACTTCTTTATATTTTTTCACACTCCTGCAGTGATAAAAAAAGAACATTTTTGTCACCACTAAACCGCCGAGGTGACAAATTCAGGGGATGGAAAGCCATCCCTGCGTATGTATTCTGCGGATGGTCATTGATTATTATGGAGGTGCACCTGGCCAAGCTGTAGGGGCGCGTGTCGCACCTGGGGAATTGTAAATAGAATGGAAAAACTGCGCGCACCATTATTTATATCAGAACGTTTGTCCCGTTTCCGCTTCGTTAACCGCACGCGGGGCAAATTTCTCTGGAAACTTGATGGCTGTTCTTATGTGCCACTAGTACACATTGGAACTTGCGGAAATTTCAGGCAGTTCATTAAAATTATTGACTGGTAAAAATAATATTTGGATATAACATAAAATTCTGACAATGAGAAGGTCTACGCAGGATTTTGCTAGATCCTTTCAAATATTGAAGTTCATCGACAGAATATATATTTACTATTATAAAACAACTATTGAATTAAAAACACTACTTAAAGTTAGCATAAAGTTTAATTTGTTTCGTCATGTAAATAAATAAAACATAAATAATTGTTGTAAAAAAATAATTTATATGATAAATTGCTAAAAATAAAAAATAAACTGAATATATATATTTTTTTTATAAATAATGCATTAAAAAGTAAAGAATTTTGTTGCTTGTAATTAAATATTATTTAATTGTTTCACGTCCTGGATTATTTTAGGCTCTTGAAAGTAAATTTTGGCGTCAAAATTATTAGGTTTAATTAAAATATTTATCATCTTCTTTGAAAATCCTTGCCGTCCCAAATTCAATTAAACTACTATTCACTTATAAATGATATTATCGCTAAATTTTCCACATTTTTCTAAAAATCGATTTTCAACAGGGAAAAATTTTTACCATTGTTTTAGAAAATCATTAGACTTTTATAGTCATAATATTTATTTTGATGGGCTTACTTTCCCTTGTAAACATCATCCCATCTGAAGTAAACAAAGTAAACTCATAATTCCTAACTTGACCAAATGGTTTCCTTTTATAGAAGCCGAAATTTACTATAGTTATGCCGGCGTTAACACGTTTGAAATTGATTCCGTCCCGCAAAGAAAAACAAATAAATTAATGCATCCCCGTGCGCGCGTTCCTTCGACACGCACGGCCGTGATGAGTAAATTGATATCCTGCACCGATTCGAAACTAACACTGGAAACCTTGCAATGCCCACAGGATGCTGGTTGGAGCGCCTCTCGATCAGAATCTGCAGCCCAACACGAACCGATCGGGCGCCCTGTGGAAGTGTCCGATGACGACCCTGACCGACGACTGCGTCCAGGTCATCACCGACGGCCTCAGAAGTAAGTCCAAAAACAGAAATCGGTTTTTAACGAGATGGCTAAAAATTCATAAAAACATTTTAGAGCAGAAAAAACTGTTTATTTATTAGAGTGCGGAGAAGAAAAAGAGACGCCCACAAAGTCCCATCAGAGGAAGAATGATGGCTTTGCTCCGTGACATAATCACAACATACACCACACACTCTTTATTATTTCCTATTCTCTTTCTTGTGTTTCTTTTTAGAAAGAGTATATTTTTTGATGCAACGGTGGTGGTCCTTCTTTTTTGATTTATATCTCATTGCCTAGTATTCAAATTTCACCATCCTCTCCGTTTAAGTTCATGTAAAACACGGTGTTTTCGCTCTATTTAGGATGGAAGACGGTATTTTTTTCTTATTCACTCTTTAACAACCTTTTTTAACCGGCGTCAATTGTGATCGCGTCATTTTTGTGCTTTTGTCCGTATAGAAATTCAGACTTCAATATTTTTGTTGAGGGCTGACAACTATTTAAATTTTCATATTATCCAGATAGGAAATTTAATTTATTTATTATCATTTTAATTAACTCGAAATATCATTCTGACAATACATCTGTGCAATTTTTATCATTTCTGGTTCCAAATAAATGATACCAAAAGAATCTTTCACAAAAGAAAAGACTTTTCCGACAAATTTTTGATTATTTTAAGACAAAATCTTTGGTTTTTTTTCAATTTGAACTTTTACTTTTTTACATAATATAGTACAAATATCATAACATAAAAAATTTAACTTTTCCAATTTAAAATTTAGACAAATTGAGAATTTTTACATCAATTATTTTTATTTTCTTAAATTAATGAATGTTGTCAGCTCCTTTTAAATTTAAGAAATTTTTGTACATAATCTCAAACAAGGTAAACAAATATACTTCTCATATACATTTGTACCGCATCATCAAATAATATAAATAACTGAATTTTCACCACAGATCGCTTTAGTTCTGCGCAACAGAATTAACCCCCACAGAATTTAACCCTCACAGAGAAAATTCCATCCAATATATTATTATACTCCAGCCATACATACAGCACAATGAACCTCTTTGTATTGAATCATTGCAGATCAGAACGGAGTTTACTTTAAACTAAAACATAAACGTAAGTGCACACAGAGAAAAACCGCTTTGTTGAGACGCCTTTTATTATATTATTCGCATGCACTTTCCGCATTGCATTTGAATATAAAACGTACTTTCAGCACCAACTACTAAAACTAATCGCATGACTGCTGCTGACAGCGAGCGAAGGAAAACCACTCGAGGGAAGGAAAAAGCTAAAGGTCTCTCGTTGGATCGAGTGGTTCTCTTCCGCCCTTTTAGCCTGACAATTCCCTTTTTAAAACCATGCACTTTCTTTCTACACGTCATGAAAATCCACTTCAATTTCAAAATAATCGCTGGAACTTCATTTCTCTCCAAACGCTTTTGAGCAATAAATCTTTGACTGAAATATTTTTGGAGAGAAAATGCACTTTTTTCCTCTGCCAATTTCTAGTTGCCTCATCACACGAACACTTTTTTGCACCAAAATCACATTTTCAACACTTTTTGCAATCATGTGCACACTACTGTTATAGCTTCTGCATTCAAATTTTGAGGGAGTTTTTTCATACTCAAATATTGAGGAGCTCAAAACACATTTTATTTATATACATACACAAGTCATTGAAATAATTTAGGTAAACAATTTTGAGTTGTTAACTAACAGTTTTTTCTGTGGCGTGATTTTGACTTGCTCTTGTGTCTAATCTGCGTCAGATTGTTTTTGTTTGTCGCTCTTTGGACTGATACGAGTTAAACGTTTGTGACTAAGATATTCAATTAATAATTAAAACATATTTTTATAGGAAAATTTCCAGATTGAATTTATTATTGTTAATAAGGGAGTTTTTTTTTTAAATAATACACTATATCCATTGTAATATGTATATACGTTTCTTCAGGAAGTTTAATGATCTATTATAGATGAATTAGTTGAAATAAAACAATTTTTATACTGTTTTAATAAAAAAAAAATATCATATTTTGCCCGATCTCATTGGAATATTTTGGTAAACGTGAGTCTCATTTTGATAATGATAAAAATATTTTGATATCCGTTACATTTTGCCTGCCAATTTCCATTTTTATGAGCTTCAGAAGTGATATACCATGCATGCTGATTACAATTTTGTATCTATAGACAAAGAAATACTATTTAAATTGCCCGGAGAAAAACCTGCGTCATAAAAGTTAGACTAGCTGATGAAAAAATCATGTTCTGCATTTTGATCACCTTTTATCTCTATGTCATGCATACCAAGTATTGATTTTTGGCATCTCGATCGGTCATATAAATGTTAATTAAATAGGAGCTTTTATGCTCCTCCTTTCTTTTTTTATCTTTTTTTTCAAATGAAAGTTTAGATAGATTGAAATTCGTATAATAACGTTTTTATACCAAGTTTGAGGTCAAAGGTCTTGAGCTTGTGCGTGGGTTGATTGCCGCTTGTGAACTTGAAATGCAGGCGGACGATAAATGCTTTTTTATTTTTTTAATAGGAGGAGAAATATAATTTTTCTTTATCATATTTCATTTTGAGAATAAAAAAATCAGCAATGGTTTTGTTCTCATATTGAAAAAGGGATGCTCTGCTGCTGGCTGCGCGCATCGTGATCGTGGTTTTTTGAATCGAGTTAAATTGTGTTAAGAGCGCATGACGTTGTGGCCGGACGATATATTTATTACCGCTGCGTTTTGTTGAATGAAATCAAAAGCAGCGCACGCACGCACTCGAAAATATATAAAGAGAAAGAGAGGCGGTTTGACCGGCCGGCTCTCAATGAGAGCGCAAGAAAAGCAGAAAGGACGCGTTCTTGATCTCGACTGCTCCACGCCTTGATTAAATTGGAAGCTGTTAAAGTGACAGCAATTCACTTGCATTCCTTTGAACTTATAAAAGAGAAGAACATTCAAGATTAATTTTTAGCACCAATCAAATGAAAAATTCAAAATTGTATCCATTTTTGTAGTTTTGCAAGAGAATGTAGACTTAAAGAGGGCAGAAATTTTGAAACCAATTAAATTCTTGTAGTTAAATTGATAAAAACTTGATAGAGTCATTTTTCTAAGGATCTATCACGCTCTCCAATTTCACAATTTTAAATAGTTTCTAGCACTAATTTGAATTAAATTACATATTATTAATTGATTGAATAAAATATTTTAATTTTAATTTAAATAGTACATTAAAAGTTAAGCATGTAAATCTTACAAAAATTGCTCACGCTTTAGTTATTAAGTTGAATATATTTATTTGAGAATTGAAATAAATTGAACAAGTCCTTTTTTGATTAAAAAATAATTCATAGAAAACAAAGTAAATTATTACCTCCTTTTTAATTACCAAAATTTATTTTTATCTCATCCTTTCATATTAAAAAGGCTATGATTTTTTTCTTTACTTGAGATTCAACTCGTGGTACTTTTTTTCTTTCTCTCTTTGAGAAAGGGTATGTATTTGATGTCCATGTTCCAAGTACTGATATCAAGAGTCGCCTCTTCTCTTCTTGCATGCTGTTGCGCGTGGGACGATGCACACAATAGCTTCCAATTAAAGTCGGGCGTTCTTCGAAAATGCTGGCGGCGATTCGCGTTTTTATTTCATTTTATTTTCCGAGTGCGCGTCCGCTGCTGCTGATTAAATTCGATGTTTATCTTTTTTCTGAAATGCAAAATGCTAGCTGCTGCTGCGATGCAAATTCTCAGTATATTTTATCCTCTCTCTCGTCTGAATTGCATGTAGTTTGAGTGTGGTATATTAACGCCCATTTTCAACCCTGCAGATATAGACTCGCAAAGACTGCAGTCGCCGGGCAACGATGAAATCAAAGACGGACAGTGGATGGGAGTCACCGTTCGCAGCCAAGGACGTGGAGGAAAAGTGTTGGTAAGAGAAAAATTAAGTCAAAGGGTTGAATTTGAGGTAAAAATTTAAATTAAAAACGATAGGATGTGGGAAACGAAATTGTATTCCAATTTGATCAAAATTGAGGACTAAACTGCAGGAAGATAAATATTTAATTTGAAAAAATAACAACTCTGAAAACAAAAGACAATATTTTTTTTTTAAATTATTCCGCGATCATTTTGAATGTAATCAATAAATGCTCTAATAAATTCAAATTTATAAATGACAAAAAATTAATATTCTAAACAGGACAAGAGGTAAAGTTTCAAGTAATTTCTGCAATAATTTTTTTAATATATAGACTTAATTGAATGCTCCTGAATTTTTTGTAGAATTTCTTATAAATTGATGAGAGGTCAATGCCCCATTTTGTCCTCCTCTTTTTTCCTCTCATTGTCAAACAAAAATTAGATCAAACTCGTGTTTTTAATTTGTCGTGCATCTGATGGGCGCGAAACTCGATCCAGTGGTGTTTACCAGTTGATAAGACACCCCTGCGCTCGGACCCCATAAGGGCATGGTGCGTTATATTAAAGTGTATCGGATTAGGCTGCTCTCGTCCATAGCTCTCGTCCGTGATAATAAAATAATGGTATAAATTTGATACCCGAATGGGGGCTCAAATGTCAGTACCAGGGGTGCTGCAGAGTATAAATGTCATAGCGCGCGATAAACTGCGCTGGCAACTCTCATGACAAACTCCATGGCCGGGGCGAAAAACACAAACAAGCTAGCAAACTGATTTTGATTTCCCGGTTGGAGAGGGATCGTAAAAATTTTTATCTCCTGAACGCCTCAATCGGCATTATAAATATAATTGCGCTGTCAGAATATGAGAATAGTTACACTAATTGTCAAAATGGTTTATTTACGAGTTTCAGTCCCACTGCCTTTTCTTTATGGGGATTTTACTGCCCTGAGCTAGCAGCCTCTAGGAATATTTTTTAACTTTTAACACTCCTACTTGCTTTATACAGACACTGATTTACTTTTCAAAATGTTGCGGGTGTAAGGTTTCGGTTTCAATTCCATAACATGACTTAACCTTTTTGCTGCGAAAATAAGAATCTCCTCAAATCTTTCTATCAAAAATAGAATTCCTCTAGGCCTCACGACGGCGAGCACCTCTTCACATTTATGGCGTCCCATTTATTTTTCTATTCATTATATTTTTCCACTCGGGTTCCCACGTCCTTGCGTTTGCTCGCAGTCCATTGTGTTCTCGCTGCTGAGCAGACTGACCATAGCAACGAAAATAAAACACGCCTGATTGCCGGTTTATTCCTTTCTGCAGGTTTGCGCCCACAGGTACATCCACAAAGGACTCGATTTCCAGTGGGGACGCGGACTTTGCTATACCCTCACGCAGTACCTGGACTTTGACAAATCGCACGACCCATGCAAGGGACGATCAACAAAGAGGTAAGAATGAGAATGAGACGAACTATGATTTTCTCACTACTTCAGAATTGGAATATTATTAGTTTTTGAGTTTTTTGTGCTTATAACTTGCATTTATCAGGGAACTTTTGAAGTTTAAACATGATTTTGAGCCACCCTTTTTTTAAATTGCAGTCTGTAAAATTTTAATTTATAATGATAATTCCGATTATCTAAAAAGTAGCTTGAATCAGGCTTGAATATCCATTAAAAAATGCATTCAAATAAAATATAAAATTATTTTTAAACAAACAACAAACTACTACAAACACTAAAAACAAAAAGACTTCATGAAATTATTGTTTTTTATTTTTCTTTGTCCAAGATTGATTATTCAAGAGATTCAAAACTTTCTCTCCCTTTCAATATCGAACTTCAAACAAAACCCGATGCAAGAGTAAAAAGTGCTCTCCGAACTCTCTCGATTTGGAGTGAGTGATTGACGAGTTATGACTGCCGGCAGGAAATGCATTTCGAGAGAGAGTCGAAAGTGAACGGTGCGTGCGTGATTGGGGGGCATCGGGGGTGGGTTTGGCGAACGGGTGAGATGAGACGAGAGATTTTTTTTTGCGACGGGGTGCCAGGTACACCAGCACCAAAGAGGGAATCGCGTGCATACCGACACTGAAGGGAAGGAGAGAAAGAGGAATCTCGCGTGTCGCTTATTACGCCTGTCAATGGGACGTGCCTGCATGGGTTGTTATTAGAATTAAAAGCTTTTCCAACTAATTAAAAGGCTGCGCAGCAAATGAGTCGATGAGGTCGAAAAGCATTTGAGGTCAATGATTTATCCAATCATTGTTTCAGTTACTTTCAGAATACATTGCTGTTGATAGGGAAGTTTAATTTAGTCTTAGCATGGAAGCATTTTTACCGCGCAAATAAAAATAAATTCGAAGAATTTATTATAGCCGGATAAGAATTTATAATAATTAATACAAAACAACTTCTGGGAGGAATGATAAAATAAATGTTAACTTGAAACTTGTTAAAAAAAAAATAATATAAAAGTAAATTTAATCATAAACACAACACGAATGAAAAAAACGCGTAAATAAAAATTTTGCTCACAATGTATCGCTGTTTTAAATTATGAAAAAAAAATCCTTTAAGAATGATACCATAATTTGAATACATACTTCCTATTAATATATTAATTTGCTAAAAAAAATTATATTTATTTCCAAAATTAAAACAACGATTGGATTAAAACTGGACTTCTTATTTAAACAAAATTTTGATCACTTTTTCAGAGCTCACGAAGACTACGGCTTCTGCCAGGCAGGGACCAGCGGCGTGCTGACAGAGTCGGAGGAACTTTTGGCCATCGGCACGCCCGGCCCATTCACATGGCGCGGCGCGATTTTCGTCTCGTCGGTCAGCGACGACTTCCTCAATCGGCCAAAGACGACTTTCCACACGCCCGTCACAGAGACCGACTCCCCGGTCGACAAATACGCGTACTTGGGTGAGTACAAAAAACTAAATTTAACTGTGACAAAAATTAAGGCCGCATTCATATAAAAGAGCCCCTCTCTCGTTAGATTCTTTTCTCCCTGACCTGCGACGGCTCCAGGCAATAAATAACTCGGGGTCTTTATTCCGATTTTTACCTGAATTTTCTGGGAAGCAACAACAACAGAGAACTCCTTTGTGTTTTCTTTCTCAAGAGAGAGGCTGGCCGGGGAGATAAAGAACGTGTCCCTCCGCCACTCAAAAGCACACCTTTCTGGATATATACGCCACCATTGTCTGCAGCTTTTTTTCTCAACAGTGGCGATGCAAATAGGTCCTTGATAAATATATAGAAGTAATATGGGCCAATAAAATTTATAGTGCACTTCAGTGTGGTGAATGAGACAAGGCATAGTGTCTTTTGTCATTTCACACTCGCACACGCAGAACAAGGATGCTCACTTTTTGGGGTGCTGAGATAAATGCTTTTGGGTCCCCTTTGAAGTCGCACGCAGAGCCGCATTAGAATATCGTAGGGAACCGTTTAAGCGGTCGTTAAATGTTTGTTTTGTGGTTGGTTTTGATATCTGAGGACCTACAGAGAGGATTAAAAGGCAATTTTATTTCGATTCATAGCATTAAATTCTAAAACTAAAATTTATCTCCGATTGAATAAAAAACCTGATAGTTGCTATAATCAACAAATGCAGTAAAAACTAAAAAAAAAAATTGAAGATCCACCGGACCAATTTTATTAATATTCAAATTGCTCAATGTTTTCCAGTTTTTGGATTAGATGATTTCTGACAAGCAAATGCTATTTAAAAAATATAAGTGCTTTCTGATTTCATATAATACTTTTCGTGTATGAATATGCGACAAAAATTTCATTGAGAAATCACAAAAGATATAATTAAGGCTACTTTTTATTTATTTCATTTTTGCATTACTTATTTGTTTTGTGATTTTTGTCTTGTAGGTATGTCAGTGGCCGCGGGCAACTTTTACAGCAAGAAAATCGGCTTCGCCGCGGGCGCCCCTCGTGACAACGGCACTGGTCGCGTCGTCATCGTGCCCGAAGTGCGCGACGGTGTCAACCCAATGCAGATACACGCTCAACTCTCAGGGGAGCAATTTGCATCAAGCTTTGGGTACGAGCTCGCCGCCGCCGATATAAACGGAGACAAGTATGCGATTCAATGATCAAAGTAAAAAATAACTTACTGAGAATTTTTCACCCAGGCGGTCCGACTTGCTGGTGGGTGCCCCATTTTACTATGGACGAGACTCTGGCGGCGCCGTCTACGTCTACATGAACACCAACGAGTACTGTCTGCACTGCAACAAACCGCAGAAGTTGGTTGGAAAGCCTGAATCAAGGTAAAATTTCAACCAATTTTTATTTTGGACCAAGAGCAAAAAAATGAACAAAATTCTAAAGTTTTAAATAATCCTGCAGAGTTTAAAATAGAGTTTTGAATAACAAGCTTTTTTATAAAATAGGAGGAAATGCATTATTTATTTTCTCTTTACATTACTTAGAGAATTTTTTAATTATTGTAAAATCCATAGTTCATAAATACAATTACAAAAAAAATATATCTTCACTAACTTCAATAATAAATATTATTAAAATCTTATAAATTTTAACTTTAATTTAATACTATTTATCATCATCATCAAATATTTATTAGACACAAGTGTGTGCAACATACAAAAATTGTATGTAATACAATTACATTTACTTTTATAAGATAAGATTTATATAAAATCTTTAACATTTCACATTTTGTGTGCAGGTTTGGTTTTTCGATCGCGCGCCTGGGCGACCTAAACAAGGACGGATTCGAGGATGTGGCAATCGGAGCGCCGTACGAAGGCAAGGGAGCCGTCTACATCTACCTAGGCTCCGATAAGGGACTTATCACAGAGCCAGCACAGGTACACACGCGGCCGAGCTCAAACAGAGATTAGGCCGAAATTTATGATTGCGTCGCTTAGGGTGTGCCTATCAAAGTGCAAACAGGAAAAAACAGCAGCCCTCCAAATAATGAAAATGGAAAAATAAAAAGCGCGCGCTTTCAGCTTCAAAGAAAAGGGAAGAAATTAACCAAATGAATCAATTCCACAGGTCATCAGATCTGAGGCTCTACCAAGATCGCAACCTCCCACCTTTGGTTACTCCCTGAGTGGTGGAACTGACATGGACCTGAATGGCTACCCTGACTTGCTCATCGGCGCCTACGACTCGGACACGACTGTTCTTTTGATGGCGCGTCCAATTATTGGAATTTTGACCTACGTCCGTCCAGAACAAAACCTGAAGAACATTGACCCACTGAAGAAGGGCTGCTCAAAATACCCTAATAGAGATTATACCTGGTAATACTTTTTCTTGCAAAGTTTCTAAATTGAGTCAATAAAAATATTTGGTAACTATCTAAAACCCCAGATGATTACTAATTTTTAGTTTTTTTCTTATTAACAACAAAATAAATTAAATAAAGAAGATGATTCCAAATTAATTAATTTATTTATTATTATTATTATTTTTTTTTAATATTTTTTTTTTCAAGTTTTAACCAGCTCCAAAAATCATATCGTAATTTGCTGAAATAATTATTTTTTTCAGTTTTGTTTTTGAAGCATGTTTTGATATCGAAAGTGCTGGACGTTCTTACGGTGGAAAACACGATCTGACTTTGAAATACAGACTGGAGGCGGAAACTTTCTCAGGAAGAAAATTCTCCAGAGTTTGGTTTGGCACTGACGAGGATGACAACAACAGACCCTCTTTCGTTGAAAAGAACATGAAGTGGATGCCCCAAAAGGGTCTCACTTGCTCCGAGGAAGTTGTTTCTGTGAAGGTGACTCAATGTTATTTCTTTGATGGAAATGAACTGAAAATTAATTAATCTAGGAAAATACGAGGGATATCCAGTCGCCGATCATCTTCAAACTTTCCTACTCGTTGATCCAAGAGGAACCCCAACCTATCATTACCGGAGAAGCTCTGCCTTTGGTTGACAGGTATCCTATCTTGAATCAGCAGGAGGCCGTCAAAGTTTTCCAGGCGACATTCCAAAAGGACTGCGGTGATAATGAAGTGTGCGAAAGCAATTTGGAGGTACAAGCTGAGCTGCAGTTGAAGCAAGGTAAGGGTAAAACATTACAAAGTAGATTAAAATTTTTAAATGCAAAATAATAAATTTATAATTATCTCATTATGGATTTCAAAAAAAAAAATATTCTACATATTATTCAAGAGAAAAAATTTAATTAGATTTAGGATATAATAAAATATGAATTTGTATACTAAAAATATATATATTACTACTATTAGTTGGAAGGCAGCAATGGGAGCTCTTACTTGGTGAGCTTGAAGAGGTTGTAGTTAACGTCACCATTTACAACCATGGAGAGTCCGCCTACGAGTCTCAACTTTTCCTTTCCCACCCTGCAGGTCTGAGTTACATTGGCACTGGAATCGAGGTAATTTTATTTAAAGTTAATTATTCCCGTCTATATATAAATTTTAATTTTTACTATAGGAAAAGAACCAGTTTGCCTGCAAGCCATTCAACACCACCATGGTTTCCTGCAGCATGGGAAACCCTTTCAAAAAGGGCACTAAGCACCTCAGACTCCGGTTTGACCCAAAGGACCTGAGTGACCGTGACCTCCAGCTGCTCTTCGTGGTCAGTGCCAATTCAACCTCAGAAGACATTGGGCAGCAGGGCCCATTGATCATGCAGGCCAATGTGGTCAAAAAGGCAGAACTTTCCATCAAAGGGTAAGTTTAATTCATTTTTTAGGGATTGAAAATAATTTGAATTCTTAAAAATTTAGCCTTGCAAGGCCAGAGCAAGTGTTTTACGGAGGCACCGTCAAGGGTGAGTCGGCCATCAGGTACAGGGATGAGGTTGGAACCAGGGTCCTCCACACATATCAGGTGTTTAACAGTGGCCCTTGGAAGGTCAACCAACTTGAGGTGCACATCGACTGGCCATACCAGGTGGCCAACAACAAGCCTCAGGGCAAGTGGCTCCTCTATATGGACGAGAAGCCCACAGTTGAATGTAAGTTTTTGTCCTGATTAAATTTATATTTAAAACTTGCAAAAGTTTTTATGATATTTGAAGTAAAAATTTGCCAAAGTTAAAGTAACATAAATTTGTCATTTTTCAGTTTATTTTAGAATTTCAATATTAACCTGTTTTTAGCAATTGGAGGGGGCGAGTGCAGAATGAGTTATGGTCAAGTCAATCCGCTAAACTTGACTTCCCGTCCAGGAATGGAAGATCCGATGGACAGTCTGATCCTGGATTCTCCCCCAGAGAGAATTTTGTTTGACTCAACCAGAAGAAAAAGAGATACCGAAATGGTCCTCAGGCCTGAGGCAATAACCGACAAGGAGGGCCGAAGACGAAGTGTGATCTCATCAGTAAGACTCAATTTTAGATATTTTGCCAATAATTTAAATAATAATGTACAAAATTATTCAGAACTGTGTTGCTGGCACTGCTAAGTGCTTCACCTTTGTGTGCATTATCAGAAATTTGCACAAAAACACTGAAGCTACAATAAGAATAAGAGCAAGGTAAAAATAATTTTATTGTATAAAATTGAAAACCCTTTTTTTATCCTGAAATTCTGTAGGCTGTGGAACTCAACGTTAGTTGAAGACTACCCTCGAGTGGATTGGGTCAAGATTGGCTCAAGAGCTCGAATCCACCTCCAGGGAATCCATCAGAGCAATGACGATGATGAATTCCAGGTAGAGTAAATAATAAATTTTTCAATTAATACTGAAGTAAATTACTAGTTTTCTGATAAAATTTATTTGGGCTTACTTTCCACATATATTTTTGATAAAAAAAAACCAATGTGATAAAAACTTGATAATTAAAATCTAATTTTAAATTCTCATAACTTTTGCAATTGTCCCTATTCATAGGTTTAGAAGAACTTTTGTCTCTGCAAGATACATTTTTAACATTTTAAGAAATACGTGTCATCTTTTTCAAGACTGCATTTTAATTGATTAATTAATATAATTTAAATTAGTCTTTTATTTGTAAACATAAATAATTATTACAAGCTATATGTATATATATATATATATATATATATATATATATATATATATATATATATATTAAAAAAGCACCAAAGTTTGAAGTCAAATTATATAATTTTTTTATTTTAAAATAGTTTTTAAGTTATTTTTCACATTTAAAAAAGTTTATTATATGTTGAATTTTATTTGCATTTAAATTCTAAAGAGGCACTTTCAAAAGACAAAAATCTAGATACTACGATTAGATAAAATTAAATTTGTTGAATTGTTGATCACAGTTAATACCACATGTTTGAAACAATTATGTCGTCATTCAAAATTCAATTAGACAGCGAAATTTAATCAAAATTTCTTCAACTGAAGCAGCAATTAAATTCATTTCAACCCTTTCTATGATTGAGCATATAAAAGTAATTATTATTGCCCGCTTTTCCTGGTGCCGCTATTTTGGCGCTGCAAGTGGCATTTTGTGCCCTTTATTAATAGCTTTGCAGGCGGTGCAGAAGTAAGTGGGTAATTAGCGCGCAACTCCAGCGAGTCGAGTGTGGCAGCCACTCGAGTCTGAAACTTCTTATTACGAGACAAGCGGCACTCAAACTTGCGTACAATGTGTGTTCCACAGGTGGAGACAATAGCTTACCCCGAGCTGCTGGAGCAAACCGCCGGCGAAGGGGTGCCTTTGTGGATGATCATCGTGGCGATCGCCGCCGGTCTGCTGCTGCTGATCCTGTTGACCATTTGTCTGTGGAAGTGCGGCTTCTTCAAGAGACGCCGGCCTGACCCCACGCTGTCCGGCAACTTGGAAAAGCAACGCCACGACTGATAAAAAAAAAGAGAAAAAACTAAACGTTCGAAAGAAGTGCCTATCAGACAAAACTGCCATTTTTAGTTCTAATTTTCAGTTTCAGTGCAATCGAGTATTATTTAAATTAATCCTACGTGGAGTGAATGTGTTGAATTTGTGGAGGAAAATAACAGGCCTGTGACTATTCACAACGTGATATAAAAACAAAACCAAAACTGAAATCGTGTTGAGTGAAAGTGGAGAGTGGAGAGCCGATTTTAAATTATTTGAATGTGTTCCCAACTTCTTTTGTGAAGTTGGCGAGAAAGGTTTATGAAATATCTTGTGTAAATATTTTATTCAAAGTATAGTTTAGTAAGTTAAGTGTAAATGTGCTGCTAGTGTCTCTGAGTATATATGTAATGTTTTAATAAATGTTTCGTATATTGAAGAAAATGTGTTTCTTTAAAAAATAATAATATGCTTCAAAGATAATTTTCATTTTACAATATTTCCGTGGAATAAATTTTTAGTATCCTATAATTTTTGTGTCCAAGTATAAAAAAAAACAATAACTAATTACCAAGCGCTTACAATTATTATTATTTTTATATATCAGCCAAGTTTTCTCGATTAAGATTTGATGATTGGAAATTGGAAATGATTGGAAATATACTTACAATTAGAACGCCAAATTCTAGATAAGAAATAATAATTTTAAAGTAAAATTTTTGTAACAAAAGTGAATTTTAAATTTGATAAAATCAACTTGCAATTAAATTAACTCTTCAAAACAGGAGAAATTTTTACGATAAAACGGAAATTTGAAAAGGGAAAATTTATCCTGAAGGAATTGCCGCGCGGCCTTTTGCTCACTCTAGCTGGCCAGCAAAAACACAATTGTGTGAACGGCGTGTTTTTTCTCTTGTTCCCCCGGCAAAACGCAGAAATTTATGAGTTCTCCAACAAAACTCAAATCCATATTTCCGATCATCAATTCAGAAAGAAAATTCCTAGTCAATAGAGGCTATACCCTCTAGCCAATAAACGCAGAATAAATAAACATTTGGGTCTCGCCAAGCAAAGCAGCCCCGCGACGATAAACTTTTTCCACTATTGCGAGAACAAGTTGTGAAACTAAAACCGTATCCAGAGCATTCTCAGTATTGCCATACCGTAAAATGTATCTTCAAAAGGGTGCTTTGCATCATTTCATCAACTTTGTACAGCCTGAAGCTATTGATTATACTCCATGCGCAATCTGCCTATCAGACAAATCTGCATCCAAAACCATGATTTTGATAATTCTATTGCATTTCAAATTGAATGATTATAAATGCAAGAGAAAAAAATTACTTTTTAGATAAAAATAGGTTGTTGCTTGTTATATTTAGTAGGTGAAAAACAAGAGTGAAATGGGTTATTTTTCATCATAATTCATAACAAAACCGTAGTTTCAGATATAATAAAAAAGGATTTCATTTGGGCGTTTAAGAAGCAAAATTATATTACATAGCTCATTCTTAACAAAGAGTTGCAAGGCTTTTCCCAACGTATCTAAGTTCCTACCAAAAAAGAAGAACACGAACAATAATTGACCAATATTGACTCTCTGAAAACTGCTGAAAACCGACTTTTTCTTCTACAGACTAAATTTGAGGGGAAAATCGACTCTATTGAGAAAATACTTGAATATTTTTTGGTTTCATAAATCTTCACCGCTATTTCTCCTGCTTATTGTACACAAATGAAAAAGTGCAAACCAATGCGTCCAATTCAGAAGGGAGGAAATATGCATGCGCTTTTTTCTGCATAAGCACATTAAAAAAGACATAATTTGCATTGTATATTTAACATTTTGTCGCTCAGCTCCTGAATAGGAAAGTCGCCCTCTCGTGAATTTACAGACCTTTTCCGCGTGGGGAATTCCATTCAATACACACCCAATCAGACAAGTTTTCCGCATGCATGCTCTATAAAAGCTGATAAGAGACTTTTTGCGCATTTTCTGCCAGCTTTGCGTTTTCAAAAAAGATGAAAGTGTACTTCTGCACACGACGAGGCGGCAAAAATACGAAAAGGCAAAAAGTTGAAGGAAATTCTGTGTTTTCCTTTTTCCCGTCAGCAGCAACTCTCGCTTGAGATCAGAATTTATGTTCATAAAAAAGCTCCTTTTTCCAGCGCTTGAACGCTGAACAAAATGTAAAAAATGGAAACGAAATATGTATAAAAATGAAAGAGGATTATTGTTTGATAAAAAGAAAAATGCATGACGGGCTCTTGTTTATTTATTTCCCAATTCAAAAATCACCACCAGGCGAATTCCACGACTTTTTATAGCGACAAAGCCCAATTAGTGTTGTTGCGAAGTTTGAACAAGGCAGAATTGGAAATACGAAAGCACAAAATTCATAAATCACGACTCACAATCAGTTATTCTACTTCGTAAGAAATATATTTGAAGTCAATTTTGAAATCAATTCTTTAGAAATTATATTTTATTTTTGAGAAAAAAAGGTAGTAGTTTAGAAATGAAAGAATTTATGAAAAGCGCCGCCAACTGACCGCGGCAACCGTTTGGAGCTGCAACTATTGAACATTATATTATTTTGTAATTTTTTATTCAGGCTGGTTTTTTTGTAAAATTTTATTGAACAGATTAAAAAAGTTTGTAATATTTACAAAAAAAAAATCATTCACATAGAATATCAAATTTTTATGTAGAGCCCTCCAAAGGTAAAAAATTACACGGCATTGAATCTGCATTCTCTAAAAAATGAAATGGAAATTTATAGCTGGCTAATTTTTCTATTTAAGTTTTAATACTATTAATTGATTTTTAATGATTAAAAATGTTCAAAAAAATTAATTTGAAAAATTAGAAAGTATTATAGTCATAGCTCCTGCGATAAATAATCATTTTAGTTAAAAACATAAAAATTTAGACGCTTTGTGGTTTTAATCAATGGTCCATCACCTTATTGTAACAGCATCAGCACAGGAAATTAATAATAGTGTCCTGACCTCCTGACTCCTTCACGCCTGCTTCACGCAATACATTTTTTCATCACCGTCCAGACTTGTTAACTCTCATTTTCGACTTGCAAAGACAGGAGCAGCACCAGCAGCAGCCAGCTGAAAACAGCCTAGGGAGGGAGAGAAGTAATTATTTGTGCTGAAGACACCTCAACTAGAAACTAGAACTTCTCATAACAAAGCAGCTTTCCGGCGAATGCGGTCCCGCTTGGCACGAGTGATTGTAAGGATAATCCTTAAGTGATTGTCTCCATTTAATTTGTGTCAGAATTGGATGGATTTAGTAACTTAGCTCGCGATTCAGCGAAAATTGTTAACCGTTATCACTATACCGCTTGCAGTTAGTGAATTTGAAGCTCTCACAAAATCAGAAACCACCGGTTCGTATGTGTACATAATATACAACACAAGCCCATAATTTTATTGCTATTATCGTAATTTTTGTGTGCGTTTTCCTTTATGTAAATATTATTTACATTTAACTCAAATCTTTGACAATTTTTTATACTGTATGTTGTGTGCCATAAAAAAATGGATCCTAGAAAGTCGCGAAAACTGTGAGAATCTCACGCGAAAATTAAATTTAACCAAATCTGGACGTAACAATTTTTATGTTTTTCATAATTATTTTGATTTTAATTGAAATTTATACCTGTGTTTGTTTTCCCTCTAGGTTTATTAGCATAAAATTGCCACCCTCATTGTCATACTTCTACCCACTTCTACCATATTTGCCATATTTGATTATTATTATTATTTGTATTGGGCTTGACACATTTTGACACGAAAAATCTCCACCGCTATAGAATTATTTGCATTTTGCATTCGCACCAAATCCCAGCATATCCTCTTTTCACGCAAGCTGCTTATTATTCATGGGCAGGCTTGGCAGTTTCGCACTCAAAGGCTGTGCATGCAAAATCTCATCAAATTCAATTTCCAGCATTTCCACTCTATTGCGTAGAAATTCATAAGGTTACAAATTTATTGCAAAAAGAAAAATGAATTAATAAATTTTAAGTAAAATAAATCGCTTATTTGCTTGCAACAATTTGAAATTAAATCTCAAATTCTTTTCAGAAGAATTGCTGATTTATTCCGAGGACAAAGATGAGCCGAAGGTACGCTAAACCACAGCCATACTACGACAACAACCCAGACAGGGCGTGGGCATCCAGTCCTCTGGACAACGTCTACACCTTCCAGAACAATTTGTACCATGAGGAAAGGAGTGGATTGCCGAATCCGAACGAATACAGACAGCAGAACCACTATTCAAACCATTCAAACGTAGCAGGACCATCGAGCAGCTACGCAAACTATTCACAGCACCAAAATAATTCTTTCCACCAGAAATTCTCCAGCCATGATCGTCAACATCAGGACACATACCAGCAGCAAGGTACAGAAAATAACAGGCGCGGGTTCGGAAATTCCTTTATGTATTATTTTTTGCTTGCTTATAATCAACAGATTTTTTCTGCCACTTTTAATGTACAAAAGTATTAATTATGTCAAAACTGAAAATATGTTTAGTGCAAATCAGGTGTAAATAAAAAGCAATCTATTTTTTCTTGTCAGAACCAGCAAAAAATTAGTTGAACTAGTTAAAAGCAAATATATATTGATATATATATATTTCATGGATATATTTAAATGGTCAAGCTCCTAGATTATTAATAAAATAGCATCAGTAAATTTGTTTCATGAAAAACGGATGATAGACTTTCCGAACAATGGAATTTATTCTTTTCCATCAACTAATACCAATGTTTTTTTTTTTAAATCAAGGTCATCATCAGTACAACAAGCAGAACTTTTCCAACCTGAATAAGTTCCAGAGCATCAACATTCGCCAGGCAAACCGGCAAACTAACACCTACTCCAGGTCCAGAAACAGCTTCAAAGATTCTGATGATTTTGCCAGGGATCACAATCAACAGCAGAGCAGTTCATACACAGATTTCCACCAAGACAAGCCCTCCTGGTCGAGCTCTGGAAGTTCTGTAACCAAACCACAGAAGTTCTCAGACCAGCCTCCCATGAACAGGCCCGTCAGGAAACGCAAAAATAATGGTTCCAAGTACTACAGACACATTCCTCCCGGAGGCCGGGCTAGACCAGGTCTGCGCTCCTTCTGCAGCTACGTGACAAATAGAAATGGGAGCTCGAAACTGAATGGTCCAAAGAGTAACTTGCAGTTCGTTTACAAAATCAAGGCCTGTTTGTGGCACAGAACCAAGATGGGGCTGCACAAGAAGAAGACCAAGTTATTCTCCAAGCAATGGCGCTACCGCCAGATCAGACAGAATAACCTTTTTATAAGGAAGACGCACAGCCAGTACTGGTCGAGGAGCTTTGTCAAGCCCAAGGTTTCCGTCAAGGCGTCAAATCCATGGAAAAATTTCAAGAGGTGAATAAATTTGTAAAGTGATATAATAATTTTTTTACACCAAAATGTTTCGAATATTTTTTCTCATTATATATACCTTCAAAATATAAAGGCTCAATTAAAAAGAAAAAAAAATAGTGTAACTAGTAAATCAATGTTTGAAAAAAGAAGATGTATTTGATAATGAGAAAAATTTCTGTTTTGTTTTATGTAAAGGTTTTGGTTTTTAAATTTTTGAAGATTATTCATAGTTGGATTATTTTTGCAGCTCATTTGACTATCTGTCTCTTGTGGCTTCATTCACCCCTGCTTCCTGGCAAGACCCTAAATTTGCCTATTTTCACCACGTGCAATATCAACTCTTCACTCTGCCAACGAACGGACTCGAGTTCATCAGCTTGGAAAACCAGATGATCTGTTGCAAACTGAAAATCGTCCAGGTTAGTATTGATTTTCTTCTAAGTGTATTTTTGAAAGCAAAACCATGTAAATGATGGAGCCTTTGCTTTGTGTGCCCTCATATGACCCCATTATTTTCAATTATACTTAAGGGTTCTTCATTTATTTAAAATTATTACAATAAAATTCTTTGATATGGTTGTTTGTTTGAAAAATAATATTTTTTTTTAGTGTAGGTGAAAACAAATTGGATTGATCATCTAACTGATTTTATTTCTTATCTTATTTTTTAGGTCATCCGCCTTCAAAATTTACTCCTGTATGGAGCTTACATTAGCAAAAAGCAGCAGCTGCTGGCCAACTCAATCCTTCTCAGAGAAGTTGTCAGGTACTTCTGCATCAAGGCGGAACACTTGAAGGAGCTCTGCAAATACGGCCACGACTTGCGCCGAATCGGAGAGGTGAAGTCGTATGTGAGCCCAAGGGAGGCCCACATGAACCGCCCCGAAACCAACTCGGAGGTGTTGATGGTTGCTGCCAGGGTCGTCATCATCCCTGTCAAGTACCCCAGATCGTCCAATGAGGTCTACCCTGAGTACATCATGCAGTACAGCCGAGTTAAGTAGAACGGAGAAAAGTCTTGTGGCGGACAGATAAGAAGTTGGGATATTTCTTCTTTATGTGGAAAAGCATATTGGTTCTGTGAGTGCTCAAAAAAGTTGCCTGTTTGTTCTTATATAGAGATGTGAGTTGGAGATATAAACATACAAACTTAATCTCCTCTCATCTATAATGTGCTTTTCAACTTCCAAGGCGTGGAGCAATATTATAGAGTTAGTGTGAAGTTGCTGTCAAAAAAGGGACATTGACAAAAAGTTAGGTGATAAATTTGTTAGGTGCAAGATTGTTTATGGGTTGCTTTTTTCCTGCCTCAACATTTTTGCCCCAAAATCCATTATTCTGACAATGCGTACCCATTTATAAGAAATATTCACTTGAATGCACCTCTGATAACATTATTTTTTGAAAAGAATATAAATCGAGGGTCCACAATCCGCCACAATCGTTATCACATCTTTTTGGATACGTGTCGTTTTGTTAGACGAAGGCAATTTGTTCTAATACTTTCCCCATAATATAATGCTGTGAGGGTTGGCGTCTCATTTTTTCACAGTAATAATATATTTTCTACCACCAATCTCAACTCTCTCCCATTCAATTTACATTTATCAGTGACCTTGCTTTATGAGGGGACCTATCTAAAACAATTCCAGTTCCTTTCTTTTTTTTATTATATTTTTCACAATAATCTGATCTTCCCACAGTCGCCCACAGTAAATATGCTCTGGACCAGCTCCAATTTCCAGAACCTAACGTGATTTTTTTTCAAGTTTAAACGAGTTTTTTGCTTAATATTGATAGCATGGATGAATTAAACTTTGACTTGGTGTCTTTATACATCTAAGATCTCTACAGCTGATTTTTGACTTGTTAATTATAGCATTGGGTCAGCTACTAACTGTTGTTGGTGAGCCCTCACAACTTAATCCCCTTTTAGCAAACGCTATATAATCCAAATTTAGCTAGATTATGCCGGGCAACACTGATAATCATTCGCCCACTCTCTGCGCAACTAAATTCACATCCAAAGCTTTTTCAGTACAAAATGCTGTCTTGCAAAATCAAATTCGCGTGGGGCGATTAAAAGTGAAGTAAGTTCCACCTACAAAAGAGACTAGCAAATTCGTGGCTACCAAACAAGGGCTGAGTAAATTGTTAAGCTCCAGCCCAAACTTTGTTCGTTTCGAAACAGAACCCTTTCACATACTGCCCACTATTTTACTTTGTATTTTGCCTCCATCAATTCTTCATGCGCCTAGCTCATAGAAGTTTGAAGTCAGATTTTTATCTTATGTTCAGAAGTATCTAATTAGTTGAAAAGAGACTTTTCCAGATTATGAATAATTTGTATAATCTTTATTGCTCTTTATCTTTTACTTCCCCATTACCTAAATTGCAAATGAGCAAATTATGTCGCACCGTGAGCTCTTTAAACAATAAAGATTTAAATGTATAAATTCAAGCTTTTTTTATCGATATATTTTTGAGGAAAGAACAAAATAATCTAGATTTATAGCCACTATGACGACCCTCTAGCATATAATCACAAAACAATCAAAATTTCACAATTTACGTCTGGCCAATCAAAGCAGGCTGCACCACGCTGATAAACTTGGTCCACTGATATTGCATGAACAAGTTGTTTCCATGAAACCAAAGAAGAAACTAAAACCGCATCGAGTGAAGCTTTCTCGTCACCATGCCCCACTCAAAATAGAATTCGCGTGCGGGCGAAAGTATTTTCAAGAAGTGCTTTCCATTCACTTGTACAGCCTCAAGCTGTATTTGCCACTTTCCCAACAAAGAAATTGGGTGGTGCCTTCTTCACCAGCATTGAAGGGCACAGGCCAACAAGAATTTGTCTTTGCGCCTAGTAAAAAAGTTTATTCCTGTCCCATTTAAATTTTCCTGAACGTGCAGTCATGAAAATTTTGCACTCCTCTGCATGCACACACACCAAAATAGAAAAAAACGTGAAGGGTGAGAAAACGACGAGCTAAAACTTTTTCAAGCTTTATTTCCACCCAAAACCATAAAAATTGCATGAATCATTAAAACTATCGACAATAATAAAATTAAACAGTTTTAATTTAAAACCAAAAGCGTCTTACAATGAGCAGGTTTTGTTAAGGAAGGGCTAATTTTATATTTAAATAAAAAATGTAAACCCTGAGAAAATTGCAATTCATAGTTAAAAATCATCTGCAAAATATACTTTTCAATCCAACACGCTAAATATAATAATTTTAAAATTGTTGCGACATTTTTACTTTAAAAGCAGAAATAATTGTTAGAAGAACGATTCCCAGTTGCAAATTTTTCGAAAGTAGAGTAAGTTATTATTTAATGTTAAAATTTTTGAGTAGAAATTTTTAAAAAAGGTGCTCCACGTCGTTTTTTGCAATGCGCGTGTTAAAAATTTCATTAAATAGGACCACTTTTATATCTGTCCCGTTGTGTGGCGGCGGCATTTAATTAAAATTTTCAGCTATACACAAAAGTTGTGCGGGTGGTTGTGTGATTCCGATCATCAAACACTGAGCGCGCTCCGGCGGCAGGAAGGGCGCACGGCGCTGAATCGGCAGGGGTTGCGGCACCAGATTGATCAGAGAGTCGACGGCTGCCGGCGGGGTTGCATCGCGAGAAGAGACTTTCGCTGCCACAGGTCGATTTATCTGCTCAAATGATGCCGAACGTCAGCCTTCCTCTCATCTGCCTTGATTGCCTATCGGAGCAGGAAAATACAAATTTGACGATCTTTGACGACGCCGCTAACAAGTGAGTAATAAAGGGTTGTTTCAACTCTTGATCAACATTTTTATATAAATTTATTTATATTATGCAATCTTATTACTGTTGTACTAAACCAACTGATTTCACTCAAAATACTCACAAAAAATTTATATAATTATGCAACTTGGAGTTATTGAAATTTGTTAAAAAAAAAAAAAAAATCAAAATTGAACTCTTACAGCCTTTTTATAAGCATCTATCTTTTTTTTGTATACTTTTTTTTCTTTGATTACCCTAAATACTAATAGCAATAATTAAATATCAATTTTAGTTAACCACCAACATAGTTTTAAACATTTTTAAAATTCTGGAACTTTGCACAATTGGGTTAGTTCAGAGTTCAAAACATTCCAATTCTTAGCAATTTTTCCATGTCCTATTAGTCTGTTTCAAATGAAAAATAAATGTGTTTATTGCCACGTGACATGATATTCGTAAAGGTCCATTTCCAGTAATGATTTTATTAATCTTGAATTTGAAAGAACGCAGTATTTCATGACTATAAACAAAAATGCGGAATGCGATTGAAAGAATTCGCAAGATTTGAAATAGAAGTTTGTAGAAAGGTCACCTTTTCCCGCTAAAATTGAGAATTTTTGTTTCTACACACTTTGAGATCTACAGTCAGTATCTGCACTTCTATAAATTTATTTCTAGATTTTGCGGCGTTGAACCCTTATACGTGCGAAATTTTTGCCTGTAGGCGTGATTTTAACTTCAGGGAACTTGTCTTCTTTAAATTTCAAGAAAAAAAAAACCAAAAAATCATTACTGCTTGAGCTAGAGGCCTTTAAATGTATTGTATCATGCCTTGTTAATATACATCAGTGTTCATGAAGTGTAAGCAGAAGTAGCAGGGAGTTCGGTTGAAGATTAATTTGATCTATTTTAAATTTTTCAAATGTTAACCTGTGAACAATTTTTTTAAATTCCACTGTGAGCTATGAATTATTGTGGTTAATAAATTACAAGCATATTTTGTATTCAGGAATTAGAGTGATTTTGTTTGGAAAAAATCTCATGCCTGTGGATGGACCGCGTCAGTACCTGCGTAAATCCGAATTACCCGCGTGAATTTTACCCCAGTCCCCAGTGCGGCCTTGTCATGAAAGCAATTATCGACAAACGCGCTGGACACAGAGGCCGCACAACAAAGCAGCTTTTTTTTAATTGCGTTTCGCGTGCACTCATTCTCTGTAAATTTTTTGTCGTGTGGCAGTAAATCATAGCAAATTGAATCAAAGAGAAAAATTTGCATTATGGATGTTTTTCCACACATTAAATGGTCCTATAGCTATAACGGAATGTCAGAATACTTAAGAACCATTTTGTAGCAGGTCGAATATCACAAAATGTTTCTCAAATATCAGGCAAATTAGACAGAGAAGTATTTTATTTGAAAAATAATTGTAGGAAAAGTGGTAAAATTTTAGTCTATTAGTGTTTTTATTGATTGTTTCCTGCTGCCCAAGTTCATCCTTCTTACATATTCAAAATTTGTCAATTTTAAGACTAGGAAAATTATAACTTTGGAATAAGTGAAGAATTTTTAGCCAATGTGTTATAAATATTTTTTCATTTATATTTTCCAAGCGTCTTTTTCCCCTTTTATACTTTTGTTATGTAACATAATATTATGCGGAAAGTGAAACTAACCACAAATTTCTAGATCAGTGCACAAGTTGATCGGATGGAACCTGAATGCGGAAGACTTGATTCACGTTCCACCCCACTGGCTTTCCTACGAAGCTCCTGAGCCTGTTCTCAACTATTTTCTCGGGACAGTATACATCTTTTTCTTCATAGTGTCTCTGATTGGAAATGGGCTGGTAATCTGGATTTTCAGCACGTGAGTAAACTTTTCCCGTCTCTCATCTCATTGTCCTTTTTTCAACCTGGGTTTTCCTGCTTTGATGATTTATAAAAAATACGCGTGAAAACTTTGTGACCGCCATCAAAAAGGCTAACAATTTCAAAGTGGAAAAAAATACCGAAATGATAAGCCTAAAAAAGGCACGCAGGCGAGTTTTGTGTTTCTGGACGTCATCACAGGAAGGCTCATTTTAATCCAAATGTTTTTTCCAGAATACAATGCTAAAAAAGCTTAGAATAATCTTTTCAATATTCGAGAAATTTTTTCATTTACATGACCCAAGGAATCTATTATAAAAATGTAATAACTAACGCATACATGGCATTTAATACATATTTTCAAATTGAGAGTTACTAAAACATTCAAATTTAAAATTTGAATTATATAATTATTTTCTCGTCAGGGAAATTTGAATTTATGTAGTTGATTTGAAAATTTTATGTATACATTGTGTTCCACCTGAAACACTGACAATAGCTGTTTTAATTAACTTTTAAAGAACAAAAACATCTTCACAATCTTTGAACTTTTTCCTTCAAATGCCTGGCTTCAAGAAAATTTTGCAAACTTTTCTACAAGCATATGATTTTTGTTGCGTTAAAATACACTAAACTTGTCATGAAAAATATAAAACATTAATTGATATTTGTATAGCGCCCAGCAAATAGATTTAATTAAACTTTTTCCTTGCCTTTTCGCTTTGTGTTTAAGGCACAATTTTATCTCAAGCACGCAAGAAGTTTTTTTCTCTCGTTGAAGAAAAATAACAAGTTATTCACAGAAAATTCCATTAACTTGTTCTGTCTTCTTCTATTTAGATCAACACTAGCTTTGTTTGCTCCCAGTTTGCTGTTTGTTGGGAAAATTATATCAACCCTGGCTTTAGTGTACAAATCATTTATTCATTTGAATGAAAAAGCCGTCTGGATTAAATTCTCGGAGCGACAGCACGGCATTACGGCATACAATACACATTATTCATTGGCAAAAAAGCTCTTGACCCTTGATAAAACAAATAATACACCCACAATCTGGTCGCACTAAAGTAGGCCTCACTTCATTCAAAACGCGATCCCAGTATTTGTAGACAAAATGACATGACCTGCCATTAAAATCAACTGTTATTAGCAGTAATTTTTTTTAATTTCAATCTTCAGTTTTTCACTATTTGTCGAAATTTGTTACAAATTTCATAAAATACTTTGCAATATTTTAAAATGATTGATATTCTTTAGAAAAGAATTGAATTTTTAATAAAATTGTCTTGTCGCTTCTTTGAAAATTAGTGCTGCTCTAAATTTTGGGACAACAATTTCTAATTACAATAGATTTATTATACACATTAAAAACGTCATTTCATAAAAATAACATGTATTTATCAGCAAAGTGACACTCATTTAAAATTGACCTCGCCACCCTTTTTAATGTAGATGCGCAATTTTCAAATTACCGAGAAGATTTGTAATCAATTCTCTCAAATAATTATTTCAAGTAAGAAATTTTTCATTCTATAATTATTCATTTTTCTCGATCAATTTATTTATTCAACACTAACATGGTTTAATTGGTTTAGTGTACTGCTGTTTTTTTTTATTGATGAAAAAAAATTATAAGATTTCTTGACATTGACTGAAAAATTTACTTATGATTGTGTGAACCAAACTATATTAGTATATATCGTCCGGTAATAAAAATCAATGGGGTCAAATGCAACAATGGAATCGGGTTCCCATGGTTCGTGAACTAATCAGAAATGGTGCCATCAAATTGGCAATACTTCTGACCAGCTAATGTAAGCAAATTTCAATGTTGTGTCGAGCATCGGTTGATAAAAATAAGGTCTTATGTAGAATAACGTTATCGTTATGATGACCAGAATTTTGATTGTGAGCAGAAGAAATGTTGAAGAAAAAGCATTTCACAATCTAGGTGGTATTTATTTGAATTTGAATTGAAGCTCGGTGAATTTTATTGTTGTATAAATTGCGTTTTTCTGTTGTTTGTTTGAAAAGAAGCAAAAAAAAATCCAATATCCTGCTCTACATATTTCCACTGTGAGCTGCAGATTTCTCATGCCTGGTCGAGAGAAGACCCTTTATACAGAGAGTATTGTTTTAAAAACATACCGCAGAAAAACACAATAAACTCTCATTTTGCAGCTCATCGACGATTAGCAGATTAGCTGAATTGAATCTTAAATAAGCCTTAAAAATTCGCTTTCCACACATTTCTCAGTACAAAAAAATCAATTTTACTTGGAGAATAAATGTTTTCTGTGTATTCCGGCGCACTATTTTTCATTATTAAATAATATTACTTTGAAAATATGTCTGTCGATAGGGCCAAATCGCTGCGATCGGCTTCCAACGTGTTCGTCATCAACCTGGCGATTGCCGACTTCGCGATGATGGCCAAATCGCCCATTTTTGTGTACAACTCATTCCACCAGGGTTATGCGGCTGGCAACTTCTGGTGCCAGGTTTACGGCACTGTCGGCGCCTTCACCGGCCTAGTCCAGGCCTCGACAAATGCCTGCATTGCATACGACAGATTCAAGTACGAAAAAGATTTTCACAAAATTATCTTAATTAGTTGCAAAAATCTATGAAACATATGAATCATACCTTTTTTCCACTTCTCTTTTGGGAACCCATTTTTCAGCAAAGAACTGAAATTTATGAGTTAATATATCTTTTATTAAGTTAAAAAAGAACCCTGTTTTGACGCTGAGTTCTTTCACTTCTGTAAATAAAAGTCATTACTGAAGGGTCGGTCTTTAATCTCAATTACACGCACGTACACTTCTCTGGAGAAAAAGTTTTCCTATTTTGTGTACAGGTGCATCACTAGTCCATTGAACGGCAAAGTGGGCAAGAGGAAAGCAATTACTTTGGCGCTGCTGACCTGGACGTGGGCGACCCCTTGGGCGATGCTGCCCTTGTTTGAGATTTGGGGCAGATATGTGCCAGGTGACAAGAACAACTTTTTCAAACGTGCGTCAATATTTTTCTTTTTGCCTGTCAATTGCAGAAGGATTTCTAACAAGTTGTACTTTCGACTTCATCACGCAGACGGTGTCGACCAAACTCTTTGTGCTGACCATCTTTGTTTTCGCCTACCTCATCCCCATGTCGCTCACAATCTACTTCTACTCACAAATAGTCGGCCTTGTCATAAATCACGAGCGAGCCCTCAAGGAGCAGGTACGTGCTGGGGTATGCAAAGTACTCTCTGATTGACCGCGACGCGCCGATCAATATCCAATTAATTAGATCAATTCATTAGCGATTCGTTTGGGGCTGCTGTGTTTCGTGCATAAATCAAAATCTAATGCACCCCCTGTTATATTATCTCGAGCTGAGATTACAACCAATTAACTCTCTGCGCACGAACTTTATATTGTTGTTTCTTTCTCGTCGGATTTAGACTTAATCAGACTTTATCCTCTTTTATTATATTATATAACCAGTGAGCCGCGAAATTAAATAGCTCTCGGCCCAATAGCCATGTAGTACCAAAAATCCACTCTAAATTTTTATATCCCTTGAGGGAGAACCGTTATATGATCACTTTCTGGATAATCTGGGTCGATTTTTAATTAAAATTAAGTCTCGAATTTGATTGTGATTGACAAATTCATTAATTGTAGTCACTAGTCAGTTAAACATCAAGACATGCTAAATCATCCAGACATTAATTAACATTCTCTCCTGTTAGGTTCAAGTGCTCTTGGTTGGAAAAGGTGAATCAGTTGCAACTTTTGTCATGAAAATTGTTCTACATTTATAAGAACTGATTTAAGAAAAAAAAAAAAAAAAAAAATACCAGGATGTGTCTTTGACTTTGACATTGACATATAATATTTGCTTCTTTAGAACACTCTAAATATTGAGTTGAATGAAATATTGCGTCTAGGAAGGATACATACTATTTTGAAAAAAGCTGTTGCTACCGTTAAAGACCTTTTTTGAATCAAAAGCCTTGTAACCGCTGACACAACTTTTAACAGAGTCAAGTTTCTCTGAATTAATCAACGTCTTTCAGGTTGGCATTTTGATCAATTCAATCAAGCGTAAAAGCGCGGAAGAAACTTCTCGTTGCATTCAGGTTCGCGGAAGGCTGAAAATTGGGAGACTGATTATTTTCATGAGAAAAGTTTCCTGTTTGGGGGACAAAAGAGATCTCCTTCCATTAGTTGGTGGATGAGCGCCTACATATTACTGCTGTAGGCAACGCGCGCGTCATTTGTGTCGGGCATGTTGCATGCTTTCTCAAATCCCAGCCAACACGGAAAAGCAATTTTAAAGTTTGCTCTTAATACTTATTTTTAGGGCCGCAGATTTGTCGACAAAAGAGCCTGTTGTCTTTCATGTTTTCAGGCACTAAAAGATGAACGTCGAGTCACTGCGAAGACGGGTGAAAACGACTGCGTCTGCCGAGATCCGCATTTGCAGGGCTGCGATTGGAATCTGCCTGCTCTTTGTAATTTCGTGGACTCCGTACGCCATAGTCGCCTTGATTGGCGCGTTTGGAAATCAGTGAGTGAAAGTTTTTCTTTGTGTTTTTGATTTCTTGTAACTTTTTAGATTGGGGTTGTGATTAGAAAGGCAATAATAAAAATTCCTTTGAGGTAAAATGTAGAGCGCTTGTTCCTTTGCTTGCGCAGTCTGTTGACTTTCTTGAATGCAGATTTAATTTGATAGGGAATGCGTGATGACATCGACAAAGTTTGAAAGGAAACAAGCCTGCTTGCTCTCCATGAATGCCACTTTCTCGCCTCTTTACTAATTACTAATTAAATTTGCAATATAATGTTATGAATTCCTCAGTAGTGCAGAATTGTCTAAAAGGATATTTATTACAATATTACACGTACAAATATGGATTGTTTAGTTATTTAAAGAAACAGGTGAATTTGGCATTATTTTCCATTCTCTATGAAAACACATTTCAATTTTTTAGCTTCCAAAAATTAACTTGTATTTTCTGATAAAATTTTAAACAGGAGGGAAACTAAAATAAATAAATTTATGATTTTCCCGATCAGAAAACACGCGGCAGGATCACATATTATTAATTTTTCTCGGGTTTCCTTGGCTTTTAGCTTACTTTTTAAACACATGCGCCTCCCACTGCTTCCACATAATAACTTGTCTGACTTTTACTGCAAACGTTTCCTCGGAAGTTCCATTAGATCCAGCTTATTGGCTTCATCTTACATAAGAGCTTTGGTCGATCTCCAGACTTTTATAAAGCGCCTTATATCAGGTATAGATACCGTTAGATACCGAGAATTGGTCTCATTGGACCCCTAGGCCAAAAGTAGCTCAAACAATATTTGATCCGGGCATATATTACGCTCAATAAATATGAAATTAATTTTTGCTGCATATGAAAAATCTTTTCACTTAACTAGACTGGATACCTGCCCTTTTTTTATTATCAAAATTTAGATAATATGCTTCAAATGTTTTGCTAAAACCTCACAATAAACTGGACCTTTCTTATAAGTACAATATGTATGTAATATTGGTCTTTCCTGTTTGATTTATTACTTGCTTAATTTAAGCACAAGTTCTATAACTATTTAAAAAAAATGTTCATGTACAAAACTAAAAACCATGACGACCTTTAAGAGTTATATAATGGGATCGAACCGAAGCTGAATATTTTAAATGACCCTATATATTCCAATTAAATTTATTAGCTCGACAAATAAAAATAATTTAAAATTAAAAATAGAAGTAAGTAAAGTAGCAAATAATTATTTTCTTTCTTTTTCCCCCTTGGTTTGGTGGAAAGTTTTTAATGAAAATGTAATCTGAAGGTTTTTAATTCTTAATTTTTGAACCTCACAATCATTTTATCAAATTATGATGCTGTCAAATAATTTTAGACCATTTTTTTCACATTACACAATAATCCAAAATGATGATGACATTTAAACAAAAAAATATTTCTAATGCAGATTTCTTTCTCTACGTTAAAACTATTTCAATCGAAAATTGGCCCTGCCATAAGATATATGCAATCCACTTGTGTAATTTAATTGGTCCCGCTGAAAAAGCCATGTAAACGCGGCCGGTGAAGGTTAGGTTGCGAGTTAGTCAGGCTTTTGGATCGTCTTCATTATATTGCCGTATGTATTGCTTCCGTTAAGCCGTATAGCATGGCCATAATTTATTTTAACTTTCCTTCATCGCAACGTTGCCTTTGTGTCAAATTCTGAAGTTGCCGAAAAGCGTGCGTCTTTTATGGAAAAGTTTAAATCTCGCTAAAACGCAGAGTCTCTTCTTTTAATCCACTTTGCTTTTTAGGCGCAGAGAAACCTGAACTATAACCCTCAGCCTTTCACAACTTTTCCCGTCGAGACTTTAGACTTAAAAGAGACACCAAGGAATAATCCCTATGTTCGCAGAAAGCTGTTGACCCCGGAGGTGTCGATGGTGCCCGCGCTTTTCTGCAAAATGGTCGCGTGTGTCGATCCATACGTGTATGCAATAAGTCATCCAAGGTACAGAGCCGAGTTGAACAAGAGATGGCCGTGGCTGAACATCAAAGAGCCGCTCGGAGCACCCGCGCCCTCAGAAAACGCCTCGCTCGGCAGTCAGGCCGCTGCCTCGCTGTGAAAACTTCGCACTTTTCAAGCTTTTAATCTGGAAATGGAAAGACCGAGTGTGTGCGTTTTGTCACCAGAGATATACTTGTACAACCATATCAGCATATGCACGCATGAGAGGTGAATGAAATAAAAGTGCGCGCTGCCTTTTTCATCGCATAACATCAACGCAAGACAGTTTCAAGTGTTTGAGACGGAGACGGCAGCATCGACGGTTTTTAATTATATGCGTGGAGACTGGAAGCGGCTCTTGTCGCATATAATTAAAAATGTACATTTTCATCAAAGGCATTATGCATTAAATAAATGAACAAAAGAAACTTTGACTACACCGTCAATTACAGTCAGGTCCAAGTGTATTAAGCAACCCGCAAAATCTTCTTGGAAAACTATGAGTAATTTAAGGATTTTTCAATCATGAGGAATTAAATCTGCAAGTTATTTTTATCAATACTAGTTTAATTAGGTCGTCAAGCAATATTATAATTGCATTTAAAAACCTTAATTAATTTTGGTGGTATAATTATATAATACACAATGGCTACCAGGGCTACCTTGTGTAGGAAAAAATTTTTCCAAGCAGATTTAAAGGAAAAAAAATTATTTTAGAATTTCTCAATTCATTACTTTTTATTTCTGACATAATGTTACATAATTTATATTTTGAAACATCTTTTACGTTGAAACTATTTTAAGATTTTATCCTCCATATACCTGAAGTATGTATAATAAGGAATTTTCAGGGAGAAATTGGAAATTAATATTAATGTTGAAATATTTTGATTCGTAATTTACTACATTTAAAAGATTTACGATTCCTTATAGTCAAAAATATGTTAGTGTTTTAATATTAAATTATTATTGATTTTTTCTTATTTTTAATTTTTCATTGTGAGAATTAAAACTTCGACTACCATTATTTGTGACCCCACGATTTTTTCATTTTAGAGTGTTAAATTCACTTCCATTAAAAAGTATGAATTAATATCTTCTTATCAATCTCAATAATTGCATATTTTTGGAGATTTTTACTACAAAGGGGAAAACAAAAGCTTTGAAAAATTTAGAGATTAGTAATACAATGAGAGATAGAAATCTATTTACCGTTGTCAATAATTATCAATTGTGAAATTTATTGTTGAATTTATGCGTGTTTTGCTGCAAGTGTCTCCAGTCGTTTTAATTTAGATAAATATATTTGCCCACTCAACCGCAACCGGCGCGACCTATGGAGAAGGGGAAATTTTGACACGCGCGCGGCGGCGCTCACTCATTAAAAAGCAAATTTAATTATAATTTCCCCCAGTCAAGTTTTCTTTTCCTGGAACCCAAGAATGTACACTAGTAGGGCGTCTTGATAATTATAATTGGAAAATTATGCTGTTGTAATGAAATCATTATGCCTCTCTGCTCCCAGCCTTTTAAATCTGCTCACCATAATAATCTTGAACCATTCTGCAGAAGTAATCCGAGTTAAACTTCTACGCACTTTTATTTTTATTTATCAAGAGCGAACGTGAGTAAATAGCTGTGAAATCTTTTATGTCATAAATATGATATCCACACTCATTTTGAGGAGGGTAATTGGTTGTTTGAAATTAATAAATAAATATACTGTATATGTGTGGTCTGTATATATGTATAATATATGTAATGAATATTTATGTAAAGCAAAATGCAATATAATTCATGTTTTGTAAAAAAAAAGGAATTTGTTTAATCAAAGAGTCTCATTCCCCTGAGCGAAATATTCCCCCATTAGCTCCTAACTCTATAATACTATATTGCAATGAAGTGGAAGAAAGCAATAGATACATATTTTTTAGCATGAGCAGCAACGCTATTTTTCAAAGATTTCTCGTCAAATACATTTTTGCCTTGTTCCAGAAATTAATTCCACTCAAGTAGTATGATCTCATTTGTAAAGAAATATAATGCTAAAAATTTTAACAGACTGATTGACTGATCGTTTTTTTTTGTGCTCAAAATCTCTTAAGGCACAATGGAAGAACCAAAGAAGAAGAAAAGGAAGGTCGAACCTGCAATGAAGGACAAAACAGAAGTTATCATCAGGTGTTCAGAGAACCAGGTGCAAGAAATTGACCTTTCCGGTTCCTCCTGGAGTCACAAGTCACAGAAATGAACGCGATATAGCTGGCAAGGTCACAAATTAGCTGGCCGAACTTTACGATTTGAACAAGAAGAGCAGACGACCTGAGAGGGATCATTTACGGGGGTGGGTTTTATATTATCTCATATTTATTTGCGATTTTACAATATGTCAAACTCTCACCCCTGCAGCCGCCGGCTCTGATGTGGTATATAGTCTAGTTTTTTTTTTTCAAAATTCTTGCAGTTTCGGCTCACAAACAGTCATATTCATCCCATTGATTTATTAGGGGGGATACCGCATGAAGGGTTACATAATAATAGGCTCTGCTTTTCTCGCCTTTATAGCAATGAAGTTAGTATTTTTTTTTCTTTTATTAAATAGAGCACTGCGTTTTATTTCATCTTGTTCCTTGTTTAGTCATTTTTTTTCAAAATAGAATTAATAGATTTTTTTTAAATATAATTAAAAAAAATGTTTATATTTTAATTTATCTTTATTAATTCTTATCATTTTATCACTTTTTCACAATTTGTTCTCTTTCACGTCTTGGGTCTCCAATTGATGAACTAAATTTTTGTTGAGAGCAAAAATAATTTAATAATTGGCTGAAGCAAATCCAACAATTTGAAATTGTAGAATTAAATGCCGAAATATCAATCCAATCAATATGAATAATTATTCCTGAAATCCACTTCTTCACGACTAATTTACATATTTATCCAATGAAAATAAAATTATGAAATTTGTTGTGCAAAAATGTTTCTTATAAATGAGCTCCATAGTGAATGGAGTTCACTTTCAAAGTGAGCTTGAAACGGTAAGATTCCTTACGACTATTGTTGGAAATTCACACTGTACAATCAAGATTCAAAGGAGATACAGAATCACAAATTTAGTTTACGAAAATCAGTACCGTGCACTTTTTGAAAGTGCAAAATGATGCTGAACAATAGTGTTTAAAAATGATGAATTTTCAGCTGCCCATTACAGGACGCAAAAGGGAAATTACAAGGGAATTTAGCAAACTAGGACAACACTGAATTTTGTCATAATCATTTAGAGTTTCGGTGTCATCAGTCGATGGTCAAAGAGAAAATAGAATGTAATGAAGGAAATTCCAAGTAAATTTTTCTAGTGACCACAAATTAAATTACTTAAAAAAGACTCAATTGTCCAACACATCCGTTAAATTTGCAGTTGTTTCCGAACTACTCTTTGCTATCCTGAAGAATGACTCCTTCCCCGAGTAGGAGTACTTTGAGTCGTCAAAGTTGAAGGCCAGGGCCAGTGCCAGGTTGAGAGCGGAATTGTCATACCGGTGGCACCCTGAGTACCGGTACTGCGGTTTCTTGTCAAATCTGGAGCAAAAAATGAAAATAAATAACTTTCAATAGTTTAAAATTAATTTACTCTATTTATTTGATTAAATTTGATATAATCCCTGCTGAGGTACAAAACTTATCAACAATAACTGAAAAAAAATTATGGAAGAAAATACTCATTTTCTATGGCCTATGCATTGGAGAAATTAGTGCTTGTGACTCAAGACGTTTTATACAGTTGAGAAATTTGTGCGCATCAGCAGCGATATTATGAAAATAAAAATATACCTGCAACCAGACGACTGAGAGCCTACGGGGGCGATGCATTCAGCGGTGAGTGCGCACTGTACCCACGGCACGAGGAACTTGTCTTGCACAAGTTTTGTGTTGAGAACGACTAGACGGGAGGAAAGCACCATAGGCACAAAGAGGAAATTGTCAGGCGTTGTGTGGAAAAAATCAAACATCTTGGGATGGGTCAGAGTGGAGGTCGCGTGTCTTGTGGGCCAGCTCACGACGCCACCTCCCTTTTCGGCCAGCGCAAGCAGAGAGCTGAGACGGCCGCTCGTTAGACGCTGGTCACTGTCCATGTAAATGACCGCACCAGCCCTGATTCAAAATCAATACAATTGTCCATTAGTTACAATTTTACAATTTTAAGAAAGTATTTTACTTAGTTCATCAACTAAAGAGCTAAGATGACTTTTTTGGAAATAATAAATTACTATTAAAAGTGAGAAATTTATAACCACAACTGCAAACAAACCATGTAAATCCATGATGATGCAAAGTTAAAATTCTGCCATTTAACCTGCATAATTTTTAATAACTTCAGGCATTTAAAAATTATCTTTTTTAATAATCTTGTGAAATTAAACTTTTAAATAAATGAGAATGATGTTTTAAGTGAATCGTGAGAAAAGCCTAAAAAATAATATAATTTTACCTGATTACTGCATCAGCAATGATGAGTGGTCTGTATGCATGTAATTTATTATCATCAACATGAGATGGAAACTGCCTGAGGTCAAACATAATGACAACACATCTAGAGTGATTACAATGCCTTAAAACCTAAATTAAAACATTATTAATATTGATATATTTTTTTTAAATACCAAAGCTACTTACATTTTCCAGCTCTGCTTGGCCCAGCCCTAAATTGTACACCATCACTGTATGATTTGGTGCAAAATGGTGTGCGTTACGTACAAACCCGATCGCATCAAATTCCTCGTCGTATGTCACCTAAAGAGTGAAATTCGATAAAATGTGAGGTTTTTACAGATTGATTCACTTACAGATGTCACGATGACAGGCAAGCTGGAGTTTGTCCAAGCACTCGATGGGTAGTATTTTACCGGTGTGTCTTTCTGTAGCCCGACTAGGTTTAAGTATTTCGGATCTACTTCCAAAGTTTTTTCCTCAATGTCGATCAAATTTTCCTGGAAGAGCAAAAACACTTTATAATGTCATAATTTTTGTGATCATAACAAGATCTTACTTTGAATGACTTCAAATTGTTGAGTTGCTTGTGCGTTTGAGAAACTATGTTCTCGATGGTCGGTCGTTGGCTTCCAAACAAACACAGGTACACACTGGTGCAAATGATGCAAACCAAGAGGACGACAAAATTCTTGGTCCTCATTTCCACTAAAACTGAAAAGAAAAGAAGACGAACTTTATATTTTTTGAAATATGAATAAGATTCAATACAGAGAGCAATAAAATATAGTTCTAACAATAGCATTCATTAGTTCATATATTATGTTGCATAGAAAACTTTATACATATGTACATACCTTCTTATTGCAAATCAATGTGCTTTGAACGTTGAAGTTCTGCGTTGGCAGGGAAACGGGCGAAAGTTAAGGTCAAGATGCATCCTTACATTCTTAATTTCTATTTCATCGTGAATAAATTCAAAGAAAAACTTCAATCCATTGATATGATTGAGCGACAAACAAAATTGACAAAATTTGCAAGATTTGAGAGCGTTAGTTCTGTGTTATGAATTTTTATTTACTTTTACAATGTTGGACACGCCTACAAATTATGGGAAATTTCAGAAGCAGCATCTTGACAAAAATATTTCTACGACAAAACGTTTATAATTATACGGTAATTAATTGAAATTTTAATTAAAATAATTTAAAATAAAAAAATATTATCAAAATTGTATTAACTTATTTTAATGAAATCTATAAATTATTTCTCGTGTCCAACCAGCTTTTGTAAACAGTTGCTGCTTTTGAAAGCCGCGCCCACCATCACATTTTCGCCTTCGGCTTGTGTGCGCGATGCGCTAAATAATAAAATTGGTCTTTATTATTTTTGTTATTTTTCTTAGCCACTTTAGCTATTGAACAATTTAATTTTTCTATAATGCTGTTATGAATTTAAAAACTTTTCATTATAAATTTATCAATATGTATGAGTAAAAGGTAAATACATAGAGATTGTAAGAACAGCGTGAACTATGGCGGGTCAAAGGTGAAGCGCCTTATTCCGCCTGGTTTGAAATTTCTTCATTGACAAGTGGCTGGCTGTAAGAGTGAATAAAAAGTATTGGACACCCCCCATAACCCAGCTGAAGGGTAAGCAAAAAAATTATCTACATACCATATATAATTTTTTTTATTTTTTTTAGCTTTCCTGGCCTCATGTTCATAATTTTACTGCAAAGCTCATGATTGCTTGATCAGATATATGCATTTATATGATTTACAGAGGTTTATTTATCCCTACATTTATTAATTAATTTGAATCATTTATTCTTGACAGATAAATGGAGCCACCACCTGAAGACTTAGGTGGCCCGTTGGCCAAATGCAACAAATTTGAGGAGTGCACGCCGTTGCTGAACGTTGAAGAAGTACTGTCCTGGAAGCCAGACAAGTGCTCATGGAAAATCCGTCCTTTGTCCTCCAGAACTCCATGCAGCAGTGTGGGCACCTCGCAGTACTGTCACCAAACTCAGTGGCGTCCCACAAAACTCTACGATCGCCACACCGTCCCCAGAACTCTTGTTTGTCATGACATGAAAGGAGGTTACTTGGATGACAGGTCTTGAAAACTTTTGCACTATTTAAAAAGCAAGCGCTATAGTGAAAGAACAAATTTCAGATTTGTACACGGAAGTGAAAAACACACAGATTACCGTTTCTTCCACTGGGCCGGAATCGACATGTTTGTGTATTTCAGCCACAAATTTGTCACCATAGCTCCACCGGTTTGGGTCAATGCAGCTCACCTTCACGGTGTCTTGATTCTTGGTAAAACCTTTGGATTTGAAATTTTAAATCTATTCTCAAGCTGGTAATTTTCAGGTACAATAATCACTGAATGCGACACGGGGAAGAAAATTTTAGAAGAATATCTGCACAGCTCGCAGGAGGTGAGAGTTAAATTCATCCAGCAGCTCGTGCAAATCAGCAAATACAGTGGAATGGACGGGTGGCTGATTAATATTGAAAACAAGGTGAATCAAGAAGATGTCCGCACCCTGCATGAATTTGTTGCGGATTTGACTAAAGCAATGCACAAGGAAATTTTGCACTCCCAAGTTATCTGGTATGACAGTGTCATTAAAGAAGGAAAACTCAAGTGGCAGAATGAATTGAACGAGGAAAACAAGTAATTAGCATAAGAAATTTAAATAGATTTTAATTAATTTGTAATAAATTTCAGGATGTTCTTTGATGTATGTGATGGAATTTTCCTCAATTATGTTTGGAAAGAAGAAGGCTTGGCCAGGAGTGTTAAGTTAGCCGGAGTGAGAGCTCTCGATGTTTATGTTGGAGTTGACATATTTGGTCGGAACTGCTACGGTGGAGGAGGCTTCAATACCAGCGCTGTAATTATGATTGTTATATTTTTTAATTAAATTTTTAGGTTTTTTACTCAAATTACTTTAGGCGGTTGAGAAGGCAAGAGCTCATGACATGTCAGTTGCCTTGTTTGCCCCAGGATGGGTGCACGAATGCTGGGCCCAAGAAAAATTCACCCCTTTGGAGTACACTTTTTGGCGTAAGCTTTGGCCTTTGCTGCACATTCACGGTCCGTCCGAGTTCCCCTTCGAAACCTCATTTTGTCAAGGCTACGGCAAGAAGAGCTACGACCACGGAAAGGTAAATTCTTTTCAATTCTTTTTATTTTTAATAATTGAAAAAAAAAATTATTTCTATAAAGGTGAAAAGTGATCAGCCCTGGCACAACTTGAGTCTGCAAATGCCCCAACCTTGTCTTCCAATCTGTGTCGAGGATGTTTGTGATTTGCCTGGTGGAGATGCAGAAAACAAGCCTGAAATCAAAATGATAAAATTCTCAGGATGTGTCCGCCACTGGTCGAAGGATGCCTACCACGGAGGAGGCTGCCTGCTCTTGAAAAGGCCCCAAAACATCCAAGCCTTTGGTCAAATTATTTTCCACAAGTAACTTTTACTTGCTCATATTTATAATTAACTCTATTGAAAACTCTTAGGCTTTTCCTTTGCTCTCTTGAAGTTGGCCCTACCGATAGCCTTCGTGTCTATTACGCTGTCAAAAGCCCAAAAGAGGACAAAGTTTGTCCTCAAGACCTTGCCCTAGGAATCCTATGTCAAGATAAGGAAGGAGGGCACTTAAAGTATCATTAATTCTTTAATGTCTACAGAATTATCTAAAAAAATCATTTATAGAGATGAGTATTTCGGAAGTGTAAATGGTCTTGCCATTAGAGAAAATACTGTTGAGCTAATTAAAGATGAATATGACGAAGAAACTGGTTGGACCCTGAGGTGAATTATTAAGTAATGTGATTAAGATGTCTTTAAGTATTTTTTACAGGCAATACCTTCTTGCACCGAAAAAGAGGTACTACAAAGTCACCGAGATATCTTTGATCCTTGGGTGCAGTGCGACGGAAGTCTTGCTTGGATGGATATCAATTTCACCTCCAAAGTACTTCCAATGAGGAGTTTTTATTTGGTTAAAGTGCCTTCTAACTAAGTAAACTTCAATATTCCAACTGGCTTTAAAAGTCGAACTTCTTTGCATTTTATGGTGTTGTTGTAATCTCTAACGATGAATTTCATACGAGGACGCGCTAAAACTGCCGATCGAAATACAACATGGGTCGATAATTTTTTCAATGATAACCACCTGTCCATAGGTCACCCCCATGTGGTTAAAAAAAATCCCAAAATTTTTTTCGAATTTTTAGAATTTTTTTTCAAAAAACTCAAAATTTGAGTTTTTAATTTTACTATGAGAGATAAAAACTTCTAAACAGCTTTTCTAGACTAATTTTGCAACGCCCGACAACTTTTCAATGCTGACCAAACGTGTACAAACACGTTTAAGGTCACTTTCAGACAAATTTTGACTTTGACTGAAATTTTCGAAATGAACGCCCCCTTGGATTTTTTTGCAGGTATAGGGAAAAATGTAGCCCATCTAATTTTGAATCGATATGATGATTTTCAAAAATATATTATTTTTTGTTTTTCTTTAATTAAAAGGCGAACAAAGAAAAACATTAGGTTTTGTGCGTTTCAAGCGCTGAAAATACGCTCATGGTCGGAGTTGGTTTACTTTAATTTTAAAATAATTTTAACAAGAAATAATATACATTTGGAAATTACCATACCGATTTAAAATTAGATGGGCTACAATTTTTCCTATACCACCAAAAAAATCGGAGGGGGCGTTCATTATGAAAATTTCAGTTAAAATCAAAATTTGTCTAAAAATGGCCTTGAACGTGTATGTACACGTTTGGTTACTATTGAAAAATTGTTGGAAAACTAAAAATACGTCTAGAAAAGTTATGTTTCAAAGTAAATTCTTAGCGCGAGAATTAATCGGACGATTGAAGCAAATTCCGAGATTTCACTCCTCACTAGGAAACCCAAAATCTAACGTTTTTATTCATTCACCTATTAATAAAAGAAAAACAAAAAATAATATATTTCTGGAAATCACCATATCGATTTAAAATTAGATGGGCTACATTTTTCCCTATACCTGCAAAAATATCCAAGGGGGCGTTCATTTCGAAAATTTCAGTCAAAGTCAAAATTTGTCTGAAAGTGACCTTAAACGTGTTTGTACACGTTTGGTCAGCATTGAAAAGTTGTCGGGCGTTGCAAAATTAGTCTAGAAAAGCTGTTTAGAAGTTTTTATCTCTCATAGTAAAATTAAAAACTCAAATTTTGAGTTTTTTGAAAAAAAATTCGAAAAATTCGAAAAAAATTTTGGGATTTTTTTTAACCACATGGGGGTGACCTATGGACAGGTGGTTATCATTGAAAAAATTATCGACCCATGTTGTATTTCGATCGGCAGTTTTAGCGCGTTCTCGTATGAAATTCATCTAACCTGTTTAAAAGATTTATTTTTCAAGTTACCTCCTTTAAATAAATTCAAAAAGTGAAACTCAAATAATTCCCTTTTTTTTAATGCACAAACAGTAATTTATTGAAAACAGCATTATATCTAAACAATGAATTGCTCAATCGCAATAACCATTTCTGAGGCTTTGCAGACGGTTGTTATAAAAATAGGTTTCTCTAGCACTACTCCTCCAGTATGAACTGTACATATCACAAGAAAAAGCCATCCGATAACTTCTTCCGCTATCTCTGCGCACATTTAACATTTTACACAGTCAAATTGTTCCGCAATAATACGAAAGACAAATATCTTGTACAGAATTTCGGAAAAATATAATAATTGATTTGGTTTCAAAGCTTAGATGACAATGAAAAATGAATTTTTATAGCATACAAAATCAAAATAATCCAGAAATACATTTTGATTAAAAATTTTTGACGAGTATAATATTGCTCATTGTCTTAAATGTCGTATCGAGTATTGCTTGAAGCTCCTTGTCGAGGTGTGAGGCGAAAGGTGGTAATATCGATTTAGACTGGCTGTAGCTTCTTCCTCCAGGCAGGAGTTGTTTAGGGCAAGGTGCAAGAGCCTTAAGTACTGCGACCTCTGCTTAAACCTACGCCAGGGCAAGAAAGCCGAACCTGGAATTGCAAAATATTAATTTAATAACAAGACAAGTTGGTTTTAATAATACAATTTTTCTGTTGTCTTTGCAATCTGTACTGAGAGGACAAACTCCTTAGCGCTGTCAGAGTGTGCAGTCTTGCTTGCTTCTTGCTGCCGTGCAAACTGAGCAGGGAGTGAAGTCTGGAATCAGTTCTCAGGTTCGCCAATACAAAATGGGTCAGAGTTTCAACGGTGATCGGTTGTCTTCGGGAGAAAACTCTGCTTTCAGATTTTCTAAGATTACAAAAATTTAAAATTATTCAACACAAAAAGTTATATTTCTGAACCCGAAAGCAGGGAAGAATAAAATTGTAGGGTAGGATTCCATGGAATATTGCCACGGAAGGTCGTTGTTTTCGCCATCGATGCGGACGAATCGCAGATTCGACGTTCCTTGAAACAATCGGGCCACTGTTAGAAAAGCAAGGCTGGCGCTGCCACACATTCCGCAAAGCGGGGAGTGATAGAGAACAGCAACATCCTAATTTAATGTAATAAAATAAATATTTCATAGGGATTATGATTAGTTATAAACAAACCTCTGATTCTTTAAGCACACTGGCAAGAAAATTAGTTGTGTTCAGTTCAGGTACACAGAAAGAGCCACTAGGACAAAGTTTCTTGTATTCGTCTCTCTCGAAAGTCCGTTTGGAGCGTTGTAGAGAGTTTGCGGTGTGATTGACCAGAAATTCAGTGAGGGTCACTTTAGTAATAGGTCCAATGAGCAAGTTGCTTGTTTCTGACTGGAAATTAATTATTAATATTTAAAAATACTTAATTCTTTTTAAATCTCAGATTACTTACAGCACCATCAACAATAACAACAGCAGTCTTATCCAACATCTGTGATGTGTCAACACCTACGTGCTTTGCAAATTCACCAAACTCCAACGAGTCGAGTGCAAGGAGAGAGAGAGACCTGTTGTTGGTGCATGACAACCCTTGCAACTGGCTAAAGTCGAACTTCTCCTAAAACCGAAACCAAAATAAAAATATTATGCTTTCGAACAAATTTATTGGTTCAATACTTGGCTTCTTTTTGGGTAGACTGGAACATGCAATCTTCGTCCAAGTAGCAACCTTTTACATCTTTGGTCCCTCTTAATTTTTCCCAGCGACAAAGTTCTAGGATCGATTGTGATTGAGGTAGTGTTTCTGTTTGGTGGCAAAACGACTTCTGGTGTCGAGGGAACCAGACAGTTTTCTGCTTTCCACAGTTTGGTGTTAAGACGCACGTTGGCATCCTTCCAAAATTAAAATTCAATTGAGATAAAAACTTAAGACAGACTTGTATAATTACCTCACAACTTGTTTCCCACTTGAGTCGCTCAGTTTTCTCTCTCAGCATTTTAGAACTGATTGTGAAATTAATGGCTGCAGGCAAAGTTACAGTGGCACATGTTGGAGCTTTAGTTGTCATTGGACAGTAATTGTCACCCTTTGATACAGATGTGAAGCACGATTTTTCTTGATTACGATGTTTTTGTTTGCTTGCTGAGCAATAATAATGTTATAAAATATTTAAATTTCAAGGTTAAATATTACCAGTTCTTTCTGCTGCCAAATGTTGAGACAGATAACTAACGATGGAGTTTTTATTACAGTTGTAATATTCTATACCAATTTCCCTCAGCTGCAAACATATTAAGATTTAATTTAAGTTAAAAAACATACATTTTTGCGGCAATACTACCAAATTGAAATATGGGGTTGTAGAGAAAAATGGATTTCTGGGAGTGAACATCAAAAGGGCTGGCCCTTCTTCTACATAAGGGGCTAAAGTCATCGATTTTGAGCCGGGAAGGGTCACCCAAACAGCCGCTTGGTGAATGTTACTGGACACCCACTTGACCAGATTCTCACTAAGCCAGTCCCCTTCATAGTCCTGAAAAGGACAAATTTGCCCTAATTGGAACTTAAATCAATTTAAAAAAAAATACCAAAGTTTCATTCCATAGGTACAGTTTTGCACAGGGGAGAGTCAAATCTTCCTTTTCGAAACCCAGCTCAACACAAGTCTTTGGATTCGTAACTACCCCAAACGCTACTTCCTGGAAAGGATCTCGTTCGAGCGCCATCAGGGATGACAAGTAGACAGTCTGGTAGCCCGACCTGCTGTTTGACATGTCCACACAACTCACAATGACAGCCTGCAAAATAAACATTTTGTTACAAGAAGATAAAATGTGTGCAAAAATCCTACGTCATATTTGGCCATAAGGTCGAGAAGGTCTGGAGTCGCATCAACCCGGGTCAAAGGTCGCAGAGCTACTTTCAAGAATCTGGCCATGTGAGAAGCCTTTTTGATTCCTCTGTACTGAATGCCTTTGCTACGTAGTGAGGGGTACGCGATGAGCACAGGAAAGTGTTGCACTTTGTTGAATTGTCGTCTACACTCTCCAACAGGGTGCCAGCAATTCACGGCAATAAAATTGATCTGTCAAGGAAAAAAATTTGATTAGAGCACCTGAAAATATATTATTGAAAAAATTGAGCAATAATATATAGCTTTACAAGACAAGATTGTTGTTCTGTTGGAACAAAAGTTAACGAACTATTTGAATTAAAAATCATAAGTGTCTAATAAAAACTTTAAATCACTTTCTGTAAATGCAGAAATTGATTTCAATACCTACAAAATTCAAATGTTGATAGAATTTTTTCATAATTAAAAATAAAATAAGGAAACGGTTCAAATTTTTTATTTGCATTTACCTCATCGCTGTAGTAAGATGCTAAAAGGTCAAATTCTGCTTTTACTATTTGGCTCTCTGCGTCCCATGGGGCGTAGTACATGACGAAAGTCAAGTCGGACTCAGAAATCTTCTCGAAAGCAGGGCTGAGCTCACCATTGTAGAAATCAATGATGTGGGAGTTTTGGCCGAAAAAGGGGGTAGCCGGCAAAATTTGGGAAACGAGTTTTGGCCTGCAAAATTCAAGATATTTATGATCGACCTCTAAATTTTTTATGAAAAGTCTTACGCATTGTGGATGGCAGCGTAGGAGGTGACTGCGATGGTGAGGAAAAAGCAGATCTCCCTTACGTAGAAGAACATGTTCGCGCAATTCGTGTAGGTCTCGGAGCCACGTTTCGGTTTTTCAGGAACACTACTTTCAGCATTATCCGTGGTAGTGTCGTCGACAGTCGAAGACATAACCAAGTCAACATCCAGGACAGGCAGGACGCGGTGTTGTCCCTTTTCGCTTTTTCCTTCTAGCTCTGGCAACCTGCAAGAAAAAGCGGTTTCGTCACCCAATTTCGGGCAGCTGTCAAAATTGTGAGATATTTACCCGGAGTATGCGTCGTGGTCGTTCGCAACTCAACTGCTTAATTCGATCAGGAGGAACGAGTGCTGCGCTTGAGCAAACATGCTTGATGCTTAATTAAATTAAGTCAACATTATTTGCGGAGAAACGAATGAAAACAAGGTGTGCAACGTCGATCACACGGCCGCGATCAATGAAAACATATGATGGCAAAACATGAAACCTCTTGAACCAGCCAAAGGCAACAAACTTCAGCAACTGGGCTGGAGAGCGACAGTCGCTTCACCGTTTATGTAACTCTCCCAGCTAAAAAGGCGGGGCTTATTGCTCTTGGTCTAACTAAAAAGTGTAAATAAATTAATTATTTTATTTTTAGCTACTTTACTACGTGAGCATATAAAATAATGCTAATTTTTTATGTACTAACATAGACCAATTAACTAAGCTAATTAACTTATTTATGAAAACTCTATTATTGAAATAAGTTTCACTTCACAATATTTTTTTTTTTAATTTCTTTATAACTAAAAAATGTAATTTTTAGTAAATTAAAAAATTCAAACAATTTAAAGTTTTTAAATTATTAGCAATTTCATTTCAAATAACATAAAATGCAGTTATAATTATGTGTACTGATTTTTAGAAGGTGTGTATTGGCAAAAAAACTAAAATTCAATATATATTTCTATGCGCGCGATAGAGTATAGTCAATCATATAAGATTATTTACCTATTCTAGATCTACCTTGTAGATCAAACTTACGATTTTCAAATTCAATCTATGCAACATAATTTTTTAAACTCAAAATTATGAATTTTGAACTAGATTGTAGAAGTTGGAGTTTGATTATTTTTGCGTAAAGAAGAAAAAAAAGACAATCGGCAATAAGATACTTCTAAATTGATTTTGTTCAAAAATTTGGACTCCCAAAATAAAATTAAAATCCGCATACATCTGAACAGTGTAATAATTATCATTAATCCTTAAGATTAATATTGTAATTCATTTGACAATATCAAAGTTTTGTTAGCCGCTGTCTAGATGTTCAATTTATTTTCTTAAGAAAATTTCCTACCACATTAAAAGGCACAATTAAGTGTAATCAAGGAGCACCATCGCTCTTAATAAAGACTTGCTTGTGGTGTATATTTTCGTTTACGTGTTATTTTTCCTCTCGTGCCCGAAAGAGAACAACCGCCATTCTGCCAAATTAGGCATTGCCATTTCGAGTCACGTCGCCCAATTTCTTGCACAAAATCCCTTGGATTATTCGACGGCGGTTCCCGTGTCGAGTCCTCTTGATGTGGGGGTGGCGCCTCCGGAGTCAGGGATGCTGCGCCGCTTCGCTCACCCGCCGGTGTGTGTTTTACTGAGCAGTCATTTCAGTGTCTCTCCAGCAACCAGCACGTCCGCATCCCCTGGACAACAGCCAAACGTGCACCACTCTCTCGCTTTGCGCTGAAATTTCTCCCATGAAGGAACAGGTAGATATCAAAATTTTAACAATCAATCTAAAATTAAAAAATATAAACTTTATCAATTTAATGCTAGAGAGTGAAATCAATTAATATCCAATTCAGCAATGTACATAGTTATGGTTTTTTGGGGTCATTGCAATTTAATCGGTACCTATATTTTATTGATATTGTTCCCAGGGGGCTAGTGAATAATTTAAGTGGAAGTCCTATACGCGGTCAAAATTAGGAATAAAAGACGCTGGGCTTCTTATTCTGGCCCTCTTTGAATTTGAATACACGATTTCAGTTGTGGAGCCGTGTTCAAATAAGGCAGAATTGGAAGTCCAAACATAATCAAGAGCAGATAATATTAATATCATAGTATGTATATTAATGTATGTATACAATTCTTAAAAATACACGTTCTTGTATTTAATAAGATTATAATATTAAAGTACATTAAAAAAATCGTGGAGGTAATTTTAGAGTAAATAATTAAATTTTGGTTTTCCTTTTACCACAATCAATTCCAAGATTTTGTATCCCCCTCCCAAGAATTTAGCAGCAAATCAAGTGTTTGCGATATAAAATGTAAACTATACGATTTCCGTCGATAATTATTTCTATTAGTTTCAATTTCAAGTATTTTGTCGATAAAACTATATTCTTCTGCTAATTGGTAATTATTTTCCATCATTCATAGCTACAGAAAGTTTCTCTCTTTGCCATGTTATTGCAGTGCAAACGCAAAGTTTCCCTTCAATTTACGGCCTACAGTATGTGCGCAGTACGCATGCTGGCTGAATTCTGGATTTTATCCGTTGTCCTTTGTTATTCAAAACTTTAGAAGTCTTTTGATCACCTCTTTCTAGTGGTAAACTTATTAATATTACGCTTCTCATCTCATATATTAATACTTTGTTAAGTTGAAAATTTCATTAATTTTTTTGCTTGTCCATGAGAGTGAATTTCGTGAATTTGATCTGTTGGTTGCATATAGTAAAATCTTAAAATTCAGTCTTGGAAATGAACACGTTTTAAGTAAAACCCACGGAATAATTCCCTGCCAATGTTAAAGGAAAATTTATTAAAAATGACAGCTCTCTTTGAGGACCTCATTTAAAATAATGATCTCGCCGGTTTCCTCTTTATTCCCATTTTTTCCCTTCAAATTTTGTCGTCGAAATTCAGTGAATCGCTCTCTAGCGTAGGAAGCCAATATACGGTTAGCTGCAATCAGCAGCAATTTCAAACACTATAAATGTCAACAGAGCGCGTCCCACGTAGTCCTTTGCCTGATTTACAGCACTGAAATTAATGCCTGTGGTGCTCTATAAAAAAACCGCAGCCAAATCCAAAGCTCCCTTCAGATTCATAAAAATGTCGTGGAGCGTTCGAGTTGCTATTTGGAGCAGATTCAGTTCGTAATTAATTCCTCTCACGGTTCATCAATAGATACAGGTCGCATTATGGAAAATTGTGCACATACAGTTTTTTTTATATATCATGCTGGATGAATCGGTGTAGTGCTTTTATTGATCACCAGCCACGCGGGAGGAGTTGCTAAAAGAGGGATAAAAAGCAGCGGCGATGGCTGCTGCGAACGACGAAATTTGTTTTTATATAAATATATTTTTACCAACTCCGCGCCAGTTTATCGCCGATGACATCGTTCAATTTGAGCTCACTCAGCGAGTTGAACGGCGGGTTGCTCACTTTTGCACTAGAGTGGTTTACGCTAAGTAGCTTTCTTCTGAGTGAGAAAAATGTTTTAGAATCAAACCATTTAATGTAGAGTTCTTATAAACTCTTCCTTTACTAAGCCAAGTGAGATCATAATTATATTCATCTGGCAAAATGTCTAATTATTAAGTTTGAATTATTTTAATTGAAAAACTTTCGAGAAAACAAAAATATTCATTGGCTTCTCATAGTCGGAGAACTGAAATTAACGTGACGACATTAAATAAATAATAATAATACAATGATTTAAATATTTATATGTTGGGTGTTGGGTGCAGGTTGTGTAAAGGTAGTCTAGGCAGATTATAGGCTTTCGGAGAGCCTTAAATAAATTGGCGGCAAGGCAATAACATAATATAGATGCCTTTTTTCAAGATAAATAACATTTTTTGCTTTTTTTTAAGTTGTTTTTCTAAATTGCAGAGTTAGATTTTATAATAAAATATTCATCAATATTCTAAAAATCCAAGTTTAATCGGTGAAAATTTGGTCAAAATCGGTGACTATGAAGGTTTCATAGTCCACTAAATTGAGAACGTTTTTGTCAGAAAGTTAATATCTGACTATGAAAGCTACCGTATAAAACTCAATTTCCCCTCTTGTCTTAAGATTTTCACGTGAAAATGATTTGTCTTGATAGGTGTGCTGGAGAGGAAATTAGAATTTAATTAGAACACTTCAAAAGACCAAAAGTGCCTTACTCATATCACCCTTCTCTCGCCTGCATGCTTTCTGATCAATACGTAGCGGGTGCGTGCAAAGGAAAGGGAGTCCCATTCAATTAGGATGATCGACCTGAACAGGGCTCGAGATCAAAAGCGCTTTGAACATTTCCGAAGGGATGGGAGAGTCTTGAAAAGAGTTGCTCTCTCTTCTTATCGCTTTCGATATTCCCAATTCATTTTTTCTCGACCCTTTTTCGTGCGGGCGTGATTTATCAACAGGACGTAACCCGCCCGGCTCGAATTGCGGCTAATTTGTTGTGCACGATGATATACGGCAGAGTGAATTAGAATGGAGCGCCGGCTAATGGCAATCAAACGGTGGCGGCTATCGTGTGACCCGCAGGCGAAACCCACGTGCCCCGCTGGGAAATCAGCCGCGCCGTGCTCGCCACACACGAAAAATGCGCAACACGGAATCAAACAGATTGTCACGCGTCGCATGCGGACAAATTGATTGCAAAACAGCACGCGGCACGCGCATAGGTGCGGACAGCGCAAATTGAAAATTATTGAGCCAGCCTCACCTGCGTACACGTGATACACGTCGCACAATTGATTTCTGAACTCAAAAATAGTAGTCAATAGGTGCAAAATTTTAATTTAATGAAAAGAAGATAAGTTATAAGATTACAGTCATCTTAATTAGATTTGCAAATTAAGTTTATTGCTTCAATTGGTGTATATCATGAGGTGAAGCAATCTGTCAAACTACTGATACGTCAAATAAAAAGTTCAAAAATGTTTTAACTTTTCAGGTACATAGACCGAATCATTATTTTTTTTACCCCATCAGTTATAAATTAATTTAATTGCCAAAATTTGTGAATGAAAATTTTTAAATAAATTTAAAATGAGTTGAAATATTTTTGTTTTCAATTTAATTTAATTATACTTTTATTAGATTTTGGAAACATGCGCGTTTAGATCAAAAATATAAATTAATTCAAAATTTGTATACATATTTTGCATTACATTGATGACTTATTTTAGTCCTGCACAAATTTTCCTTTTTCCATCACTTACAATTAAACACAAAATGTAGTATCTTGAAAATATAATTTGAATAATTTACGCGCCTTTTTTAACGATTTCGTGCCCTTCCTTGACACATTTTAATATTATGATCAAATTTAAGGAATTTTATAAGTAATTTGTGGCCTCTTAAATGGGGCAATTTTCCAAAAAGCAAAGAGTAAAAAAGTTTGAAATTTTAATTTCTGGAAATAAAGTTTATTATTTTTCAAAGCAAAGCAATAAAATTATCTAAATAATTAATTAACTATGAGTAGCCAACTCTGCCATTAAAGGAAGTTTTAGTAAAAACTTGGGGGAAACCCTGTCGTTTCCATCAACACAATGGCAATAAAAGTGCAGTTAAGATCATAATTTCATTTTGACCCAAAATGTAACTTTCTCGAAGCACTCGATCTATCCCATGATATAAAGAAGTAATTTGCAAAACTCTCATTAGCACTTTTTTCGCTTGCGCAAATCGCAGGGCAGAGCAGGTTCAAGGGCAAGTCTGATATTCGTCGATCTGTGCCCAGCGTGTTGAGACTCTGTTGAGATAAAACACACCCGGCGTTCATACTATCTCTCTGCTCAAATACAGACCGGCAGCACGGGGCCGCCCTTTCTCTGAGAATAAGGACACGCTGCTCCTCTGGCCGTCTGATGTAATTAAGGCAGAAACCACCCTACTATAAAGCGCGCCCGTCTTGTTGCATTTTGTTTATCTTTGCCGTCATTTCCTTTGCCGCTTGTCAAAGGGACTCGAGAAGTTTTACGAAAGAGATTAATCAAAATTCTTCAATTCGCGTCCTGATAAAAAGAGTAATAACATGATAATATCCTAACTAATGAAGATGATATAGAAGTTTTAATGCTTTATTGGCAAAGCTCTGCTTGGTGAGATTGGTTTTATGGAATTATTATTTATTATTTGCTTGGAACTCACTAGAGAATACAACAATTTTAGCTTTCAAAGTAAAAATTTTCTTAACATGCTATAAATATAAGAATATTTTAATTAAAGTTTAATAATTTTCATGTTGATTTAAAAAAGCACTAAACCGGTTTGGTAATTAAATTGAGGCTAAATGATATACATAAGATAAAATAAGGCAAATAAGCTAAAAAATTTGCTAATTTCAATCGATTTTGCTAGACTGCCTGAACCAAAAGTGTTTATTTCCCAAACTGAAATGAATTTATTAAAGAAGGCTTATTTTGAAGGCATGTCAAAAAGCTTAACCTGGTCCAGTCTTATTATCCCGGCTTCCATTCATATTGCATTTGTGGATTAACCAGTTTACAAGTAGGCTTTTATATAGATCAGCCTCAATATTTTCTTTGTAACTTAATAAATTTCTTCTGAATGTTTGTGAAAAGCACTTCAAATTTTAACAGAGACTAAAATGATTTTGATGGATTTCATTAATTAACATTTAAAGACTAAAATGGAGTTTGTTATTAAATATCAGTAGATAACAATCAGCGAGACAGCGATTGCAAAATTCGTTGAGGATAATGAAGATTTTTTTTTTTTAATTTTATTCCCTATTCATCACATCATTCCTCCTCAAAAAAAGAAAAATATTATCTACAAAACTAACATGAATTAACTGCGCAAATCTTTTTTACTAAATTTTTTCCAGATGGAAGAGGAGGAGGGGAGCTCGCTGTCGATAAGCTCAATCGGCGGCGTGGCCAAAGGTCGGCGCCGGGACAAGGGATGCCTGAGCACGAATCCGCAGCTGAAGCGGGGCCGCCGGCTGCAGCTGCTGCAAATGCTGGCGCTGCCGTTCGTGCCCATCCTGGCGCTGATCGTGCAGAACGCCTTCACCTTGAGAAACATTGTCGTCAACCGACACGAAGTGGTCGACATCGACCGACAGGTGAGAAAACTCTCACGGCTCTTTGCTTTCGGCGCCCGAATGTTTGTGTGTGTGTTTAACGTGATATCTCACAGCGGCGTCCCAGAAATGGACGCGAGAGAGACGAAAATAATAATAATAATATAAAATGACAAATGACGACCTTCAGCTGTCACCCACGCTGTGTATCTCCAGCACGCAAACCTCATATATTTTGTCTGCTTTTGCTTATCTATTAATGAGTGGAACGTTTTCTGTTTATCATAAATACGTAAATTTATTGACAGAAATGCGAATTTTATTAATTATTATTTATGCTGTGTGCTTAAAAATGGGCAAACTAAATTTTTAGCTAAACAATTGACACTTAATTAATCGATGAAAAATAGATAACTCTGTACAAAGTAGATTAAAATGTGAAAATTTGACGAAATGAAGAAAAAAATGATTTTTTTTTTAATTGTGAATTCGGAATTTCCTGTTGTTCAACTAAAAAAATTATGTTTTGGCAACTTCAGTATACAATTTGACTAATTTAAATGGCACCAAGTACCAAATATTTGAAAAAGTAGAAAAACGCTATACACGAAGAAAAAAAAATGAATTTTTACTTAGGCCTATTTAATCGCGATTTTAACCAAAATATTCACTTATATGCAGAATTTTATTGTTTTAAAACTGTAATTTTTTCCTGTTTCCAAGACTTTTTTATGTCGGGCATTTGAGCAGAAGCAGACATCTGCTATAAACCCTTTCTTCTCTTTTTTCCAATTTAAATTTCTGTATTGACTGAAAATAATAACAATAACTTGTCACAATATTAAAACTCATAATGTTACAATAGTTCATATTAGCTAGTGTAATTATAATAATTTCAGCTAGAAAGGCAGGTTTAAATAATCAGAAACAAAATAAATGTGTTTTTATATCATTTAAATTTTTTAATTTGCACTGGTAATTTTAATATCTGGCAATGGGTGATTAAAATTTATTTATATGAAACCTATTCTTCGCAATTTATGAATAAGGAAATTAATTTTGAAAAGTAATTATCTCCAATTTTTAAGAAGCCCCTTACCACGTCATTATTATGTTTCCAGCGCCACCTGTGTGGTTTGACCCCTTTCGCTCCGTTGCAGGTGATGAAAAGCAAAGAGCTGCCCTTAATAACGCGCACATTTCCGCATCGGTTATCTCATTTAAGTGAAAACGCAAAATTCTGCAAGAGTAAAAAAAATCTAGGATTTCAGGCTGACAAAAGGAAACAGGAAAAATACCAATGCCCGTCACTCATATTTTCCCTCAGTGTCAGAACTTTAATTCCTATAGGGTGTATTTTTCATTGCAAAAAATCCTGCAAACTTTTGTTCTGCGCCGCAGGCCATTCGCACACAGCAAGCACTTTGGCTAATTTCATCGATCGCGCAGCCATAATGGCAAATTGAATTTTTTTTCCTTCTCATCTCCCATCGGCGCAGCTCCTTCTCCTCCGACCGTCCGCACTATTATTATCCATCAAAGTGTCAAAATGGATATATGTGCATGTGTGCGACCGCGTGTCGTTTTTTCTTCTTCTTCTTCTATTCCATAAAGTAGGAAGATGGTGCGGTTTTGCGCGCCCGTGGGCATTGTGATTGAAATGAGAAAGACCAGAAGAAGCAGCAGGTCGTTTCGCAGCTTAGCCCGGCGAAATCCTTCTTGCCGCTCCAACGAGTGCATGTGGGTCGCTGATGCGACACTCCTTTTGCCCGGCTGTGCTCCCGCGTCCCCGTTCTCTCTATCTTAAATTGCTTTTGGCGCAAGCCTGGATACATAATGAATACATACCTCTTTCCCACAGGTCCCTTCAACATGAAGGTTTCTGACCCAATAAATTCTTTCAACGCCGCAAATTTGTAAAAAAAAAAAATACAGTATTAAATAAATAAAAATTTTCTGTAGTGAAGTGACCGAGAAGAATAAATAATAATAATAAATAAATAAAATATAGCAAATGCTCTATTTGCAAATATGCTATTTAACTTCTGTGTTTTCAATTAATTAATTTTTTTACAAATAACCAACAAAGCGGTAATAAATATATTGAGAAGCAGGACTGGAGGGGGGGGGGCGAATCATGAAGATTGAACCTTAAGTTTAACTTGTTTGAGAATTTGTTTTTTAGTATTTTTCTTTTAATAAAAGCAACTTTCTCTTGGAGAGAAAACCAAGTTTATTTATCAAATTATATTTTAATTGTGATATTATCATATCTTAATTCTTAGCAAAAATAATAAATAAATGTAAACTTAAAATTTTCCTTTGCATCTAAAGATAAATAGTTAATTTGGAAAACAAAACTTGACTTAATTAATAAATTCTTTTTCATATTCCTACTCAAAAAAGCATGAAAACTATCCTTTATTTTGTTTTTAAAGTATTATTTAATTTTAATTTAATCTGCAAAATAAGTAACAATTATTTCTAGAGCTCATTTCAAAAGTTAATTAAGTTAGGAAAGAAGAACTTAAATATATAATATAAGGTTTGTAACATACATATTTTACTCATCATTATAAATAAACTAATGAAACATTTTTCTTGTGCTAATAAAAAACAATTCCAGACAGGCAGAAGTGGGCAGAACCTTAAAAAAACCCGTATTTTTCATTAAAAAAATTATAAATAATTTTTATTGGATTTCACGGAATCTTTAAATTTATTAAAAAATTCACTCCTTATACACATAAAAATGAAAATGTTTAGAGCTTGGTCAAAAACCACTTTGCCTCATTTTTTGATGCCACAATAGCGCTGTTCATGGCAGCATCTCACTTTCACCACCGCACGCATGACCTGTGGTTCAACGCACTTTCTTTTTCTGCCCATTAGGTGACCGTGGCGACCGAGCTGGGGAAACTGACGACCAGCCTGCAATTCGAGCGAACCGAGATCGCCTACAATATCTACACCAATGGCAGCACTCTGAGGTTTGCACTTTGGCCCACCGCACTTTTATCTTTCATTGAAGACTTGCTTCTCTCTTACAGAGCGAATTTGACGCAGACCTTCCTAAAGACACTTTGGGCGATTGGAAACGTGACCACGTGGCCGATCGCTCTCAGTGTGGATGGGCTGGCCCCCGAGAATCGCGACGTGCTTACCACGGCCGATCGCTTCTGTGAGGTTCTCAAGGCTTTCAGGTGAGTGCTGTCCTCATAGTAAGAAATATTTATTAAAAAAAAAAAAAAAAAAATGAGTGCAGGAACAAATATGGTAGAAAAATGCCTAGCTTGAATCATTTTTAAATCAGAATGACATAATAATTTAAATATTGTTTATTTTTCTAAATTTTTACAATTAATTATTTGATATCCACAATTTTCAACTTAAAACTTTGTGCTTCTTGTTGCACAGCTTGAGAAAATCTTTATCCACTCTTGTCGTGTCCCTGAAAACCGAAATATTTAGATGTAGGCTTCCCGCCGAGCAGCCGTGGTGCGCAGGCTGCATGCATCCAATTTGCGCAGGGGTTTGAATGCGATACCTTTGTTTGCGTGCGTGTGTTGTTGTCAGTGCACGTTAAGGGTGGTCGCACGTCGCGCGGCTGACCGTGGCAGTTTCATCATTGCCTTCAAGGATATCATTCCATTTCCCTGAAGTGACACTCTTCCTTTCTCTCTTAAAAGATATGTCTCTATGATACTCTATGGGGAATTATTTATATTTTGACATTTTTTATGTACTGATTTTCTCATCGTTACATAGACTTACTTTCTCTTCAATAACTATAAAAAAGTTAATAATTTATTGATCTTATTAACATTCATTTTTTACACTATACACCAAGCCTATCAAACAATTGAAAAATGAATGCAAATTTAATTTTCATTTGGAAAAAAACATTTTGGTTTTATGATTGAGTATCCGTGCACGTGACCTTTCAAAGTACAGAAACTGCTTGCAGCTTTATAAATAAATATGTATGCAAAAACCACCCAAAGGTTCTATACCGTTTACCATACCACGTTCAAACACAGCTCTCACTAGCATGTGTGCTCGTGTTTGTGACAAATACAAGAGGCCCCGTTTCTCTCAACGACACATTTTTCGCCGAGATAAAAACTAGTGGGCGTTTTGTTTGTTTGCGTTTGTTCGAAGGAGGAAGGTTGGAGCACGTCTTTTTCCAAACGGTCACAAAAACACGTACATTTCCACGCTGCTCTTGGAATAAATGTGATCGCCTCGCTGAATCAAATTCCGTCTTCGCGAGCGATTTTCCTCTTTTTTCCGCCTGCCTCAAATTGAAAAAAAGCACTCGGCGTTTGTAATTTGCTTTTTAAGCCAGTGAAATGAGAAAGGCGAATGAAAAAGATTGGCCTCCTATTGATTTCTTTTGCGCAATTGAGAAGCTTCTCGAGGTTGAGAGGAAAAAATATATGAAATGCTAGAGACGTCTCAAGAGCCAAAAATTTTAGCACATCATTTTTGTAAAGATTACATGTGAAAAGTCAAATGATTCTTTACTTCGATTCCTACTGATTGCAAAAATCACAAAATAATCCAAAATTCAAAACCCTTCAATGATGTTATAATGCTAAATTTTTTATAGATTAATTTTAATTTTCATCATAAAATAATTTACGTCATGCAACCAAAATTATCAAGCTCAGGATATTTTTTCGATTTATTTCATTGATTATAATGCACAGCAACACATGTGGAAAGAATTTCTAACTGCTCCAAATTAAAATAAATTAATCTCAATTTTGATTTTTTGTTTAATGTTATTTTTTTAGCAATAATCAAAAAATAAAGGAACACATAAATATGTCAAAATTTTAAATTTAAAATTCTTGTAAGAAACAGAAACTTTATATTTTATTGGGACCACCTTCATTACAGAATACTTATCTTTTTCTTATGAACTTTTTTGTCGTTTGTTAACCAGAGGAATTCTAGCACAATGGAAGAGATCTAACTTTTTACCGGTCTAATTTACTCTCTGGAGCAGTTTGGGAAAAGATTTATGGGCAATGGAAATTCCACTCGGCTCAACCATCTCGGGAAACTCGCGCAAAACTTCTTCAATTTGCATACCGGTGCGCAGTGCAGACCATTTTCTCTTGAGGAGGCATTTATAATTCGAACTGTTAAGTCCAAGATGTCAAGGGCGCGGAATTTCTTTAGACTTTTCCACTCTTGCGGAAAACCCGAGTGTTCAACCAACTCTGCGGGGAGTGAGAATGAGAGCATTTTCCTTGAAACAAACACAGATCATTAGACTGCAAGTCCACATTCATCAAGTGAGGCAAACCAAGTGCAACACCCGGAATTGCATTTGCCTGCCCCAAGCTACACAGCCAATCCATTCGCTTTCTTATTACTGTCGCACCCCATCTGCTCTCATTTCGATCTGCCGCTCCAATAACTCCTTGTCACCACCTATCGCCAACTTTCCCCTAGAGTATTATTTTTTCTCTTCTACTTCTCATTACAAACTTGTTGTTTGTTTGCGGATTAGGTGACCAGCACGACGGACGACGCCAACGTCATTTCTTGCGGCTTGTTAACCATATAATGAAACGAATCATTCAATTTCAAGCAGAAATTTTTTTTAAAGCGGTCAGAAAACATGAAAATGATTTTAACAAAATAATTATTTTGTAAAAAACAAAAAAATTTATTTGGAAACATGTTATGTGAATTTTTTATATTGTAAAAAATTATCTTTAAAATCTTGTTTTACATCTTATAATGTTTTTATTTTTAAGGTTTATTTTCTTAAAACATATATATATTATGTTTTGGAAAATCAATTCTCATCATATATGACAAAACTTAATTAGCGACGAAAATTGGGAAAATAACCAAGAAAATTATCTGTAAAATTAAATTAAATCTGCTGCAAAGCCGTTTTGGTTACGATAGTATCAAATTGAATACAGTTTTTCATTTACCCCACTTAAAATTTAATTTTATCTCATTTTTAAACCAAAATTAACATAATTCAAAGAGGGGATAAAAATGGTGGCTCATTTTCCTTACAAAACAAATAGTAACAATATAAATAAAATGTCTTTGGATGCGCAAAAATTTATCAGAAGTTGAGAGAAGAACAAATTTATTTCCTTATCGTTAATTAAATATTTTTTTTGTTTGCAAACAATTCTTTTCCAATAAAAACTTGTGTTTGCTTGCTTATTAGGTTGAAAGTGACCAACACTACGGATGATGTCAACGTCACCGAGATGGTCGGTTGGTACAACTTGGTCAACGCGGCTCTGCTCGACCACTTCACCAACCAAATCAAGGAGACCGACACCAGCGGCGTTTGGAGGTATAATATAAACTTTCAGCAGTTTCCACTAACTAACTTTATTGCACGTTCCTCTGCGGCTAGTTATTGAAGCCAAGCAAGAGTTTCCAACCCTTCTGGTCATCAAACATTATATAAACATTATGAATTCACTTCACCTCCCGAGTGTAATATTGTAAAACAAATATTTTTTTTTATAAAATCAAATTAAGTGGACATTTGGTATTGTGATAAGAGCTTTTTTTAAATTACAAAAATGAAATCGTTTGGGATTAAAAAGTTTGGAAATAAAATGGATATGGTTTTGAAATGCAAATTTACAATTTAAAATGAATTAAATTATGTAGTGCTTAGCATTGAAAATTGAGTTGAACCATTATCATATCACTTGGATGTTGAAATGTTTTTTTCTTCCAAAAACGTTTCCTCGCAATCTGCTGGCATAATACTGTAGATAATTAGAACAGTTTCAACCAGCACTTTAATGAAAAAATTTAAAATACTGTTATATCTTACGAGGATCTTAATTTAATTCCGTCATTATATTCAACCTCAATTAAAAAGGCTTTATTCTTAAAAGCTAAATTTGAAGTTAAATTTTATTCTCTTCGCTCTAGTTTTTTTTAGCAAAGATTTATCTCGTGAAAAAGTGGAAATGTTGACACAAAAGTAAAATCTCATTAAGGTTCGCAAAATTGTATGCTCTCGCTCCTCTCTCGTTCTCTCCCTGTGGAAAATGAAAATGGTTTCGGCCTTGTAATCCGAAACGCACAAAGAGCAAACTCTGGTGCGTATCTAGTTATATGCGTGCTTTTCTCTCTATGAGCAAACGCTCGCTCGGCTCGTGTTGGCAGCAAAAAGTCGGTCTGGCTGCAACGAGCCTTTAAGCCTCGCACAAAGAGAGCTGCCGACGAAATTATCCACGTGGCAATGCGCACGCACGCCGTGGCTTTGTTCTAACTTGTAATTACATTATTAAGAATGGGCGAACCAATTTTCACGTGGAAACGGGCGCCGTGCCCTGAATTGCATTTTCCGCCGCTTTTTCTCAAGAAATAAATGCGTGGGACACTTAAACGTTGGAACAGAAACGAGAGAGATGCAAACAAAGTAAGAGATTTTGTTTGGTTTAGTCGAGCGTAACAAAATCCCTCTAGGCGGAAGTTTCTCTACAACAAGGGCTACAATTTACACCAAGAGAATAAAATTATGTAACCTAGTTTGGTTAAGTTTGCTGTTCTTCGTTAGGATTTTATAAATTGCGTTTGAAATATTAACTTTACTGGTTTTTAAAGCATTGTTACAAATAGTAAATTTTTCATAATTTTACAAGAATTAATTTCAATTGAGAAAGAGACAAGTTAGCTAATTAGTTTTAGCGAAATAATTTCTCAAGCAAACTGAGCACCAAAGAAACCACGTTGTATGCAAGGAAAGCAATAAGGGGGTGAAGTTTTGAAATTATAATTTCTATATAATTTAATAATAATTTCCTAATATGGAGAAGCCAATTTTTTTTGGTTTACATATTAAATCATTTTTCATTTATAATTAAGATTATGTTTGGTAGCAGTGTCATGTTCATTCTTTGACTTTGTGAGAAATAGATGAGGTTAATTATTTAATTTTATTTAGTAGATATTGATTACCTACATACGTATTGACATTTCCATTGGTGCATTGAAACCCCCCAAGCAATTTTCCTGTATTTAATTGACAAAATTCATTTAAAATTTTTTGCTTTCCTTTAATTTACTCGAACAATCCAAGAGAAGGATGAAAATGAATATCATGAAGACTCTTTTAATAACACTCAGTTATTAACTTTATTTATGCAAGTTGGAAGTTCTGTAAAATACATAAAATATTTTAAAATTAAAATAATAACAATCTATAAGTAAAATTTTTAATACATAATAAGAAATTTAAAATTAATTAATTAAATTGTTATTGCTATAAATTGGTATCAAAAATAATTACAAGCAAAAAATGTTTGAAAATGTTAAGGAACGTTTAAACCGCTAGAAAGATCTGCGTTTAGAATTGTAAAAAATAAATATCATTAATAAATATATTGAAAAAAGATAATCCTGTTTCAACAGAGACATCTACATACAATTAAAGTAGAAGTTATTATTATTATTGTTGTTTATTCTTCACAAATCAAGTCACATAGGAAAAAATATTGAAAATTAAATATACTTTTGCCTAGCTAAAGACATAATATATGGAGTTGGAAAGAAAATCATTTATTTTAATTCAACTTTATTTTGAATTCTGCAAAATTGTAATCGCATATGGAGGGGGTCTTGCACTTATCCCAGAGGCCAAAATAACCCTAGGCTAATTTATCGCAAGTGCTGCTCACCGACCTCGTTATCGTTCTCGGCTTATGGAAATATAATAACACCGGCGGGTTATCTCTCAGCGCCAAGTAATGGTCGATTCATAAACGCGCGAATAAAGTTATTCGCGCCGGCGCCCAAAATCTGCATTTCCCAGAGGACCGGAATAAATTTGTTTGTCATCAAGTTGCGACACAACAACAACACAACTATGTGCGTCTCGAAAATATTCAAATTCATGCCGCATTTGAATAAGAGCAACCAAGCCATTTATCTTATTAAAACATCCCCATATGACGAGATGGAGGGCATAATATTATTAATAACCTGTTTGTTCTCTCTCGCCTTGCCGCCCTTTTGTTTGCCTTGAATATATTGCCTTGTTCTCCGCTCGAAAACGCGGCTGGGACTAGATTTATCGCTAGACATGCCCCAAACAAGCTGAAAAAGGAAAAGCCCGAGATTTGTCGGTTGGTTGAATATAAAGTGTCACCATTATTTCTCCTAAAATAAAAATTGAGCATAAAATTTTTGACTGCAATATAAGGAATAAAAATGGCCTTGTATTCAAAATAATTTCAATTGATGTATGAATATTTAATTGATTAAAACGCAGTAAATATCTAAAAAACAAATAACTAAAAATAAAATTTATCGTTTAGAGAAAGATCTATAAGGATATTCAAGTTACTATAGTGATTGGGGCCTCTTGAAGTAAGAACCAAAAATAAATAAATTGTCAATTTTTAAAAATCAAAATCACATAAAAATCTTCAATCGAATTTTTTAAGTAACTTTGTAATCAAAGTCTAAAATATATGGTTAAATTTTAAAACGCTATAAAATAAAATTTAAACATTTTGTTCAAAGGCGAAAAAATATAGTAACAAGAAGGGCAGCTCCATTGAGGGCGTTGAACTTGCACCATGGCTTCTTTTTTTCCCGCAGCGGACAGATTTAATCTACGGATTGTTTCACATCATTTTCCAAGCCATTCGGTACCGACGGCGGACTCGGTGTTTTTCATCCTGTAAATTGCACTTCGTTTCTCCCTTCATCTTTTAAGGATTTTCTTAATATCCTTCGGCTTAATTTGCAATTACATTCCTTGGAGGTCTTTCCCCTACACAAGAAATGTTTAATTAATTCTCCCCTCAAATTTCCATTCCTGCGTGTTGACTTTTTCCACAAGCTGTACTCGTTTCTGATGACAAACGGTAATCGTCAACCCATTCACAAGCGGATGACAAAAGTTGTAGCCCATTTCCAACTTTTCCTCCTCCCTGTAGTGGTCCATAATTCAGACTTGTTTTCTCCCAAAGCGACAACCAGGTCTCGTATAAACACCCACGCAACTTATTTTCGCAGGTATCTTATCGCGTTCAAAAACATTCTACGCAGCATCGAAAATTTCGGCATCTCGATGGTGTACGGACTCAACTTTTTTGGACGAGGCGTTTTGCAGCCGCACAATTACCTGCAGTACGTGCGACACGACGTTCTCGGAACGGACCTGCTTAACTCGTCCCTCAAGTTCGCCCTGCAGCTTGGAGAGAAGATGACGCGGCGACTGAACTCAAATTGGATGGACGTTCACGAGAGGTAAATTATTCTACTTCCATGAAATAATTATTAATTTACATATTTAAAAAAATTGTTACAAAACTTATAAATCCCAAGATCGTAAATTAGATACACCATGCTTTTAAAATACAAATTTTCTTATAAATTAAAAATATAATATTATTTATTTTATTTAAATAATTTTTATTTTAAGATTTTAAATAATTATTATTATTGTTCCTCATTATTCACAAATCAAGTCAAAAATGAAGAGAAAAAGATTCCTTATCGTCCAACACCTCTAGCACTTGTGATATAATCATGTTTTTATAAATTTTAGAGTTAATTAAATTTTGAAGCTTATTTATTTAATTGGAATGAGACTTATCTGGTTTATTTTAATAAGATACACTTAACTATTCAAGGTGTTCAAGCTAAGCCAGATCTGTATCAATAATGATTATTTAATGGCAAATAAATTTTATTGATTTTGGTTTACCACAGGGCAATCTCTGCCTAAATCTAGATACACCATATATAAAAAAAATCAAAAAATTATACAGGATTAAAAAACAAATAGGCTCACTGATGCCAAATTTATTGTTCAAGTCTTTAAATGTGCTAAACTAAAATAAAAAACTTGTTACATGAATATATGAATGTGTGTTACAACATCAAATCTCGATTAAAGAGCTCATATTGCATATTTGGGCGTCAAATAAGAAGTGCTGAGGATTTTGTTTGTTAAACCCGTAGTTATCAAGTCTAGGTTCTATAGCTATTTCCTCATCAATGTGGGAAAAAGTTAATTAATTAAATGGAAATAATAATTATAAAATTTATGTTGTAATTAATCAGACGTAGCCACATCATTGCAAATATTTGAAAATTGAAGTATTGCTTTTGTGTATAAGCTCTGTGCGGGTGGTTGAGCATTTTAATTTAAATTAACATCTCGCTTTCCATCAAAATTCCAATTCACATCAAACAATGTTGACTGGCAGAGTTAAGCGGCGCAGATAATTAGACCAGTTGAAATAAGCCGATTTCGGCTACAAATTGAACTCGTGACCTTTTTAGAAACTTATAATTTGCTCCACATCAGCAGGAAAAATGCTGGTGAAAATAGTTTTTGTTTGTTTTTAATCTCCTTCTAAATATAGTGTCACAAAATGCAATAAAAAAATTGGAACTTTTGTTGACATTTGCTTAAGATTTTCTGTATATTCCTGGACTTTTTTGAGATTTTATTTTGACCAAGCTTTTTACTTTCCTATTTTGTTTTCTTTTTGTGAACAATTTTAACCAAATATTTTCCAAATATACAACCATTGCACTGGAGAAACATTTTTGTTTCAAACCAAAGCGTAAAAAATTTATTTTAATTACTTCCGGTTGATCATTTTGCAGACGGCAGTTGGTGTTGAAAAACGTACGTCAAAACGCGAGCATCAACGAGGCGACCACCTATTTCGATCTGATGGCCAACTACGTCACCGAACTGCGCACCTTCCAGAAGGAAATACGCAAGGAGATCAGGTAGGCACAAATATAATCCTTTTAGCACCGGGCTGTAAATATAAATCAGAGAGATAAAAAGGGAGGGAAGTCGTAAAGCACACCAATATCAAGCTAAGTCAATAAGTCTTGATCCGTTCGAAAATCCGCTGCTTTTTTCGGACACACGGTTTCACTCTGGGTGGGTCTTTATTGACCTCTTTAGTCGTCATATAACGGTTTATTATTTGCTTTGCGCCGCGCGCGACACAACAGGCCACCCGGTGCCACGACGTAATTTCACAGGCTTAATGAGTGTGGGGCCCAACAGCCACCCTTACCGCTCCAGAGATATTCTATTCTACGCTGAGGGTCGATTCATTTCGAGGTTTTGCCAACTCCAACCCATTGTTCAAAACTCTGTTTATCCACGGTCCTTGTCCCAGCACGTCCGACCTCCACAAAATCATTGTTCGTAAAGGTCAATGAGCGTTTTGTAATTAATGTTTGCCCCAATGGAGGCCACATTTGGTTTAAGCATCGTTTTTTTTCCAGTGAATTAACGCCAGAAAAACAAAGATTAATTGTTATTTGTATGGAATCACTTGATTCTGTCAGCATTATAAGTACCAGCTTGAGGAATATATTTATTATGTGAAAATCATTGTATATCAGAAAAAACTGAGGATTTAATTTATTTGAAGAATCTAAACAATGATTTTAAAAAAAATATTTTCACTCATTTAATATAAAACATGTAACTTTCGTTTAGAGCTCTCACATTGTCCATTTTGGAAAAATTGGGGGGCGGACTATTGTTTGTGTCGGTTTGTGCCATAATTTTATCACTGAATACATTTTATAGAACAAATATTAGGAATTCCATTTAAGTAGGTGGTCTGCAGTGGACTGGTTTCACTGGATTACCAACCCACTAGTATGCACTCTGAATAATCACATGTACACACATACATATTTATTTTGATTCTAAAAATGAGCGCTGCATTTTACATAAATTCACAAAATGTAATCATCTAATAGGGCTATTATGGGTTAAGTTTCAAGTTCACAGATTTATCCACTTTCAAGGTGATTTAAAACAAATGCAAACAAAAAAATAATCCTAATACAAGAATTTATTTGACGAAGAAAATTAAAAAAATTGTTAAATAAATGAAAATTAATAAATAAATATTTTTTTAAATTTGTAATTAAATGTTAAACTTTAAGACAACCATTTAAGCTTTGTGTTCAATTAACAATCAAAATTCATCCTGTTAATCTCATGAGCTTGAAAGTTTAACTCACAAATTGTTGTAAGGTGGCGGCTTCCCCCGGAAGAAAAACACTCTCCGCCGTTAACACCGGCGCGTACATTAAGTTGGAGATAAACGTGCGCTTTCTCGCGACACACTATATTATACACTTATACAATATAAAAGCCGACGAAAAAGCGAGTAAACGCACAATATTGAGAGAGTGAATAGAGCAGTCGCGCATAATCCCCCGGTTCGGATTTGCCCTCAACGACGTTCCGTTCCATTTCGCCACTTTTTATTGCGCGCGTTAGATTTTGTTGCCTCGAATCCTATTTCGCCGGCAGCATTTGCATGCCCAACTGCCTGCTAACATTACCGCCCAAGTGGAAATTGTCGCGCAGTTTCTATCCCACACACTTTTTGAATGACTTTTTCCTGTGTAATATTTGTCGAAGCGGCCTGCTCGTGTATTAATATTCCGTTGAATTGATATTGCATTCGGCGGACTGAATATGAAAAGTGTATATCCTTTTCAATCAGGATTAACGTTTCAAATTGTCGTTTGAATTTTATGGACTATTTTTGAGCAGATATAAAATAAAATTTATGCTGTGCGAGTCAGATTATCAAGTTATTATATTGTAAAGTATTTAATGGAAACTTAGAAAATGGTTTTTTTTCTTGTAAATTCGATGACAAAACTGCAAAGGAAAAATAACAAATTTTTTCAATTTTTACAAAATTTTGCAAATTAAAATCTGTTATAAAACCAATCCAATTTACAAAAATCTTAAGACACAAATGAAAATTATCAAAATTTTGTAGTTCAGGAAGATGCTTTTTTCTAATTCAAGCAAACTTTAATCCGAAAATTAAAGAAATATATTCTTTATTTTCTAATTAAACAAGGTAAATTATGGAGGAAAGAGCGAGCCTGTATTTTTTCTTCACTTTTTAAGAATTTTCTGCCTCAAAAAAATATAAATTGAAGTTGGAGAGGTCATTGAAAAAAGTCCCAATTACTCTCTTTCAACTAGACAGAGCCCTCTAATTTTACGCTCGCCGGTCCTTGGGAATCTTTTTCAGTTGGCGCTTAATTTTCTCCTTTCATTAAATTGGCTCAGCGTCTTCTCTCTTCTCCAAACCCCGGCTGACTTATTCGGAAGAGAGACGAAGTGACGAACGCGAAACCAATTAGTAGCCTGCAGGATTCGCTTCGGATGTGAAATGCAAATGGAATTCAAGTGTGTCCCTTCGAATGTTTGCTCGGCCTGGAAATTGAGCGGAGGAGTTTGTTTGTATGTTTGCTTTCGCTGCTCCACTTTGATCTGCTGAACGTGTGCAGTGAAAATACGCCGCTCTTGTCCCCTTTCCAGCTGAAAAAACTCCCCTTGAATTAAATTATTCGGGCCGTGCGGTTTGCCGGCACGCAATTTCTATCACGGTTGATTTTCGTTCGACTCTCCGAGGAAGAAAATGTCTTCCTTTCTTTCTTTGCCAAATCGATCTGACGAATCTCTGACAAGGAATGTTTTCTCGAGGTACATGATTTTGTTCAATCAACTTTTTTAAATCCCATATTAATTGTAAAAGAAATTACAGCTCAAGCCTTATTTTAACATTAGAAATCACCTCAGTGTGTCTTGAGAGAACTTCCAGTAGTTTGAATTGCGATAAAATGCACTTCCACAAATGGAGTTTTCAATTCTGTTTTATTTCAAAATTCCTAGTTTCATTTACGATTGCAAATTGAAGTTTCTCTCTCTGTCGGGAATTGAATTGATAAGTATAGTTGCTCTCAAGTAAGGTTCAATTTTAATTACATTAATTGAATGTCATCCAGCTCACTCCCTTTTTCGTTGAAGAGAAAATGTAAAACGCATTTCACACCAAGTCATCCACTCGCATTTCCGAGCACAGCAGATGCTGGAGACGCTTTCTCCAAGCGCCACTCGTAATGAATTCAATTAATAAATTATCATAAATTTATGAGCTCGCAGCACCTTCGTGCGTAGGTTGAGGGACTTGAGGGCCATCAGTTCTTTACAAAAGGGCGTCTTTTTGCGCGGGCGATGAGCCTCACCGGGTATGTTTTCTAAACAATTCACCCCTAAAATTAATTATTCCTTGTGATGAAAATAACTTAGAGTTTTTAAATTAAAAACGTTTGATTTTTAAATTGTAAAATACGCGACATAAGATCAGATGAGGATTAATCTAGCCTGGAGACAAAGTGTTGGATACTTTGAATGATCAATGAATACAATTTTTTTATTCATTTTTTCTTAGGCTATAAAAAGGAACTTTTTCATTTTTGAAATGCTGCACAAATCTGTATAGGACCGGAAAATATAAATTAAATACACCATTTTTATTTTCTATTTTATATTATTTACACAATTCTTCAATCATCTATTTATTTAAAATATTTCTTTTAGAATTCAATTAATTCTCTGACCGATTTTTCAAATAATTTTCCCAAGATGCATTTGCAATTTTTTGTAAAAAAAATTCTATGGGTTATTTATAAATAAAAGTAGAATATCAAATATATATACATGATCTTTTACTGCGTTTTAAATTAACAAAGATCAGCACGATGCGTCTCTCATCTCATTACACATTATGTGGGTAAATAATGTGTAGGCTACTTTCTAATCGTGTCGAGCAGGTCAACCATACCTATTTAACTGCGCAAAACCCACATCGGATCTAATTAGGAAATGCAATTTTGCAGGTCAAGTATCGACAAAATCCTGGAGGAGGCGAACTCGCGCGAGGCCGAGGGAATGGCGATTCTGGCGCTGGTGCTCGTCGTCTCGCCGATCATCATCGTGCTCGTCTGCAATGCAGTCGCAACAATCCAGGTAATACAATTTTCTATTATTGGAATTTTCCGACTCTGTCCGCCCCATTTCGCCGCCGCGCCAGTCCCAGTGGAAAAAGCAATAAAACGCGTGACGCGCGCGCTGGATACTCTTTGCGGCGGGTGGGCAAATATTTGCACGGCGGCGAGATCGTTAATCAACTTGTTTTACGCCGCCACGCCGCCCGACCTGCGTTGAGATTAATTTTGCAAAACACCTTCGCGCCGCACCGCCACCATAAATAAAACAACAAAATTCGGCTCACAGTGAGTGAGGGAGACGAGCCCATACAGAATTGTATTTGTTCCCCTTTCTCTTTTCAAGGGAATAATTTTCAAACCAACACAATTTTTATTTTCATTGAAGACATTTTTACGTGCAATTGATTGAATAAAGGTTTAAAATTGGTGTTCGTTAAAATTAATTTTATTTCACTCTCAAAAACTTTTTAATGCATTTACATTTAACTTAAAATTTTATTTGCCATATGTTCTACTATTGCTCTTCTTTCTGTTCTTTGTTTAACTGAAACTATCTTTAAAAGTGTATTATAGTTATTTTTATAATAATAATTTTTGTTAACTTATGACAACTGAAATGTGGAAATACAATATCAAATTCAGATAAAAAACTAAAAGGTCAAATTAAAAAAAAAATCCTGCTCGACATATTTCGTAGGGATTTCTCTTAGATTAAATTTAATTGCAAAAAAAGAAAAATCTGAAAGACTATTTAGTCAATTTCAGGAATTTCAGTTGCTTCAAACAAAAGGAAATTTGGTTTAATTTTTAATAATCTTTCAATTTTCAATTCAATCCCAATTAACTAAAAGTTGTTGAAGCGAGACGAGTACAAATATTAAAATATATTTGAACTTTTGGCAAGACCGCAAACATTAGCACGTGATATTTGTGATCGCTTTGTTGTGTTTTGTGGCCTTCATTGTTGGACTCCGTCTGTTTTCCCTGTTAAATGCGTCCACGTGTGCTGGTCTGTGCAAAGTGCAAACTTAAATTCCGGGCACGTAAAGTGCAGTTAGTTAATTTGCGAGCCCACTAGGTTAATAACGGGTGTGTATGTGTCCTTGCAGGTGTACGCGTCCAATTTAATTATCAAGGCTCAGGAGCTGAAAGCCGAACAGCGTCGCAGCGACACCCTGCTCTTCCAAATGCTGCCCCCGAGCGTGGCGCGCCAACTCAAGCACGCCCAGGAGGTAAATTGCGACCAACTCGCTAATTGAGAAAAATCACGCACTTATCTACTTGATAGGTCCCGGCCGAATTCTACTCGAACGTCACCGTGTACTTCAGCGACATCGTTGGATTCACCGAAATAGCTGCCGAGAGCACCCCGCTCGAGGTGAGATAATTTTCAATTTATAATCAATTTATTTTATAAAATTATCTCCCGAAATACAGTATTTCGTGTGGCATTTCAAATACTTGAATCTTGAATATTTAAAGTGATTTTAAATATCACAATTAAAATCAGGATTTGGAATTCATTTCGATTTTTTAGGTTTAATAATTAAATTAAAGAGATTAAATTAATAAAGTGCAGTTTTAAAGATACTGCTCTCAAACATTAATCCAAAGTTCAGCTCAAAATATATGTGAATATATGTTGGAAATAACTTTCGATTTGCAATTTTGGTTTAATCTTCAATATTATAGAGTAAATATAAGTAGCGGACCCCTATTATGTGATTTGTATTTATACAACAGAACATGAAATTAAGGTTTTGGTTGTAGCCAACTTTATTTAATTTGGTGTAAAAAAATTTTATTATTTGTTACAATCGCATGCTATTTTGAAGCATGTAAAATAATACACTTAAATTTAATTTTTTATATATTTAAAAACGAGTAAAATGATTAATATTGAATAATTAAATAATAATATTAGCATAATAAATAGTATAAGTGATAATTTAAAAAAAAATAAAAAAATCAAAACAATGTTTAAAAATTAATTTAAGTTTATTGCACACATAAATTTATAAAAAATTACATTTAAATATTAATAAATTTCTTTCATTATTCTTACAGGTGGTGCGTTTTCTCAACTCGATCTACAAACTGTTTGATGCGCGCATCGAGCACTACGACGTTTACAAAGTTGAGACCATTGGCGATTCCTACATGGTTGCATCTGGACTGCCTGAGAAAAATGGTAAATTGCCACCACACAATTCGCAAACTTAATATCGCGTTTAAGAGATGACAAAGTTTTGTCGCTAGGGGAATTGCGCCGTAACGAATATAAAACGGCAAAGTTTCTGATGCCGCCCTATAGTACACAATGGTGGCAAACTTTGCTTCTCAAGTCTTTCTGAAAGTGACAGAGAGAATGGACGCAGGAGAGCAAAGTTTCAAGTATTTTATGGTCAAAGGTTAAATTCTAATTGAAAAAGGAAGGAGGAGGAAACAAAGAAAAAAGAAAGCTTCTGTTTTTGAACAATAATATATGAAAATTGAATTGTTTTAGCGGCGTCTTTTTTTGCAATTTTTGATAAGGCTATCTCTCTGAGGATGAGTGATTTTGGGCAAATTTTATTATTAAAAATAATATATAAAATTTAAAAATCCTCAATAGGTTGATAGTATTTTCTCAAAAAGGTGTTTCCACAACTTCAGTTGTAACTTTAAAAAAAGGCTAAAAAAAGTCTAAATAAAACTACATTTTACAATAAGTAAATTTTACAGACCGATACAGACAATCAGGTTAACCTTTTTTCCCATCCTATATAAAAATTTATACACCTTAATTCTCCCAAATTTTAATTGAAAAAATAGCATAATTCATTTTAACCCTTAAATCAATTTAATTTTGTATGTAGTGCATTTATTAATGAATTCGGAATCTATGGAAAGTAAAGAAAAAATGATAATTGCAGGTCGGAAACACGTTTCTGAAATAGCGACGATGGCACTGGACCTACTGGCCGGCTCGTCTGCATTCGCGATTCCTCACCGGCCGGGCGAGCGTCTGCAGATTCGAAGCGGAATCCACACTGGTCCGGTGGTCGCGGGCATTGTCGGCTCCAAGATGCCGCGATACTGCCTCTTCGGTGACACGGTCAACACGGCCAGCCGCATGGAGACAACCGGAGAACGTGCGTACACAAAATCCTCCTCAAATTACAGGCTTTACTCTTTTTTTTCTGAACGCAGCCTTGCGAATCCACATCAGTTATGAGGTGAATGAGGCTCTTTGTCAAGTGGGCGGCTTTGACACAGAACTGCGGGGCCTCGTCGAGGTCAAGGTCAGTAGGGCAGCCCCATTTTCATTCAAAGGCTTATTTTCAACTCAGAGTTTTTGCGTCGATTTATCTTGCGCGCCCGACACACAAGATTTATGATGCTGCTTTTTAGGGGATTTGCGCGCAAATGTGTGACGCCTGACGTTATTTACGTGGTTTTGTACTGCCTGCTTTTGCATAAATGCTCCTCAGGTTTTGCTGGGAAAGATAACATCGGACCCTTTTGACATCAAGAGTATTGACCTAACAAAATTTTATCAGTGAAACTTAATAATTAAATTTATTTATTTTGCACGCTGTTGTCAGTTAGTTATTAATTATTTAATTTCATACTATGTAAATTAATTTAATATATATAACATAGTTTATTTATTTAATTTTGTTGTGTTTTTATAAGGTTTTTTATTTAAAAGAAATTTTACTTTTTACATTTTTTTAAATTATACTCTTCAAAATGTTTACTTTAGAGACTTCACATTTTAAGTTTTGTGAAAGAAAATTATATTGTATGACATATGTATAGTCTTTGCACAATTTTGTGCAATCCGATATTCGATGAATTTGATGATTCGGTAGGATTTTATTTTAGTGTTTAAAAAACATTTCATTTTCAAATATTTCTCTCCCCATGTGATTTTAATCTGTATTTATTTGAAGATTAAAATCAGTCTATGGTCAATGTACTAAAAAAATTAAGGATATCTTGAACACAAAACTAAACCAATTTTACGATAAAAAGTTCTTAAAATTTTGTTCCAGGCGGTTCCAGGATAAAACTTGTTTTTATGATTGACTGAAAATAACTACATAGCTATTACTTTTTCTTTATTTCATATGAAAAAGATTGATTAAAATTTTCTTTTATCAGGGCAAAGGCGTGCTGGAAACCTACTGGCTGGTCGGTAAACAGGGAGGCATAACTCGCGCGTCCGAACTGGACACGCCGGGCTTCTTTGAGGATCTGCAGCCCATGTTCATCCGACGGTTGCGGGCGTCATTCAGTCACTGACACGAAAACGGCCAGTGCGTTGACAAGAACAACAGAGAAGTCAGCACGGCCTCCCAATGAACATATAATATATTATATGAACAGACACAAAAACAACAAAGACTAAAAATGGTATTTGCCACCGCCCGGCTAAAAGCCTGAAATCTTTTATTCCGAGAAACCAAAACAAAAATAATGACTATTTTAATATGTACAATTAATCATAAAGATTTTTAGAATTCTGTTCAAACACTGATTATCGCATGAAATGTGATATCGATTAATTTGATTTACTCAATGGTAGTTTTCACTAGGAAGCCAAACTCTGGTCAAATTTAAAACAATACTGAATTTTATATTGGTGTTGTAAACTGTGCTGGCACCATGTTTAATGTGACTGATGTTATTATCTAATGGAATTTATAAATGTGAGAAATTAATGATCTTTTAATATAATTCAGGAAATGGTTAATTTGTTACCTCTCCCAAGAATGTCATTAATCCCAGTTTTGACAATAGCCCAGTAAGCTAGAGGCTCATTTATTTAGTACATATTTCTTCTTGTCAAATTAATTAATGGAATTAGTGTTGTGAGACTGGAGCTTTAGTGGTTTTAAATTAGCTTGAACTAGAACGTAAATATTTGAAACTAAATATTTTGAAAAATTCAGAATCAATAATTGTAACAAAGTTGATTTCAAAATTTAAAAGTCAGAACTAATGAAGTTCAAAATTAATTTTTTAAGTTGTTATTTCGTCTCAATTTTACTGAATTTTACATTGTTTTCCAACATGAGGGGAATAATGGGGTGTTATGAAGTTCAAATTTTTGCGTTTTAAACTTAAACTTTATCTTAAAATAATACATAATAATTATTTTTTTCCTTTTTATATCTTCTCTGAACAACAAATAATGTTGTTAATACTCTGATGGTCTCTGTAACATGGAAAATTGTTTTCAATGTCCATTTTCTAGTCGTCATATTATGTGCTGTAAAATTTATAAAACTGTTAAAACAAAGGAAAATACTTTACTGTTTGTATGATGAAGCTTTGAAAATATTAAAATAAATAAATGTGCATATTCATGTTTATGCCATTAAACATGACAGTCTGTCTGAATACTTGTCACAGGTTTCCATAAAATTTTCAATATATAATTTAAGTAATAAAAACCAACTTAAATTTTTTCAGTAGAAGTGCATTTCTGAAAAATAAACGTAAAAAGATGGCCACATATTAAAAGAAAGATTATTAAAAAAAATTGATTTAAGGAAAGCTCGTCCATGAATTAGGTAATGTGCTTTAATCGTGCTTAAGAGAAAAAATATAGTGCATTGACCAACTCTCCCAGCGCTAATTATTCTATTACTGCACGATGTCTTCATGTGTTCAGAAAAAATTAGATAAAATTATACCAAATTCATTTTAACCAATGAAATTGTTAAAGATATTTAGCAAAACATTATTTTTGTCAAGGCTTTTTTTTTATAAATTTACATTTTATTGTGACAGAAGGAAATTCTTAAATTAGACAAATGGTTAATTTAATTATATTATCCTCATTTTAATTTGAAACGGAAGAAAATGAGGCAGGTAAAAGAAGGAGTTCAGTAGAGATTGGCCTGCGAGGGTTGGTGGGCTCGGCGGAGAGTGTTGCGTGTGTGGTCCTGGTAGCTGGACTTGAGGAAGAGGCCCTCGGCGGCGCCGACGCAACGCCGGCAGTCGTCGCAGGCGGCACTGCGGGGCACGTATGTGTCGGGTCTGCGTATGTGGCGCGTCTCGAGGGCCATCAGCTCCTGGCACATCGAGTCGTAAAGGTGCGAGCGGCGCTCCACGTGGCCGCTCAAAGGGCCGCCATTCAGGGCCGCCGCCCTGCCCAGGTGCCGCTCAAACACCGGCACCTTCTCGCACTCGTCCCGCTCCCTCTCCTTCCGCGCAAAGCACTTGGTGTGCATGTGCAGGCCGTGGATGCGTGGTGGCGACGACCGCGTCCAGTCCTCCACCTTGCGCACCTCCCGCAACTGAAAAATAATGCAATATGTATTATTTAATTTTATTGTTATAGAAAAATTGATTAAAATAATTCAATTGACTTATTAACTTCAATATTTCATTTAATCTTAATTGGATACTTGTAGATTTTGGCAAAACGTTTTATAGTCTGCCTACCCGATGAGCCACCTTAATTGGAGAAAGCTAAAATGTAATCAAAAAGTCAGAAATAATTCAGGCAAAGTGAATTTAAATGTGAAAAATTTTCTGTATTCTGTAGAAAGTTTATAATTTATTGTTCACAAAAAATACAAATTTGAAGGGGTTTCATCAGGTAAAATGTTTACTTAGTTTTTCATTATATTTTTAGATATCAATCATCAATCTATCATCCTCTAATATTTTTTTTAAACTTTATTGACTTATAAGGGTTAAATTTCAGTAATTTTTGTCGGGAAAACTTTGAGACAAAAATTATTTTAGGTGATTTAAAAACAATGATTTAAAAGAAAAGAAAATCAGTTTTTGAGGTTCATCAAAGTTCTACGTTGACGTCTCAAATTCAAAACTGGTAATTAATTTGGAAAACATAATATAATATGAGACTTATTTATCAAAATAATTCAAATTACATTCCGTGAAATATTAATTAATTCACCTTGAGGAAGGGTTGTGCGAAAAAAGGCAGCTCCCTCTTCTGCTCGTCGGCCTCCTTCAGTTTTGCCAGGGCGGGCTCGGACTTTCTGGCAGGTCTGGCGAGCTCCTCAGTGCGGCTCACTTTCCTCAGGGTGCTCACAATGGTCGCACCCTTTCCGCTCTTAACCACCTCGCCTTTTTTCTTGAGCTTGTCTTTGACGGTGCTCGCCTTCTTCGTCAGCACCCTTGTGCGTTCCTTCTCAGGGTTGACGGTGGCAATCTGACGTCGTGGTTTGATGCGGTACCCTTCGTCAGGGGGCAGGGCCTCCAGGTCGGTTTGCTGCCGCTGGCGCCGCTCGCGCAACTCCCGCACCTTTTCCAGGTCGATCAGCCGGCCGATGACCTCCTCATCCAACTGGGCATCAACCTCCACCCTGACCTTGCCCTTGCTGCGGCACAGGCTGACCCTAAGGAAGGCCGCCGTCTGCTCCTCGTCGCCGCGCGCCGCAACCAGCGCCTGCTCCAACATTTTCCACTTTTTGAGATCTTTTCCTAAGCACCAGTTCAACGGCCGAAACAATGAGCGCACCAATAATAAATTCTTCATTGTTGTTGAGATAAAAATTTTAAAACATTGCCAGGCAACAATGGAGGCAGATGAATTTTAAATTTGTCATATTGTTGAAATTGGAATTAAAAATGAAATAATTTAATATTGGATATCAGAAAGTCAATAATTAGATAATTGAAAAAAGACCCTTAAATCAAACTAGAAATGTATTTGTTTTTCTCGTTCTTTTTTGAAAGAATTAATTAATTTTTTTTACATTTCGCACATATTGTATACTTTATAGGGACAGACTGGGACAGACAAACTTGTTTCTAATATTAAGTGCGTTGGGTTTTTCTTGTATTTCTTACAATTAGGTTTTATAGCAACTTGGCACTGCTTGAAAATTGCTATAAAAATAGCATATTTCAATTTTGCTGTTTCATCATTTCAATTATTTTTGTAGCCAAAACCGTTGAGTAATTTTCTCTCGAATCTATTTGAATAAGCAGAAAAAGATAAGTTTCCAGTGTTGATTCTCTTGGAATTTTCATAACATTGAAAATCCATTAACGATAGATACAATCTTTTAATTACAAAAAATATTTCTTTCAAACTGTTTCAAACAAATGCGAAATTGAGTTATTTAAAATTTTTTGGTATCAAAAATGATATTCAGGTAAAATTAATAATCATTTTCATGAAGTTTTTGATACTGCAATTTTATTCCACGGAAAATTTTGTCTTGTCGTCTTTGAGCCGCCGGTCAATCAGTTTTCCCAGTTGCTGTGGTTCAATACTGTGAAGTCTTTTTGGGATGCAATTTTTTTGAGGTATCTGGATAGTTTTGATAGCTCTCGGTCGCTCCTCTTGCCATCAAACCTCTTTATTCTCAGTCCAGTTTGTGGATTCATGAGAAAGTTTTTAGGAAGATCGTCCACCATGATAGTGTTTTTCGGACTCCACTGGCGAAGTTGGCTCCACACAATGTCCAAGGGCTTCACCCGCATTTGTTCGCCACCGTTGTCTATGTTGACAACCGCCCTCTCGCAAACCACAAAATTGATCCTGATTACGTTTTAAGACGCACATATTTAAAAAATTGAAAATGAAGAAAAAAATTGTACTTATAGCTTTTCTGGTGGTCCATGCGGAGCCTTTTGATCAGGCTGGTGATCCTTCTCATTTTTGAGTCTGACCAGAGACCGATGTTGTAGTCTAGGCTGGCCTTTTCCAAGAACTTGTGCATTTCGGGTCTGAGTTTGATCGGGGCAGAGGGCGAAGAATCGAAGAGCAAAGTCCTGTCAATGTCCAAAACAAGGAGCTTCTTTTTCTTTTCCAACGGCTCGCGAATCTAATTTTTTTAAATTAAAATTTGGTTTTGTCTTAACAATTAATGCTCAACTTACTTTGATTTTGTAACTTTTTGATTTCTGAATCACTTTCCTGCGGTTTTCATCTTCAATTTTAACTCTAACCTTTCCCATTTTGAACCGATTTGTTTTCAAAATTCTTTATTCCAACAATTGCCTATCTGCCTGTTATTAATTAAAAATGCTTGACCTCCAACAATCAAGAAGTAATCAATACAGCAAGCAGTAATCCAACAATTGATGAAATTGCAATCTAAATTAAGCATTGTTATGAGCTGAAAAACAAATAAAGAAATATGTACGAAATAATTTAATAATTATTATAAATATCATATAAACTTGATTTACATTTGTTTCAAATTTTTTGTCCCAATTTTTCATGGAAATACATTTTTTTCTTATATTCTTAATATAAATAAAAGCTATAACTTCAAATGAATCCCTTAATTCAGGGATTTAAATTTATAGGGGATTAAAAAATTCTCTTAGTCCATCGATTATGCAATTTAGGGACAAATCAGTGAATTGGCGATGTTCCCTAGTTAGGAAAGCACAAATTGATTTCCAATTATAGCAATATTTCCTCCTGGATCATGTTTATTGCCCCCAGTTAGGTGAAAATCTCCACTGTTGAGATTCCATGAAAATCACACCAATTAAACTTCAAAGAATAAAATGGTCTGGTGAATAAGCAAATAGGAGCAAATTAGTGTCACACACACAATTGATGGCGCAGTGCACATTGCACCCATTGCACTACTTGCAAATTAGTCCCACAGAATTCGTGGGGCGAAAATTTAAAAAGCGATGCGGTCTGTTGTTCACTTGGCGCGACGGATGATCAAAGGGAGCTCGTATGCGCCCCCGCGTTCTGCGATGCCCCGTTGCCCCTGGATACAGGCTGCACCGCCTAGCGCACCGACGACGTCCTGCTGCTGCCCTTCCTCACTCGCATCTCGCGTCGCCCACCTCGTCGACTTGTTCAGGTAATTGTCCGACAAATTGTTTTCAATGGCCTGTTTTATTTTTAATTTTTTATTTAAATTGGCGTTATTAATTTGCGAGTGCTTAGTGTGTGGTCAATTATTGAAAATTAATACCTACTTCTTATGTTCTAATGTATGATTTTTAGTTATTATTTGAATTGTGTTTAACCTTTAAAATTCCTGAAAATGAATTTTTACACGGATTACTTTAGTTAGAAACTAATTTGAAATTTTTTTAATTCACTCTTTATTCTAAAAAATGAACTCATTGTCAGTTTTATTGAAGATGTACATACAAAAGAATTTAATATATATATTAATATATGGACCGGTCATATACATATTTAGCCAATACCTACACAATCTAATAGACTTGTCAAGTTACTTTGAGCGCTTAATTTTTCCTTTTAGGAGTCAGGATACCCGCATATTCATATTTTTTTTTTTTTATTGTTTTCAGTTAATTACAGATATTATAGAATTTACCAAATATAGCACAAAATAGTTAAGGTTTTAAAATAATTATATGCAACAATATTTTGTTGTTTTTAATAAAATTACAGCTATTTTTTTTTGTTTTGCAAGGAAATAAATATAGTTGCAAAGTTGCAAATTGTGTTTATTAATTTATCAAATAATGATAACTATTTCCCCAACTTTTGTTATTAAATAATGCGTTTATCAATGTAAACGAGTTTAATAATTTAGGTGAACATTGAACTTTGGGCGAAGTAGGTTGTTTTTTAAAAAACGTTACAAACTGAAATAATGTTAAACAAAAATTATTCTTTTAGTATGATTATTAATTCAAAAAGTAACAAATTTATTAAAATAAACAATATAAGGAAGAATTTAATAGTATATCTGTATATCTGTAATTGTTTATCATTATAATTTTTAATATTATAGACAAATAGTTTTTAATCATACGACTCGTAAAATTTTAACTAATAAATTAAATTTCTGTCTAACCGATATGATTCTACGGAAACCTGATAAAAATGCTATTGATGTTTAGTCGTGCTAAACCCTCAGAGGATTGAAACGCATGATAAACATTATTAATCTATTGATTTCTATAGCTTTGAAATAATCCGGAATACACAAAAATCACGTTTGCAATCAGCAGGAACTCGTTTTCATTTTGTTGCTTGTCTCGAAAGTCTCAAAGGGCACACTTGAATTGATGACCCTTTGGACCATAGGTCGGCCGCTTTGTGCTCTGACTCAGCCGGCTCAGACTTTATGCAAAGCGACAGGTTGTGACACCGCATGCAAAAGAGGCCGATATCAAAATAGTCCTTTAATAATGCAGCGCGCCAGACTCGGTTTAATGACACACGGTCTTTCTTTCTTTCTTTCCTTGTTGCGCGAAATCCATCTCGGTTTGATTTTTTGCCCCCGGCCTGCAGGCAACGCGGATATAAAATATCTCAATTACCGACCGGTGAGGAGCCGCCGCCGTGCGCTTTAATGGTGACATTCAATACTCCCCGTACGTGATTAGCTTTGTTGACTATTAACGGGGGCGCACGGGTTCGTTGCTGCAAAATTATATACATGAAGAGTTTGTATAAATGCAAATTGCTCTGTCAACAACTCTAATGCAATAATTATGACGTTTGTCAAGTTTCAGACTCTCTCAATGCGTTTATTCATAGCTAAAGGTATAAATGTAAACAAGTGCTTTAGATTGTTTTAATTTAAATTTCCCATAGGAAATTGCTTTGATGTTAAAATGAGCTGAAGTTTTCATTTCATGCTTTCAAGGAAATACATAAGGAAACAAAGTCCTACAGTTTTCCAATGGTTATGCTGGTTGCTGGTGATAAAGTTTTTTTTATTCTAATCTTTGTCTTAAATTCTTGTCCCCCTTTACTATTTTGGAAATTCCACAAATCTTGCCAAAGTTTTAATACTCAATATATCAAATATATGTTTGACAAAAGTAAGTAAAAATAATTTTTACTTACTATTATAATTTAAAAAAAATTATACTATATAGAAGAAATTTTTATTAAACTATATATTTATTTGAGGCAACCACTCTGAACCAACCATTATTGCCATTATTGGTTTAAAGTAATGAATGCTTTCATAAAGGCAGGATTTCACTAGAACTTATCAAATTTTACACAATTGAATAATTTATCAACAAATTAATTAAAATCTCTGTCACGAAAAATATGTTTATTTTTTCAACGCGGGCTTTCTTGCAACTATAGAAAAGATATCAATTAGCGATTCACACCGCATTTATTTTTCCTAGAAACGCTCTTATCCCCAAGTTGCTGCTCACATTTTTATTTCCTGGAAAGGCTAACTACCTGCATCGTTTTCTTCCTTCTACAAAATTGTTTAATAAGTGCAACCACAGTCTGTGAAATTTAATATCACCATTCTGAACAAATAACTTCCCCGTGTTTTTAAGTCTGTATGGTACAGGTATATTTTGCTATTAAAATTTCCTCCGGCAGATATTTTAAAACCTTAATTGTGAAAATGCCTTCCTACAATTCCTTTGTGTTTTTAGAGTCGAGAATTTTCGCGAAAAGGCGCTTAGTTATTGAAGTGCGCGTATTCCGTCTTCCGTCGCTTACCAACCAAATCGTGCTTACAATTTACACTGCACAGCAATTTAGCAATTTTGAAAAGATTAAAGTATTTTTAGAATAAAATTTATTCTAAAAATCTTAACATATGATGAAAATTGTCATCTAGTTCTAGAAAATAAAACTGCTATGTATGCAACTTGCTGAACGTGCGTGCCAAGCACGTTGCATCTTCAAAACTGTACAACACTATTTTTTAAATCTTGTTAATTAATTGGAAAAGTTTGAAAATAAAGAACTTTAATACAGGATAAAGATTTACGAAGAATTATAAACGGATAATCTATTTTTATCCGTGATCTTCAGGCAATCTTTGTGAAATATTAAATAGTAAATTATTATTAAATCTTTCAAATAAATTTTATTTCTGTACGAGTTGAATTGAAGAAAATCCATACAAAAAATTTAATGACGAAAATAACGAAAAATATCAAATAATTATGTTCAGGAGCGTTTTGGAAAATGTAAGAAATCGCTTTGTTGAATATCCAATTTATTTATTCAGAAGCAATTTCTGTGCATATTTGATTCCCAGTTTTACAATTTTTCAGTACAAAAAGTATGGAAAGCGGAGCGGCAGCGTGTTCTCCAAACCATAGTCGGAAGTCGTTGCACTCGAGTTGCGAGGCGGTCGGGCTTGAGGTGCACATGTGGCGGAAGCGAAGGGGTTGCTCCGAGTGCGTTTATCTCAATCCGGCTTCCACGAGCGGAAAGAAAGCGCACTTCTTCCAAATGCTGCTGCTGCCTTTCATCCCCATTGCGGCACTCATTGTGCAAAATTGCTTTTCCATCGCGTCAATCATGGAAACGCTGCATGAAGCCTGCGCCATTCAGCAACAGGTGCGCCCAGGAATAAACTCTATCACTTCCCGGAACCGTTTTTCTCCGGCTTCTTTGTCATTTCTATGAATTCCGAGGTGAAAACAAAAATTTACTTTTTTACTGTAGATTGCCGAGACTGTGGATTCCTGCAGGTTGCTCACCGAGATTCAAGAGAATAGGACCATATCGGTGCTTGATTCGCTCAGAGATGGAATCGAGTAAGTAGTGGATTTCAATTTTTATCATTTGTTCTAATTCCCAAGAAAAATCAATATTGCTTATAATTTTAAATTGTAAATATTATATGATGGTGAATGCAGATTTCAAGAATGAGAATATCAAGACGGATGAATTGAATTTTAAGTTATAAAAAACACTAACAATAAGCGTAAAAATTTTGTTATCTATCAATGGGTTTGAATTTGTATTTGCACAATGAGGCCACTCAATAATTATTTCATTTTGATGGGAATCAGAAAAGAAAATTATTCATATTTTAGAAAAAAAATTGTTTTAAACAATAACCAGCTTTTTGCCATAATTATAGCTATAGATAATTAGACTTAGATCCGTTTGCAGGTTTCAAAGCGTAGAGAGTGAAATAGCGAACGCGTCAGCCACCATTTCGAGTATGGTGGAGGCAATCGAAGACAAAATCAGGGACACAACCACCAGCTCAATTTGGAGGTTAAATAAATACCTCAGTTTTGATTTGCTAGTCAGTTTTGGATAATTTTCTCAATTAACCGTGTATTAGCATTATTAGCGAATTGTAGTGCAACTGCATGGGACTTGAGAGAAATATCTGGAGACTAAATTGTTGGATCGTCTCAGTGCTGACTATTTCAGATATCTCGTAGCGTACAAGAACATGTTACGCGCCATTGAGGACCGGTGCATCGCCACGATCTATGGCCTCTTCTTCTTGGCCACCGGAAAAATGTCCATCTCGTCGTTGGCGAGTCTCAAGCGGCACGACACGCTGGCCAGCGACTACCTCAGGGCGGCCTACCATTTTTCCACGCGACCCACCCCCCTGCCAATCGTGCCGGACGAGTGAGTGTGATCATTTTGATAGGGGAGGGCGAGTGATGAGAATCAAGCAGCCTCGTATCCTCTTTCAGGATCAATGAGATCGTGGGCAGCGATATCGAGAGCCAGCAATACAAGGCAAACTTTAGTGCTGCGCAGGAATTCTACATCCGCGCCACGCGTTACCATAAAGAGCTGCGGAATTTCCAGAACACCATAAGGGACATCATTAAGTGAGTACAGATCAAATTAATTAACCTTTTGGCTCTTTGCCCTTTTCCATTAAAATTTGAATCGATTGGGAAAATTGCAGAATCATAGAATGATTTGCTAAAAAAGGAGACGGAGAAAATTTTCTATTATTGTTATTATTTTTTTTTTTATTAATTTGTAAAATAAACTTTTTTTCCCGTTAATAGCCACTCAATTTTTTGAATAAAATTATAATAACTTGCGATGAAATGAAAATTTGAAAAAAAAAATATCTAATTAGTTGTCTAAAATAATTATTTTAATAAATTTGGCTGCCTTTTTAATTGATAATTGCTGTAAAATGTTTATTAAAAAAATATAAATAATTTTTGTAACTTTATTTGGTATTCTTTATCAACATCAGCCGAGTGTAGAATTATGATTATGTTTTTATGAATTTTTTTCAATTTCAAGCTTTATTTTATCCAATGATTAAAATCTGCTGTTTTACTTTTTTTATAAATATATATTTACAAGGATTCAATTGAAAGTCTGAAGCGCTCGACTTTGAATTAACTCTTTTCGCAGTACACAAGTGCAAAAAGACATCAGATCTGCGAGTCACCAAAAGTGGGTTGCTGTGACACTTTTGCTAATCGTTTTAATCATATCGCCCGTGATCATCATCTTGGTGATTAACGCCACCAACACCATTCAGGCCTTCGCCAGCACCCTGGTGCAGCGCACCGTCCAACTGCAGCGGGAGAAGCACAAGGGCGACACCCTACTCCATCAAATGCTGCCCAAACAGGTCGTAAAGCATTTGAAACAGCACAGACAGGTTGGAATAAATAATTAATAAAAATTTAAGAATAAAAATCATTTCTGGAAAGGGACTTTTAATGAAAATTGTGAATCAGGTTCCTGCCGAGAGTTTCGAGGCGGTGACCATTTATTTCAGCGATATCGTGGGCTTCACGCAGATCTCGGCCGAGAGTTCGCCGATGGAGGTGGTGGCAATGCTCAACGCACTTTACCGCCTCTTCGACAGCCGCATTGAGAAGTATGATGTTTACAAAGTGGAAACGATTGGCGACGCTTACATGGTCGTATCAGGCTTGCCGCAGAGGAACGGTCAGTATTCAATGTAGAGAAGAAAGAGATCAAGAGATTAATGGCAAAAACACAATTTTACTCAAAATTATGTAAAGTCTAATGGTGCATAGCAGTTGTAAATAGTGTGGCAAATGGCATTTCCAATAGATATTACATTTAAATGAAGAATTTATATAATTGTATAAATTAAATAAAGTAACTCGTTCTAATTTTTTTTTTAATTCATTACACTTTACTTTAGGGTTTGTGAAATTTAAAGTTCTTTTACTTGATTGAATGTTTTAATTATTTTTTAAAATAAAAATAAAACATTTTGAATACCTAAAACACTTTGAAAATTGTTGATAATTAAATTGAAAGATGTTGAATCTAAAATATGCATGTACAATTTTAAATTTTTAATTATTTAAAAAATTAATCTTTGCTTTATATCAGTTTGAAAAAATTTATAATATATTATATAATTATTTATTTTTCTTTCATGGCAACATAACATCGCAAAAAAGTACACGCTGTAAAAAAGGCAGAATCATGCATCGGCATAAAAAGTAAAAATACAAAACATAACAAAAAATACATGGAGTCAATAATTTTTGTACAATTGTAGTGCTCATTAAATTTTTGTTAGCAAAAAATTAATATTATAAATATGATTAACTTATTAATATACTAAATGAAAGGATTGAGCATGATTTAGTAAGCGCAGTCTGTTTGACTCGTTTGACTGTAGTTTCCCAGATTAAAGCAAAGTAAAATTAATTTCTATCAGCGAGTTGAAACCAATTTGTTTTGCGGCGCCTTAGGTGGGAGACACGCCGGCGAGATCGCGACCATGAGTCTGGACTTGCTAGGCGCCCTCAATCGATTCGCCATTCCGCACCGTCCGGCGCAGTTCTTCAGCGTCCGCATCGGCATCAACACGGGTCCGGTGGTGGCCGGCGTCGTCGGCACCAAGATGCCGCGCTACTGCCTCTTTGGCGACACCGTCAACACGGCCAGCCGCATGGAGTCCACCGGCGACCGTGAGCAAAATGTCTCATTTTTTTTTCTTAAATTAATTTGTGAAATTATTTTTAGCCATGAAAATTCAGATCTCGCAGTCAACCAAAGACGCTTTAGACGCGCTCAGTGGGTACGAGATGGAGTACAGGGGACAGATCTCTGTCAAGGTAAATTCTGCTGTCCTTGAAATTTGAATTCTCAATTTTTAATTATAAAAAACGGAACCATTAAAGGTGTGAGCTGGTGTGAGCTACTATATTTCATTATGTAATACAAATTAATTCAACATACCTGGCGATTGGGGCCAAAAAGAAAGCTAGTCTTTTTATCAAGTCATGTTAATTTTTACTTATTCTATAGAAATCAAATTAAATTTAGGGTTTAATTTTTTAATTCATGCAACCAACCAGGAAACAGTTTGATTCAATTTTTTATTCTAAATCAAAGTGATCCAATTTGAAAAAAATAAAAAATATAGATAGTATGAAGATAAATTTTGATGTAAATAAAACGAAATAATTTTTTATTAACCTCTAGGCTAATTTATGGACATTAAATCTTTTATTAATTTTCTTGCGACTTATTTGGGTCCTTTGCAGTGATTAGATCAAAGGCTGCGCATCCCAAAATTATGTTGGTACACTGCTGCCGTCAGAGCCATGGGGCCTTATGGCTCGGGCGGAAGGCATCTTTTTTTTTGGCCAACATAATAGAGCTGATACGCGGCCTTTGGATTAGATAAAAAATGAAATTGTCAGCTTCATACCTTCTATTTCAATAATTAAAATTTCTTGAGGAAAACCAAATTTATAAATGATCCAAATTTGAAGCGGCGCAGGTTCGAGAACGAAATTTGCAATTAATGATGCGTTCCCGTGTCTCCAGAAAGACGATATTTCTTTTCAGGGCAAGGGCGAGCAGAGCACATACTGGTTGCACGGCCGCGTGGATGGACTGCCGCGTCCTGAAATGGACGAGCCGCCCATCATTCTGGCGCCCATCGAGCAACTGCCCGAGTTCCTAGAACTGCTGCTGCCCCTTGACGACGACCTCGGCGTCGGGATCGTCCGAACCTCCAAACAGTCTAACGCCAGTTCCACTATTAAAATCTAAGAAGGCTGAATGTTGACCGTTTTCCTGTGGAAAATAATAATTGCAATTTTTAGTACACTTGTAAGGCAGTTTGCAGAAATCTCTATGTTCAATGTTTATTAATTAAATTAAAGGTATAAAATGAGCGTCTTTGAATAATTATGAGAGCAGATTTTATGTGAATTAAAATGTTTATTAAAGTGCTGGTTAGTTAAAGTAATCGTGTCTGTGACCAAGATAGTCGAAAAATATTTTTGCTTCTTATTTTACTTTCATTCTCTATAAATTTTATAGGTAAGTCTCCACGAGGAGATTTTTTTTTTAAATTTAACTGTCCTTTATAAAAATTGAATTTTTGTACATGTAAAATTTTTTTATTTTGATATCCTCCATTCCTATAATTTTAAAATAAACCCAAAATATTATTAGCATTTTTGGCCACTATCACTATTACGTTAAATTTTTAGTGATTCATTTTACTGAACGATTAATTTTTAACATAATATTAATGTACAATTTTTTTCTTTTCATCATTTCATAACTCCAAATTAAATTCATAAATTCAGATTTTACACTTTAATTTAATCGTAAGAATTTAACTGCATCTTCAGAAAGTTAAGACTGTCAATTGAAGACTATCCCTTGTAGGTTTAAAATTTAATTTTCCTTCTTTTTAATAACTCTTATTGTTGACCTTTTTTGGCGATTTGTCTTTTCCATGACATCACCACAATTATGCCATGATTTGCACTGTTAACTTATGAATTTTAATAATTATAGAGGTTGGCATTTTGAAAGAAAAAATTAAAATAAGATCAATTAAAAATTTATACGAATCTTGATATATTAAAAATGGACGAAAAGCTTTCCAGAGTCAATAAAGTCAATAGTATATTATGAAAAACAATTTTCACACCAAAAAAATAACTTCATTGATATAAAGTTGTAAATATAAAAACGGATATATGTATAGTTGACAATCTTCATTACTGATGAAGGTGAACATAATTTTCGTCGTTATAAGTGTCAATAATTTTAAGTTTTCAGTTCATCTCCGTGAATTGTAACCAATGATGCTGAGAGAGAAGATTTCATTTGATTTCATTGTGGAAAAATGCATTTTTTAAATAAATGTTAAAAAATTAGCAACTTAAGTCTCTCACTTTTTACACAGTGTGTAGAAGGATGATTAGAGAATTAATTTTCACGTATTGAAGCAATAATTATATTAATTGAAAAGACATAGTTCAAATAACTGTGCGTTAATGAGTACATTTAATTTAACAAAGTTATTTTGAAATATTATTCTGCTAAATCTGCTATAAATAGTACAATAATTTTTAAACTTTTTTCCCCCTGATATTAGAAGAACATTTAAATTGTAAAATATTAAAAAAAAAAAAAAAAAAAAAATCAAATAAACGCCTAATTTCAATTTGGCTTTTGCAGATGCCCATAATTCTTGATTCTTGATATATTACATATATTATTCTTATCTTACTTTAGGGTAAAGCTGCACGTGTCAGAAATCACATCAGTCCCTCCCGTATCCACCAATCGGGTTTGCCTCCCCTTCCCCGGCTTCCCCTTAACAGTTGCAGGAAGGCAGGGAAACACATGGGACGAAAATCATGATGACAAAAATTCAAAACAAACAATAAGCAGGTCCTACTGCAACAGAATTAATTGAGCAAGTACTCGAGTCAGCAATTTGAAGTTTATTTGAGCACACGAGGAAGTGAAACAATGAAGAGCTGAAAAGAGGAAACAAGTCTCATCTCAAAATCACTGATCACCTCTGTGTATTGGGGCGGTAAGATTTTAGGTCGACCCATTCGGACAAAAATTTTCATCATTCCTTTCCTTTTTTGAAAGTGTTTGTCGTTTCACCTTTCTTTGCCCATTATTATTTTTTAGTTTATTGACTTATCTATAAATTCGCAATTTAATATCCAAAAAATTTAATTTTCTGTTTCAGGACTTTTCTCCCTAAAAAAATCTATCAATCATGCCCTCTTCAACGCAGCCTCCAGCTTTATTGCTGTGGCACCAGCGACCTGCGGTCCGATTTTTCTTGCTCGGCCTGTCCAAGGTGGCCGCTGGGTGGCACATGCTCAGCGTGTTGTACCTGGCGCCAAGACCGGAGACCTTTGGAGGACGGTTCTGGTGCGCCCGACCTCAGCCTGCCCTCACCAGCTATGTAAAAGTTTCGCTTTCATAATTTTTTGTAGAATTTTTACATTTTTCTTTGTTGCAGAAATCTGGCAGTCCTTTGGATGACCCTTGTCAGGGTAACGTTGCTGTTCATTATTTGAACGGGTCCAACGCTAGTTTTGAATACTTCAGTGAATGCAAAGAGTTTCACTTTGAGATTATCAAACCCACAATGGTGTCTGAGGTTGATTTTTATTCTATTAGTTAAAAAATTTTATTACAATTTTATCTGCAGTGGTCTCTTGTGTGCAGCAGAGATTTCCTAGTGAATGTCGTCCAACTCGGATACCTGTTGGGGATCTTTGCTGGTGGATTTGCAACTGCTTCTCTTCAGCAAAGGTTTGTTTCTTGTAAAAGAAAATTATGAAATTTAAATGAAATCTCTAGTTGGCATCTGATTAATTAAACTTTCAATAATGAGAAAAATATTGAACTATTTTCAAACTATTTATTATCAATATTCGATCAAAATCAGATGCAGTCACATTACAAAAATTATTATTTCCAAAGATTTGACACATTTCAAAGGAAAATAAATTAACTTTATATGCTTTTTTCATGCTAATTCCATAAAAATTTCATAATTCACTTAGAAAAGCTTTTTTTCTCAAATTATCCAGGATCCATTATGCTGAGAAAAGTGTAAATTCACAGAAAACATAACAAAATTAATAACATTTTCAAAATTGAAAAATATCAATTTTTTTTCATATTACATTTTTAACCAATTTGGAAACTTAATTGTTTATTTGCTCCTCAGATTTTCACCTAGGATACTTTTTGTTGTGGCTGTATTGCTGCAAGTGCTTGCTGGTGTCGGATCAGCCCTTGTGCCAACCTTCGAGATGCACTTTGTCCTGAAGATGTTCACCGGCCTGGGAGTTTGCATTACCTTCACTGTTGCTTTCAACTCAATAAGTCAGTTATTTAATTAATAACCTTTGCATGACTAATTGAAAATTCATGATTGCAGGCCAACAACATTCTCGATTTGGGCCCGATGAGTTATTGGGAGTTATGTTCGAGCACTGGTGGTCTGTCGGAGTGATTTCCTTGGGTTGGCTGCACCAACTGGCCCCTTCGTGGCGAGTCCTCCAGCTCATGATTTCACTGCCATCCCTACTTTTGCTTCTCACATATTGGTATGCAGACTGACATTGAATGAAATTGATAAAATGAAAAACAAAATTATCCAGGGTTCTTCCACAAAAATCCAACCTATGTTCATTACTTGGTACTGAAGAGACCGAAGTACTCACATATAATAAGTAGGTAAGAAATAACCAAAGTTTGCAATGTGAATTCAAGACACATTTAATGTTTGTAACAGGCAAAGCAAAAAAGTGATTTCGTTTGTTTGGTGGCATTATTGGTGCCTGCAGGTCATGTGGTTGGTCACCATTTTCAATTACTACGGCGCCTTGTTGAACCTGAAAAATGTCAGTGCGAAGATTCCACTGCCTGTGAGAACAACTCTAGCTGGTACTATACTTTTGCGTAGATTCTAAATGTTGATATTTTTATGAACTCAAAGGTGTCGCCGAAATGCTTGGAGCAACTGTTGGTCTCTTCATTCTACTGCAACGCGGAAAATCGCAGTTCAACTTTTTGAGTGTCCTTCTTTTTGCTGGTGGAAGTTCCTGTGTGCTAACATGGCCCTTTCTGCTTAAAGGTATTAAAACTCTACCAATTCATATATTATTTCATGGTTTCATTGACTTTATATTAAATATTGAACACCTGAACGTTTTCTTATTATATATTATATATTTTTCCTTCTCTCAGTGTATTTAAATTATTTCACATCTTTACTGGTATCATAATTGGATTTTGACTCTCCCATTTCGAGAAGTTTGAAGGAATATTAATAATTTAAGGAATTGGCAGCGATTGGACAATTTTGGTTATGGTGCTTGCCGGGAGAGTGGCCATCGCTTGCTCCATGGCCATTCTGCAAAACGGAGTGTCCGTTGACCCTGAGGTTGGACTTGTGCTGCTCTCGTCAGGACGTCTGTTCCTTCAGGCAGCACCCTTCTCCAACTCTATGTTTGCAAAATGGGGCCGACTGCCGGCTTCCAGTTTCTACGGCATGCTGTGCCTGGTGGCTGCCATTTCTGCCCTGCTGATGGCCAAAAGCACCGAGTGGAGGAGCTGTCAGCCCACACACCGCCGAATGCCAAATTGTGTTCTAGCCACAAATCTGAGCAGCAAGAATTTTTGTGAGAGGTATTTTTCTTACTAAATTCACTATGGCTAGAAACTAAAGTTTTTATTTACTAAAAAGGTGCTCATCTGCAAAGGATTCGCTGCAAAATGTACCATTTTCTCAAGAGACCTGATGCTTTCTGAACTGGCAAGGTAGGAAACCAGTCACTGTAATAAGCATGCTGCATGCCACCGTTATTTGTAATTTTCTTATTATTCAATGGAGCGTTAAAAAAAGCCTCTTGTTGATGTTATAATTATTATATTTAATTATTTATTCTCCATTCAAATACACATCTTACATCAAGTCAATTCATATTTATTAATTTTATTTTGGCCTGAAAGCTTCCAGAATAAATTGAAAAAAACCCATTATATTCAATTATCTTGACTTTAGAAAAAAATATTATTAAAATATGGAATTATTAATTTAAATAAATAAATAAAATCTGCACTGTGCTGATTTTGGTTCTGAAATAAATTTTGTTTTAGTTATTTATTTTTGCTGTCTAAAGTGTAAACCTCAAATTGTTAATAGATTTTTATATTTTTTTATTAATTTGGGAGATTTTCAATCAAATAAGTAAAGTTTTACAAGACGCGGCCAAATAAGGCTTCTTCTTAAATTAACTTATATAGTATTATGAGAGTTAAAATTATAAATTTCAACTAGTTGACTGAAATATGAACAACGATGGTACTCATCATTCCTTGCGTACAAAAATAGATATAAATGTAGTGATTTTATTTGTGAAATCTTTCTCTTCTCTGTTCCTCACGTCCGAGGAATGAGCGGTCAGAATATAAATTTGTCAAATAATTTTTAAATGTAGAGATGCTGCAAAAGATACTGCTGTGTAAAAAGCTTCCATTGGCGCCATCTGGACCACTCATGTTGGACTACGTGAGTGGATGCTACGCCACATTGAAAAGTCTAACGTTTGAGATTTGTTTAATATAAAAATACATTTCAATTTATCGTTTATCCATCCTAATCTGGGTATAAGGAGCTATTTAAGTGTATAACGAAACTAGTGCGAATATAATTCGCAGTAAGTATAAAAGCAAATTACTATTTCCCTCATGAATGAAAAATACTAATCCCATAAAATAATAACAAATTAATAATAGTATTATATCTCACCAGCCAAGCCTTTGGTGCTCAATCGGTGCTCATTGTCAGTGTAAAAAATCAAACTCGCTGCTGTGGATATCCCGAGAATAGCTAAAGGAAAAAACTCGCTTTATCGAAAGTTTCTGAGATGGTTCCCGCAGAGTATTCCACTTTTAGCCACAGCCGAGTGTTTTGCTAATCATTTGTATTCGGTGACCTTCGAGTTTTCTTCGGTGAATCCGGCCGGCGCCCCCACTCAACTATAAGATTTGGCACACACGCTCTGCGCGAATAGCAACAGAAAAATCCTCACTCGCCACAGTCGCCACTTAAAAAAATTTAACTTATTGCGCCTTAAATTTTCTAATCAACCCATCTTTACTGATAAAGGTACTTAGTGTGCGGTCTTGTCTTTGAGTGCAAACAATAATTAATTCTATTCTTCATTCTATTAGTATTTTTTATCTTCCGTTTCACCGATTAATCTGTCTTAATCATCATCGGTATTGTTCAAAATTATTCTAACGATTTTCGTTTTCCACTAAAAATATTTTTAACCTCGACTCCACGCTTTAATTTTATTAATGAATTAATTTTAAATATGTACTGTACAAAATACTATTTAATTTAACGGAAGGCGTTGCTGCCACTCTTCCTTTGGACTGTTATGTCTTGATAATTTTGTGATGGTGGGGTCAGTGGGGTGTCAGCGGTTTTTTTACTTTCGATTCTCATTCATGAATGAAACTTAAGCTCGTTCAAACCCTTTCTGCAACCAGCCGATAAAGAAAAAGAACACAAAAAGAAGGTAAAATAATTATGATATAAATTCGAATTGATTTTCATACAAAACTTCTATTTGCATTAATTTTTCTTAAACTTATTTGTATATGCATATTTTGTGGAATCGGACTTTTGATAATCTTGATAAGACAGCTTGTATTTCAAAGTCTTGAATAGTTTATACAATAAAGTGTGATTAATTATCGGTGCTTAATGGTGCGTGCATAAACCACAAAATATCATTATTTGTTGCACAATTTGATTTTTAATTTCATGTTCTCCATTTTTATTGACGCTACATAGATATCAATCAATGGGCCGCGGAGCCTCAATGCGGGCCGAAGGATATCAATCTAACAATACGCTTGTATTTAGGTTTTTCCGGGTTTTTCATAATTTTTAATTTTTGGGCCATAATTTGTTTAATCAGTAATAATCTTGTGCCCCTTTCATTTTATCTTTTGTTGAATTTGTGAATGACTTTATTTAATGTTTAATTACATTGAAGTATAAATTGAATAATGCAGTACCTGTTTTTTTTAAATACTTTATTATAAACTTTAAATTTTTATTCATGGATAATTTAAATGCGAGTAAGTCTAAATGCAGAAAAAGTCTAACTGTAACCAAGACTAAAGAATAGGATAAGGCAACAAGGGGGTGAATGGGGGGAATGAGGAAAGTCTGGGCATAAAAGATGCGTCATGCTGCTGCTGTTCTCCTTTGGCGATTGTGTTTTTCCTCATCACGTGGGCACCGTGGGCATTTAGTGCGAATTTGCGAAGACCCTATCAACAGCGTTCGCCAACAAATTAAATAATTCACGCTTAATTATGTATCTCTCCATTCATTGGTACTTGGTACACAAGAATCACATAAAAATATTATTGTTTTATCCAAATTGAAAAAGTATAATTATATAATTTAAAGAAAAAAAGTGTTTGGAGAGAAACATTAAATTGCTAGAAAAAAGCAGCACATGGTAAATCGTATCAAATGATAATCATGCCCGAGCATGTACAAATTAATTTTATGGTTAAATTCAATTAAAATCGACTTTTCCTTGATGGGTCTGGTTGGGTTGTTAATTGTTTAAGTAAAAAACAATATCCTGCTCTACATGTTTTGGCTGCGGGATGTAGCCATAATTAATGAGCAGTGAAATCATTTTGACAAGAATTAGAACAAAAACTAAATTTAAAAAAAAAATGATTTGATTTCACAGCTCATGAATTATGGCTGCAGCCCACAGCTGAAACATGTAAAATTAAAATCACCATGAATCAATCATCAATCCTTTCAATAGTGAAATTCTACCATAAAATTAATTTAAATCATTTGATAAAAAAATATTAAATATATTCACATTTGAAGTAATGGATAATATTATTTTATTTCTCTCTCTGTTGCTTTGCATCTGTATTTATCAAATTTGAATTACCTTTGTTTCAGATTGCAAGCACTGAAAAAAAATGCCCCGCCAGAACCCCAACGTCCCTGCCATCCTAGGTGCCCCAAGTCTGACTCTTGAAATTACGCTCCACAGACAGCTCACATTCCCAAAGAGATTCCAAGAGCAGCATGGATTACTTTTAAATCCAAAGGATCTGGCCATTTCAGGCCTTTACCTTGCTGCTGACTGTCAGACTTTATGCTGTCAGTTCTGCAACTTTGAGGTGAGATAAAAAATATTTTTGTATTAAAATTTTTTATCAAATTTTTAAATTTTCATAAGCAATAAGGATTATGTTGATGGATAAAATTCTTATGTCGCATTTTAAATTTTGAGATTTCAAATAATTTCTGGTTATAAAATAAAAATGTAATGACTTTTTTTCTATTAAACAACATTATGTTGGCATTTGTTTTACATTCCATAAATGTGTGATAAAAATGCCCCAATACCAAAGAGACACTCGAGACATTTAATTTTTACAGGCCAACACTTTTAAAGAAAAGGCGGACAATTTGATATTAGTAAGTTAATTGGATGGAGTAAAAGAAAAACTTTAATTAATAATCTGAATACCTCAATATAATATATATAAATATTTTTTTAATATCATTATCAAACTTGATAAAAAATTGTAATACAACACATTTTTCAGCAATCCATCGAGGTATTTGCTCCGCCACATGAGGGATGCGCCAATCACGAGAAAAATATCCCACTGGCCCTCATTCCTAACTGGAAGCTGGAGGCGCAGCGCCTGCTGACCTTTGTCGAAAGCAACTTTGACTTTTTGTTCATCGCTCCGGAGCAACTGGCCAAAAGTGGATTCTACTACGTTGGGCCCGACGACAAGTGTCGGTGTGCATTTTGCAAACTGGACGTCAGCGCCTGGGAGGAGGGTGACACTGCCGATGGTGAGCACCGAAAGTTCAACCGAGATTGCCCGTTCCTGAATTCCCCGATGGAACAGCACAATGTGCCGATTGGCAGAGAAATCCTGGACAACGACAACGACGCGCGTGTGGCTCAAATCAACAACGGAGCCCGACCTGTGTCACCCGTCCAAGTAAAAATCCAAGAAGAATTGCAGGCTTAATCTCACATTGAAACAAAAATCTATTTTTATCCACCTGATTCGGCTGCAAATCAGTGATAGCTTTTATAAATAATTAAAAAAAAAACATTGAGTGCAGAATAATTTATAATAAAATTTTTCCAATTTTATAAATTATGCATTATGCATTTTCTTTTCTTTGACAATTTTTAATGTTTTAGAGAATTCTATATTACATAAAATAAATGTGAAAATCCATAAGATAACTGCAACATTTTGCTTTCTTCTTGTATAGTGATTTTCTTTTTCAATTTGATTTTAGTGCCCTGAAAGTGCACTGAACTGTTCTAAAGGTAGGCTGGGAAAGTGTAAAAACAATTTAAATTCATTCAAGGCAATTGAATATTGGAGTTAAACTTTTAAATGGGTGTTTTAAATTTTTTGCTTGAATTTCAGATATGCAGGCATTAATAATGTAACATTTGAAATTGTGTATTTAACAATTAACATTCAATTAGTGCGTGCAAATTGTACTGAATCTTTAGGGAACTTGTGTATATGAAAATGTTAGAATTTTGATTGATTTAAAAAATCGAAAACTCATTGTTTTATCTATCAAACAATCTCGATGGATGTAAAAATTATGTTCTGGTACAAAACAATAAAAAAAAATTGAGAATTCAAAAGAGTCTACTTGCATCATATTTCATATTACATTATTTCTAACAACTGGTAAATATATGGCAGTGCTGAAAAAGTCTCATGGGGAGATTTAATCTTAAAAAAATTTAGTTGGCTAGATTAGTTTTTTTTATAACCAGAGTGTAATCTGTGACGAATCAGCCACCGCGATAAGAAACAGCCAGACTGTTTTTCCCACATCTATAGGCAAGTGTAAAGTGCGCCTGATTAATTATTTGATTAACTAGCCATTGCTTGATAAAGGTATGTGCAAATCATTTTTTTCTTCTTTTGAAATTTAAACATTTTTACACTTGATGTAGCATAGTAATATTAATACTGTTAATGTAATTAACTGAACTATCATTAATTAAAATAAACAATGATAATTTATCTTTTGGATTGGAAGAGACGTTAAAATTATTAAATCGTGCATTTTTTTTTTTAAATTTTTATATTAACGTCGTAATATTGACCTTAGACTTACGTTTCGGCAAAAAGTCTAAGTTGTTGACGCCTGCTATATTAAGCGAGGCCAGAAGGCACTGACTTAATTTTGTCATACTGTATCTTGGCTCGGCACTAACTTTGAAGTTCTGATTCACGCTCTGCATAATCCGCGCAGACCGCAGTCAACAGGAAATACACTGAGGTATGTAATAGAATCATACATAAACATTGTGCATTTTATTATTTTATATTATTACAAATTTTGGTTCAACCTTTAACTGACCCGTAAAGTAAGTTTTTAAACACCTGGCTTAAAAGACATGTTTCGCTACAAAAATATTTTTTTAATAAATCCACAGCCATACAGCCTCTATTATTCAAAAAAACGTCAAGCTTTGCAAAAAATGACATATCATGCAAGCAATTAACTTCAAGTATTAGCAAATGAGGAAAGACGTAGGCAATAAATTATGAAAATTCAATTATTTGAAAATTACTCCAATGGTGGCTTATCAGCTAAGCAAATAATTTTTCGCGGTACGCTAGATTTATCGACCAATAATAAAAGTCTAACTTGGGATCCTACTTTCTTCAGCGAATTTGAGAGAGATAAGTAAGGGCATTGCTAAGAGCTACCATCAGTTTATTACATACACTGCCGTGTGCTTACTGTGTTTCAGTACAAGTATTATACTTATTCAGTCAACGCAGACTCTGAAGTTTTTAACCGTCTCTTAATATTCTATTTTCTGGTATAAATGATTTTTTGGCTGCATATTTAAAAACAAATTCTATTCTTATTTATCTCCATGGCTCAATGAGCTAAATCAAAAGTGATTGATTTTCTGTTGGAACACAAACACATGTCATTTTACATGCTTTTTTCGATCTTATTTATTTTTCACAATTAATTAAATAATTTAATTTATGAAAATTTTCAGATATTTTTCATCCCGAAATGGAAACTGATCATCGTCCAACCCCAATGGTTCCTGCCGAGCTCGGTGCTGCAAAACTAAAACTAAATGTCGCCTCTAACCGACAAATATCATTTCCTATTAATGGATTTGAAGGAAAGTGGGGTTTGAAACCCAGGGACTTGGCCGCGTCAGGTCTTTACCTTGGAGACGACGGTCAAACTTTGTACTGTGTTTTTTGCACCTACAAGGTGAGATATATTATACAATTTCAATAAAATAAAAAAGTCAGTTAATGAATCTTTCAATATAAATTTTTTTTTTAAAGATTTACTTTTTGCTAAATTTTTATTTATCATAAAAATAATTTATAATTTTATATTTCAAAAACTACCGCATTTACTTGCATTTGATGTTATAAAAGTAATTTTAAAATGGGTTTTATTAATTCATGACATATTGCTTGAAAATTTTTTCAGGTCGCCCTCGAGCTAGCTGCTGGTGAACCGCTACACTCTGGATGTGTTGTTGACAACAAAGATAATTTCGGCTTTCCTCTTGATTCAAAATTGAATTTTGAAGCGCTAAGATATCTGACCTTTTTTGATAGTGGTTGGGACTGCAAATTTGTTAGTCCGGAACAACTAGCCGTTAGTGGTTTCTACTACCTTGGGAAGGAAGACGAGTGTCGCTGTGCGTTCTGCGGCCTGCTGGTAAGTGACTGGGAGGAGGGAGACACTCCGGAAAGTGAGCATCAAAAATATAATCCCAAGTGCCCATTTCTGTTGGCACCAAATGAGGTGCACAACGTCAAGATCGGAGATGAGATCCTTGACAACAATCAGGACTCTCGTATTGCTGTGCTTAACACTGGAACCACTACTACTACTACTACCCAAACCACCACCACCACCTCCTAAGAAATGAAATTGCATTTGTTACACCGAAAAATCAATATTCATCTTCACGTCTGAATTTGACTAAAACTCCATGAAAAGACCTAACACCAGCGCCAAAATTTACTTACGTTAAAAAAAATGCTGTTTGGAAAAATCTATAGTTGTTATAAGCCGTTATAAGCCCCGTTAAGCCCGCAGTGGTTTCCAATATATCCCAATAGGGTTTTTGTAAGTCGATCTTGGTCCAAGGCGAGGAAAATTTGGATATATATGGATCAATTGAGAAACTTCTTGTATCATATTTCTAGTTTCTGTGTATGCAAAATTGCAGATTGTTTAAAATTTTATATTTTTGATAATTTTTTTAATAAAATGCTTGCGTGTGTACCATAAAATGCAAACACCTGACTTTTATTCCACTAATATTTTAGCGCTCAAAGTATAATATAATTTTATTTTTCATGTACAAAATATTTAAATACATTTAACATGGAGCCTAAATCTAAAAAATAAAAACGACAAATAGACTAATTATAGTTGGTTATAACGAAATAAAAAGTCTAACAGAGAGAACAAAGCCCCACTTAACTTTCTTTTAATCAAACAATTGTAATAATGCATATGAAACGCGAAAAAGGATATCTTATATTTGAATTTTATGGTAAATACATTTTTTGATATCAGTTAATATTCATTTGCATCTAACTTTATTTAGATTTTTTTTTCAATAAGTATTATGATTATATTTTTTAATTCAAAAATATGTTTTTCGGAAGTGCGAGTTCACCACAGCGGCTGACTCTTTTGATGTTTTGGGAGTATATATTAACAAATATAATATATAATGCTAGCAAATTCGGCACGTTTCTCTCCCAATTATTAAATTCAATTCCAATTTTCTAATTGATGCACAAAATAATAAATGGTTATGTTTCTAGAAAAAAATTACAGAGGTCTTACTTCAGCTCTTTTATTGTTAGGGACTGTTCACATTGAGCTTGAGCTCATTCTATTCCGTCTCCCATCCAACTCGCTTCGGCTTGGGGGGGATGGGATGGGACGGCCGGAAGCCGGAATCGAATGAGCTGATGCTCAATGTGGATGTGGAGTGGACAGGCCACAGGATCTCTTGCTGGCTCTACATCAAACGCTCACTTAAGATAGTGCTGAGCAATTGCTGTCTTAGGGCATGCTAAGCCAAAATTACTGCATTTTACACTGCACTTAAATCGATCGAAGCGCCAATTATTTTTGCGGTCAGACCAGCCAATCACTCGACCAGAAAACTTTATTAAAAATATAAAATTTTCATATTTTGCAATATTTACTATGAAAATTTTTTATTAAGACTTAAATTAAAATATAATTATAATTGACTAACGTATAGATTAATTTTTTGACGCAAAACAATTAAAATATCTAGCGCTTTCTTATTTCTGCTCTGTCATTCTTTTTTAAATATTAATTTCCAATTAAAATTTGCTAATTGACATTTGATGAAAAAATCTTGAAAATTAAAAACAGTGTAATCAATTTATAAATAGCAATAATTTCACTTCACCATATAATTATGTAAGTTACATTATAAAATCTGATAAAATCTAATAATAAAATTATTTCAGGATCACGATCTGTATTATAAACTTATTTTAATGATCCACAACATCACCTGTCAAAGAGTTTTATTGTAATTTTAATTTTTATTTTCCAAGTTTTAAATGAAAGGAATTAAATAATTGAAAAAATTTTAATTTTAAGACAAAATGATTTTAGGGGGAAAATTCATTTAGAATATATTTGTTGCGTTTGAAATATAATTTTTTATTTAAATTTTTAATAATTAACAAAAGATTTATTAATTTAAAAAAAAAATTTAAAAATTCCATGTTGGTGAAGTAAAAAATTATTTTCACTGCTTGAAATAGGTTGTAGTGATGGCCTCCATGTTAATCTAATGTCTCTTTAGTTTGAGATGTTTATCTTCTTAATTTTTGTGTGCAAAAGGTCAGTAATTTGTCAGAAAAACACTAATTTTTGGACACCACCCGTAAGAAAAACTTGGGTTTGTTTACAACTCGTCCCTCCAAGTGCGCATGTGCTAAGCAAAAAGTGCTGCCAAGACAGCTCGCGAGCTCGCTGAGGGAGCTTGCTGTCTCAGCAAACCATACTTCACTCTCCACCGGTGTCTCAAGCCAATTTTTGTCTTAAGATAGCTATCTTAAGTGCAGTGTAGAAGAGGCATCTGTCTTGCTGCTTGTTATGCCTTGTTCTTGTTGGGTCCGAGTCTCGACACACACTCTATCGGCCATTGGCTAAAGCTTCGCGGGCCAAAGTACTGAGTCTCTCTCTTCTCTACCGAGTCAGCTCACCAGCTCAGTCAGCTGGTATGATATGGGTATGACGACTTTTACCCAAAAGTCTAATGTGATTTAATCAAACAGTAGACTTTTTCTTGCATAAGAAATTAATTACTTTTTTTCAAAAAGATAACGTGTAAGCAACAAGTCAACCAGCGTTTGAAAATCATGTAAATTTTAAGATTGAAGATTTAGTTGGCTGATTTGAGGCAGAAAACCATATCCAGAGATCAAAGAGGAGAGAGCAAAAATATTTATTCAAGGTGAGTTGACGCGTTAAACCAATTTATACCTATAAATAACGCAATAACACTGCAACAAAATTATACATATATTTGATTTATATTACAAAATTATAATGTGCACGCACAATATTTTTTCAACACATATAATGATGCTAATCTGTTTAATAAGAGTGAAATTATTTCATACACGAATGGAATGACAATTAAAGTAAAATTAAGAAAATTTATAACAACAAAACACTGCGAGCTACATTAATAATTTAATGTGTTTTGCGCGAAAGACGCACATCAATCTGCAAATGAACAAAAAACTGAAAATCCTTAGTCTTGTCGCACCAATGCACTTAAGTGCTGTAACGCGCTGTAATGGAACTAAAGTAGTGCTGTCTCGAGACAGTTTGTGCTGTGATGCTGTCACTAAGGATTCTGGGAGTTTCTAAATTGGATAAAAAAAATGAGTAATTAAAAAAAACTTCCGATTACATGTAAAATTAGCAGCCTAGGAAACTTCATCTTATTTAATTTATATTGATCACCAAATGATATAATATATATATATATATATCATGCATATTGCATTGAGGATTCCTTTTTGCAAGTAGGTCACATTATAAATTAATTAAAACCGCTTAAATAAGATAGTTATTAATTCAATTATATTGTGTCGTAAAATTTAAGACAGAAAAGATGTTGCAAAAAAAAATAATTGAAAGAGATGCATAGATACAGCCAGTGTATATCAAAAAAAGATAATAATATAATATACAAATATAACTTTTTTTTATAGAATGCGCAGAGATTACAAATTAAACTGTTTACGCATGACATGCGCACTATACCAGAATTAAGGGACGTGTAAATTGCTATAAATAAAACAATATGGGGCAATTATTCTTATTGTTGAATTCAGTCTTGTTTTTCATACTATTTGGTTGGCAAGTAGAATAAGCAGATTTTGCAAAAGTCAAGTATTGCAGCGGAGCACGTGACAATTATCAGATTTTGCAATAATTAAAATGATGAGCTGGCAGAATAAAACTGCTGACACAATGTGTGACGTATAAAATTGTTTGACTTAAAGAGCAACTCCCAAGTAAAACGTATTCAAAAAGTTCACATCCCCCACAATCTATTTAAATATGGGTCTGCAGATTTTAAATTAGATAGGCAGATTCCTTCAATATTTTTATATTTTGAATGCAAAATTTATGTATTGAAAAATTCCCTGTTTCAGGTTTTGCAGTGGAGCCTTAACACATGCTGATGCTTGCTAAGCCATGTCCAATGTTGGCTACAAGATAAAGCTTGATCCTGTGCCAATTCTGAGCAGTGAACCAAGGCGAACAGATCTCCCTCTTTGTCTCCAAATTGCCCTCCACCGCTTAATAACTTTCCTCCTTTCAAACATAAAATGTGATATCGACTTCCATCGACTCGCCGAGTCTGGTCTTTACTTTTCAAAAGACAGAACAATACTGAAGTGTCATTTCTGTGACTTCCAAATACCAATAGAGAACGTCACGGACTTTGAGGAAATTCACCGATTTGGCACCAGTTCACAATGTCGGAATTACCCCTGGACTACCAATGTTCCCATAGGCAACTTGTCCATGCTCAACTACAAATTTGAGGTGCATCGGTTGTACTCCCTGTTGAAGAAGCCAAACTGGAGATTTGTACACCCCGTCGACCTTGCTCTGAATGGATTTTATTATACTGGCGACGAAGACAACTGTCGCTGCGTCTTCTGCAACCTCGAGGTCCGCGGCTGGGAAGAGGGAGACACTGTTGAAAGGGAACACAACCGGTGGAACCCAAACTGCCCCCTTTTGAAAAATTCTTCGTCCGTGATAAACATCCGAATCGGAGACGAGTTGGACTTGAATCAAGGCGAGAATGTTGCGAGTTCCAACAGGGTTGGCACCAACCCCTTCAAGGTAGAGTGTTATTTATTACTAAAAATCAAATCTTGGCAATTTTAAGATCCTAGAAATTGAATCTTTTTAATTAATGTTACCTGCGTGTTGAAACTTGCAATTTGAATAAATAAAAATAAGTTGCGGCGCATTTTTCCTCATCAAGATTAAGGAACTGCTTCATTTATCCTTTCGAAGCTAATTATTGAACTGGAATTTTTTTTATCTTATTACGTGCAGTACAAAATAAGTTTTATATTAACTCAGCAATTAATCTTAATTCTGCAAGCAAGCAAAAGGCACTGTTTTTAAACAGATAATTTATGTCGCAATGCTTTGAAATATAGTTTATGATTTTAATATAAATGAAGAGCTTGTAAGAGTTGATGACTTAAAAATAGTGGTAAATCTAAATTTGTGATTTTTTTAATATTGCTTGCGTTTCTATTGCGCTTTTTATCATTAGTATAAAAATATTAGTAATGAAGAAACTTTTTATAAGTACATGTACTAGTTTTTGAACTAATAAGTATATATTAAATCAAAATCAGAAATCATTAACTTGCAAATTTTCAGAGTATTTTCCATAAATTTCTCTTTTCTTTTCTCAATACAAAATCAAGCTTTAAATTAAAAAAAAAAAATCGGATTCCAAACAAAATAAAAAAAACTCATTGACCTCCAATTTCTAGTTCAGATCAAAAATTTCGATTTTAATTTTACCAAATTTCCTATTTCAAGATTGTGGCTGGTCTAGACAGCAAGTACGGGCCTTGTGTGAAGTTGACAGAGCTGGCCGGAGTGGTGACACCATCCACCCTGGGCATCATGGACTGGGTGGCGCCTCAGCACCCTCAGTACGCCACAATGAACAGCAGGGTGGCCACTTTCAAGAATTGGCCGCGCAGCATGGCCCAGCGGCCCGAGGAGATGGCAGCCGCCGGCTTTCTCTACACCAGCGGCAGCGACCGCACCGTCTGCTTCCACTGCAACCTAGGGCTGAAAGACTGGGCTCGTGACGACGCCCCGGCCGTCCAGCACGCCAAGTGGAACTCGGCCTGCCAGTATCTGATGCTGACCAAAGGAGTCCAATTTGTCCAGAACCTACTCTGCTCCACCGCAGAGGAGAAAAAAACTGTTAATAAGAGTTCAGCCCGCAGTAACGAGGACCTTGTGTGTGTGGAGTGCAAAAAGGCGCAGGTTTCAAAGGTGGCGCTGCCATGCGGACATATCAACCTTTGCAGCGCCTGCAAGGAGGAAAAGTGCAGAATTTGCCAGGAGGAGGTCAAGGCTGAGGTTCATATCTTTTTTGGCTAAAAATTAACAACAGAGCAATACCGATAATGCGCTATTTACATATTTGTTGATTTGTAAAGTACAATAAATTCTAGTATTTCCGTCCAGAAATTTGTTAAGTGTGACATTACACTGAGTCTGCTCTAGGTAAATAATTGCTTTACTAAATTATAAATTACTAAAATTCGCTAAAATCACAACATAATTCTGGTGCCGTAAATTTAAATTCAATCTGCTATTCATAAGATAATGAAACAAGATCTTAAAATCCGTAGCACAACCTAATTTCAGTAATTTCCTTGACCTTAAACCCGCAAAGTGATTATTTAATTTTGAGAAGCTCAACTGATAAATTAAATTGATATATTATTTCTAGAGTGGCTAAGACTTCTCCAATTACTGCACCATACCACCAAATCACGCAGAAAAAAATTAGATTTCTATTTTAATAAGTAAAAATGCATTCAATTAAAATGAAAAAATTATACAAAACATTTTTATTTTTCTACTGAAATTTTTCTACTGAAATGATATCAAGTAAATTTTTTTACTTTTTATATTTTTATATTTATTTGTGCACATAAAACGATTATAAAATAACTAAAACTGAGAAAAATCATGCAAAAAGTTTGATTTATTTTTAGTCTGACAATGAGAGATCTTAAAGTCACTTTCATTTGTTTTCAGAGAGATATCCGCGCAAAGTTAATACTGAGAATACATATTTTGACACTGAGACATCAGTATTTGAGTATTCAAAATGAGATTTTTCAATATCTGGTTTTTCTTCTTGTTCTATATTAACAAGCCTTTTGAGTAAATTCGCGCTTCCTTCCGTTGCTGCCAAATCCAGCGGCGTACAACCTAGAGCATCCCGAATTTCGCAATCAGCGCCCTTAGCAAGCAAATTTCCAATAATTTCCACACAACCCTTCTCAGCGGCTAAATGAAGAGCCGTCCTGCCAATGGCGGTTGCTGCGTTCACATCCATCCTATCGATCAACAATGCTGCAAGATCTGCATCACCCTCGAAGCAGGCCCAGTGCAGAAGGTTCCATCCGTCCTTGTTGGTGACCGAAACGTCTGCACCGGAATGTACCAGGAAATACTTCATTTCACTACTGACACTGTTTGCCAGCGCCAACTGCAAGGCCATCCAACCGTGCTTTGTTTTCTGCTCGATCAAATCCGAGCTTTTCTCCAGCAGAATTCGCACAGTTGGCAAATCGGCGTACCGTGCAGCGTAGTGCAGGGCGTTCCAACCATCCCTGTCCGCGGCCGAAAGGTCGGCTCCGCGGGCCAGGAGAAATTGGACTAGGTCCACGTGGGCACCTTCCACCGCCAGAATCAACGGTGTCCGGCCGTGACTCGTTCTGGAGTTGACGTCGAAAATCCCCAGGCCGAGGAAATACTCGGCGTTTTTTATTCTGCCGCAGTTGCAGGCGCAGTGAAGGGCGTTCCAGCCGCCGAGGGCTACGATGGCGCCGATGTCGGCGCCGTTCTCCACCAGACAACGACACACGTCGACGTTGTCATTGATGGCGGCGACGTGCAGAGGCGTCAGAACCATGTCCCTCTTCCACGAGTCTCGCGGTTTGGGATTTAGTTTGGCGCCGTGGGACACCAGAATTCGAACGCTGTCTGCGTCGCCGGCCACGATGGCCGTCTGCAGGACGCTCTTGTTGCTCCGCGTGGCGTCAACGTTGGCGCCGTTCGCGAGCAAAAGTTCTAACATTTGTGAGTGACCTTTTTCTACAGCCTCGCATGGCAGGTATGAGTTTCGGCGGGTTCGAAGGACGTCGCTGATGTCCGGACACTCGGAAATGAGTTTTTCAAAAAGCTGGCAGAAATTGTTTCGGGCCGTCGTGTGTATCAAGGCCCACAGTTTGGAGGGCCGGTCTTCTGTGTCCGAAATTTGCAAATGGGCTCCCATTTCCAGAAGTTGAAGGCTGATGGTCTCGTTTGATCGGCAGGCGGTTTCTAGGATGGGAAAAGCGTCCATAATGAATTTCAGGTCTGGATTCTGATCTTTGGAAAAGGTGATGAAAGGTCTGATCAATTGGAAAATATTGACCAGAGAGTCTTTTGCCATCATCACTAGAAGATCGGGGGAGATTTTGTCTTTCATGAATGTTGTGAAATTTTCCTGCATTTCAGCTTCTTTCTGATCCGAAAAGAACGAGTCGACGAAAACTCGAACCTGTTCCATTTTAACTGAGTTCTGGAAAAGCTCAAAATTTCCAAAATTTAATTCAGATTCCGATGACAAGTTGGTCAAGAAGCTCTGCGCCAAAAGAAACTCTGCGAATGTTTGGTGAACAAATCTGACATTTTTGTTGCTGCGTACCGTCGCAATTCCCGTGTTGTTGATTTCAAAAATATTTTCTTCATCAAAATCGGCCAGTCCTTTATTGAGGAGAACGCATCTGGCGAACTTTTGCAAAAGTTCCAATCTTTTTCTGACTTTCGAAGGGAACAGGCGGCTGGAGCGGTCGTACGACTCTTTCAGCACCAGCGCCTCGCCGACTTTCTTCTCCACCACTTTCGCGAATATCGCGAAAAGATTAGTTTCCTCGCCGACCACTAAATCAGCAATCAAAGTCAGATGGAACGGGTTTTTCAATATGTCTGAGGCGCCCACCCGCTCGAAATTATCCAGAACGGCATTGCATTCGTCCAAACTTTTGGCCGAGGACAATTTCAAAAGGCGCAGTTGGTCGGGTCTTCCGAATGGTCTAATTTCTACTTTCTTCACCGCAACTTCCCCTTTCAAGTGATTTAATATGGCATCTTCCTCCTGAGGTCTCGTCGTTAGCCACAAAGGCAGCCTCTGGCCAGCAATGTTCTTGACTAAGGTCAGCACCTTTTGCCTGAATTCAGGGCAAATTTCGTCAAAACCATCCAAAAAAATTACGGCTCTTTTTTCCGCAATGACTGTCGCGGCGTCCAGCACTAATTGCTTAGCCATTTTTAAAATGCTCTCGATCGAGATTGTGTTGGGAGTTTTGTCAAGAAAGTCGTACTGCTCAATTAAAGGGATTCGAAAGAGTACCTTTCCGTCAGGTAGTTCCTTCCGAAGGTGGTGCTCCATCTCCGAGAGGAGCGTTGATTTGCCCATGCCGGCCGGCGCGCTGACCACCCACACGCAATAATTTTCCTCCTCGAGTTGCCGAAGAAAAAGGCGCCGCAGTTTATCAAAAGATAATTTCATTTCTGACTCTTCAGAAGTGTTGGCCGTTGAGACAAGAAACGTTGGCTCGACAAAGCACCTCTGCCAGTTGGGAAAGGTGAGCAACTGATGGAGGGTGCTTGCAATTTGGGGGTGCACAGATTTTGACGCCTGGCCACGCTCTGATTGTAAAATGCTAAAAGCAAGTTCTTGCAAGCTTTTATTTGTCTTGAGCTCTGGATTTCCCAGCATTCCTAATAGCCTGTTTGCGGAATCTGAAATTTTTTAAATGTTAATTAATTTTACAATTAAAATTCAGCAATTTCTATTATTAAATTTGTAATGATATATATTCAAAGGATTTAATTACCTGTTGATGGCAACGCAATGACGAACCAACCACTGTGATTTGTTGCTCGAATTGACAATTTTCGCTCCTGTTTAAATAAAATCCAAATGAAATATTGCATTTGGTTTTAATTAAATATTTTTACCCTTTTCAAATCGTCACTAGATGTACATTGGTTAATAATAAAAAACAGTTTTGGCCTTCCGATCCATTTTTCATTGATCGGACCGACAAAATTCTGGACCAAAAACCCCACAGGCACTTCGTTGCCCTCCATCCACACGCAAATCTGCGCATCTTTGCTCACGGAGAGTTTTGCAAAGTAGCACACAGTGACGCAACCAACGTCCGATTCTTCGTCCGCAGTGACTTAAAAAAAATAAATGAATTATTAATAATTTATATTAATAAAATTTTTAATACCTTTTTGCCAGAGATCTTCAAGATGAGTTGCGGAGTTTTGAACCAGACACGTTTCAAAGTCGAGATTTTCTCTGAGGAGCTTTTCCGTTTTTGTGACCTGTTTGTCGAGCGTTTCGTAAACGACGGCAGCCCACCGGCCTCGGACTGGTTGGCCAGAGGCGGAGAGCCATGTGTAGTATTTGTTTTTCAAGGTACACTTTGACAGCGCCTGAGTGAAACATCTGAGAGAGAGAAAAAGTAAAAACTTGGAAAAAAATTCAAATTATGAAAAAAAATTAAAAATATACTTTGAAATTGTGAAATTTCTGCAGGGTGAAAATTTTATTTCCGGTGTTTGGCCAACGTCGTCTGGCATGGAGTGGATTTTGTTTTGCACATCGGTGAGCACAACTTCCAAGGACGCGTCGTGGTGCAGACTGTCCAGAATTTCACACGTCGCCTGCACTAGAGAGGTTCCATTCTCCTCACTACGCTTGGCTTTAGTTGCTTTGAAAAAAAAATTAAATTTATAAAAAAAAAATGGAATTTTAGGAGGAGAAAAATTCATACTTTCAACTGTTGAAAAAACCAAAATGAAGTCATCGTAGCCAGGGAAATTTGAGATGCGGCAAGAGTTTTGATTATTCAGAAGTTGGTTGTCGAAGCTTGGATTGTGAATTTCGTCATCAATTTCACCCCGGCAAGGCTTTAATCAGAAAAAAATTAATATTCAAATTATGTTTCTAAGTAAAGATTTACTCACTCCAAAAAATACAACTTTCAAGCTATTTTTCAGTGCTTTTAGAGATTCAATAACTTGGACGCTTGTGAACTGCTCATACTCGCCAGTCACTTTGTCTTTGTGATCGGTGAAAATTTTGCCGTTTCTGGTTCCATGAGATAAAATAAAGAGGAGAAAAACTGATGGCTCCTCTGAAACACGATATAATATTTTAATTTTAAATATTACAGTTCAATTTACAATTTAAACAAACCGTTCAAATCAAAGAGATGCAAAAGTTTATTTTTGTCATCTAAGAGTTCCAATAGATCTATTTTCTCCGGCGACCTGACCGCCCTGAAACGACAATTTCTTTTCGCCTCAAAGGTATCCGCCAGCCTTTTCAAGTCCACCTCATTTCCGACACGTTCATTCGCAGCGTCCCCCTCAAACTGGTAGTGGACGACAAGGACGGACGTACTTTATTTGATAGAAAAGATTTAATAACAATAAAAAAAAGGAAAAATAAGTAAAATCATTACTCAGTGGACTGGTTTGCTATGTCATCATCAAAATAGCCAAAATTAGCGTTGGTGTCTAAAAAAGTATTTTAATTGTATTGAATAATTCAGTATTTGTTATATTGTGAAATAATTACATTCTTTAGGTCTGCTTAAGCAATTCGTTTCCCGGATTTTGATTTTGGCGGTTGGTTCTTTCTCATGACCATTTTTGAATTTCCACTTTTTTCCTCTCACAATCAATGTTTCGCGAATTTCCTCGTCTTCAATGATGCTGTCTGCCATCATAGCAGATCTGTTGAATTTGAAAAAAAAAACCATTAAAAAAATAATTAAGATGCAAACAGCTTAAAATTAGTACAGCTACCATATTATAATATTATGAAAAGAGTTTTAGTGCGGTATCTGGTGACCAAAATTTTAGAATAGAATTTAGTCATCAGGAAGCAGGAAAGATCGGATCTGCAATTATTTATTTTTTTATTATCACCGCAAAAATTATAGAGTGCAATTTTTAGCCGACATTTTATATATTTAAATTTACTTTCACCCTTCGAGTGTAGGATGAGATAATGGTGGCACTTTGCCAAAAGATGCGAGTCCTTAAACAAAAATAAACTGTACGCGAATAATTTAAAATAAAAAATAGGAATCGTTGAAAAATATAGAATCATAAAATGCTCAACTGCAAGAAAACTCTAAAATTTCATGATATTAAATTTTATAATTATAAGCCGGAACCTTCAATAATTTTGTTAATAAGAATGATTTACTTTTACTAAAATAAAATACATGTTATTAAAATCATAAATGATGGCTGATAAATTTACAATTAGTAATTTAATAAGATTTAATAATTTAGATTAAAATAATGATTTTAATTTTAATTCTAATAGGCAAAACAAAATAAAAATAAAACCAAAACACCCCAACTCACGTACTAAATGATTATCCGGTTCGGACTACAATAATATTATGAGTGGCCGTCTGCCTCGGCGAACAAAAGTGGTGTCGCGTGATCATTCGCAATGCGAATCAGTAAAAGACACCGGCGGAACTCGCGCCGGCGCGCCTGATGGGATCACATGATGAAATACTTTCAGCTAAAGTCTTACAGCCCACGCTTTTGAATGTTAATATATAAAAAACTTTAAACGGGGATCACTGGTATTGGCGCAAAACGGCCGGCGGCGAATAAGTGGTTTGTTGCGTCATCCACAACGGAAGGGACTGAAATAAATTCCACGTCTAAAGCGCGATACGGCGCTGACGCAAAAATAAGGAAAAATAAAGTCAGCTGCAGTTATATTGCCGGTCATTTTAAAATATTAAGAAAAAAAACTAGAGGTATTATGAATTTATTGGAAAATGCTATGATAAAAAATTTTTTTGTTACTAAGCTTGACCGGGGTTAGTGTTAATGAAATTATAATAATATTTTTTTTTTTAAATGGATAAGTCAGAATAGTTATAGATGGATTAAATTTCGTTACTTTACATTTGCATTAACAATAAGTAAAAAATTTCACGACGCAACTCGATAAAACATATACAGAAGAATGATTTTATTATTGTTTTCTTAATGAAAAATACGTCTTTTGCATTATTGAATTTCAAATGAAAACTTTTTTTGTCCAGTTTGGCATACTTGCCAAAGTAAATTTTATTTGAAATAATACAATGAAAATAAATTGGATGTAACACTTACTGATTAGTGATTAGTTTTAATATATAAACATGTATTGAATTAATATATAAAAAAAAAAATTGTTGCATAAATTTAACATTTTTAAATAAAAATATATGCAAGTATCCATAACAAAATAAACATTATTTACATTAAAAAAAAATTAGTAATATTATTTTGTTTAATTTTCGTCCCTTATTAATTGACCACACCTTTACTCCCATTAAAGTGAATGCCGACGCGAAATCAACGCCGCTGTTGACGGTTTTGGCCAATATGACGATGATAATTTACCCAAGTTTATTACACTGTATTTTTTTAAATTAACACTTATGGGCTCGTCAAAACTGCTTTATTTTTCAAAATTTATTTTCATGATGTTAAAAAAAAAATAGATGATATAATGGATAATATTCATGCATGAAGCAGGATTATATTTTTACGAAAAAATAAATGACTCATACAACCCGTCGAGGGAAAACCTTATTTAAATTCAATCACGAAGAATCAATTCTCTGAGTCCTCAGTCGGTCGAGAATAAATACTTTTACAAAATCTATTATAACCTGTCTGTCTATAGTCTATAACCTAACAAACAGGCAGGCTCATGGGTTTGGCGCCACTTTTTATTTGAGCTCTTTGCTTTTCAGGCCGCGCCCCGCCCCCTTCCTCAATCAAAAACAGAAACAGAATTCCAAGGGCACCGTTTTTCTTATAATTTGCAGCGTTAAAATTTCATCAATACAACAATGCGCCATAATTAGCACATTCATTTGCTTCAGTGCCAGATTATCTAATTAGTTCAACACTAATCATGAAGTCCACGTAAAATCGTCACAAAAAAGATGAACAGCAACAAATTAAACGTAAGGAAAGCTCTCGTCGCTCTTGAAATCTTTGCAATTTTTCAATAATATAAATAATTATATTTTCCCATTTTTTTTCAGGTTTTGGAATGTCGCGTGTGCGAGGACGTGTTTGGGCCGAGTGGCGAAAGAGTGCCTCGACTTCTGCACTGCGGCCACACGGTGTGTCACTCGTGTCTGCTGCGCCTGCCCTTGCAGCACGGAGACGTCCTTTGTCCTTTCGACCGACAGCCAACTCCCACTGGTGAAAATTCTTACTCTTTTGTTTACTTAAAATCTAAAGATTTCATTGTCTTAGGAGAAAGTGGTGTCTGGGGCTTGAAAAAGAATTTTGCCCTTCTGGAGTTGCTCGAACGACTGCAGTCCGAAAGACTGCCTTCGACTTCCGCTTCTGCCTCAACTACTGGGCTTTCAAGGCTGTTAGATGGAAATCTACCAGATAGACAAGTACGAATAAATATTTAGGCTTTCCATATTATACAATTTCAAAACAATTTATCTGATTCCTTTGAAATACATAAGATGCAAATAAAATTTAAGAAAAGTTTAAAGCCACATTTTTAATATTCCCTATTTTTAGATGTGCGATGAAGATGAAACTCATGTTGCTGTTGTTTACTGTGTGGTTTGTGGCTCTCACCTTTGTGAAGAATGTTCCGAGCGGACCCATGCGACCAGGACCCTCGGCAGGCACCGGCGTGTCCCCTTGGCCGAAAAGCCCCGCGAAAGGGCTAAGTGTGCGTTCCACCCCTCTCATGTGGCCGAGTTTGCCTGCCTGGAGCAGGCATGTCAGCAGAACCCACTCATGTGCTTTGTCTGCAAGGACTATGGGCGTCACAAGGGACATCAGGTTTGTAGTAATTCAAAAATTTTATTTTTTCCCAATAGTTAATTTTTGAAGAGTTAGAAAGTGGCAACAAAATAAGCAAATATTTTGCTGAAACTTTGAAGATTTAATGTTTAAAAATTTCCAGCACGGACTGGTTGAGACAGAGGCAGAGAGTCTGCGGCAAAACGTTTTGAGTGCAGTGTCAAATATGAGACAGTTCATGGACACCTTAGGAGAGTCCGTTCATAAAATTGGTAATTATTAATGAAACACCCAGATGAAATACTAGTTTGAATTCAATAGTTAAAAGAGAGCACTATTTCAAATGTAGATCATTAGAAAAAAGATGATTGAGTTTTATCCCAATTTTCGTCAAACTAAATCCATTTTAATTCAAAATGAAAATTTTTGAAAATAATTTTTTTTTTTATTATTATTAAGGGTTGAATTTAGTTTTATATTTGTTTTGCAGAAGTGGCTGTGCAGAGGATGGAAGGAGGCACTGTTGAAGAGGCAAGAAACAGGGTCAGGACGCACTTCCAGCAACTGCGAGAGAGCCTCGAACAACAGGAAAATGCAGCCTGCACTGCTCTGGAGGCGCACACTCGAGAAAGGCTCTGCGCCCTGAAGCAGCTCCAGGAAGACCTGACCATCACCATGTCACATGTAAATGATTTCTCACATTTTTGATCTATTTAAAATTTTATTTAATTCTTTATCTCCAAGACTTCTTTAAAGTCGCTGTTTTTAGAACGGTGTTAATCAAATTATAAACTTTCCATTTATAGTAAAAAAATTTGTACAAATTAATCACATCAATTTGAAATTGGTGAAATTATTAAAATTAGAAACTGATTTTACTGAGTTTTTTTTTTAAATCAAGTTTGTCAATTTGTCGCAGGTGGCGTCGGTATGCGTCCAGTGCAGTCAGTTGTGCTCCCAAGACGATTCTCGACTATTGACTGCTGGGCAGGAATTGAAAGAGGCCTTGACCGCTGTCGAACAGCAGCAGCAACAATTTGTAGACCTCCCACCTGAGCAAAGACACCCTGATCCTGCAGTTCCGGTCACATTTACAAAAGTAGTATCCATAAAAAATACCGGCAATGAGATTAATTAAATACAAAAAATTCCCCTAGGACAACCGGGTGCACATGGGCCCTCGAATGGAGATGCGAGTGGTGACCTTGGGTCTGGACGGTGCTGGGAAGACTTCGATCCTGTTCAAGTTGAAACAAGACGAGTTTGTGGCTGCAACGCCAACCATCGGCTTCAACGTCGAGAGTCTCGAGCTGCGCAGTGACCTCCAGCTGACAGTGTGGGACGTCGGTGGCCAGCCAAAGCTGCGGCCTCTTTGGAAGCACTACTACCTCAACACTCAGGTCCGCAACTTTGTCCTGATTTTGACAGTAAATAGAAATTTTGCATTTCAGGCTGTTGTCTTTGTTGTTGACTGTGCTTGTCGAGATCGGTTACCGGAAGCCCAAAGCGAGCTGGCCAAACTCATTGCAGAACGGGAGTTGAAAGACGCTGCTTTACTTGTGCTTGCTAATAAACAGGTAAATATGCTTCCCTGTTTTGTCTTTTACAATATCATGATTTTTTTTTTTTAATTAAAAAAATGACTTAATTCCCCAGTTGAAATTTAAATTTTAATACATTTTTTTATTGAATTTAATGTTATGTTAATAAAATTGAAGATTTAACAAAAATAAAATGATAGTCAAAATTATGCAAAGAATTTCTTGGTGGCATTTAGAATAAGTCCGAGTCTAAAAATTTTGAAAATTTCTTTCTATGAACAGAAATTTGACTCTATCTTCCCAACCAGTGGAAACGCGAAGCACTGGAAACCCTTTCACATTTACAATACAAATCTCTCTTATGTAATTATAATTTTTATAATAATCATGATTTCTAAAATACTTCAAAATCTTCAGTCATATAATAAGAATATAACTTAAATCAAGGAGTTGAATTTTATTTCAAAGTTTGGAAATATTGTGGATTTTGTAGGTTAATAAATTACTTAGTGGTTTTTACGAGTTTAACTTTGTTTGTGCAGGATATTGAAGGAAGCATCTCGGCCGAAGAGCTGTGTCAGCAAATGGCCCTTCCAAAGCTTTGTTGCGGCCGCAGTTGGCATTGCCAGTCATGCTCTGCGCAGACTGGGAACGGACTGACGGAAGGCCTTGAGTGGCTCAGTCGACAGTTAACTACGGAAACTTCCCAGTAAAAATTACATTCATCGAATTATTGATTTTCCCCCTAATGTTAAACCATGATGATATTAAGTGACCCAATCTCTCTAGAGTCACTGCCGAAATATATTATGATTAGAAGTTTGAGTCAAAAATATCAAACTTACGCTGAAGCGAGATGAACTAGACAAGCATCACGAATACTTTTCTTCTGCTAGAGGATATTTTACGCTTATTCTGAGTTATTCTCAGTGTTGATAAATATTTTATATTGATACGGCTGTAATGTTAATAATTTGGTCACTCAAACTGACTCTAATGATTTTTTTATTTTAATGTTGGGCTTTGATAAAAAAAGTTTAATATTGTTTTGTCAGTATTATGCTTGGAGCCATGGGTGGGTATAATTTTCATAAATGTAAGAAAAATTTAATAACAATTCAAACAAGTGAGAAAAAATAAACTGTTTAATTCCAGCTATGGATCCCTAATTTGTAAGATTTTCAGATTTTGTATCATCAAAAAATAAGATTTTTTTATAAAAATTGCTAAAAAAGGAGTGCATGAGAAGCTAATAAAATTTTTTCAATAAGTTTGAAATTTGATAAGATCCCCATGACATATAAGTAATTGGATAACATTTAAAGTCATAGAGGATCAGCAATAAAGCGAAAAATCGCTTAAATTGAAATAAAAATGGACGCAATCTCCATAGTTCAATTTCAAAGGTGATCAAATGAGTTTTTTTCAGGTTTTATGAAAAGATTTATTATACATCAATCTGGTTTTTGACATTTTTATTTATATCTGTATTTGAAAACAAAAAATGGTCTTTATTGTGTGTGATGTTTTGATGCAAACAAAGCAATGCTGATTGCAGAAATAAATAAAAATCAATAATCTGCCAGCAGGATCAATTTTGACGTCACTAGCAGTGATTTGTCTGTCATTCAGGCTTGTACATATAAATCCCACCTCTCCATGCAGTGGAGATCACACAGGTGAGACGAAAAGGAAGGCGTGCAGCCAACAAGCAGTCAGTTTCGAGCCGCGCACCTGAGAGAAAGGTACTCGACCTGATTTCGCTCTGTCCGTCACTGAAGTCGTACGAGTGTTTGCCGGCAAGAAGACATCATTAAAAAATTTACCGCATCTGCTTTTCGCCGCGGGATGATGCAGTTTTTCGGCAGGAAAATGTAGTTTGTGTGCGAAAAGTAGAAACCCGAGTGGATGTGGATCAAAGAAGTCGAAGGCGCGGCCAATGATGAACAACTTTTCATTGTTGCTGCTCTCTCTAGTCACCGTAACAGGTGAGTTGGTATTGATTAAATACTTTTTATTCTGTGCAATGAAATAAATGGAATGAAAAAGCCATTTTGGAAGAGAAAAATTTATAAAAATTTGTCAAAATTTGAAAAAGCATAATAACTTAAATATCTTCACAAATTGTCAACACAGGAATTATTTTTTATAAATAAATTTGATTATTTTTTTCCCTAAAATTTGTAAGTATGTTTCCTCTTATTATCTTAACATGTCAAAATTGTAGCAATAAGTTTCAAAAAGTTGCAGATAAAAAGAATCACAATCATTTCCGTCGCGAAACAAGAAAACTGTTGCTCGCGGAAATTGTACAATTTTCGGAGGAAAACCGTGACTCCGGTTGTAATTTGTAAGAGGAAACAACCACTCGTATTTTTTGTAAGACAATAATATTATCCCACTCGTACGGTATCTCTTCGCGCTCGAGAGCTGCTTTCGCCTGAGTTTTCTGCCTTTTGTTTCCGGCGGTGCATTTTCATATATCGTCGCTCACTCAAAGGTGAACGTTCCTGCATCCTTACGGAAGTAGGTCGGTGTGTCTGTCAAATGGGATCGTCCGTCTGCATTGTATTGAAATCGCGTTTGTCGCTCTCAAACCTTTTTCTGAAATATAAAAAGTCCACATGATTGTTTTTGTTTGCACCCAAATGAATAAAGAAAGAAAAGTTTTGTGGCGCCACGGGATCTTTCAGCTTTCGAGTCGCGTGCCAAAAGTAGGCTCCCTCTTCATTAAAATTGCAAACGCATTCCAAGTAACGCTGCTTTGTTTTGCGATTGATCGCTTTTGATTGAGCTTGGCCATATCAAGTTGTAATATACTGTAATTATCGGCTTTCGTTTTATTTTCGTTTTAAATAATTAAACCTGAATCAACCTGATTAGGGTTTTTTCTCAGCAATTAAAATACAAGTTTAACTTTTATCTTTGTTTAGAGCTCATGCTCCAAAACGTGATATAATTTTTTTATAAATTTAAAATTTAGTCTACTCGCTTACCATGCAGAGAAGAAATTTCATGCATTTTCTGATACTTGGAAATATTTAAAAATGAAAATGATCAGATACAAAATATCTCATTCAAGATCATTTAACCAAGAATGTTAAAGTTTTGTAGCAGCCGGCTAATTTAATGATTTAATACCCATATAGCTTCTGATTTATAAAATGATTTCTTGAATCATTATGTAAAAACATTACAAATTAAAAATAGTTAATTTTTATAATCCAGTGGGATTGATCTTTTTAGACGTGGACATAAATTGTTTCGGCTTTTAATAGTAATTTTATAGAGAATCAATAAAATAATATAATTATTTATATTTGTGTAATTTTCAATATAATAAGCATAAATATTGAAGTTCTCTTTTTGTCAACAATATATAAATGAATATAAAGTGGCAAGCTCATCCTTCCTCAATAAAAGTCAGTGCACAGGAAAAGTTGTCTGGTCCGCGCGGCGAATCGAGTGGCCATTCGTACTTACGCGACTCAAATCGGGGTCACCTCGTTTGTAATAAAAGCACAAGCGCGCACCTATAATATACCCACCGCAGCCGCGGCTAGAGAGGGACGCTCATAAACTTTCGAACGAGAAGTCGCGCCTCGTGTGTTAAAAATTATGCACACACGCAACTCTTGCCACCAACGCTTATCATAATTTAATTGAATATCATCTCCATGCATATTGTGAAAACGAGGTTATAATTTGTGTTTTTAATACAAAAAATAAAAATTCATTGAAGTTTTATTTTTTATCTTTTGGTGTCATGAACGTGCATTTAATCAACAAAAATAATTTATTAATTAAAATTTATACACACTTGCAATTTAACATTTTAAATATTTCCAAAACGAATTTATAAATTTTAAATTAAGTTACAGATATAGCTCGAGGTAGATTTGGTGATAAATTTAAACCGAGCTTAATCTTATTGCCCCGTAGACATAACAGTAAATAAATATAAACTCATAAAAATAAAAATAAGGGAAATTGACGCATGACTACTCATTTATTTTTCTTTTATTTCTTTCTTTCCAACAAGATCAATCAAGGTTCAAAATGGTTCAAGAATTAAAAAACTATCTGATAATTATATAAATAAAGCAGCAAAGTGCATTTCTCTTCAAACTGCATGTTTGACTTTGTGTCTGTCATTTCTGTCACCACACAATGCGATCATCGAGCGTTTGCTACTTGCATGTTCACGTGCGAGTGACAACAATGCAAACACACGTTATTTTCAAATTTTATTATTTCAAGTCATGTAACCTTCTCTCGCGTCGACACGCCGTTTGAGAACATCAAAGGAAGAAATCGCTGGCGCAAGAAAGCGCCTCCGAAAACTGTTATTGTCATCGTGTACAGTAAAGTTACCTTCTGTTACATTGTAATAGAGTAACTTGTTGCACGAGCGGACACCGATTACGCTGCCTTGAAAAACATAAAATGCAGTCATTTGACAGAACTTTTTAAATGTTTGTATCCGAAAGGAAGAAATTTTTTCGAATTTGTATAGACAATGTTATTGAAACTACATTTTTTTAACAATTTGTTTCTAAATTTACCTTATGTTTTCGTATTTTGTCTGTAGACAACAATAAAACTTAACAAAGCCATCAGTCGACAATTTATGTAAAATGCTGGAAATACATTATAATTGAATTAATATTTTATGATATAAAGATTAACATTTTTTTGACAATTATTATTTTATTCTAAATGACTGGTAGTATTGAAATGAAAAATAAAAATTATTATATGCACAAATTTTAGCAAGAATAGTTTAGACATCACGCGAAAAGAAAACCTGTTACATAAAATTTTATTTCTTAAAATTTTCTTAGTTTTTTACTGCTTATTATTAGCATTAACTGAGGTTTACTTATAAAAACTTTTTTTAAAACATATATATTAATGTTTATTGATGCAACAGAAAAGCTATTTGCTGAAAATCATTTCGTAAGATTGAAATTTTTTGTAACATCAATATTGACCCGTTTGTCTTCTAATTTGCGCAACTTGGCCCAACTCGAAATAACGAGAGTGAGAACGAGTATTGCCAGTTTTGAAACTGGCGCACTTGGGGCGAAAAACTTTCGCATTATTGCAGAGACACAACAGAGAAATTAGGAAATTTTTGAGCAACTCAATTTGACACACGAGAGGCGAAAACAACCTCGACCTTTACCGCTTTTTTCACTCAAAGGTTTTTGGGCCAGCGTCACTTGGTGCTCATTTTTCGGCGGCAAAACTAGTTTGCATAATGGAACACTTTTGCAATGACCTAAGAATTAATAGTTTCTATCCCATTTGGACTTTGGTAAAACATTGTCTGAAATACAAAATTCCTGCGCTCTTAACAAATTTTTTAACAAATATGTACAAACAGTTAATTAAGAATTCTACAAAAATTTCCACATTAAAAACACAAAATTTATAAAAAAGAATGAAAGAATATTGCCAAAATTCGATTAAAAAAAATTTAAAATAAAATAAATTTCTCAATAAATACAAACTTTGGAACTAGTTGGGAGGCAGATATTCTTATATTATAAGTCTCTTCTCTCGTCCTACAAACCGGGATAGAGTTGAAATAGTACTGAATTAATCCACGAAAAAGAGCAGAATGCCGGCGGACACGAGCGAGCGTGTTCAAGTTCTTTATTTTCAAGAAATCCAGTCTGGCTGGAAACTGACCGAGTTGACATCAGATGAGCGTGTGCCCATTAAAGCGTCTCTTCCTCGATAAAAAAATTATTAAATAAATTATTTTAATTAAATAAAAAATGCCTTTGAGTGCGGATTTGTGTCGTAATTATCACATGCTTGATTGATCGAGCGCCAACCGACTTGCATAACTGCTCTGGATAGACCAGAATTTGTATCGGAAATTATTAATGAAATGAATTAATTGGTGAGGAGGTCACCTCCATTCGCCGGCAAAACACAATGAATGCACCACGCGACGGCCAGCGTGCATAACTGTAAAAAGCCACACGATGTGCGATTGGATGAAATGCACCACGCGCGTCCCAAGAATTTTTTATCCTCTGTTGTTTCCTTGAACTTTTGAAACGATATCCAATTTATAGAAAAAGGAACTAAAGCGTAAAAAAATTAATGATCTTGAAGGCAATGCCATGAAACCGTGAAGATCCTGATTAAATACTTTTGAACCTCCATAAAACAAACAAAATTGAGATAAGTTGGAACTTTTTCACTTTTTTTAATTAGCTCTTACTATAATAATAATAAATACATAATACAGTCCCACAACCACAAGTTATTCTCAAAACGGATCTTTCATAATTTTATTATTCCGATTAAAATTAGAATAAAAACGAATAATAATAATAATTTTGTAGACCAGGTCTTTCCTTTTATTTTTAAACATAGAATTTTTAACCTGAACTTGTGAACCTTTTAAATTAATTTACTATTACTCTAAACTATTTTAGGTTTTTTTTTAAAGAAAAAATCAACTTTTTAATATTTCTTCTCTTATAAAATTGTGGTAAAATGATTATGCTGCCATAAACATAACATCAAGAATAAAATTCAAATAACCCTTTCCTTGTCTCTTTGAAAAAATGGCTCGCTATAAATGGGCTTTTTTAGGTTTCTTTATAATTTCGCTAGGACTTTTTCAATGTGAATTGTAGCTAAACATCTTTTAAGAAAATTATTTCACTATTCTTAAAATAAAAATTAAAGACTAAAATAAAATTGTACTTATAAAAAGAATTATTAATTTACACTTATATACACCTTTAATCATAAAAATTACTGACAAACATTTTTCTGACATGCTGGGGTTAGACTATAATCCAACTTTGAAAATCGTCTCAATTTTTCTTTGTACGCTTCATTTCTTAATATGCTGATTACATTTCTCTTTACCCACGTACGTCTCGTGTTGCAGTGAAAGTTTCTCTTATTAATTCTCTTAGCATAAGAATTCGCTCACTGCACCGAGGAAATTTCATAACCGCAAATTGAAGTCGCTGCCAAATCCTGATTGTGAGAGACAAGAACAAAAACGCCGGCGTCCGACCACCGTAATTTATGCGGTGTGTGCAAATTCTATATAAATTACCAAAAAAGTTGCAACCACCGATTTCAAAAATAATTTCAAAACCTTCTCCAAAAGAAACAATCGTGCTTTGTTGATCTTCAGGTGGGAGCTGGGCCACGTATGTATGTATAATTAATTAGACTCAATCGTAATTACTTATTCATTTATGACAAGGCTGTCTGCTAGGCTGTCTGCAAATCTCAGATTAGGTTTGATGAAAAATTCCGTGGCCTAAATTGTTTTTTAAATTCTCAGTGACCATAACATGTGGCTGCTGTTACTTAACGGACCTGGGTCAATCAGTAGTTGCATGTCAGACATAAAAGAATAACTGTTTTCAGACAGTGTCATTGAATGAATAACGTATATCTATCAGTAGGACAATAGAACTGAAAGGGATGAAACTTTAACTGTAGTGAAAAAGTCTTACGCGCATCGAGACTCCTCAGCTAAAAATCGGTTCGAGTGATTTCGTATTTTAGTTGCAAATTGTGTTTATTGATCTATCACAATTTAGATTTTAATTAATCTAAATGTCTGAACTTGTAATTCAAAATTGCTTTCAAAAGAAATATTTTTAAAAACGCTTGATTATAATTAATGGAATACCTTACAATAAAGTAGTAAAAAAATTATTGGATTGTTCAACTTAAGATTAGAATTAAAATAAAACTTCTAGATGCTACAGGTTTTTTTTGTCAGTTTTGGTAAAATATTTTAAAGTGAATATTGATCAAGGTAAGCCACTTTATTTAATTTTGTCAACAAATTTTCTACTAAAAAAGAGCGGAAACTGAGGGATGTTTAAAATAATTATGTTGGAAATTAAATTAAAAACAAACTGGCTCATGCTCATTAACAGAATCATTTTCACTGAATAACAAAACGGTTTTGTGTATTCAAAACTAATTAATCATTTTTTCTTCTTTCAATTAACAGATGGTTTGCCGTTTTCCTCTAATTAAATTTTTTTATTTACTTGATCTCCATTCTGATACATTGAATAACACAACATCTTATACATCAGATCAATATTTAAAAAAATAAAGGGAAATAGTATTCAAATTACAAAACTTAACATTGGTGAGAAGCTGTATATTTGCAAGGCCATTATTTAATTTGAGTGGCCCTGAAAATTATTTGTTTTTAATGAATATTATTCAATATATTTGTACCTCTTCCTGAGAAATTTAATATTATTTTGTTTGTTTTGATCAAAGCTGTCCTTTTTGAAAGCCACAATGAATTAATTCATCACGTATATAATGCACCATTCAGCTTTTAGTTGGGTCCCTTTGTTTTGGAGTTCAGTGGCACGCTCCCATTCGCACCCAACGGAAGAGTAGGAAAAACCGTCATGTTTTCACAGAACTACGAGCGCGCATTAAATAATCTATTATTTTTCGCCAATGGCTATAACTGTGTTCAACCAAAACCAATTCTCCGAATCAAAAAAGTATTTTTTTCCCACTGAAAAAAAACTAAATCCAATCAACCAATAAATTTGGATTATAAATAAAAAGGATGAGAGGACGCTTTATTAAGAGATTTTTCTGTTATTTTTTTCCAGGAGTATCAGCAACCTGGCCCTATGACTGGGGGTTGGGGGGATGGGGTTTCGGGGCATGGGCGAGTAAGTCGAGTCCCAGTCAGGAACGGCAGGACGAAGTGCACGATGTTGAAATCCTCAAGGCAGTGGTCACCTCAATGGCCGAGTGGGAACGCAGCAGAAGAGACACCTCCAGGTATTAAAATAAATTCAGAAAATTAAAAATTTTGAAAATCCAAATCATTTGTAATGCAGGGCTAAAACTCATTTGAAGTTATAAGATGAGAATTATTGCGATGGAAGGAATTCAAGAGCAAAATTTTTATCTCTAATTCCATTTTTATCTTTTTAGTTGTTATGAAATTTTATGAAATTGCGCCGAATTAGCTTTTGAATATTAGAAATTATACATTAAAATTTAATTTACTAGTAAAACCTTGCATGAATTTTAAATTTTCAATTATTCACTATATTCCACTAAATTAAATGTTTGATTCAAACATGTATTGTTCCAACAATTTTGTTATGCTTATAGTTTTAATTTTTTCATACACTGAAAATAATTTAAAAGATTATCCGATTTGAGACTTAATTTAAAATTATTTTTAATTTTTGTTAATTAGAAAAAAATTTAATCAGTGTGTTTTATTTATTTTTTTTCTGATCTGTTCTCATTATTAAATGTCCTTGTCTTGTGTTATTACCAGGGCAAAAAGAGCCGACAGTTCGGTGTGCTACTCGAACATTGGCTGCTTCATGGGCGCGGCGCCGTTCAGCTACTTGGGGGTGCTGCCGGCGCCTCCGTCCGAGGTCGGAACCAGTTTCCACTTCTTCAGCCCCCGCGAGCCACACAGGGCGCGCAGCCTCTCCTTCGAGGAAATCGTGGTACCCGCTGCCGACGCCCTGCTCGACACCGGCGCCGCCCCCGAGTTCGCACCCCTGCAGCTCGAGCCCCAACAACAGTCCGTCCGAGGAAGAAGGTATTTTATTTTATCTCAAATTTTCACTTCGCTCGCACTAATGCTCTAGAAGATTCAACTTCCTGAACGCTGCATATTGGGCGGGGAAGGATAAGGATGGATAGTAACTTTTCTCGAGAGCTCTGAAAAAAGTGGTCGGCCTTGTGGTTTCTCTTTGGGATTATGAGATTATTTTTTATCCTACATGGTGCATCGTTAGCAATTATGTTCGGAATGCGCGTTGGTGGGATGACGCAAATGTTAACAAATTTTTGAAAATTAAGTTATATTTAGTTACATAGTTTCTTTATCAATATATGGCATCATTATATTTTTATAAAAATATAATTAGATTGAAGTTGAGGAAATAACATGTTATAAAATGAAATAAAAAAGTGTATTCTGGGCAGGGGGAGGGGGAATTAATATATATGATTTGAAATTTTAATGATTCAATTATTTTCGGATGGAGAGAGTTGAATGTAGAATTATTGTAGATTTATATTCGAAACTTTATTAAATAATTTTCTTTTTAATTAATTTATTCAATAAAATTGAAATCAAAATTATTCACAATATCAGAGTGAACTTTTGTGGGTTAACGTGAAAATAATTTATATTTGCCAGTTTTCTTAGAAAGGCTCGAAAGTAAGGTCCAGAGATAGAAAATTGATAAAAATCAAAGTTATTCTACCTTTAAACACTAGTAAAATTTAAAATTCATGAAGTGAATTAATATTTTCTATAATATATTTTACATTACCTTTGATTAGCAAAATTTCACAGTGTATAAAAAAACACAAATCTTCAGGAATTTAATAAACATTTTTTTTAGAGACTTATTTTCAACATGAGATATGTTGTTTAAAATCTTAAATTTCAAAGACAATAAATTATTTATAGTCAACTAGTGTTTCTGCACAAATTTTTCGTTATTCGAAATAATTGTCTGATTATCAAAAAATTACTCCTTACAGATGATAATTATTGAATAAATTTTAAATAAGAGATCCTGTTTAACTTTTCTGCATCCAGGAAATGACGCATTGCAATCGCGATCTAGTACCTGCCTTTTTCTGTCACTGGAGAAATGAAACCGCATTTTCCAAAACGGGTTGTGGGCTTTTCGCACCCACTTTCAGCCTTATCACGTTCACCGCGCGTCCTTTGGCGTATTGGAGAAAGTAATTCTTGCTGCAGCTCTCGGGCAATCAGGTTAACTTCTCGAGGCCTTGACATTGTGCGTCTGCCACTTTTATTTCCCTATACAAAGGTGCACAGCACCTCTCCTCGTATGGTACACACCCTCGTCGCGGTCGCGGTGCGGTCAACACTCGCATTGTAAATCCAGCGACAGGAGCCGCTTTCACCGAGAAGATACCGCTACTTCGCGTTTTTATCACCTGACAGGTGCGACGCCGCATTTTCAGGACACATCAATTATCAGAAAAACATTTTTTATAAATTTGAATGAATAATAATTGAAAAGCCAGGAATCAGCAAGAATTATAATTACAAATAAATAATGTATGTGTATTCTAGAATTTTATAAAAAAAAGTTGTCCAATAACGAATATGAGTAAATTATCAAGAAAAAAAGCGAAAGGGACAAAAATATTATTAAAAAATTTAAAAAGTTCAAATTAATTGCAGCAATGGCGATTTTAATGTAATACAAAATTAAAATTATTAAGAAATTCACCCCATCGAGAGGATAATATATGGATAAAAGTCGATTTTGGCAACTGGGACAATAAAAAATTAATTAATTTTGAATTATCTAGGACATATTTAGTTGATTTTAATGTAAATTAACAAAATCTAAAAATAAAACTTGACTTTATAGATGTAAAAAAGTTTTGAAATATGAAATTAATAAATAAATTATTTAAATACGCATAACTAGGACAAAATCTTTGAAGCATAATTGAAAAAATCTGTATTATGAAAGGAAATATCTGACGTTTGACGTGAACTAAAAAAATCGGTCGAATCTCAATTATGAAACCATCGCCACTTGATTATAATTATGTACTACTTGATGATGCCACAACCAGGACAGGAGACCCTAAAGCCAATCAAGTATTGTGTACACGCTTTGGCCCCTTTCCGCGATTATACCATCATCAATTAAGCCGTTTTTATGTTGCCCAACGCTTACTTAATAAAAAGGTTAAGAGTCTCTTTAAAACATAGGTAAAAAATTTATCCTCAGGGGCCGTACGCTGAAATTGAGCAAAAAAATTGGCTGCTGCAGGTCGAGAAAGTGATTTCGTTTGCTTTGGCACTTTTGCTTCTGCAGAATATTGACACAAATTTGCCAATAACAAAAAAGATGGAGAATAAAAATACGAGGGAACCAAAATGAATTGTCGTCTATATTTGTTTAGATTTTCACGCCTGTGTTCAAAAGGAAAGAGAGAAGAAGAAGTGAGTTTGGAGAACTGTTGTTTAAACAAACAAACAAACAAACCGTTGGGCCCATTTAAACGAATTCTCCGCACTTTCCAATTGTACGGCACGGCAGGCTTAGTACACTTTTATATTATGAAACTTGCAGTTGCGCGGCTGTGGATTAAAAATAGATTTAATTTTGTATAATTAAACTTAATTTCATAAATTAGCTGTAGTGCAGGTAAAATTATTACCAGCAGAAAGTGTAATAATTATGCTATTTAAGTGTAATAAATGGGACAGTAAGAAGCTGTTGTATTGTTTATATCTCTCAATTATTCTGAATTATTTATAATTGTACGCAGCGAGATGTGAAAAAAAAATTATAATATTTTAAGGAGATTTAAATCAATATTTTTCTGCTGTTCTTATTGGCATGTTAAATAAATAGAAAAAAAATTAAAATGTTAAGGGCAACTTAATTACAGTTTTAGAAAAGATCTTTGAAACCGACATTCCAATAGCTAACAAGACATTTAGCGATTATCAAACTTATTAATTGTCTTGCATAAATTTATCAAAAATTCGTTTTAATTTTGATCAACAGAGATAATGCAGCTTCAGATGAGCGTCGGTCAACTACAACTGACGATTCCAATTTGAATGCAACGACGCCTAGCACAACCAGCACGTCCACAACTTCTTCCGAGGATCTCGCACAGAACGACTCTGGGACCATTTCGTTGACGGCCTCTTCTCTGGAGGGCTCGGTTCTTCTGGAGGCGGCCCTGAATTTGGGCTTCAACTCATCCCTGCCCACCAAAGTCATCGTGCATGGATTCGGGAGCAAGTGCAGCCTTGTGTGGGTGCACGAGATGAAGAGCGCCTTGATGGCAGTGGTACGTAATCGTTATTCTTATATTTTTTTTATGAGAATTACAAGAATTAGCAATTATTTTAAAAAAGAATTTAATTTAAAAAAAAATGTTTCGTAAGAATAAATTATTTATAATTCTCGTCATTTACTCTATATATTTACAGAATACTTTTTTTAACAAATTAAATAGGGCAGGAACTATACCCAAAAGGTGTTTAATATTTATATATTATTGATTTCTTTTAGTTAAAAAATTATTATCAAGGAAAGCCTGATTATAAATGATGTTGATCAAATATTAAAAAAAAAGTATACATTTAATCAAATATATAAATGATATAAATTATCAGTTGTTTTGGCGAGTTAATTTTGAACCCTAGCGTAGATAAGATGTTTCTCTCTCCTCTCTCCTGTCTGTTATATTCGTGTTTTATCAAAGAAGTGTCAGAGAAAAAAGACTGGAAGAAAGCAATCTAGGCTACGTTGAGTGTTAGAGAGAAGCGTAATTCGTGAGTCACGCTTGCTCCACTAACCAACAGAGAAACACACACACCTGCGCCTCTCAACGCTATTGCACGGCAAAGGGGCAGACAGCGTGACGCTTTTCGTTCAAAATCCCGAAAATAAACCTAATCTTCTTGCTAATTATCTCTGTACCGGATTCTCCGCTCCTCACATTTATTGCCTCTTTGCAGTAAAACTCATTTTTTACAACATAAATTGTAATTTTAAATTATTATCTGAAAGTAAGTTCTACATCTCTCTGTTGTAAATAATGAAATGAGCTCAAAATAGATTTCCTTTGGATTCATAAATTTGCCTTCCTGTAATATTATGGCTCATTAATTTTTGTTATCCCCAATAAGAAAAGTCGTCAAACATTTAGTAGGTTATTCTTCCAAAATAGTTTTTGATGGAATTTAAATGATTCTTATTTTTAAAATGTTCCTGTATTGGCAATTGAACAATCCCATTAGTTTATATTTTTTAAAGGCATAAAATGAATTAAAAAAAAATTGTAAACGTAAAATGTTTAATTCATTATGATTAAATCCATTTCTATTATTATTGGTTCTTTTCAGTCGATACAAAATTTTGAGATTTGAAAAGAGAAGAAAGGGTTTACACCTAGCAGATGTCTGCTAAAACGCCTGAAATCAAAAGAGACTCGGCCGCCGCGGTAAACCGTCTAAATAAATAAATAAATAGTAAATTTTATATTTTATCCGATTGATTGGTAAATTGGTTTATATTTATTTTCTATTAATATTAATATTATTGATTTTTTACCTAATTTAGCCAAACGAGTTTGTTAGAGATGTTTCTGCATCTTCACATTTCCTTTTCTATCTATCTTTAAGTGTTAAATTTTGACAATTTGCGAAATATAAATTAATGAACTACTACTAAATAATTTTGATAGTGAAGAATTCAGATAGTGAAATATTTTCTATAGGCCGCAAAATTTTAGTTATTTTAAATTTTGGGGTAATTCAAGGATATACAATTTTCTTATTCTAAAGTTTGAATGAAAAATGTAATATTGAGGAACGGAAAAAATTGAGAGGGAAGAAAAATTAAATAAATTCTCACTTTAAAAATATATAATTTAATTTTATCAATTTTATTTCTAGATAATTTTAAGATTTGACAGTACAAATAAAATATAGTACATAAAAAATTTAAAAAATATTAAAAATCTATAAATCATATAAAATAATTCAAAATTTATAGTTTTAAGATTTAATCTTTATTCCACACCAATCTGCGCGTCTGTTTCTTCACTCATTGTCAGCAAACAGACGTGATTTGAGTGAAGGCCGCGAGCGTCTGCTAGAAATTGAACACGGACGTCATAAACTCGCGGATCTGCTATTAAATATTTGACGTGATTCTCAAGTGTTCCAAAGCGGAAAAATGAATACTTTATAAACGGCTCGTTCTTATTCTCAATGTGGGAAGAAAAAGTAGTTTTTGCAAAGAATCTCATTGTCACCCACACCAGGGAGAAAGTGAGCAAAGCAGACCGACCGACCGATGATTTATTTCTTTTTTCTCCGCTTCGGTCCAGCTTTGCTTTCGTTTGCTGACCGAGTTCTTTCTTTATCTTTCCAGCTTCTCGGCTTTCTTTCATCCTCCTCGCGAATAATGAGGAAAAAAACGTGGACAAAAACAAACTGCGTGTTTATTGCGTGTCAGCCGAGCGCGAGAATTCCCTTTCACTGCCGGACAATCGGAATTTTCATGCGAGCAGAGCAGATCAATTTCACTTGATCACCGGTGAGCAACTGCACGCATGCTGATTGCCACAATATAAACTTGAACTTTCACTCACGCTGGCTTTAAATATAATAATACACACACCTGCCAACAGCTGGTTGAATTATTAACTCTCAGCTGATCAACTTTTGATGAGAAATAATTTGTTTGATCCTGCACTTCCCAGTACAACATTAGAGAAATTGGCAGACTAGTGGAATAATTTTCTTTTTATAAATTCGTTCGAAACATTTCAAATTATTATTTCATGATTCACATCAGTTTTAAATAATTAAATTTTTATGACAATTAAAAAAATTTTATTCTATATATCAGGATGATAAATTTTGGATTTTTACATACTTAAAGCATTTTAATTTTTACAATTCTTTACTGTTCGTCCAAGTATATGATCATAGTTTCCATCAGTTTCCAGGAAAATAGAAAGAAAAATCAATTTCTAGGGTATTTTCTTCATTGAAAATCGGTGTCTTTATATAATTTTAAACAAAAATTAAATTATAATTGCTACTTTATTTTTCTTCAAATCAATGCAAAAGAAATACAATATAACTTGAGTTTAATAAGACTTTTTTACTTCTTTATCTTCGGACTTTCTGAACTAAGAAGTTGAGGAAAGTAAAAAATAGACTTTTCTCCAGACTAAAAATTAGAAAATACATGGGAAATTCCAAGTTTAAGATTTTTCCCTTGCTAAAAAGGAAAGGATTAAGTTGCAACCTTTGGAAATTCACTTGAGCGCGTATGATGCAGCAAATTTTTCTGAATTCTCAGCGCTCACTCTTGCTATATTGCTGGTCAAGGTCTGCACAAATACTGATCTTGTTGATATTTCACTTTTAATAATTCTCGCCAATGTGACAAACAAAAAACCAAAAGGCCAAACTTGAAAATCGTTGTCTGTAAACACGACAACTATACTCATCTATAATTAACTACTGGTCTTGAATTTCTTCCAGCGACCTTGGCAGGTGCGGTTTTTCTGCTGACCATTTGTGTCTTTTTCTCATACGACTCTCCTAATGAACGCCGCTTGCTTGCTTTATAAACTAGCGCCTCACTTGACATTGATCTCATTTCAAGCTAAGCCGACGCTGAACAATGCATTTTTTTAAATAAAAAAATGCAATGACCTTGCGTGCAACAAAAATAATTTCTAAAATATTTTCTTGCTGGGATTTTGATTTAGATAATTTTTTGGGTATGCAATTAAGAAATCAAGTCGTCAGCAGCAATTGCGGGAAAGAAAGCCGCGTCGTGATGCCTTAAGTTAGATGCACACGGCAGATAAGGAATTCTTGTTCCATTATTGTAATGCGCGCACTAGTCGCTGCTGCTGCTCTTCTTGACGCGCTGTGAAAGTAGGAAATGAGACGTGTAGGCTGTCAAACAAAATTAAAATAGGCAGCCAACGGCAACTTCGAAAGTTTCTGCCTCTCCTTATTTAATTAATTTTCAGCGTTTTTAATTTCAAACTGAAAAAAAAACTTGAAACAATTAAACCGTGTTTATGGCAACGGGACTTAATCTGTAATAGGAGGATCGAGATCGTAGGTCAGAAACCCTTTTTTAATTGTAAAAGGCAAGCATCTCTAGTCCATTTATGATTCTGTGAAGATTCATTTATTTGTGATAATCCGAATATGGATAGGTCTAAGATTGTTTCACAGATACTGACCCGTTTATAAATTCTAAATTCTAGAGTGGAGAAAAAAAAATAAATAAAAATAAAGGATGCCCTCAAAGAATGGAAAGTTTCCCTATAACATTAATCATTAATGTATTTATATGTACATTTGAGGCAATTTTGAGTAGAAATTAAATTGAGCTAAGATTACAATATAATTAATTTAAAAATGTTTAAATGCCAATGAAATTTTGATATATTATTTATCAGGGTATCAGATAATTTCTCATTAGAACATCCACAGAAACAAAATTTTCTTTGCATTGAGATAATGAGCAACTGGAGGAGACGTTCATAGGTTGACAAAAAATTAATTTTGAGTAAAATATTTAAAAGTTTATTAATTTGTAACTAAACAAATATGATTTTAACTGTGTATAATATTTATTTTGATTTTCAGGAGGATTGCAATGTGATTTGCGTGGATTGGGAGCCTGGCGCGTCTCTTCCCAACTACGTGCGTGCGGCGGCCAACACGCGCCTCGTTGGCAAACAAGTGGCGCTGCTTTTGCGAAAACTGAAAACGCAGTACGGCCTGGACCCGCGCAACGTGCACCTGATCGGCTTCAGCCTGGGCGCTCACGTGGCCGGGTTCGCCGGGGCCGAGACGCCAGGCCTGAGTCGCATTTCGGGGCTCGACCCCGCCGGGCCCCTGTTCGAGGCCCAAGAGGCCGAGGCGCGCCTCGACGCGAGCGACGCCGACTTCGTCGACGTCATCCACTCGAACGGCGCCAACCTGATCCTGGGAGGCTTGGGCTCCAGGCAGCCCATGGGACACGTCGACTTTTACCCCAACGGCGGCGCCGAGCAAAAGGGCTGCAGCAATTTGCTCCTGGGTGCCGTCAGCGACATCAGCTTCCTTTGGTGTAAGTAAATTAGGTTTATTTTATATTTTTGAAGAAAATCTATACTTTTTTTAAACTTTGAAATAAATTTTTGAGGGAGATCCAAAATCTGACCTGACCCAGGTTAGGCCTTTGGACTGCCCCGGATTAATTTTAATAAAATTTTATTTTCTACAAAATTCATTAATATGTTAGATGAGTTTGAAATTATGTTTTGTAAATTAAAACAAAAACAACTCATTATGATGAAGAGATGCATTTCATTAAACAAAAAGCGATTTGAAAATTTTTCACTTTGAAATAAAATGCTTAAAAAATGTTTTTTTATTTAAAAATGTAAGAACTTTATTTTTATTTTTCTAGTTTTAAATTGAGTAATTGGTAAATCTATAATGCATAAAAAATTTTAACAAATAGAAATAATTTGATTTATTTTTACATTTTCCTAATAGTAATTCTTAAAATAATACATAATTTAATTACTTGTTTGATTGTATATTTTAATAATTTTCCAGCATCATCTGAAGATGATTTGCGCAGTTTATGCAACCACAGGCGTGCATACAAGTTTTTCACAGACAGCGTTTCCTCGCGTTGCCCATTCCCCGCCTTCCCTTGCGAATCATATGAGCAATTCCTCGAGGGCGAGTGTTTCAACTGCGGTCCGCAGAGACAGTGCGGAAACATGGGCTATTACTCGGACAGGTCGCCCGCCAGAGGTCCCATGTTTCTCATCACCCGAGACAACGAACCTTTCTGCGGTAAGTCAACGTTTTTATAAGCGAATTAAAAAATAATCGAGATTTAAAATTGCAGCTCACCAATTTTACGTTCGGGTGGAAAGTACTCCCATTCTAGGAGAGCCACTTGTGACTCACGGAAGATTCGAAGTTGTTCTGAGCAATAAGGATATCAATGAAACATTTGTCCTCACAGAGTAAGTGATAGAATTGTGTTTAATCTTGTGATTAATAATTTAATTGTAAATTTGAAATAAATGAATCATATTAGTGAGAAAAAATTTAAAAAAATATTTACTTCAATAAAACAGCAAGAAGAAAGTTAAAAATTTAGAGGAACACTGAATTATTCCATTGTTAGTCGTTGTAGAGAGTTTTTTTTTTTTAAATTTCATTATTTAATTTTTATAATTTTTGTTGATTGCAGCAAAGATGATGAAGTAATGGAGACGGGCGAAGCTCTGTACAGACTTGTGGTCGCCCACCCGGCGATGGACCAACTGACCTCTGCCCAACTCGTTTACACAGCCTACAGTGGCTGGATCAGCTCTGGTGCCCCAACTTGGACCGTGGACAAAGTTTCCATAACAGATGCTTATGGCAAAAGGTGTGTTTAATTTAAAAGTTTTAAGTGGAATTAAATCAACTAACTCAAATTTATTTATTTTCCAGTATGTCGTTTTGTAAAAAGGGCATGATTGTGAGTTCAGGCGTTCCACTGCTGGTGCCCCTATTTCCAGGAGACTGCAACCCTCCGAGGCCTCCTGGACTTGATTTCCCTCTTGTCCCAATGGCGCCCGTAAGTTTATGGCGGAAACATGAATTTAAAAATTAAACTGATTGTTTACAGATTAACAATGAGCTACCAAACAATGCGTCCGGAGAGGAAGTTAGTGGGAATAAGACGACAACCGTTATTGTTGAAGGCGCGGCGGAGAATAAAAACAAGACTGGAATAGATATAAACATTTCACTGCACCTGGTAAGCTACTCATTTAGCTAATGTAGTTCATTATTTTAAGTTTAATGATTTCTTTGATGACTCATTTATTATTTAAATTGGGTTTTTTTATAATTTGATTCGAATTTTTTTCAATAAAACAAATGTAAATTCCCAAAAAGGTTAACCTTAATATTAATTGTAACATTTAAGTCGCTCAAAATCTGCTCAAAATATAAAGTTTGAAAAATTATTGAAGGCTTTAAACTTTTTTCTCTTTCCTCTAAGAAAATATTGGAAAAATATTTCATAGTAAATTATTCCTTCCCAAAGTCATTGCCATCATTTTGGAACTTCACGTTCACAACACTACAATTAAGCACTTTCTTGCAAAAAAAAAATCATTTTACATTAATTTAAAATAAACTAGAACTCTAATCTGAACTTAAAAGGGTTTTTAGACACCACTAATGGAAAAATTTAAAAAAAAAAGTAGACCGTTTTTAAGCGAGAACAAAATATTTTTGCTTTTAATGGAGTTTGATGGAAGGTTTGAAATTTACTAGAAAATATGACTTTAAGACTTTTATCTATTAGTCATAATAGGCAAGTAAAATGAAGAAAAATAATTAAATAGATTTTCTGTTTGAAATATTACTTATTTTAAACTATTAACATTAAATTTTCAGAATGAAAACACAAGCTCAAACGCGGATGTCAATAAATCGCAAACGAATCAAAGGTTTGTTTGTAAAATTTTAAATTCGAACAAATTTACTAATAAAAAATACGACTTCTTCAGCAGCAACTCGTCAACGACGACCGACTACCCGTTGTACCAGCGTCCATGGCTCGAGGCAAACAACAGCCTGGACGTCCGTCTGGACAACTCGCGCTCAATGCCACACGTGGAGAACACGAAGAGGTCGTCGATCAACTCGGTCGAGTCGGCGCCTCCAGCCGGCTCGTGGTCCTTCTGGTGGAGAACGGCCAACAAAACGGAGCCACCCCCACCACCAGCTCCGTCCGACGGCACGGGTGGGGGAACCCTGGTCACCGTCCAGATGCTGCCCAAGAAACTGGCGTCCATCCTGCAGCAGGCAGAGCAGTATGCCAGGTCGACCCTGAGCAGCGTCACTTCGACCCTAATCGGAGGAAATAAGGAGGCCCCTGACCAGCCCCCGACGGACGGCCCTCTCCGCCGCCGAGCCAAGTACTTCCCCCCCTTTGCCAGTTTGTTTGGCTACGAGGCCAAGTCGCGGATGGACACGGTCACCTTCAGCCCCCTGCAAATCATCAAGAACCCTGAGTGGCGCATCAGCAGGTACATCCCCCTCCGAAGGTATGCCAGTGCGGCCAGGAGGGTCGACGAAGTTGTTGCCCCCACAGTTAGTCCCTCGGTCGCCCCCAAAGAGGACACTAAACCCGAGGCCAAGAAAATCATCGAACCTTTGTTAATCGGTCCCAGGTGAATCAATCAATCATCATCAAACTCTCTCTGTTGCTTAGTTGCCTAAGTTATTTATGCTCTGTTAGTTTAGTTCGTGGAGGATTGTAATGTATGATCTGCGTGTCAGCCATTTTTAACTTAATGTGATGTTTTTTTTAATTAAATAAAATCTTTTATCTTTTATACAAAAATTCGGCTGTCTTTTTATTACTATAGGAACCGTTAAAGATCAAAGTTACAGTGTAGGCAACTGGCTCGACACCACTGCCTGACGTGATGCATAACTTAAAAAACCTAGGGGTCAATTAGGAAAGCACAAATGTTCAAAATTGATTCACCTAGTTTAAAAAAGCTTAATGAAATTGGAAAAATTGTACAATTTAAATAAATAAATAAAAATCAATTTCAAATTTTTTAGTAAATTAAATTTTTTAGCTAAGAAGGTATAACTTGCAAATATTTTAATATAAGTTAGATTTTAATATGGATAATTTTTACAAAAAAAGAGGAAGCAGCAAGCAGAGCGAGGCAGCTACGATTTTACACCGTCATCCAGTTTGAAATGAGGAGCAAGGTTGCTCGCATGGCGTTTGGCGCTGGATGAAAATAATGGCGGCAAACAATTTTGCTTTGGTCATTTTTGCTTCACTCTGCCTGGCAACAGTATATTATTTCACAATATTGCCAAACTCATTTACTGATGAAGTTACCAATTAGGAAATAAATTTGATAACTGAGGATCCAGCTAGAAAAGAAAACGGTGGAGCTCAAAGAAGGCAGAACATCCAGCTACCACAGGATTTGTGCACCAACTCTAAATTTGAGGTTTGATTGACGGAAAATCCAGATATTTTACATTGACATTGACAACCATTTGAATTAATAGAGAGTTTTGAATTGCTGTCAACTTCCTACGATTCTTTCTGCAGAAGACTTCCGACTTTGCAGAATAGAAAGTGAGATGTGGTTTCAACCGCCGGTGCGAAAGAATAGACCGAAAAGATTTTCAAAAAGTGGGGGAGAATTTAAAAAGTCCAGATTAATTTTGATGATGAATTACACTTCTTTTGCAGCTTCACCTCTTGACAATCCTCTATTGAAAGCGGTAATTTTAAAAATTTAAAAAAAAAAATGAAACTGAAAGGTTTTTATTTTATAAATTTCAGTGTATTGCAACTTGTGTTTTTAAAAGAAATCTTTTTGTAAGGAATATTTTTAGATTAGAGTTATAAAATTTATTAAACTCAGTAGATTTTGGAAACTGGAGAACTAGATTTGAATATTATTACAGCCGCATTTCTTCGAAATCAAACGAGTGATGACTGGAAAAAAGTCATTCCAAGTGGCGTCAATAAATGTTACAATCAGTTTAGAAGTAAATCATATCTTTTCTTTGTAAAAATTAAAATTTATTCAATCTGAGTATAGGTGTTTCAAAGGACATACAAACGCCATGCAACATTGAGAATTTCATGTTCCTCACCTGCATAAGACAATATTTAGTAGTGGTAATTTGAGAAGTAATTCAAATAATTTGGTTCAATTTTAATTGCAACAAAAAATTCCAGAATTGCCCAGAAAGCTCTGCAGCTTTTACAAAAACAAGTAAAATAAAAAAATTTCACCAACGCTAATATTTCTATATTTAAAACAGATCCCACATGCGACTACAATTTAAAACTACTGCAAACTTGCAACCCATACATTAGAGACCCGCGGATTGAAGTTTATCCACCGATGAGGAGAAGAAAGAGAAAAACAACCACCATGGCTTACGATTATTACCAAAATTAGTAAATTATTTTTTAGTTTATTGAAGAACTGTAAAAATAAAGTATTATCTGCTACGATAATTTTATATAAAATATTATTATGGAAATTTTTGTTCAATTATAAATTGAATACATCCAATAAAAATTGCCTGGCTTTCAAGTAAAATCGATTTTCTATTCAAAATTAGATTCGATATTGGAAAACGTATAATGTGTAACGGAAACGTGGACGCCGGCCTTGTGCCGAGTGCATAAATTCGAGCGGATCTCGTTCGTCAGTCAGAGTCGTCACCATGATACACAAAATCACACTCGTGGCTCTGCTCTGCGCTTTCGCCGTTGTGAGTAGTTTTTAAAATAAATTAAATATCATAGCTAAAGGCGTGAATTTTTACATTTTTTGTTGTTTCTGTTTAAAGGTTTATGGTGGAGACAAGTTTGAAGATACAAAGCCATGTTCTCCAGAGGTGTACAAAGTAATTTAAGAAAATCAAACTCGCAGCATTTTAAATTAAAATTAAAGGATCTTGACCAATGCTGCGCAATGCCCAAATTGCTGCCCAAGGCACCGTTTAATAGCTGCATGGATGAACAATCTGCAGAGCTTGAGAAGCAGGCCGAAGAAAAGGAAAAGAAGGAAGGAAATAATAAAGGAAAAAGCAAGCAACTTGCGACAGGTAGCAAAGGAGCAAAAAATAACAAGCCGAGGTCGAGGTCAAAAAGGGACACCGACCAGGAGGACAAATCGAAAAAGGGTATCATCGCATTAAGGAGGAGGGACGGCCCAATTGGAGGCCCAATGGTTTGTTCGTAACAAATATTTGTATACTTTTTAATTTGCAAATCAAATTCTAGTGCATTGTCCAATGTGTCTTCAAAAATCAGACTTTGGTAGGGAATTAGTCATAATTTTAAATATAAACATCAGATATAAAAAAATCAAAATTAAGCTTAACGACGATGGCTCCATTAACGCAGAAAAAATGATTGGCACATTTGTGGCCGCCTCAAGCGCACATTGGTCCAGTTTGGTTCAGAATGTCTCTGGAAACTGCTACAATGAATTCAACAGTAATATGAACGCAATTTTTTGAGAAATAAATAAATGAAATGGCAAATTTTGGCAGAGATCAACTTCACAGGAGTCCCTTCTAGTAACACCAATGGAACGAAAGTTTGCATGTGTGACAGCGCCATGGTTCTTTCATGCATCCGCCGCCAACTGACCATTGCAAGGTTTTCCAACTTCTTAATATTCTAAAAACTTATTTTTTACTTTTCATCAGCGCTGCCCTGATGACATGTTGGTCAAGTGTAAGATATTTTATTAAATATGCAAAAATGAATGGTTTAATTTGTTGAATTATCAGCAAAAACTTGCAAAGAGAGAATCAACGCGCTAAAAGAATGCGACCCTTTTGCCATTCCAGCACCAAAGGCTATGTTTGACGGGTCATTCCATGCTGCTATTTCTGCAGCTCGCAGTCTTCAACTGAAGAGGAGCAGGAATGCAGGGTCAAAAAATAAGGTGGGTCCTCGTCCAGGATAAAAACTTGAGCCACCTCATGTACCACAGCAATAAAATTTCTGAGGTCAAATTTTGTGTGAAATGTGTTTTATATCACAAACAAAAACCGTAATTTCAACCCAGGTTGGAATTTAAAAATAAAGAAAATTATCAATCAAATGTGGATTCAAAGATATTTAAATTACATTATCTGCTATTTAATTCAAATATACCTGGAAGATTTTAATTGAAAACGTATTTAAAAAATTATGTAGAAAACAGTCAACTCTATGAAAATATATAAATAAAAATATCAGCTTAGGGAACTTCAAATTATGATATTACACCTCACCAACCTCTAACCTCTGGCTCTAAATTCAAATAATGCCTTTTAATACGTCTATAGAAGAAAAGATAAAAAAAGTTATGCTTTAACTATTGGTTTTAAATGTTACTGTAACGGAAAAATTAAGAAATATTGGATCAAGTTTTTTGTGCAGAGTCAAAATAAGGTTTTTTTAAAAAAATATATATATAAACGAACTATTTTTTATTATGATGACACACATAAATCACCAAATTCACCAAAATATACTTGCATGAGTAATCATTAGCAATTCTTTTGCAAGAAATTCAAGATGTATAAATTCATATTATTTTATTTTTTTATTCCATTCTTTTAAATGCAACAGAATTTAAACAAATAATTCAATTCATTTATTCTCTCGCAACATTAAGTCAAGCACGTTAATTATTTGAAAAAAAAAATAATAATAATTTTTTTTTCTGTGAATTTGACAATATTCTGTTTTGCGTGCCAATAATGATCAGAAGAATTGAAGCACCGACGGCACACAGGAAGCTACCATATTTGTGTCCTTGGTAGAATATATAAAACTGTGACGCTGCATCATTTTAGCAGCGCGTCAGTAAAGAAGATGCGTCGTGTTGTGTTGCTGGCGTTCATCGTGCTCTGCGCCTTAAGTGTATACTATTTGTAATATATTTTTAATATAAAATCTTTTCACGTTAATAATTTAGGCACTAGCAGAGAAGAGTAAAGGGAAGGACAAGTACGCGGGAAAAACAAAGGCATGCGGGCCAAGGGTGTTTTCCGTGAGTTTAACAATTAATTCTCGTAAAATAGAAATAATTAAAAATTTATATTCAGGGCCTGGAAAATTGCTGTGCAATGCCCAAGCTGTTGAGTTTTGAAAGCTTCAAAAACTGTAGCAATGGGTCGATTTCAGACGAAGCATTAAAGAAAGCGGCCTTCAGCGCCACGCTCAAGAAGCACCGAAAGACCAGAGAGGTTTCGGGTATTTTCAAAAACAGTTGCAAATATTCTTTAAAGCACAAGCTGCATCTTAAGGCGATTCAAAGAAGCAGAAGATTAAAGTGGGACGCCGGAGCTCAGGCCCCAAAGAGGGCCCAATGGTGAGTTGCATTCAAGTGCGGTGGCGCCACAATCGAGGCCACCGTCTTCCAATAAGAGAGTGCCAACCAACCATGTAACTTTTTTCAGTGCTTTATGAAATGCGTCTTTGAGAGAGAGGGATTGGTGGGTTAATGATATAATTGAGATTAATTTTTTTTTAAATATTTATAATTTAAAAAAACCTTAGCTCAATGCTGATCAAACAGTGAAGTATGAAGCTATGCGTGACAAATACATCAGCAACGCCAATGCCACGTGGAAAGATCAAGTCGAGAAAGCAGTCAAAACGTGTTGGGATGAATTCCAGAGTAACTATTTCAATTAATTTTTTGGAAAGTTCTAACCGCATAATATGATTAAAACAGAAGTTGACATGTCTGGAGCCCAACCGCTGCCAGATGATTATAAAGTGTGCAAAGGAGATGCTGCCATGATGGGTCTCTGCGTCCGCAGAAATCTTGGCCTTGTAATTTAAAATTGGAGAGAATCACTGCAGATATCCTCCTCGGCTCCTTAACTTATAACATTGTTAGCCCGGGAGGACATCTCATGTGAATTTTTTCCATTATGTATGATTGAGAAGGTTGTATTAATTTTTTTTCGTGATATTTACCTACAGAATTGCATTGATTCTATGAAAATAAATGGTAAAAATTTTATGCGTGTTGAGGATATTAAAATTTCTCATTACTTATTAAAAAATCCAGGTGAAGGTTGCACAAAGAAATTGGAGAAACTGCAGGAGTGTGATCCATTCGCTATTCCTCCTCTCAAATCTGACGAAAAGAATGATGCGAAAGGAAGTTCACAGAGCAATAAAGATGGAAAGAAGTCCGCAAAGCAAAATGAAGGAAAAGGTGGCAAGGGAAAGAATGGAAGCGGGTAAAGCAATCCAGAGGGGTTCAATTTTACTCATCTGTGATTATTTTGATTCCACTCTTGAATAAAGATTTTTAATTGGCCAGTTTATTTTATTTTACTACCCAGCACTTTGTTACTGATTCGTTTAAAATTGATAATATTGATCCTATTCTATATCAGAGATGAGTTTTATAACAGTAAAAAAGTCAGATTTTGCACCTCTCCGCAAATAACGTGCGAGCAAAGTAAATTTTTCACGCCGTTGATTAAGAATTTGCTAATAATTTTTGGATTTTTTTCTTTATATATCTCCAATTTTTCAAACAAGTTTTGAAATTTACCTATTCAAGAAAAATTTCCAAATATCTAAATATCATCTAAAAGGTTAAAATACAATCTGGGTACATTGTTAAACGTAATTCAAAAATATATAATAACAAAATAGGAAAAAGTGCGTGTTCTGTGTCCGTTTTGATGTCAGGAGTTATAGCATAACTATGCCACTAGTGACTCCCTTTCTATTTGTTTTTTTTTTTTCATTTTTCCCCTCGAATAGAATAAACAATTAAAATATAATAAGGGATATTCACATGCTAAGTAAGATTATGGCCTATGGGTTTTGCTAGTTCTAACTTAGCATGTGAATGTCCCCCAATGATTTGAACTCTACTGGCAACAGAGGTCAATAAATATATTTTCCTTCTGGTCTTCTATATTAAATATATTTATAGATCTTGGGAGTAAAGCGTTTTTTTTAATTGAAGATCGGAGTTATGAGTATGATAAAAGGGCGGGATATAGACTAATTGTAAGGAAAAAGAGGCGAATTTTATCAGGGTGTATTTTATTTTTTTTTTTATTTTTTTTTTTTTTTGCTCTGAAAAAAGTGTAAATTTGTCAAATAGTAGATGATGATTTTAGGTGAAAAAAGCTAAATGGGCATTATTTGTTTATTTGAAAATTGCGTGAAATTCAATAAATTAGGTTATTGCTTTTAGGTGACGTTTTCATTAAATAGTTTTTTTTTCCTGAATATCGCCACGATTTTTTTTCACAACAGGAGATCATAGTAAAAAAAAACGTGAAAATTTATATTGTTATTGGTTAAATATTTATTCAAATCGTTGAAATAGGGGGAATTTTTTCTATAAAAAGGTTTTTCTGGAAAAGAAAAAGAAATTAATATTTTAAGTCCGGCTATTTTCCAAATAAATTTTTATGGGTGCAGCTTCATGATTTATTGTTTCAAATTAGAAGCTCTTACAATTGGTACTTGCACACAATAACTACAGCGCATGACTGCATATTATTCAATATGTTTATTTTGCATTAATTATTAATTTTGTTTTACGTCCATTTTGTCAATTATGCTAGGTGACACTTCTAAGACCTGAAATATAAATAACAAAATGAGCTTTAGTACGATCAGTGCACTACTAAACAAATCTATCAAAAGAAATACAGGAGTCTGAAGATGACCTCTGACCTCTGCAACAAATTAAGGTTATGGCAATTTCTTTGATCGAAGAAGTTGGGTTTTTATCAGATTTTTGGTACTTTTGCTCTTTCTCCTAAATATTAATGACAGAAAATTGATTTTTCAACCAAATTTGAGTTGAAAGAAGGAAATTTTCTATGTCAATTGCAATTAGAAGTATATTGCAGGGAACTAGCATATATAACGGTGACTCGTCAGTTTACGTTGGAAAAGCATAGGGGAAACAGTAGCCTTGGTCCACCTAAAGGAAATGACTTTTAAAAATGGCCGATGGACGGCCGTGTAAGCCAAAACATTAATTCGTTTCTCTGAATGAGAAATAACTTAAAGCGTTGAAAATTGGAAGCTGGGAAATATATTTGAATGCCTTAATTCACACAAATTATAATAACCATTTGAGGTTTTGATTTTTACAAAGCTTTTTCCTTTTTCACCATATAGTTTCGAGAAAAGTTCACAAAATTATTAAAAAAGTTATATTACAAACATTTTTCGTTGCAAATTGGTTTCCCAGAGCCAAAGAGAAAAGATAAAACAGGAAACAGCTACACTGCAGTATTTTGCAGGAAATGGAGCAATATGTGGAAAAATTGGCCTCGGCCCTCTCGAGGTAAATGGGCTCTGACGTATGCTGTCGATGACCGTGGACCACTGAGGATATAAAAGGGGAGTAGGAACCTCACAAAGCAGAAACTGGAAAATGTTTAAGTTAGCAGGACTGGTGGTCCTCTTCCTAGGCGTGGCTCAGGTAGTTTTAACTAACAAATCTATCAAATTGAAAATATCCAACGTTCTTAACAAAATAAGTGATACGTGTATTTTTAATTGTATGCAATCGTCAATTTGCTTCAGGCCGACAGGGGCATGCAATTTTCTGGCGATTCTCTGAAAAAACTTGCGATTGATCAACCGCAGTTTTGCATCCCCTATTATTTAATGGTAATTATTTCGGAAATAAATATTTCGCAAGAGTAGGCAATGTGTATGGAACTTTTCAGATGGCCCAACAATGTGTCAACGTCCCCAAACTGTTCAATCCACGAATGTTCAAGGAATGCGAGCACGGTGAGGGTAGGAAACTCGGCAATGGTTATATTGGACGCCAGGGCGGGAAACTTGCTCAAGGCGTTAAACGAAACTTCAGGAGGAACCGTAAAGTCCGAGAGGCAAAATGGAATGATCAGGGTGGCTTTGGCTTTAGCAGACCAAAAAGCCCAAGTGACTTTAATAAAATGAGGCAATTTGCGGTTGAAATGACGCCAAAGCGCGGAGGCTGCGACGGGAATGTAGTTTTATTTTATAGCATTTTCCCTTTCCTTTATAATCATTAAATAAAACTTACAGTGTATGGCAGAGTGCGTCCTGAACAGAACCGGACATGTAAGAAACCACTCTTGTTCAGTGGCTTTGCTTTAACTTCAAATAATTGAAATTAACTTCACCTTTTTAGCTCGATAAAAATGGCAACATTGTGTTGGCTAATTTGTTGGCCAATTACACGAATGCTCTCAATGATTTGACCGCGGGTAGCAAGGCCGCCTGGAGCCCACTTATTGCAAATATCATCAATACTTGCATGACCAGTAAGATTCGTTGAGCTCAAGTTACATATAATCTTACCGCTAAAAAAGTCGTGAACCGCTGGAACGTCTAAATTATTTTAAATAATAGCTTGAAAAAAAAATTGATAAATGACACTTGATGTTGGCCGGTCGTATTTTTGAGTTTCTTTTTAAGCAATTTAGTTTGAAAAAATCTCAACCAAAATAACTTGCTATTATCTAGATGTGTCACAATCCACGGAGGTGTTGGCAACAACAACAACAACAACCGCGGCAAGTACCGCACAAACGACCGCAGCGAGTGTTCCTGCTGAGCCGAAAAAGGTCTGCAAAAGCGACAGTCGCAGGTTGATGACGTGCATTCAGATTGCATTAATTACTGTAAGCAATTCTCTTATCTAATGGACAATGCAGCTAGTGTAATAAAACTTATGTGAACACAGCAAGCGCCCAGCTCCGAACTGAAATCAGCCACAAACGGTAAGATTTTTTAAAAATTTACACAATTTTAAAGCAGCTTTGAATGACATCAAAAATTTAGCACCTTCGGTTGATCCAACTATGCCGACCTGCGCCGAAAGAACGGCCCAGTTGAATGGATGCGACTTTAATTACATGCTTACTCCGGATCAACTCCAACAATATTTTGGGGGGTCCCGTCAGAATGGACCTTTGAGGTCACAAAATAGAGGCAGGGGCCAGCGATTGACAGGAGGCACCAAACAAGGCAGCAGTGAAGAGAATGGAGGGCAACCAGGGCAACCCGATATGGACGATGGAAAATAATTATTTTTGAGGTTGCAAGGTATGGGAAAAGGGATTTTTGCAGTGTGATAATGGGATGGTTGCACATGTTTTATACTTTAAAGTTTTTGAGACAAACGTACCTTGCAGAAATGAATGACAAATAAAGGATTTTATAAGAAAATATTTACACGGCTAATTATTTTACTTACCCTTTTATAATCATCATTATATATTTTAAAAATACATTTTTTACAAAGATAAAATTGATTGAAATAATTAATAATAATGGAGACTAAAATTAATTTTTTGCCAAGGCCTAAAGATATTCAACGTCTGAGGACAAAATTTAGATATCAGAAGAGTCCCAGAGTCCCATTTTTGGTATGGAGGTTCTCAATCTCCTGTGTGGTGTGATAAAACTATAATATTTATGTTTTAAATATTGAATTTGAGAAATACTTCAACATGGTCGCAAAAGAAATATTGATCTGTACTGAAACGGAAAATGGCTCAAAGGCGAGCTACGTCCGACGCAAAATTGTACAGGAAACAAACATTGGTTGGTCAGAAAACGCTGGAAAAGCTGTGGCATTGGTCTAAACTTGGGAGGAAATGATTTTTGATGAACGCTGTGGATGACCGTGGACCAACGAAGGTTATAAAAGAGTCAGAACACCACGACGCACAATAACAGGAGAAATGTTGAAGCTTGCGGGACTGGTGTCCCTCATTCTAGGCGTTCAGGTAAAAATCTTTGTTATAAATTTTGGGCCAACATACTAAACGAAAATAATAACCAATATTTATATTTAAAAAAAATCCAGGCCAGCAGTATGAAGCGACCAACGACTTTTGCAATGGACAAATTGGAAAAATATCCACAATTTTGTAACCCGATGTCCTTGATGGTAGAGAAATTTTTTAAAATAAAAATTTTCCTGATACGGAGTAACAAGAAAATGAAAATTGCAGTCAGCTCCTCAATGCATCAATATTCCCAAAGTTTTCAGCCCGGATATGTTTTGGAACTGCAAGAAAGGTGGTGCTCACCGCGAATCCAGAAATCCTTTTGCAATGCTTGCTAGGAAAGGAATCAGAGGCTTTAGTGGAAATTGGAAGAAACGAAGCGAGAAAATGCCACTAGTTTTTCCAATGCGCGCAGGTGCAGGTTGCGACCCCAACGTGATATAATATAAATATATATTTCCATGGTTTTGATTGCAAAACTTTTGTAAATTAAATTTGAAGTGCCTGGCAGAGTGCGTCATGAATAGGACTAATCACGTATGCTAATGTACCAAAAAATAGTATATAAAATACATTAAAATCATAATAAAATTTAGCTTGACGGAAACGGCGCAATATTGGCCGATAGGTTGTTGGAAAATTTCACGATTGCTATCCAGAAATTAAAGCAAGAAGACCAAGAAGTATGGAAACCAATTGTTGAGAAGGTTGTCAAAACTTGCACAGATGGTATGTGATGCCTAACTTGATAGTTTGGAAAGGGTTAATAAAATAATAATTACAGAAGTAGCTAATTCTCCAGAATTACTTACAACAACAACAACAGCGCTACCAGGACAAACAGAACCAACTGTCGAGCAAAAAGCCTGCAAAAGCGATAGTCGTAGAGCTCTCACTTGTTTACAGAGAGCTATGATTGTGGTTTGTATATAATTATTTGGTAAAAATACAAATTGTTTCTTCATCCACACTATCCACAGCAAGCTCCCGACTCCCAGAAACTCTACCTGACAGGAAACAGTAGGATAATAATATTATCAATTTTAAAACCAAATTTTTAATAGTGAGTATGATCAGCTGAAATTCCTGAAGGTATGCCGACGTGCGAAAAAAGGTTGGCGCAATTGCAAGGTTGCGACTACAACTTCATGTTATCAGCTGACCAGCTTAAGGAAGTTTTTGGTGCGCCAGGCGGCCCAGGTGGATTCAATTTTAACGACAGATTCAAGAAAATGAAGCAAAAATTCATGGGAAAACTGGGTGATCTGAAAAATAATAGGGGAGGTCGGCGCAAATCAATTGACACGTTCACAACAATTGATCCTGAGATAACCTCACCTTAATTTTATTGTTTTTTAATTGTATTTGATAATGGTCACGGGTAAAAAAGCATGGATAGGTGAAGGGGGTTGACGCACATTTCTTGAGATTAAATAAACATAACAAAGAATTTCACGATGTTTTATTATTAATTATAAGCTATTTAGCAAACTAATTGGTTGTAAAATTTTCTGCTCATGTAATAAAATGTATATATAATAGGTCATTTATTTATTTCAACTCTCTGATTTATTTAATATAAAACTTAAATCGTTGGAAGAAAATTTTAAAATATATACATATATTATGGTCTTTATTTAAAACTCAATTGAGTACAACTTTCAACTTATATCTTAGAAGGTTAATTCACACATTACTTTAATTTTATTCAATATTTTCCTACAGCTAAAATTTTTTTTAAATGAAGAATACTTTTCCTTAAAATTACAGGTTTTTTTTTTTTTGCTTAATTGTTATTTCACTTCAGATTTTTAGATGACATGTAAAATTATTTCAATATTTTTCAATGATATTTTTTTCTGAATAAAGCTCTTAAAAATTAAAAAATTTGACATGAATAACAAAAACTTAACTGAAACTCATCTGAATGAACAAAACAATGTTCTTGGAGGTAATTATTTTCTATTTCATTACCTCAAAAATTAATGGTGTGTAATTTTTCTATCTGCAATCTAGGACATCACAATTCAGTGACGTAGAAGGGTCCCTGATGGATGTGATTTCAGCGATCATTTCGATAAAATTTTACAGGAAATTTCGAAACTATATGTTCCTGGTAAAAACATGGCTGCCACGGACGTAAACAGAATCAAGGGCATTGCAAATATTAAAATATATGGTGCGGAAAGATTCTTGTTGCGAGATAGCAGACTACTATTCACTTGCAAATTTAAAAAAAAATGTTCCTGTGTATTATTATTATTTATTTATTCTTCTCATTCCATAGATTGATAGAAAAATTTGAAATTGGAAAAAGAGGAGAAAGGTTTACAACTAACAGATGCCTGCGAAAACGCCGATATCATAAGAGACTCGGACGCCGCGGTGAACCCACACTATCAAAAAAAAAGAACACTCATAAAAGCCGCGCTGGTCCAAATTTATTTCATAATTCAGATTTGAAGTTTAAGGTTTTTTATAGCAATGATGTATTGCAGCAGGAGAGGTTTTAATTTTCATACCACGAATTAAAGACAAAAAAATAAAAATTGACATATCGTCAATGTGTGCGCAATTATTGTTAAACTGAAAATGGTAACTGATCCTGGGCTAAAAATTTAATATTACGTTTATCGCTAATCAGCAGCAATAGGAATGCCAAGAATTTCAATAATTAGTGCCTAGCTTCTCTGCATAAAAAAAGAATCAAATTTTGAAACTTAAAAAGACGCACAAAGAAAAACTATGCAATATTGAAAATCACCTCCCAAATGTCATTGGCAATAGCTATGTTGGATTAAACAAAACAAAAATTAATAAAATCGCTTTTATGAAAAAAAAAAAAAAATAAGCATCTTGCGTTACTAAGAATAAGAAGCTAGCTACGCATAGTATATTATACCAAAATTAATTTTTTTTTTGTACTCAAATTATATAAAAAAAATGACTATGAATAATGGCATATTTTGAACCAGGTCATTTTGCTGTAAATCACTTTTAACGTCAATTTACTGTTTTTTTTTTATTCACCTTCAATCATTTCCAACAACTGTGAATCAGAAAATTCCCTGTTTCCTTCATATTTCCACTCTTCCATCACAAGGACAAATGAGGCATATAAAAGTGCATTGAACGATCGGTACAGTCTGAATCAATTGCGAGCCGTTGAAATGGTCAGATTCCTAAGTACATCTTTCATTTTGATTTGCTGCTGCGCCTACCTGGTGGTATGCGAGTTGTTTTACCTTTTTTTTAGTTTGCCCGTTAGATTAAATTTAATATAAATAAGAATACTATTAGAAAATTGTTGGTTGCTAGGGTCAGTGAAATGGATTTGTTGACTTTTTTATTTTATTTTAGAGATAAAGTACAATTTTTTAGCACACCTATTGTATTGGTCTTGTGGGTAATTTATTTGATTTAATTTAGTATCAAGTATTAAAAAAAAAATGGTGATTTGAATTTGGCTTTTCCTCGATGGCTTTTGTGCGTTTTATATTGTTGAAAATCCTAATTTCCCAATACCATTGCAAAAAATTTAGAGTAGAGGGAAAATTTAAATTTTTAACAATAGTGTAGAAAGTAATTTGTAAAATTATGGAAAACTTAAAATCAAATATATTTTCATTTAAATTTTGGATGTCATAAATTTTTTTTTTCTTTTATAATATTTTATAAAATGCCAATCACGTGAGTTAAACAGTTAAAATAAAATTAAGAACCTCGAACTGGACGGCTTAACGTAGAACACAGTCTATACAAGTGTATTAAATACTAATTGTAAGCATTTTTCAATTCATACTTAATTATCAAAATATTGGGGGTATTTAGGCCAGCAGTTTTGACTACTATGGTGACAGTTCTACGGAAAAGTCCTCAACATCTTCATCCTCCGGAAAAGTTTCATCCACCAAGAAACCTCCACCAACTAAGCCGACCCCAAAACCCGTAGAATGCAACCGAGAAGACATTAATGTAAATTTTGATGATGCTTATTTAAAATTAAAACATCTATTTTACAATTAAATTCAGAAAATTGTGAATTGCTGCAAGCTGCCGCAAGTGTTTCCTGCTGGACTGATTGAAAATTGCTCATACACAATGCCCACTCCCAAACCTACCAAACCACCCAAGGGCAACTCAAAAAGGACCAAGAGGGCTCCACCCAAAGGTATTATCAATAAAAATATAGTTAAGCAAAACGTAAAATATTTATTATAATAAAAAACAGGCAGCAAACCAAATCCCCCTACCGTAATATGTTCCATAATTAGTATTTTTTACTTTATTTTTATGGAAAAAATTGATTATTTAGTGTATTGCTGACTGTCTTCTGAAGAGTCAAGGCTTGGTATTTCTTTATCTTCTAAATTAAAAATTTCGCAATTTAATTAATGTAATAATTAACAAATACTTAGATTAGTGACACAGGTGAGATCAATATCAACGGGTTGATCAATTTGATCAACTCTAACGCAAGTGAAATTTGGCTACCATCTTGAATGCAACAATCACTGGCTGCTTTGCTAATTTGACAAGTAATTACTCAGAATTAAAAAAAAAAATACATATTTAATTAAAAAAATGTAATATGGAATAAAAAAAGACGTCAGCAGTTCCATTCCTGCTCCACCGAAGGACGCGTGCAATGCAACCAGCGACATGTTGCTGATGTGCGTGCAGCGTGGACTGCAGATGGTCAGACATTGCAATTAAAATAAAAAATGAAAATTAAATCTTCCCCTTCTAGAATTGTCCTCCAAGTGAAACACTGACCACTGGTAAAGAATGACTTCAATTATGAGCTATTAAAATTGTAATACTTTTATATGTGTAGATAAAAATTGCAAGACCAGGGCTTCAAAGCTTTCAAGCTGCGATCCGTACGCTGCAGCCAAGAATAACAAAGGCAGTAGCAAAGGGAAGTAATATCAAATTGATATTTATTCCAGCTTCTGTATGCAAATTAATCAAAGAATATTTGTATACTTGATATGTGGGGAAATATAAAAGCTTGATTCGAAAAATTTGTTTCATTTTTTATCAAAAGAAAAAAAAGCCAGATCTTAGATTTTATGATTGTGCTTGCGTTTTATAGAAACTAATAGTGAAATATTTTCATAAATTTGAATCATTAGAATTTTTAACAAAAAAAAATGTTAACTTTTGTACTTTAGGGTCGTTGACATCTCTGTTGATAACGTTTGACATTAAATTTTAATAATAATTTTGGAATTACCATTGAAAAAGTTTCTTTTAATTGATAAAAATTTCTTAGCCTATTTTGTGCTTATTTATTTTCTTTACCCACGACAATGAATATGATAGAGCTTAAGTCTTTTATATTTGATTCGGCATTATATTATCTTTTATATTTAAAAAAAATCATCTTCTTGAACTTAAAAGATTGAAAGATTTGTTTGCTGATTGCAAAAAGAAATCTGATTTTTATTGATATTTAGTTATAAAAGCATAAGTTTTGTTAAAATTACTCAAGAAATACCGCGATTTATTATTTGAAAATTATTATTCAGCATGCTTTGCTTTGATACTATCAACTATGGCTCGCTTTCAAAAACAACTATCAGTAAAATTTAATGCTTCCCTGCTCAGTCCACGTCAATCTTCCCAATGACGCATTCCACTCATTTGCAAGGACAAATTATTAGTATAAAAGGGCTCTGAAATAAAGGACGATCCAGTCTGAATCAGAGATTCATCTCGTTGCAGGCAACATGGCTCTTAGCACTATCATTTTGATTTGTTGCTGCGTCTTCCTGGTAAGCATGACAAAATCTTTTCCTTGTTTTTTTTTTCTTTTTACGAATATATTTTTATACACTCAGCTCACTTTTTAATTAAAGTTTTGGATATTGTTGGAGTAAAATTATATAGATGATAAAAAAATTGTCAAATTTTTGGGGGAAATTTAGGTGGCTGCTAATCCTGACGGTAGATCAGAGAGCACCCGAGTCCCCAGAGACAATCACACCGAAAGCTCCAGGTCGACTGGAAGTCCCGGGACTAGACCAACTGAGAAACCGCAAGATTGCAGCCGAGAAGACATTCAAGTATGCACTTTTTGTTTTAGTTGATAACAATAAATGGTATTAATAATTTGAAAAAGAAACTTGCGAGTTGCTGCAAATTGCCTCAAGTATTCCCAGCTGGACTGATTGAAAATTGCTCTTACACGCTGCCCACAACCAAAGCACCTGGCAGTTCAGGAAGTAAGAAAAGGGGCTCGAAGAGATCCAAGAGGGCTCCACCCAAAGGTTCGCCATCAAATTACATCTAAAAGCTACCAAATAATCAAATATCAATAAAAACAGGCAGCAAACTTAGGGATCCAACAGTATAATTATTAATTTTTTTCTTTTAATCCTCTTAAAATTTCTTTTCTCCATTAAAGTGTGTTTCTGACTGTCTTCTGAGAAGTCAGGGCTTGGTATTGTTTGTTACTTTAAAATTGTTAAATTTTCACCCTTACATTCATACATTTTAGATCAGTGGCGCCGGCGTGATCGATATCGGAGGATTGGGAAATTTGATCAACTCCAACGCCAGTGCCGTTTGGGTCCCGGTCTTGAACGCAACAATCACTGGCTGCTTTGCTAACTTGACTAGTAATCGCAAAGTTTTTATAATTATGCAAATATTATAATAAAAACAAATAGACGTCAGCAATTCCGTACCACCTCCACCGAAAGAAGGATGCGTTGCGACCAGCGACCTGTTGCTTATGTGCATCCAACGCGGCCTTCTGTTGGTCAGATTGCAAACTTTAATTTGGAAAATTTAGATCAAATATTTTAATTTTTTAGGGCTGTCCTTCAAGTGAATTGACAACAAGTAATGCGTTTTTCATATTTGAATCATTCAAATTTAATTTTTTTTCTGAATAGATACAACTTGCAAATCCATACCATCAAAGCTTTCGAAGTGCGACCCTTTTGCTGCGGCCAAGAATTATAAGCCTAAGATTTCTTCAACAATCACGACAACCCCGCCAACCACGCCAGCCTCGGGAAAATAATGTCGGCCTGATATTACTGATTTCAGCTTCTTTTTTTCGGAAATTCTCAAAACCAATTGATTAATTTGTTAAAATTAATTAATAATACACATAATAAAATTTCAATTCTGGCAAGCACTTAAAAATTGTTTCAATTATTTTACTCATATACTTAAATAATAAATTACAAGATTAAAATTTTATGTGCCATCCAAATAATGAATTTTCTATTCGCGATTCCTTCATGAAATTTCAATGTGGAATGAGCATACTCATTATATTAATATAAATTATATTTGTTTCATACTTTTAGTTGAATTGTAAAAATCAGCATACATATATTAAAAAGGCTTAACATTAGGATACCTTGCAAAAATATAAAAAAAAAATCATAAATTCAATTCATTTATTGTTCTCCATCGAGTTGGAACCATCAATTGAAAGAAAATTGGTTGGGAGAAAAGAAACGGTGCTAGTGAACAACTCACTAAAACTCATAAAAACCTGGGCGATACTAAAGAGCAATAACTAATTTTTTAGTACTTTGAAGATCATTGAATAAAATTAATTTGTTTTTATTTATTAAGGATAAAAACTCATTCGTCAGCAATGTGTAGAAATTGTGAAGTTTTGTCCTTCATAAAATGTTGACGAATTTCCGGAAGAACGGAAAATGCAAACCGGGTCAACATTGATGATGTGTTGTTTTTTAAATTTTCAGTATTTCTCTTACCTGGAATTCGGTGCGGATGTTTTGTGGACCAGGGCTCTGTCATGATGTTAGCAGTAAAATAAATTTCTTGCCAATTAACCATTTTGCAATGCGCACAACGCCTCTTGATGGGCTGATGGCAATCACTTTTAATCTCTGTTAATCCAGACTGAGACAAAATGCACACGAATTAGGTTCGAAGATACACTTTTCACTTTTGTCTTGCACACTAATTCAACATTATGTACCTCACTTGCCGTCTTCAAAAAATGAGGAGAAAGAACAAGTTTCATTCCGTTTAATACAATGACAATGTTGTTGCTTGTCTTTTATGTTTTGCTTTGGACTTAGGACTGGATTGGAGGCAGTGAGACCGTAAGAAGTGAAGAATTGGCGAAGAAGGCATGCGTGAGGAGGGCATGCGCGAGTAATGGAAACATGACTCGACACGCACCGGCGGCGAAAGGGGCAGCATTGGCAGCATCTCATTTCATTCGTTTTCGTTTTTCATTTCATTCCTCATTCTTTATTCATCATTCATCGTTTTCCTTGAAACCTTCAGTTTTGTTTTGGTGAATCACCGACTAATTGCGAGCACCGTCAGCCTCAGCATCTTCAAGGATTATTCAAAATCCAGATTAAGAGGTATAAAATAAAATTGCTGAAATTTAGCAATGGCCTTGCTAGAACCCTTAAGAAAGCACGAGGAAACGTACATGAAAATCGAAAAAAAGATGAGAGAAACGATCAAGTCTCATAACAATGGCATCCCCTTGAGCGACTACAATATCAAGAAGGTAATTTTTTATATTAAAAAAAAACAAAAAACAAAAATGACGTGATTTAATTTCATTTTATTTTGTTTTCACTGTAATTAAATTTTTGTTTATTTTTATTATTGCATTTGAATTTTACAAAAAAATTTACCTTTTTCATTCATGTTTGTAAATTTTGCTCCTATTTTGTTAGATCAGTCGAGTTGTAAACAAGGACTTAAAAAGAAGGCACGACAACGTTAAAAAATTGATTCTCACAGAGATGAACGCCAAGGAGGCAGAATTGATGGAACTTTACCACGGCAGTCCGAATGCAATGCAGATAATCAAGGATGGCTTCAGTGCTCAGTACTCTGACAATAGCAACATGTTTGGAGTAGGTAAAGATGAAACTTTTAATTTGAATTTTTTTTCCTCCAAAGTCGTCAGAACAATAATTTTTAAAAATATTTAAAATTGAATAAAAAATGCAACAACAGTTTGAAATAATGAAAAGCAAATTTAATACATATGTATTTTCTCACACGTTTTCAGGAATCTACTTTGCAAATTTTTCTTCCAAGAGCAATCAATTTGCATGGGGCAACATGCAGGGCTGTCCACCGCACAGGGATCGCTCATGCTCCAAATGTGTTCGCCACTTGCTCGTCTGCAGTTGCTTCATGGGAAACATTTACAGACCCACGGCTCCAACTCGCCAAGTTCCTAAAGGATTCCACAGTGTGGCTGCAGAACCTGGGGTTGTGCCATCCTTGTGCTACCCTGAGTTTGCAGTCCTCAATGGAGATCAGGTAATTTTTTTTAACAAAAATTTTTTTTGTACAATCTTAACATTTTATTTTTGTAGGCTTTGCCTTTGTATTTGATCGAATATACCATTGTTCCCTGAATAGCCTGCATAATTATACAACTTGACCTCTGGCTTGATTGGCTTGGAATTACAATACTCAATAACGGCAGCACATCAACTCAAGCATTTTTATCATTGATGCTCAAATTGTTTAAAATGATTTTTTGTATCTGGATCGTTGTAATAATTTAGTGATTGATTTTTCTTAATTGAGACTTGCTAAAAAAGGAAAAATAAAAATTTTATTTCAGAGATGTAATGAAGATTTTTTATTACTTTTAATAGGAATTAATCTTAAAACCATCTAAGGAGGAAAGAAATATACTTTTTGAAAAAAAAATTTCTTTTTGATAAAGAAAAAAAAATGGGAGGAATTATACTTTTGTTCAAATAATTAATACTGTGTGTGAGATTCTATTAAGCACTAGCAAGTAAATTATGTAGTCATGTAGTCTACATAATTATATGTTTGAAAATCGAGAAGAAAATAGAAAAAGTAAATGAATACTCACAGGCATGCGTTCTGTCTTTATATATTATATACTTTATGATATGTATTCTAGCAGTTACATATATCAAGACTTAAGAGGGAGCATGCGTATGGACGCATTTTAATGGCAGAGCGGCAACATAACTTTCTTTACATTCATTTTGCGCGGTGGTAAGTTTTCATTTTTGTTGGGTTTATTTATTTATTCTCCATCAAGTAAAGGATAACACAGGTTTGTTCAAAGAGAGAGAGAGCGCAAGAATTGAACTGAAATTATTGCCAATGGACATGGACGTGCTAATACCTTTAAGCAGGGTGGGGAAAACGTTCAAGAAAATTAAAAGGAAGATGACAGAAACGATCACGCCTATAAATGGATCATTCGCTTTGAGCAACTACAATATCTACAAGGTGATTATTGTAAAACTTTGAGTGCCTTTTATAATTAATTATAATATAGATCAGTCGTGTTGTAAACCCGGAATTACGAACGAGGTATGAAATGTGCCAGAAATTGATTCTGGCTGAGATGGGCGAGGAGGAGGCAGAAGTGATGGAACTTTACCACGGCAGTCCAAAAGCAATGCAGATTGTCGAGGAAGGATTCAATTTACGTTATTCCAGAGTTGGGAATATGTTTGGAGAAGTTAATTCCTTTATTGCAAAAATTTCAAGTAAAACACTAAGCAAATAATAAAAAGTAATTAAAGAAAATTAAATATTATTTAAAATCAAGGTCCGTAGCACTTTTTTTTCTAATTTTTGTGGTGTTATAAAAAACAAATTTACTTCCAGGGATCTACTTTTCAAATTTCTCATCCAAGAGCAATCGGTATGCCTGGGGCAACAACAAGGGTTGTCCACTACATGGGATTCTTGCATGCATGGAATGTGTGCGCCACTTGCTGATCTGCCGGTGCTTCATGGGCAATATTTATAGACCTACTGAACCAAACTGCCAAATCCCTAAAGGATTTCACAGTGTGGCCGCAGATCCAGAGGTTGCACCATCCCTCAGATGCCCCGTGGTTTCAGTCCTTAATGGAGATCAGGTGATTTTTTTAATTGTATCGATTTTTTTGCATGGAATTTTAAAATATGTATATAATTTTCATAGGCACTGCCTTTATATTTGGTCGAGTACACCATTGTGCCCTAAGCATACATCAAGAACGGTTTTGAAATTCATTTCATTTCTCAACGATATTTTAGTCACCGCAAGTAAGATATGTTAAGTACATACTGTACCTTAAATACTTGGCAAATGATAAAATATTAGATGCCGTATTTGTAAATAATTTTGAACATGTTTTTGTAGCCATGAAGGTGATATTCATTTCTAATGATTGACGGGACAGTTGAATAGTAAAAAAATTCATAGCACTTTTAAGTTGAATCTAGAAAACTAAAAATTTGCAAATAAGATTTTTTGAATTGTTTATCAAGCATTTTTCAGTCCTTGAAATGAGACTATGGATATAAAGGATAATAAAATGACAGAATTTGTTCCAAATTTTCTCTGTGTTACATTTTTTTTTTTTTTTTTTTTGCTTACTACACCAACCAGGTAGCAATAATGTCGATGACGCGCTGTCTGGCGTTAAGAAGTACTGGCTCGTCATCCAATCTGGAACTTCCAAGGTCCCTGCAATGCGAGTGACCTGAAAACGCAAGCGTCTTATTTCTTTCATCTTTTTTATTTAAAATTTTTATTTTTACCGTCAATCATGATGACTGGCGAGTCTGGATTCAGATCGGTCTCGCGTCCAAGGGCGTGCCAGGGGTCAAGACTGCCATGGGTGTAGATGACCCTGGTTATTTCAGGGTTGAGACCGCCATACTCAAGGTTGGAACGGTCAACGCCAGACTGAGACACTTCCTGCGTGAATCTGGAAAAATGAGGCAGCAAAAATAATTTAAAGTTGAAATCCAAAACCGAACTCAGCATTTTGAAACAGAGAAAATATTATTTTAAATTATTTTGTTCCATTTAAAAATTGTGGAGAAAGTTTCCTATCAAGGAAAACTGAATGCTGACATTGCATCACATTGCATGATGTCTTTATTAGAGATTTTTCTTACTTAGAAAGAGAATTTTTGTCTAAATTGTTTCCTGATAAAACTTGAAAAAATTCACATAAAAAAACCATTTGATATTTTAACCACAGGACGCAAATTTATATGTTATATTTTGTGGACAAAAAATATATTATGTAATTAATGTTGAACTTACTCTGGTCCATAAACTTCAAGGTTGAAAAGAATGGAGAAGGACAAGGGTACGTTTTGGCCAAAGGGTTGGTTGGGGGAGCTCAAACTCTGGTAATAGCCGAATTCAGTGGCGGTCTGGTACACCCATTGACGTGCTGTATGTCATATTATTTTAGAAAAATAATCGCTTTCAAAGATTTGAGGTTAAACTCACTGACGTCTCCTGAGTACTGGATGTCGTCCCTGTAATAGTCGAACATGGCCTTGGCCGTGATGTCAAGTTGCGCTCCACCGAAGTAGTCGTTCCAGTACTGAGCAACGGTTTGCAGAGGAGTACTTTGTCCGGCAACGATGGTTTGGCAAAGTGTCACCAAATTTCCACCCCTGGCGTACTGAACCTCTCCCGCGAACAGGTAGGAAATGGTAGCCCTCAAGTTCATCACGTCGTCTTGGTTGGCCAAGTCGATGGGATAGAACAAGCTTTTAAAAGTTACAATTAAAAAATCAACATTATTTTAAATTCTCGTTGATGTGAATTGAAAACAATAGAAAATTGAATAGTTTAGACCAATTTTTGCTTTAATTAAAAATATGATATTTAATTTTTTTAAATATATCCTTTGAAAAGAAAAAAAAGTAACCTTGGTTACTTTGTAAATGTAGAGATTTTAATTTAGTTTTTCAATAACGCTTCCTTAAATCAATAATTTTTGTTAATTATGACCCTTAGGCCTTAGTTAATAATAAATATATCTGCAAATTTTTAGAAATAATAATTTTGTAAATTCTGTTTAATACCTTATGACAACATTTTTAAAGTTAAATTATTAATCTAAGTTATTTTTTAACATTAAATTTACCAAAACCACCTACAATAATCGATCTAATGATCATTATCAAATTTATTTATTTACTTGAAGAGCTGGGTGATAGTTGCAGAGTCTCCGGCCTCAATGAGTGCGTCAAGTTCATCAGTGGAAGCCTGAATAACAGCCGGACAGGCAGGGTCGGTGGCCACAAGGGCCTCGTTGACGACTTCCATGTACTCGGGGAAGTCGAGTTGCGCCAAAATTGGAGCACTGGAAGCGTAGGCTCCGTAGAAGATGTGTGGATAGCGGCCGCGAGCCCACGCTGCCATGTTAGCCGAGTACGAACCTCCGACCACGATCCACGGGCCGTTGAGACCGAGCGATTCCTTCAAGCTAAGGGCGAAGGTGGCAGCGTCCTCCAGGGCTTGGTCGACGCTCAGGTACTTCAGGTTGGCGGAACTTGTGTCTCTGCATTTGTGTTAGTTTATAATAAAATTTTAATAAATAAACACATTTTTTTAAAAAATAATCTTACGGAGTAGGTCGGCTCTGTCCATAGTATCTGTGCTCAAGATCAATTGTGAAGCCATTGAAATTGTTAGCGAGTTGGCCAACAAAGGTGAACTCAACCTCGCCAGGGTCGGCCTCCCATTCGCCTGCCAGGTACAGAAAGACGGGTGCTCCAGGGGTGTAAGCATTAGTGGAAATGAAGTATCGCTAAAATTTGATATTATATGTCATTAAATGAAAGTATTTTTCAATAAGTTTCATAATTTTTCCATTTAAAATAAATCGTATAATATAAATATTCATTGTACATTAGAAAGAATTAAGCTTATTGCTGGTTATTTAAATTTTTACAATAAAAGAATAGCATATTTCCAGAAAATTTTATCTCAGCGTTTTCTAAATTTTTATTACAAAAAAAAAAAAATCATAATAAAATTACATTTAATTCAGTTTTATTCTATATTTACAGCCATGCAGGTACGAATTTGTGAGAAATTGTAAAACTTGTTCTGTTGACAAGTGCCACGTATAAATTTATCTTATCAATACTAAATTCACCTGCTGCCACGTAGCATTATTGAAAGCATCAAAGTGGTCCAATCTCTGCGTGAAATATTGGGTGGTGTGAGCCCTGGCAGGTCCAAACTGCTTTGGAGGAGGAGGAGGGCCACGGCGGATGACCTGCATGGGGTTGACGACCTTGGTTGCGGGCAGGGCCGCTACCAGGGTGGCGGCCAGAAGGCCCAAAACGACGACAGCAAGACGCGACATCTTGGAGATGAGTGGTCCTTTTCGGACTCTATAGATTCAATTCTTTATCATCGCAATAGTGCAAAAATTATCTCTGGGGAACACCTATCAGCTTCACTCCGAGTGTCGACTCAAGGTTTTTACGATTGATACTCAAGAAATCTTTTTATCTGATTGTTTTCATACTGACCATAAATCACCCTATTTAATGTTTTTCTAACTGACTGAATATTTTTTAATAAAGTATATTTATTTATACTATCAAATATAAAATTTGATACAAAATAAATTCACCCTTGAAAAGTGAAACAATGATTTGAAGCTAATTAAAAATAAAATCATAATAAAACATGAATATTTATTTAATTTTATGTACATATATAGAGATTTTATATTTGGTGAGAAATTCAAAAGTCAACTTAATTATTTTATAATGTGCAAAAAATTTATAAGATACACTCTCAATGTGGCCAATATTTCTTCTGTTTTGTTTACAATTTTTTATGTTATATGCTTTGCTTGGTGTTGGAGAATATAATTTCCTAATCAGTCCTTTTTATTATTTTGATTGCAAAAATGAACACTCAAGTGATTGATAATTTTCATTCAGAGTTTAATATAAGCTAAAAATTAAAAATAATATATGTATGATTCCAATAATCTTCTTACGGAAATTCTGTGTTTGCATTTTTATTATTTTAATCTTCGCATTTTCACAGCCAACTAGAAACAATTTCAATGATACGCAGCCTGGCATCAATAAGTTGCTGCGGGTCATCAGAGCTGGGCACTCCGACTGTGTCATAGCAGTGCGACAGACCTATAAGATTTGCATATTTTTTATTATTATTAATTTTCTTTAAAATTAAATGCATTTTGTACCTTCAATCATTATAACAGGCGAGTCAGGATTTAGGTCAGTTTCGCGTCCAAGGGCGTGCCAGGGGTCAAGAGTGCCGTGGGTGTAGATGACCCTGGTTACGTCAGGATTGAGACCTCCAAAGGCAAGGTTGGTGCGGTCAATACCTGACTGGGTCAGTTCTCGTGTGAACCTTCCAAAATTCGTATTACCATTAAAAAAAATGTGAAAAATTAAATTTTTTTTTTTTTTAACAAAACACTGAAATTTAACCGATTCTTTAAAATCATCACTTCTAACAAAATAAATAATTATTTAATTAATTAAGAATGTCTTTAAAATAATTTACACAATAAATCATTTATAATTAACTTACTCGGGGCCATAAACTTCAGCGTTAAAGCGGAGGAACAATTCTTCAGTCATATTCTGGCCAAAGGGTTGATTTTGAGAGGCCAGGCTTTGGTAATAACCCAATTCGATCGCAGAATGGTATAACCAAGGGCGGTCTAATTAAGAATTAGAATTTGACCGACCTCTTGTTAGTTTATTAGTATTTTGAATCTCCTAACTTACTGACGTCATCCGAGAACTGGATGTCGTTTTTGTAATAGCTGAACAAGTCGTCGGTGACAACGTTGATCTGGGCTCCATTAAAGGTGTCCCTAAAGAACTGAGCCACCGTTTCCAAAGGAGTGCTCTGTCCGGCAACAAGGGTCTCACAGACCCTTGCTAGGCTGCCTCGCACGGCGTACTGCACCTCTTGGCCGAATACGATTAAGGAAATATAGAACCGCAGAAGCATCAGATCGTACTTGTTGGCCAGGTCAATTGTAGAGGCCAAGCTTAATGATTAAAAAAAAATAACATAGTAAGTAAAATATAATATAATGTAATATACAACCTTAAATAAATGATACAATAAAAATATATGATTTAATTAGAAAATATTTAATCTTCTCAATTATTAATTTGGTTGTTTTATTCCTTACAGTTAAATAGGAGAAATAATTAATTTATCTTTTACTTTCCGAATTTTATTTAAATTATGCTTTGAATGCTTCATGATGAATTATTGATTAATTACTTGAAAAGTTGGGTGATTTTTTCTGCGTCTCCGTTCAAGATAAGCGCGTCAAGTTCATCAGTGGAGGCCTGAATGACAACCGGGCAGGCAGGGTCGGTGGCCACAAGGGCCTCGTTTACGACCTCCATGTACTCAGGTATGCCGAGTTGCGCCAGGATGGGTGCACTGGAGGCGTAGGCGCCCACAAAGATGTGCGGGTAGCGAGCGCGCGCCCACGCTGCTAGGTTAGCAGAGTACGATTCTCCAATTACGATCCACGGGCCGTTGAGACCGAGCGATTCCTTCAAACTCAAGGCGAAGTTGGCTGCGTCCTCCAGGGCTTGGTCAACGCTCAGGTACTTCAGATTTTCGAGACTTGTGTTTCTGTATTTAAATGATTAATTCCATAAAAGATATGTAAAATAAGCATTTCAAAATATTACTTTGAAATAATATAATTGTCATGCATAATAATTTTGTTTTTTAAATAAAATAATTAATAATCATAGAGTTTGATTATGGTCTACAAGCTAAATCAGGAATTTATTATTGTATTAATTCATAAAAATTATTACAAAAAAAATTAATATTATATAATCCATTGAGGCGTTTTGAAAAAAAAAACTGTTAATAAAACTTTCGCTGATTTTATATACAAAGAAATAATAACTAGTAAAATATTTAAAATAAATTCCTGTACAAACTAATGAAAATGAGGATTATCTTTTCTCTTGCAAATTTCAAATGGATTTTACAGTTCATAATTTCAATGAAACAAAATCTTACGGAGTAGGCCTGCTCTGTCCGTAGTATCTATGTTCAAGATCTATGGTGATTCCACTAAAATTGGCGGCCAGTTGACTAATAAAGGTGAACTCGATCTCCACAGGGTCGGCCTCCCATTCGCCTGCTAATAACAGGAAAATGGGAGCTCCGGGAACGTATACGTCCGTGGAAATAAAATACCGCTGAAAAGATTACAAATTTCATGTAATAATTTAAAAATTCTTCCTCCACTGTATTTTTATCATGAAATTTCCTCTTATCAAAATTTTACTTCGGCTCTTAATTTTCCACCGCGATTTTTTTACGGATGCATGGTCATGGTCACACTTTTGGAGAGTAGATGATTTCATGAACAAAATAGCAGTCGAAGGGAGAATGTCCCAAGATTTGATTTTTCTTCAATGTAACATTGAGTCGCATGCAAATTTTTACTATTTCCAAAATAAAAAAGGCCCATAATTTGGTTTAAAATTGTAAAATTAAAATACTGCCTTATAAAAAGACTAGAAAATAAAATTTATTGGCGGGCCCATATGGACATATAAACTAACCATATTTACCATTCTATTACTTTTGTATAAAATGAAAATCGCTAGAGCCTCAAATCCCCTCTTTTAACCAAATAAAAATTATTTAATCTTTTATTATTATTTTCTTTTTTCACATAATAAAATAGGTATCACCTGCTGCCAAGTAGCATTATTAAACACGTCAAAGTGGTCCAATCTCTGCGTGAAAAATTGGGTGGTGTGAGCTCTGGCAGGACCGAGCTTCTTTGGAGGCCCTCGACGGATGACCTGTAAGGTATTTATGACCCTCGATGATGGTAGAGCCACAACCAGGTGGCAGCCAAGAGGCCCAAAACGACGACAGCCACTCTGGTCATCTCAAAGACTACTTGCAGTTCAGCCAAAATAATGAATCCAGACAAAAGTAATCCACAATCGCAAAAAAATATCTGTTTGGTCTTATCAGCATCACTTGAAGTGGCTGAATGGCAGCTCCAGATTTTTAGGAATTCCCCGTTGTTATTTTATATCGAAATAGGGAAATCCAATTATTAAATTACTAAAATTTAAAATTCTTAACTATAACAATTTTTTTTGTAGATTATGATCAGAGATTGAAGACAAAATTCTCAAAACATTTAATAAAATAACGATTGAAAATTGTTGTATGAGGATTGTACAATCTAAAATGACAATTCAAAAGTATGTCGCTTCAGGTTCATTTTTATTTACATACAGTAGCACAGGCATTCAAACCGACAGCCAAGAGAGACACAAAATCCAATCTGCAGTTTTTCACTTGAATTTTGGAGAATGAAGTTTTGGTACATTTAACAGGATTGTAGGCCAATTCCAGGTCTATAGAAGGCGGTGAATCTGCATGTGCACCTTTCAATACAATAAACTCACTTTTTTTTTTTAATTTAATCAAAATAAATAAATACCCTCCTATGTTTTTGCCTGTCAGCCATAAAAATTATTGCCTCTTCTTGAATAGGATGTGCATTTAAAAATAAAATTATAAAATTTCAAAAATGCAGCTCCTTTGCTTCTATGCAATTTGTAACTAAACAATCAGCATCAAAAGTCCAAAAGGCACCACATCAAATTAAGGATTCTCTCTGTCCTCGTCTAAATGTTCCATCCACCGACTTATCTTTAGTACAGATTATTACCAAAAAGCATATATTTTTTTTGTCATGATTCTTTTGATTTTTCTGGTGTGTGTTTGTGTGTGAGTATAAACGGAAATTGCGGCGTTTTTTAATATATATACTTTTTTAAAGGAGACAAACAGTACTTTTTTTTTGAACAGTAACAACTTTTCAGATTTTTTCTCATGCGCTCTCACGTGTTTTTCTATTGCTTTTCCATAATGATTGATTATAATAACACAGTCTTCAGTGTAATGTCTCAATTGTTTAGTTAGTTTATCCCATTTCGAGTTGCCGCCCCCTCTGCTAATTTTTTAATTTGCTCTGCACATTCAGCGGCGGTCGAGTTAGTTCCTCTCCTGCACTCATAATTATGTCCGCGGGACGATATCACAGATCACGAGAAATATTCCAAGCACTCTATTTTTCAACAGCAGCTCCCTCGAAACTCCTTCTTCGTCAACAGTAAGTTAGTTAGTCTCTCTCTCTTGTTCACTATTTTCATCTAGCTCAGAACGTTAGTCACTCACAGCAACAAAGGATGTCGATGCAAATCCTGCAGATAAATGTAATATTTTAATTAATGCTATTTCAATTTTAAAGATAAATTTTTTTTACCTAGAGTCACCTGTTGAAAATTCCAGACAAGGAGATGAGAAGAACAAAGGCCGAAGAAAGTGTGACCCTTGAGGGTGAAATACCAGCGCTGCTGTTTTCCTCCATACAATTGCCTGTAATTGAAAATTGATTAATTAGAAAATCAAAGGTCTTTAGTTGTGTATGCATAATTTTTATTTATATTTTATTTATTTTCTAAAAGAAATGAATATTATACATTATGTAAAATTAACCTCTGAATTCAAAATTTAGTATATGATTAAATATTTTGGCTTCTCATTTTTCTTACAACAAAACATTATAAATTGTTACAGATAATTTTAAATTGTGTAACATTAGCAATTGAAGTGAATTGTTTATTGAAGAAGTTCTTTTGATAGTGAATTAACGTTGCCAACTGATGATTTTTTTTAGCATCTTCATGGCAAGGGTCCAATTTGGCCCACTTGAGAGTTTGAAGTACCCTTGTGACACATACCTGAACTGGTGACGTTGAAGGCCAAGATGCCGCCGACGCCTGGGCTGATGTCCCTTTGACAGGAGACGGCGCTGCTGGAGAAGTGGACGCCGAGGGCGCTCTCGCGGTAAATGAAGCAGAGGCGTCGGGCGCCGTGCGACGTCCGGCTCAACGGCGTCGTGATCAGAAAGTGTGTCCCGTTGTCCTCCCACCCGCCGTGACACGAGTACGCTGGAAAAAAAAACACTGTCAGTTTTTTCGCCTAAATGAATCAAACTGAGCGTGACACAGAGAGAAGGAAAATGCCGGAGCGCAATCCCCATTTAGGAACATTTTTGCACCGAAATGCCAACCAACGAAAAGTCAAGAGAACTTTGCTCTTTGCTTTGCAATGTGGGAATTATGGAGCTTTTATTTTTAATTGCGATTTGCATAATGTTTTTGAAAAAATAAACAGCAACAATATTACGTAAATAAATATTAAGACAGAAACAATTGAACTTCAAAGACAACACAGGAATTTGATAAATTGTTCGTTTCGAAAGAAAGAAAAGGATTTTTTACCTTAACATTAGTTTCATTTTTCAATATAACATAGAATCTTCTTTTTCTAACAATTAAGAAATTATAGGGGGAGAAAATTGTTGCATTTTTACCATAAAGTATGGAAAAATTGAGGAGGGGGATTAAAACACATAATTTGAATAAAAGCATTTTTCTCAAAATAAATATTTACAACATCAAGAAAGGAGATTTTTAATAGAAGAGTATTAAAAAAATAGTAAACTAATAAATAATGATAGTAAATTCTGATTCACTTTTTCAACATTCGAAGAAAATTAAAAAAAAAAATATTAAAAATTTTACATGAATTCATGGTTATCAAGACTGATCAAGACAAACACATCTTTCTTAAAGTGTTTCTCAAAACTAGGACAGATTTAATATTCAAGTTTTCAAACTAATAAATGTAAATTAAATCAATAAAAAAACTTCATGACTTTAAAAAATAGTTATTGCTATTTTATCCCAATCCTTACCTGATATTGTGTCCGTCCGTGTGCACTCGGAGCGGAACTCCATCGTATCCACGTTGGTGCAGCCGACGCGCAGGCTGGTGAACTCAGGTGAGCAGCCGCCCGGAATCATGGACGCCGCGTTGTCCACGGCCTGGGAGGTTTGCGCCGCGCTGTTGGCGCTCGACCGTCGTTCTTCCTGGCTCAAACCCAGCACGCTGAAGCGGCCGGAGTACGGACAGTCACGAGACTCGGGACTTGAAGCTGGAATTAAAATTCACTCATTTATATTTGTTTGAATTATATTTTCCTACCAACTTCATGGACAATATTTTTTTTAAAACTTTTTGATTTCTTATATAACATAAAATGATTACTATTTACTCTGCCATACCTATAGTTTGAAAAATTGAAAGATAATGTTTTGATAAATTTGGTACACTCGTATGAGTGATGAATGAAAATCATTCGAAATTTGCAATCGTATGCAAAATTTTTAAGTTCCCAATCATATGAAAATGATCAAAATGAATTTTCCTCAATGAATTAATAAATATAAAACATTACAAAATTTTAGCATTTAAATGCCATAAATAAAATCTTTAATATAACCAAGTGATGAACATTTCAGGCCCAAAGTTAACAAGAAATTTAATCAATTTTCAAATAAATGATCGTATGTTATATTTCATAATAAGATAATATGTTGATAATTTTGGTACTTACTGACTAGCGTCACATAAGGCAGAGTGTTTTTGTCAAAGTGGTGCGAGTGGCACGCTTCTTCGGGTCTCCGCGAAAACAATCCTGCAAACCAAGACGTAACAATCAGTTTTTCAATCAATTTGCATCTGTGCGAGCGAGCGAGAGAAGGGAAGAGGGAACGCTTTTAATCAAATAAACGAGCAAAAACTTTCTGCTCCGGCGCGACAAACGCAATTAATACATATAAACCCTCAACTCTCTTCAGTTTTCGTCGGGAAATTAATGAAGGCGTCTCGTGAATTCCGTTTATTCTTGTTGTGCAAACAGCACGATTAATTAGCAAGGTCTTGTTTGCGTCGCATCTCTGTAATTATAATTACACGTGTGCGCGTCTCTTGAGTTAAATGCGATTTGCAAGAAGTGCTGTCCGTCCTTTGAAGTACTGTGCAGAAAAAAAAATGCAACGCAGACCTTTGAGAGTTGCTGGAGTTTTGTGTCAGACAAAAAGCAGCGTGGGAGTCGGAGAGAGAAACATGCGAGTGAACAGAGTTTGAGGAAAGGCTTACCTGTTTGTAATTCAATTACGTGAGCGTCTCTCCTGTAGAACATCATGCACACGTATCCACTTTGGCTGAAACAAAACACGATATCTTTTAGAAGCTGCGTTTGATGTAAAGAGAAAGCGAGGTGAGTGAGGTTGGAGCGGGTCAAAGCTTTTTCCACTGGACTCCAGATATACATGCAAAAAGCTTTTTAATTTATGTTAAAATTTCGGAGCTTAAATTATTGCATAAAAACAATTAAAATTCAGGACACAAGGAAAGTTTCATAGAAGATGTTTTCCAATTAATTTTTACCGGTGCATATGATGAAACGGCATCTCATAGGTAAATATTATTAGTTAATTGTTAGTTAAAAATTAAATAAAAAATATTTAAATATTACTGGTTTGAACACCTTTGATCCTGATTAATAAATAAATAAATTAATTTATATTTCAATTCGTCTGGATCATAATTATTACAGTTTTGTAATTTTACTTTTGTACATTTTTATAAAGAGCCACAAATGAACTTTCAGCTCAGATTTTCACTCCACTATGCTAACATTTTCAAAACCGAGGAAAGCGAGGGTAGGCAACCGGCACGACTGATTAGAAAAGTAGGTTGCCTAAAATCTAAATATTTATTTAATTGAAGTTGATTTTGAAAATGTGTTGCGAAAATTGGTGTTGGTTTGGAAATTTTTCATAAAAAACTTTCAAACTGGAGGAAATGCAATAATCACATTTTAGTTGAAATTCCCTCGGATATTCTATTGCAAAATATAATTTAATCTAAATTCTTTGCAATTGAAATCTTATAGATTTAAACATCATTTATGCTCCAAATTAAGTCCTTTTTAATGCAAAAAAAAATTCATGAAGAATTGGTTTCTATGCTAGTTGTTTGATAAATCAAAATTATTATACATATAAATTCAGCAGAAAAATAATTACCCCTTTTATTAATTATTTTTCATTCACAAAAAATATGCCCTTATTTTAAATATGAAGGAGAAAGTGTCTCTTGAAAACTTTTCTAACATGTGGCCCGACCAGCACTTTGGCCATAAACGGCGCGAATTCCACACACCAATTATGCCCCCGCGAGACAGCCATTATTCACCTCTGGCAACTCTGCAACTTTTGAAATCAGTACCGTCGACTTTGCCAATTAGCTGCAATTACTGTGACGCCCGTGGAGCAGAAAGTGTCTCGCGCAAGAGGTGACAGAATAAAAGCGACGCGTGTCTGGTGGTGTGGCAGGCGCACATTGTTATGGAATGGATGTCATCGTCGGTGCACCGCAAGCACGCACAAAGCTGCTTTAATTACATGTGAATGAATGCCGCCCCTGGAGGGCGACGCGGGAAGAGTTATGTTTGTGCAGCAGCTACAACGTCACGCTCGCCAGATTTACCGTTACCAATAACCCTTGCCTGCCTCCGCCACCCGACCGCCTTGAGACAATAAAAGCGACGTGCACATCATCGATCCGATCCCCCTGCCATGTGCTTTAAATTTAACGCCATGTTCTTACAACAATTTTGAGAAAAAGATGATATTTGAAGAATAGTCTTTAGAAGCGTGATGCAAGAAATTTTTTAGAACTTTCAATTCAACCAGGAAGTAAAAGTCCGAATGTATATCCTTTATTGCACTATTTCCGTCAACCTGAGCGGAAAACGTTAGACAAAATAAATGCTTACAGGGAGAAGTCCCAATCGTAGAAAAACCCCCCAGAAAAACAACTTTAGGATAAATAGCAAGGGGGAAAGAAAATAGAATGAAAATAATTTCTGGGTGGGGCTTTTAACTTCCATGAGGCTATTCAATGGATTAATCTTTAATTAATTTTTTATAGAATCTAATATGTATATATCTTTATGTATACATACAGAATGATTAAAATTGGATTAATTCCTTTAAAACGAAATGAGTATAAACTTTCCCATTGATGCTTGGAAAAATTTAAAAAAAACTTCTGAAAACCCAAACAGAATCCAAAGATGAATATTTTAACCCTTAATTCGCTTTACAAAAAGGTTATAATTGTAAAAATTTCAGAGATTAATAATGGAAAATATAATTATGAAGAGAATTTTAGTAGTTGGAATTTCGGTGGTGAAACAACAAAGTGTTTCACCGTCCACATATTACCAGAGTTATTTGTTCATTATTTCATACAAACGCTTGCTTCGTTTCAAAATTTGACGGTGCTTACTTAGAAATTCCATGGAAATAAAAAATGTAATAAATGTAAAATATTAGAGCTCCTCTTTCAAGCAAAAATGGTTACATCAAAATTTCAACAGTAATTAATTAAATTGAACCGCGTTTATTATATTGAAAGCGTAAATTACACTCGTGAAAAAATTAAATATTTATTTCTCGATTTGTTTTCTAATTTTTGCAGAACACAGCAGTAAAGATTACTATTATTATTATTATTATTTGAGGTAATGTGCTAAAAAATAAAATAATACAGAATTGTACTACTTAACTAATTTTCATCATCATCAAAAATTTAATTTAATTAATTTAAACAATAAATTTTTATTGCAAGAAATGTCTATTATATATTGATTGTATTATTTTTAGTTTTTACATTAAATTAACATGCTTAATTACACTTTTTTTTAAACACAATCGTATCCCTTTAAACCTTCCCGATTTTGTGCAAAGAAAGGGTGTTTTGCGTTTTGGCAGGGAACTTTGGTGCTATCGCGCGCGCACACCGACCGGAATTCGACGCAATTTCTCCGTCTTTTCTCTTTGGCGCGGTGATATATGAATTCGGGCGGGCGTTCATTTTTCGTTGGCTGCTTCCTACACGGCTGGCGGGTAATGCATGCTAGATTTAACAGCTAATGGAGCGGGCCAGAGTTACGGCGCAAACTTATAGACACTTGACGGCAGCTACCCGTTGTGCAAAGTGGCCCCCTCGTTGTTCCGATAACGCACAATGACGTGCCGAATATGTATGTGTGTGGCCAGGCCAGGCAGCGGCACCGCCATAAATAAGCGCGGCATTCCCAGCGACCTTCCGAGCCGCCGCATAACATTTTAATACACGCGCGCAGCGAGCGGCAGAGCCATAAATGATAATTTGTTTGGTGACCTCGCAACTTTGCACACAGGCCACTTTGTCGGCCGCAAAAATGCCCGCCGCACAAAACGTGTCAGCCGCACGCACTTTACGACACACGCCCCGAAATTCCTCGGGCAATATTGCAGCCGCCCCGCCGCCGTACTTTATCGATGTTGCAGTTTCACCAAAATTATTAGCGACAATAAGCACCCTTTCCATCCTGACCCAATGGACTCCCCGTACACTTTTCGTAAAATCCCTTCGGCCGAGGCGAGAACAAAAAGCCGCAGCAATTCTTGGTAAAATTTGAGCAAGGAGGAGAGTTCTCTTTCTGTAGAAAATTTCGCACTAAAATATTTTCTACATTAAACAATTAAAAATATAATTTTTACTTAAAAAAAATTGGAAAGGACTATAAATTCATTTTAACTTTTAAAAAATACTGCACTCCAGCTAGGAAGATTCAAAAGTGGATTTTCTTTGCAAACACCTAGTAAAGGATGCTATTTTTGTCTCAAGTAAATTGAATTAATGCAGAAGTTCCAATTGAACAAAATAATATAAATAATTGTGGTCTTTTTTAATCTAGTTGAGAAGGAACAGGATCTGAAGCAAGATAATTTTCTTTCAATGTCAAATCTGAACAAAAATTATGGAAATTTTTTAATGTATGTTAACAAATTAACACAAATTTCATTGTTCCCCTGCAATAATCTTCAAGCATTGTAAAAAGGCTTGTTTTGTTGGAAGATATAATGTGCAGCGAGACAATTCATTAAATTTTACCTTTTCCTGGATTGTCTTCTGAAAATATAGAAAATATATCTCACTTAATTATCCACAGGTGGCGAATCTTTCACACACACAAAAAAACAGGTTTTTTTAATGTAATTGTATATTTTTTATACAGAGAATATCTTGATTGAAAAATGAAGAAAGATCCGAAAATTCAATATAAAAAACTGTTTTTATATAACAACCGTTTCAATTAAATTTGATTTGCTCCACACGATCAATATTATTTTGATTCACTAAGATTGTCTCTGGGCTCTTAAGATTTAACTCGGCTCCTCACGCCCGGCGCCAATAACAACAAAACTAATCCAACTCGAGAGTTCCTTCCGAACAAACACATCCAATCACTCTCGGTCGGCACCAGAAATAACAATATAAAGGAAAGCAAGCTTGTCCGGAGCCAACAATGGAAGCAATCTGGAAATATTGCCAGCTGCTGGGAAAATATGTAGGGCGTAGGTAGAGGGGCCGAGAGAGTTATGTGGGCCGCAGCCAGGGCAGTAAATCACGGGAAGAGGATCATCCCGGCAACATTTAATTAAACTGCATTCTGCGCGCGAAACAAGAACAAAGGGGCAGCTGCAATTGATTGATCGCGCGCTCCGGGCTCGCTCGTTCGACACGTCAAAAGAAAACGCGTGATTTTTGCCGGGGGAAAAACTTCAAAGCGCGGCCGCTCGCGTTTCGCTGCGCAAAATTCATGAGGTGTCGGTGCGTGCTCGGTGGATCAAAGGGAATTTCATTAGGCGCCGGGACGAGGCGCCCGGAGATCACTCAAAATTAGGCCACCTATAATCAGCGCGAATCTTCACCTTGCCAAAGGTTTGCGGCCTTATTGACAGGGCTGAACTGCAAAAAAAGGTGACAGAAAGAATATCTTAATCAACAATTTTTTAATGGAGAAAAAATTCAGAATTTACTTGACGCAGAACAAAAATAATTAACCTTCATTTAATAAAGATTTCGTGTAGGGAGAATTTTATAAGAATAAACGAATTTTTAAAATCCATCAATTTAATTTAAATTTGTGATTTAATTTTTTTTAATATGAATCAGCCCACTCAGTTAAAAAATAAATATTTCAGCACAATTTCAAAATATTAATGTATAGGAAAGTCTCCAAAAATTAGCCCAAAATTGTAAATGCATTAAAAATTGTTCAAATAATTTTAAATTATCACAAGTTCTTTTTACATAAGTTTTCACATCATAATTTCAATAAAATGCCTCTCGCAAAGATCTATTGAGATCTATTGTCCCAAATATATATATATATAAAAATTAGTTCTAAACAGACTCTTTGGCCGCATTCTCTGTATTATCTATAAAAAGTAATTACAATTTAAAAATTTCATTGGTAACATCAAAAGTGTGTCAATTTGCGTCATGTTGGTTTTTATTCTAGTGGCTCAAAGACGCCAACTATGAATTTCGCCACAAACTTCTTTGAAAAATGGAAGACAAACAAACGCCATGACGAGGAATGTAAAAGCAGGAAAAGTTTTAAAAAGGAAAGTTTGACAAGTTAGAGGCGGGCGTGTTTTTCAACCCTTTGAAAAAAGAGCAGGACGCGGTGGTTGCCGTGGAAATTAAAAAAGCTTCTTTTTTGCACGCCCGTGGCAATCAATGAATTATGAACTCGTCGGGCCGCGCACGTATTAACAGTAAATTTCCCTGGTGGCGGGCGCTGTATTATTTCACGCGTGCCTCCCGGGATCACATCTTGAGCTTTGCCTGCAAAAATGAGGGAAAGTCTGCAAAGCATTACAAAGTGCTTTGCTGCGTTATTATGATGATTATTATTATTTTGGCTGCGACTGACGGACAATAAAAAAATATTGTACGGTGCTGGAGTAGAGGGAATAGAAGATTTTCTTTTTATCTTTTCTATTTCGCCAGAAGAGTTATTGTTGAAGGAAACGGGCTGAATTAATATTTCAAGCGGCTGCAGAAAGAAAAGCTTTGTCCTCGATTCCGCGAGCTTGGGGAGGCGGCGGCCCAGAAACAATCGTTCAGATCGCTGCTTTTGATCGCTCAACCTTGCCGTTCTTTGTTTTCGCCGTTTTCTTTGCCACTCTCCAATCACCCCCAATTCTACGCTGCGAAATTCCATTTCCAAACACAGCCAGCCAGAAAGTTCACTCACGTTTTCAATTCGAGATAAACACAGATATAGAGGTTCTATCAAAATTGATCTACAATGAACACACGCCTGGAAAATTCAGAAACTATTTTACTTTATTAACTTGAAATTTTTTATCAACATTGACCATATTTTTTATGTCGAAGGTATCCTTTAATTTATTTAGCTCACTTAATCTTGGATTATTCAGCTGACGAGACTGGTGAAATTTGAAATAATCATTACTTAATAGCTTGCATAGAACAAAAAAATTCGCAAAACAAAATAAATATTTTGCAATAATATTCCTTTAAGATAATTGTAATTTTTAAATTGTCATTTGGAGTGCAATTTTAAATATAATTCAGATATTTCTGTACCATGGTTTCCCAGCTCAGTCGATTTTCAACCTCAGGATTTGAGAAGATACGATTTTCACTGGCACGCGTGCCAGTTGGAGCGGATTATTTATTGCAGTCCCGGACGCGTTGCAAGTGCATAGCGATTTATGGCGACGCCTTATTAGGCAGTCACGCGATTCGCAAGCCTCCCTATATATAAATCGCGAAAGAGATAAAAAAAATCTAAAGCGCAATTGATTTATATCTGGCAGCGCGCAATTAGCAAGGCAAATAAGCCTGCTGGCAGCAAAAAACAAAGGAAATAGCGGGGTTGGCTGAAGTCGAACTCACCAGCCGGAGGTGACGTGGGTCACGATGTGCGCGACCTCGGCCGTCACGTGGCGGTCCTCGCTGCAAACGACGCGCATCTCGCCGCCGTCGGACGCGTTTGCGATTTTCAGCGTCGTGTTGCGATGGTGGAATTGGTACGAGCGTCTGTAGTCGAGCGTGTGCCAGTGAGGAAACATGGTGATCCAGTTCGGAAACTTGCATTTGTTGGGCGATGGAGCTGAAAATTGATTCATTTTAAAATATCTTCTAATTTCATTGAAAAAAATATTAAATTTTTAGTTAAAACACTATAGGTGAATTTAATTTAAATTATTGGGTGGAAAAAGAAAAAGATGGCGATCAGACATTTTTCAGGACATTTATGTTAGGATAATTTTTTCAGAAATTTTAGGAGACACCGATATGAGGTGCTTACATGTAAGTCAATAAGCATTGAAATAATAAGCTTTTAAACTTAAGTTCTAAAATTGAGCTACATAATTGATTGCCAAGATCATCCTAATATGTTATTAATTTTTGCTTGGATCAACTTGGATCTTTGATTTATTTTGTTAGAAGCAATTTTTTTAAAATTAAATAGTTTTGTATTCACAAGGTAAACAAAACCATATCGCTCTGTTACTGTTTTGAATACTCCATTACAATGTCAACCTTTTATTTACAGTTTATTTACCTTTTCTGAGGATCATGGTGCGCGATCCTTCCATCGGCGTGAAGAGGCCGTTGCAAGTGGCATCACCTGACTGAGCCACCCAGTAGTCGACGGTCTCGTCCGGCGACTGCTCTGTGGCTTTTTCGTACACAAAACACCTGTAACGGTCTTCGTTGGATGTCGCGTGGCTGTGATGCACTAAGCCGACCAAATACCGCGAACTGCCCTCCTTCCACGTCGCCAGACACTGCAACTCCTCAACTGAAACAACAAATATTCAATCAATTTCCTTCTTGAAATTAATATTTATTATAAACCGCTGTATATTTTTTTCAATAAATTTTTACCGACGATAATTATTGTTGTTTATTTGTCCAAATTGTTACATTGATAACTGCAAGTACAAATGTATTTATATTTTTTTGTATAATTATTATTTATGTCAATTGCTTTGAGATTTCTCATGGGGTCTCAATGTATTAATTAATTAGTAAATTTTTCATAACCACAAAAGATGTTTTTCTTCTTTTACTATTTGGTCACAATTATTGCTCCTTACAGTTGCCGTTTTATTTTCTCTGTTAGTTTTGTGTTTTCTCTTGCCTCTATTTTATGCTTCAAGTAAAAAATGTAGACAAAAATATACTTATAATTCTAATTTTCTGCAGGCAATATGTTTACAAGCTTACAAACCAATGTCCATACAAACTGCTATTAATTTTGTTCTTTATTAATATATTTAATTAACAGGTTCAACTAAATTGAATCATTTCAAACGCAGTGAGTTTTAGTTAGAAAAACAAAAAGTCTTTGAAAAAGTCAAATAATTACCAACGTTTCCCTTAACTTCCAAAACCAATCTTAACACAAAAAATATCCTCTCATTAACGCGATTTTCAATTATAAAGCGATCTGATTTAATGAGGCCTGAATTTACCTCTCAAATTATAATTGAGATCAAAAAGGACCAAAGTGGCGGTGAACAGGAAAAAGCTGCTGAATTTTCATGAGAGCGGGTCCTCTTTATTGGGCAAAGATTAAAAGTTCAAAACTTTTTAGACGTGGCAGCACAGCATATAAAAAAGAGACGAGCAAGAGCGTGCGAGTTTTTCCGCAGCAGTGAATTTTAAAAGATGGGATTTCCGCACGTTTATCAGGAAAAAGCAAAACGAGCCGCGGATTAAATCTTTCCACCAGAGTGAGTTGCGACGAGCTCCAGTCGCGCACCGAAAAGGAAGTGTGTATTTTTTGCCTAAATGACATGCAAACTATAAACAAGAAAAATAATCCAAATTTATTATATATTTATATATTGATTTCATAAATGAATTTAGTTGCAAATTGTGTTTATTGATCTATCACAAATTTGAATTTACACAAATTTTAAGATTTCATGTTGCTTAAAGCGAGAAAATGAGAAATTAAAAATAAATGATAAGTTCATTAACAAAGGTAGGTGGAAACATAAAGAATCAAAATTTCCTTTAATTGTGTATATGTTAATTTTTCATTGAAGAAGCAAACAGGCTAACGGGAAGAAACTCCTATTTTGGCGGATTTTCTGAGGTAGGGCAAAGGAACTTGGCCATCTTCTTTAGGAACAGAGTTTTAAAAATTTTGTTCACAAATTGAACAAAAAAATTTAAATAAATTTGAAGTTTTCAAAAGTAATATTACATATTTAAAATAAACCCAATCAATCCCCAAGTACAATTTTAATAAAATTGTGGAAAATTATTTGGCACCAACAAGATAAAAGAAATGTAACTTAAATTGATTCTAAATAAGGTTCTTCATTATTTTAAAAAAAATCTGTAAAAAAAATATACTCAATTAATTCTTTTAAAAGAATAAAAAAAGATGCTTTGATGAACATTGATTGCTATGAAAATAAAATATCTCCGTATTTCCACTTTTATGCCAATTAACAAGCGAAATATTTAGAAACGAGCGATGAAAGCGGAACGGCTGCAGCTTTTTGCCCTTTTTGATCTGATTACCATCATCATTACCAAGTGGATGAAAAACGTCGCCCCGCCTTTCAAAGGTAGACCGACTGGGTGAACTGCCGTCGGGGACAAAAAAATTCTCGTTTGCACTTTTTGCAGACGCACAAAAATTTTCCGAGACTATTATGCCGACGACAACGTCTGAGAATTTCCGTCTCTTAATTGTCTCGGAAGCCGATTTGCATTTTCTCGGAACTCATTACTCGCGTTTAATTTAATTTCGCCGCTGCGTACAAAATTCATAATTCGTCGTCAAACATTGAACGATTTTCCGGCAGGACGAATTAATGCTTTTGTGCAAATAAACATTCGCGTGTTAAACTCGGCGGGATTAGTTTGATAAGGCGCGCGAGCTAAAGTGCGATAATAAATAAACAGACTAATTGTTCTCTCTCGCTGGCTGCTGCGTTGTCATCCGCGAATTTATGCGAACGTCGCTTGTCAAGAACAAAACACGCTCGCGAACAAATAAACAAACACCCACTCACTCGCGCACACCGAGCGGGGTTATCGTTCCTTTCGCTTCCGCACTTCCATTGTGTTATTTGGCCAAGTAATTTCTCCGCGAACCGATTGTTTGTTGAATCTGGCGCCAACTTTGGTAAATGTTACTTCCCCTGAAACGCGAGGTTGTTTGATTTGAAACCAGTATAGTTTCAAACCTCGGCGTGCTGATGGGATTTGAGTAAGGATTCGAAAATTTAGAATTTTTGCCGTTAAAATAGAGTTTAAAAACATACCTGTTAAGAACTATTTCAATAAATCATTATTTGAATTCAGATATAAATAAAAATTTAATTAAAATTTTAAATTCTTTTATATCATGTATCAGTGGTATCAATGATAATATTTTAAACAAATTAAGCGTTTTCAAATTAACCTTTCTTAGAAAAAAGGCCATAAAAGTAGTTTTTGTACTCGCATTATTTTAATTTGAATGATAAAATCCGCTAAGATTCATTTTCAGACCAAATCAAAAATTAATTTTCAACCAGTCTACACACAATCAAGCATAAATAAATCGTAAGATTTAGATCTACATTTAATTTTAAACACAAGAATGCTTGGAAATAATTTTCTTGCATCTGTTTCCATTTGATTATATATATTAAAAAAGCAAAATGGGCTTCTGTGAGTTTGAGTTATAAATTTTATTACAACAACTTTATTTTGAATGACAATTCTTTGATATCTCGTACTGAAAACTGGTAATTTAAAACTACGTGATTCTAGCATTAAATTCCACTACCCTGTACCACACGATGTGGCAGATTTGCAATTATCCGCTTGCTTTTAGTGCTGTTCTGTATGCAAATTTAATTAACTTGGCGGATGGATGCCCTCAGAGGATGTTCACTATACGCAGCACATCCCTCGGCAATAATTTGAAATACGCGCTTGATTATTTTCATATGTTTACACCAAATTTTGAATGAATTTGCGTCACATTGCAAAATAAACTTGTCATTTAATTAGAGTCAGATTATATTTTAGATTATCTTAAGATTTTAAATGTGCATGAAACTCTTTAAGAATCTTTCTGTTTCACTAGAAATGTTTTAAAAACTTTTTTCATTTGACGAGCATACATTTTTCCACTGTCATATTAATTAAAAATACAAACTTTCCACACAATCAGACCATTCTAATTGCACTGCGAGTCGCTCTGTCCCTTTTTGCAAGCGTAATGCGTTATTCAAAAATTAATGGAGAGGTCGGTATAATAATAAAAAAGCACACAAACAGAGATGAGCCCATTACTCGGGAGCCGACGGGCCTTAATCTCGAATTAAAAATACACCGCGGACGCCTAATGGCATTCATATTTTTTGTGCTGCGCCATTTATCTGTCGGTTACGACGCCGCAGCTGCCTGGCTCATATGTCAGGCGCGAGATTCTTGGCGTGTATTATTTTAATTCAGCATTTTTCACGCGCCGCCGCCGCCGTCGGCAGAGGGAAATGCGAGGAATAAATTTCGGGGCTAAATAACCGGCGGCCCCGCCCTCAGTGTTAAGACACCTACGCCACACAGGAAATTGCCTCTTAAATCAAACTTTCAACACTTAATAGATTGTACCACAGACTTTTTTGCTGCTTTAAATGTTCCAGGCGATCTGAGGAATTTATGAAAAAGACGATTCGTTAGACGCATTTCATTCCTGGTGATCTGCTTAAAAAAAAAATTGTTTTTATTTTAGAAACTTTATATCCAAAACACTTGTACAATAAAATTTTATGTAATTTTTTTTTTTAGGAAATTAAAAGAATTGATGTTCAACCACCAAATTTAATACTGATCATTGTAAGTAGAATAATTAAGAGTATCAATTTTTCTTACCATTAGACAATTTCATATTTCATACTCGTCATCAATCAGACAGCGAAAATAATTTTATTTACCAACAAAACTTCTGCCAGTTTGCCTTAAATTTTTTTTCTGATACATAGATTGGTCTTCAAATGCTATTATACTGTTTAAAAATAATAAAAAAAATCAAGAAAGATCTTTAGTATTAAGGAGGAAAAGATTTTAAGAAGTCAATATTTTTGGCGTGATCATTTTATGAAATTTTCAGATTTAATGAGTTAACTTTAGCTGCAATAATGATCATGAAGATATAAAAATTTAACTAATTACAAATAAAACGTCTCCATAAGTCATGTAAAAAGTATATTTTATTAATAAAAAATATTTTGCTTTGATATGTTATTTCGTGTTATTTTATCTCTTGTTGTTATCAAATTTGAATAATTTTGAATTTGAAAATTATATATTAGGGCAGAAAATGCCCTTGATAAATAAAAAAAGTAAAACATGACGGAACAATAAAATTCAAGGAATTTTTTAATTTTCAGACTTATTACAAAAAGTTCCCATGAATTATAAAATAAAAGTAGAAAATAAATTTCATGTAGAATTTCAAAGAGGACTTTCGAAGAGGCTGGTAAAGAGCGAGTTTTATGCCTACACGGTCACTCACTTAGTTTGCAGGCGGCGTTGAAAGGACAATTTTTCCAACTTTTGCACGCAGCACCGCATTCGGAATTTCTTTAATTTCCCCGAGGAATTTCGGCAGCTGACGTATTTTTGACAGCGGACGGGCGATTTTCGAGAACACGAGTCTGCACTCGCTGCAGAATAAATTGAGTGGTCACTTGAGGGCGCGCAAACGGAGAGCGAGCGGCGTGTGCGCTCCATTTGGCCGGCGGCTTTATTAATGCGCTCTATTAGTCACAAACGCGGACCGAAAAACTTTTCCTCTCTTCCTTCAAATGGGTCGTATGATTTGGACAGAAATACACGGAAAGTTTCTCAGCGCCCATCAAAGCAAAAAGGAAAGAGAAACTTCATTTTTTCCTCGTTCGGTTTTTTCCTCATCTAGTGTCAAATCAAGCGAAAATCTGTCACGAGAAATGCAAAAAATTTCCCCTTTATAATTCGTCCGCTTGAAATGATTAATTCGCAGCAGTTTGAAGAGGTGATTCTTCAACGGAATTATGAACAAAAGTTGACATAATGCAAATATTCTAAATGATTGAATATCAGATTTTAACGATTATAGATTTATGATTTTGAAATTATTTTTCAGTCTAAATTCGTATTTAAAAGGAGCTTAAGTAGGGCCCGAAAGTCTTTAATGGGTAAAAATTCATGTTTTTTAAACTAATGAAAATTTTTATTTTTTTATTCCAATCGAACTGCAGTCGAATAAGTTCCTTTTTCTAGATATATAGCTTTCAATCATCAAAGTTTATAAAGGTCCAAAATATGAAGGAAAAAAAGGTGATGATATCTCTTATGTTATTTATGTTATTTTATCATCCTATTCGACATCAACAGCCTGGCCCTGATATATGTAAAAAAGCAATTAGGGCAAAATGAAATGATAAAATTTTGCAGTGCAAATTGTTCTGAATCCGTTGCATGTAGATCTACTTTTGCACAGATCCCGTTGAAGAATCACCTGAAAACTGTCGTGAATTAATCCTTTGGCGCGTAACGAGATTAAAGCCCCGGGCTATTATTTCTGTCTAGAGACAAAAATCACGCTGGCGTTGATTTGCATGGCGAAGATTTGGTGCCGGGGATTAGTGAGCAACAATAACAATAACGACGGCAGAGAGAGAGAGAGAGAGAGAGCGAATCTGCACCGCTGTAATCCCCCGGTATGTAAATGACGGCGTGTGTGTGCGAAGGGACGTGTTTTTGAATTATTAAGGCGCCAAGTGGCGGTCACTCACACGTTATTATTACCCACCCTTTGTGTCGCCGTCACACAAGCTGAAATATGCCGCCGAGCAGCAAAGCCCCGATCGCAAAGCCGTTCCACTATATGTGCAAGGACACTTGTTTATGTGAAATATGTATTAATATATACCAGACTGGGAGAAAGGCCCTTGTAATTGGCCGTTATTAGAAATTTCCCGGTACACTTTGTCGGGAAATATTTCGGAAAAAAGATGGGATAATAGTATCCTGTGGAAAGATGGTGATGGAAAGGGTCATTAATAGCCCTGAGCTAATTGCAAAAGAGAAACTAATTATTGCAAAATTGTAGACAACAAAAGTGGGAGATTTATCTTTTGGAAGTAAGGATGTAATAATAATAATAAACTCTAAGTATGAAAACTTCATATATTTAAAAATTATTTATAAAATCATTCTAATAATCAAAATTTTAAAATTAAACTTTAATTGATAGGAATTTGGCAGTAGAAAAGTAAAAATTAAAAAATTTGGTTCGAATCAAATTCAAAGTTTCATGAGAGCAAAAGAACTTTATTTTAGCTATATAAGTGGAAATAATTGAAAAATAAAATAGGTTTTTGTATTAGGCATAAAAATATAAATGACATTTTAAAGGTTAACCTAAACGCCATTATTAGAATCAATAGAATATCATCTCTTTCAAATCTCTTTCTGATTATGGAACGTTTTGTAAATTTTTATATCGTATATTTTTTATCACATATTTTATGAAATAAACAGGTCAAATTTTAGTGAGGAGTGCTTCTATAAGATTACAAATCCAGGTTTGCGTCTGCGTGGTCCAGCTCAAAAGGTAATCGTTAAATTTTAATCAGTTAATTCACAATTTAGCCAAAACGTATAAGTTAATTGTGCCCTGACGTAACCATCCATTCGTGCTAAAATGGGTGATCATCACATTTTGCGACAAAGGCGTATGACGGAAAAGCTCGAGGCGAAATTCCGCAAATATTCAATATCCCTGTTCAGCCGGTTGCCTACCTTGCTAGGCTGAAAATCCATTGTTCAGCCAGTGCTATCGGCCGATAAACTGATGGGATGGGTGTTTGCTCGCTTAAAAGGGTGTCGACCGGCGGCACGTTCCTTGGCTGTATCAATTTTTGCGCGCATTTCACCCCAGAGCCAGCCAGTGTTGTCTGGGCCGCTACGTGCGCGACACTTGAAAAGGGCTCAGGAATCAATTTAGTTCAGGAGCGAAAAGGGAAAGCGATGGACGCCTAGATACGCCTGGCCAGAGTGAAACTGAAAGGATCGACGGATAAAACTGATGTTGGCGGGATTTAGCTTCGGAGAAAGTGGAAGTTTTCGGAACGGTTGATCTTCAGATTATGCATAGGTATAGGGAAAGGTTCTTTGGCAAAACGCAAAACTTAAATAATTTATAATTAGATGAAATTTAAGCTTTCTCAGAAATCTTCATCCTTCAAATGAGGCACTAGTAAATAAATTTGAGTATATCTTTGAAGCTATTTTAATGGATTTGATTTTTTAATTTTTGATCAAACATGGCAAAATTTAAATCACTGATATTTTGATATTCCATTTAAATGTTTCAGGTAAAAAAGCTAAAAATTTGACAGGGAGCTTTAAATTTTAAATTTGTTAAAATTTATGTCGTAAAATATCCGAAAAACTTCAAAATTAAGGAAGATACAATTATTTTAAATTGAATGCTAATAAATGAAGGTGGAATTAAATCTATATTTTTATTATTCTTTAATTAATGAATTCTAAAAAAATCAATAAATTTCTTGTGCAATAATTGAAAACGCTTGTATTTTGAATTATTAGTTTGTTTGCAATTGACGGAGATTTTTTAATATTTCTAAACATGATGTATTTGTACTGAGAATATAAGAATTTTAGATTAATTGTGAAACTACTTAAAATCACGTAACTGTAGGTGCCAGAAATCAATTATAACTTCAAATGTCTCTACATTTATTCAATAGTTTTATTCAATCTATATGAGATTAATTAAATAAAAAATGGTGCAAAAAAGTCTGGAATTTTGGTAAAATTCTGGATTCTTCTTTTAAAATCTATATTCATAATGAGAGAAGAAAATGAAATATTTAGAAATGAACGTTTTTGACAAGATCAATTTATTATTTTATTCAACCAGCATTGAACGAAGAAGATTTGTGTGGCAAACAGGTCTGGTGAAATGAACTGCGGAAAGTTCTCTAGCAGAGGAGCTTTTTTGGAGGTATTTAAGTAATGGATAAGTTGGCCTAACGCACTATTAATAATTGAGACGTCGTTTTTTGCGGTTGGCGCTAGGAAATCGAGGGACCGGTAGCAGGTCGTCGGAGGAAGCGAGAGTCAATAAGTCGAAATGGATCGGCCCCCGGGGCCTTCCTGTCTGGCGGTATTTCTTCTTTCTTGCCGCGCGCTCGACCCCGCCTTCGTCTTAATTAATTAGAAAACGGCGAATGTTTTCGACTTGACGGGCTGAAAGAACCTTTTGACTTCGTCAGCAGTAATGAAAGCGTTATTATTTGCCATCCAATTAGCGAGGCCGGGGTTATTAATGCAGCGGACCAGAGCTAAATCCAATCGCTCGCTTTTCATCTTTCCTTCTCTTTTGCACACGCGATTCTGCCTCGCAAAATAATTTCAATGCGGGAAAATACGCGAGCGCTTCAAAAGCAGCACATTTCCATTCAAAAACGTGCACGCATAAAATAAAAATCAGTCTGCAATATATGTTTTCTAATTGAAATTCATTTTACCAGTTGCAGAAGTAATTTGGTTAAAAATAATTTAGTCCTTTTTAAATATTTGAATAAGTATTTTTTAAGGGTGTTGCACTTTTTTCATAGTTTGTTGATTTGTAAATTGTGTAAAAAGAAATCTGCTAAATGAAATGACTCATTTAAATTAAAAAATTCATATTAACGAATTTTTTAATTTAAAGTTTCCAAAGTTACCTTTGCTGAATATTTCTGGACCTTCTTTAGATCTAAATTTTCTTAAACGATATTTGTTTTTAATTATAATTTGTAAATAATGTAGCACTCACCAGTGGACTCGGTGCCGGAGACGTCGGGACACGCCTGGTACCGCAGCAGCAGGCGCGAGTCTTCGGTGCAAGAGTCGACGCTGGAAGGCGGGCTTCGACACTCGCCGTGCCCGCGGTTGTACGAGAAGGTGAAGGGCCCGCGGAATGGACACTGAACTGGACTCGCCTCGACGCGGAACATCGAGTACAGAAGGGCGTCGCCCGTGATCAGCGAACACAAATTCGGCAGCGCCTCTTTAGAATGGCAGTATGCTGGAAATTAAGCAAAATTTTAGTGAAAACTATTCTGACAATGAGATGAAGCTACCTAAAAACAATGACAAAATTTACATCATGCGACTTCGAAGGATTTGAAGGACCATGTTGTGTGAATTAGTGGATTTATGGATTTCTCTGACGTCTTTTAGCATTTCTTAAATTGTTTCTTTGGCGATGTCTTTAAGTTCACATGAAAAAAATGCTATTTGCTGAATCTTTTGGTTTCAAAAATTTTCAAATTAAGGTTTGATACAGTATGCAGTAGGAGTTTTGATATAGGATTAATTGGTCATTTATTTAATTTTACAGTAAAGTTGTAAAATTGTTTGCAGTATTTAACCTGTAAAAACCGGAGTGTTTAGGAATTTATGGATTTTTTACCAATTGTATCATTTTAAGCTTCAAATGGAAAGGAAAATTATTACCATCAGCGATAACAAATTTGACAATCAACCACTAATCAAAGTCATCTGCACTACATATTATGGCTTTGGTCACACGAATTTTTAAATTTAATCGTGCATTACAGAGAAATTAGGCTTGTTTTTATAATTTGCGTGTGAACAATATTTGTACACCATACTATGATTTTATTAAAAATATAAATATTATTACAGAAATTATTGAATAATTAAATTATAAACATTTAAAAATTAGGAAAATTTTTAAAGTATCTTTTAAAAATTAAATAAAATGGTATTTAATAGAAATTACTTAATTTTTAAATGCAAAATAAATTAAGAACATATAAAAAAAACATAAAAACAAAAGTAATTAACACTTACTCTCTTTGTACTGTAGTACATTGTGGTGCTTCTCGTGGATAACGACGCATCGAAAGCAGATGCCCTTGCTGCAACAAATAGAGCAAAACTCAATTAGGGCAAAAATCCAAGCCAAGTTGACACAACACGCGATCGAATTCTAGCAAACAAACGCGCGTTTTCAGCTTTGGCAAATTTGATCAAAGTCCACTCTCGCCGGGAGGTAACAATAAACAAAAAGCGCCATTTCAAAGCCCATCAAAACAATCAACAGGGGATTTGGGCCGCTCGTTTATTTGATTAAAATAAATCAGCTAATGCTACGGCCCGTTACGTGCGTGTTACGCAAGATTGTTATTGCCGCCATCCGAGCTGTGAACGCGCAATTATGTTCCATCAGGGAGGCGCTTTTTGCTCCGGCGGCGATTTCGAATCGTCCATTTATCTGGCCGGCGGGTTTTTTGCCCCTGCGTCCAGGTGGAGGATACTTTTTTACCTTTCCTTAACAAGGCTCCTGTGACACGACGGCGACATGATCGTCTGACAGTGATGGATTCCCCTGTTTTGCGACTAGTCCGATCTGACGTCACGCCTCCTTCCTCCTTGGCACCCAAACAGGCGCAATATTAATGGACGCGTCCCACACCGATTTCCTCTGGGCCTTTCTTTCCACTGAACGGAAACGTTCTTTCCGCCCATCCTTCGTTTTCGATTCGCATTCTTATCATGCCCAAATAAAAAAAAGTAAAAAGCCTCTTCGTGAGGAAAAAGCTTTTAATTTTTTTCTTTGATACTTTTGAAAGATACAAGATACTTTGAAAATTTAGAGATTTAAAATTTTTGAAGAAATGATTAAATACAATAGAACTAAAATAACATTAAAATGCAATCATTCCGTTTCTTTAAATTATTTTAAATGCCGATAAATGAATTGTTTAAGCGAAAAGGCACTGTTTTATTTTGATAGATGATCATTTTCTAATCTAGAAGCGCGGCGTGTACAAAATATAATAAATAATAACAAGCAGCTATGCTGTCATCGAGTGGCGCAAATGATAAATCTCAATTAGCTCTCGGCCGACTGGAAAGCAACAGATAAAAACTCGGCCGGCTCTTTCCGAGTATAAAATAATGAATAAATTATGTGCGGAAACATGGCCCGTCTTCCACCCCGGGCAACCACCGCGCGCACTCTGATTAATTAACAAAAGCGGCTGCGATTCGCCCAGACTTCATAACGAGAGAGACGGTTCAAACTTTCTTTTTTTTCGCCCAGCTCTCTCTAATTAAGTTTACTAATGAAATAACAAGAGAACAATTGGGCCAACTTTTCGCCGGATTAATCAGCAATATTAACTTGTTTGGGTTTTCATCCGAGAGATTGGCGTTATCTTCATGCGAGATAAGAGGCCCGGCCGTGCCAGATAGACCGGGCGGATTTATTTGTTTTGGAAATAACCAAGATGAGCAAGTGGCTGTCCTGCTGCTTCGTTTTGCTGCTTCTTTGTTTGGCCCTCGTGAGTGCTCTTTAGACTTTTCGGATTGCTCGTTTTAAGGGAAGGCGCATTTCATTTCGCAGGCGGACCCAAAAGCGGAATATCTTGGCCCGTCCGAAGACATTTACGACGCATACCGCACTTTCAGCGAGCTGAACAGCGAGATTGCAAAATTCCAGGCCAAAGCCACCTCCATTCTGTTTGGGGACATTTTAATTGAGGCCACCAGTGTTTACGAACGAGTCTTTCAAAATCTTGCTGCTCTTGGGGTAAAAGATTTAAATCAATGAAATGACTGTTTTAAATGATTCATAAATTGGAAGTGAAAATGGAAAGTAGGAAGATATATTTTTATTGATTACAAAAAAAAAAAAATGTAGCGTCAATAATCATGTTTTAAGTAATATTCATTCAAAGCTATTTAAAAATAAAACTCACTTTAAACCATAATTTCAAATAAAAGAAAAATTGAATCAAGGGAGGAACATAATATAGAAACTGCAAAATCAACTGGATATTACACGATTTCGTATTAATTTTTCACAAGTACATTATTAAAATTTTTAATAAACAGAGCTATTTTATGTTTTTGAAAAATTAATAAATCAAAATAATTATTTCAGGCAAGTGAGCCCCTGGTCGACGTCTCTCGCGCCTTGGCTTCGGAAGGCACAAAGTTAATTCACGTCCTGCTTAGCATAATCGATGAAGGGTGTCTCAGTTTCGAGGAACGCCTTCTTGATGCCAACGACGATCTTCGGGATGGAAGGTTCGAGGAGGTGCCCGGGGACTATGTCGACTTCTACGAACGCAACGCGATAATCGAGGCTGCCTACGTGGGCATGCTGCCCATGATAAACACGACCCTGGTTTTCCTGGAAGAATCTTCGCTCGCCGCTATTGCTGACTTGGTATTAATTATTCAGTTTGATAATTGACCCTCACATAACTTCAAAAGTGGAGAGCGTAATTCCAACAATGAAACGCGATTCAACTAAATCTGGTTCTAAATTATTATCATTTCAAATAACGCGCATCATTGTTTTAATTGAGAAACAATCTTAAATGATAGTATAGATAATTAATTAGAATGAAGATAAAGATGTAAATTATTTTTATGTAATTATTCAATTTTCATTCAAAAACATGTTTAACGTTAACAAAATATCTGAAGAGAGCCCAAAAATTTTACTTTCGAGCACATACAAATTGTTGTTCTTATTTTAACGTGATTTTAAAATATAATTTTAAAAAATGACAGTCAAAGGTTTATTTTAATTTTTTTTTTAATTTTAATTTCAAATAAAATTCTCTAAAGGTTGAATAAACTGACCGAAGATAAAAAAAATATTAACCTTTATTTGCCTTCATGGTTGTAGTGAAAAATATATAAATAAAACAATTGTTACCACAAAAGTTTTAATGTTCATCCATTTATCAGAGGGGGAATCCTGGTCAAAAATTGAAAATCAATAATATATGGTTAAATTTCATTGAGAGAAGAAATACAACCCAAAAAATGATTTTACCATACATTAATATTTTCCTACATTTAACTGAAGGCTCTGCTGGCCATTATCATTAAAATTCCCGTCCCCTCATCCAAAAAAATCTTTATCTTTAGTTTGATTTACTTGACTGAACCTATATATCATCTTCTGTTTTTGAATTGAAGGAAGGACCACTCGTGATTGAAATCCACGGAGAATTGCAACGAGGACGAATATTGATAGAGGATTCGCTTTCCTCATTTAGCGTAGCTAAAATTTTCTACAACTCAGCAGTGAACGCTTCGATGGACGCTCTGTACCAAGTGGTCCGACAAATCCACCTCACGCACGCCTCCACCGGCAGAAAATACACGATCAATAAACTTCACTGATTTTGATGAGACGAAATGAGATTTTGCAATCATTCCGTTTTCCGCAGAGATTTCTTTCCGCAGATAAGATTAGGCGCTGCGTAATGAGCCAAAGTAGATTTTGTACTAAACAAAAATGAAGGTGCGGCCCAACAGGTGTTTGGGGCTTTTCCTCGTGCTGCTGGCGGTTGGTGAAGATTGTGTCTCTTGGGAAAATTACAGTGGAACTGGTTGCAGGTGAGCGCCGAGTCCAAGGACCTGCAGACGGACGTGGCCAAGACCCAATCGCACATGGCCGACTTCATGCGAGCCGCGAGCGCTCTCAATTCGCACGTCAGGCAACTTTACGGCATCGCGTGCCTCGATTTTTCCACCTCGGTTTTGCTCGTCTGTGATCAAATGACGGCCTTGCAGGTTTCTCATTTCATTTTTTACTTCAGAGCCTGGTGATGCTTTGATTAAAAGTTAATTATGCTTAAATTACTTAATAAATTAATCTAATTTTGAAGGTATAGATAATCATATAAATTATTTCAAACTATTTTCTTGATTGAAACAGATAATCCTCCGGTATTTTCCTTGCTTTTTGAGTTATTTTATAACGGATTTATAAATTTTACAAAGTTTCAAAGTCATTTTAATATGGCTTGAAAAAACATAAATAAGAATGCATTTTACACATTTTTACAGTATGACACACGATTATTTAACAAAACATTAATACTATTAAAATTATAAAAATGTATTTTTCCATCATAAATTTATTTGAAAATATAAAAAAATCCTGTTTCTTTTTTCCAGCTAGATCTACTAAAAATCGGTTCTCATTTTTTGTTTCTATTCAGGTACCGCAGAAGGTGATCAGCAAAATAAGGGCCCATGCTGGTTTGCTGGAGGAAACTGCCGGCGTGCACGTGAACGCGTTGCGAGAAACAATCGACAGTTTCAACCGAACGCTAACCGCCGTCAACCAGCAGTTGATTTTCGTCGACGCGGCCGACGCGTCCACGATTAACGAGTTGCTCGAGGCCTTCAAGTGGAACCTGACCGCGGCCGACGCCAACTTAGAGGCGGCGCTCACGGCGATGCTATCGAACGGCCAGAGGGTGGAGAACAATGTCCGGGAGGCGACCGACAAGCTGGTAGGCCCCAATTATTTAAGCACACGCTGATTGTAATGCTTTCGCAGGGCGGGCCAGAAATCGCACTAATTTACGAGCTAATTGGCCGGTGCAAGGCCAAGTTCAGCACGAAAGAGGCGGAAGCGAGGAAAAGCGCTGAGATTCTCAGAGCGCTCGCTGAGGTCACCACAATGGCCATCAACAAAGTGGTGGAGCAGTTGGAATTTGAAGAGTTCAACTTTGGCCAATTCGATCTTGGTTCTATGTTATAAAAAAAAATGCAAAATAAACTAGTTACTTTTAAAAATGGAGTTATCATGATAATAATATTGTGTTGATAATGTTTTAATTGTTTAAATCTGCCTTGAATTAATAATTTCTTTTTGATTCAAAAACGGTTTTTCTAGAGACTTTTCAAAAATATAATTATGGTATAATTTTTAACTTTAGGGATTACTTAAGGAAATTAGTTTTTATTTCAAATTGTGTATCAATTTTCAACGTTTAATTAAAAAACCCTTGGCTTATGTAAAATATTTAAATTTATTTTTTATCCTTGAAAAACTACTTTCTAAGGACAATTTTTATAACTATAGAGACCATCATAAATTGAAATTTATGCATCACAGTTCACAATACATTTTCGACTTCAATATATTTGAAACGTGTTCCAATAAATCAAAACACGAGTTCTGATTTTCTAACCTACGAATGAAAATATAAAAATTCGCTAATACCTAATCCATTGATGTTAATGAAATTTATTTTAGATGTTTCAGAGGCATCGATGTGCGCAAAGGACCAAATGTTGACCCTTAAAGAAATTTTCTCTAGAACCTTAATCAGATTGAATAATATTATTTTTTTTTTAAACGACGGCATTTTGTTTTTGCGGACAGAAGCCAAGTTGGGAGTTTTAATTTGCTCTCTTACTCAAGACCTCAATTTATCAAAATTGGAGCGATTTTCTAATTTCAAGAGTTGGAAATCTTTCCAGTGTTCTTTATTTCTATTATCAATTTAGACTATTGTTAATTGTTAGAAGAAAAAATACGAATGGATTATATATTTAGATCACCAAAGGCGTTGCAGTTATTTTGCATGTGTTGATTCAAACGTCAAACAAAGAAAGATTTCTCCCTTTGCACAAGAAAAATCCCACTTCTGGCAGCTGAAATAAGAAATCTCACTGTTGGGGGGCAGGAAAAGCTCGTAAAAAGAAGCGATTTGTCCACGGCGGAAAGTTTGATTGCGTCCTTTTGTCTGTCGGGCGGTGGAGGCGTCATAGAAAATAATGAGGTGGAAATAGTTGGACTGGAGCTCCGGACACATAGTTTGCCAAGCGCCTGGCAGCGACGGGGTAGGCAACCGGCAGCACACAAAGTAAGAAGTTGCAACTCGGCTATAACATAATGCACGGAGGCGACACGAAGTTTCGCTCCTTGGTATTTGGACGCCATGTATCTTAGTCATTAAGTGTGAGGTGTACTTTGTTTCCAACTAGGCATTATGCGCTGCAAGTCGAGCGTGCGACCGGCATTGTACGATATTGCCCGAGGCGTTGGGTGGCTCCGGACTTGTTGCGAAACTCGGGCTTAAGTCAAGTTTAATAGGAATTGTTTCAATAAGTCGCCCCTGAGACGAGAAAAGCCCGTTCAGCGTGCGTTTCGCAGCCGGTTGTACTGATCCGACCTTTCTTCGCCCGCCTCCGGTACAACACGGTCTATATCAAATTATCTCAACTGCTGATAAACCACGGTCTGATTGACACACGACAAACAATTTGCTTTGGACGCCGTGAAAATGAGTCTGCTCCTACTCTTATATTTGTGGGTCTCGGCTAATTGCGTAAGAATTAGATTTTTTTACATCTTTCACATTTGGGATGATCAACCTTCCATTTCAGTTATGTTATATTTTTTCCATTTTGTTTTCAATATTGTTCAAATAAAGAGAAAAATTGTATTCGAAAAAAGAGCAACAGCAAGTCTGAAATTTTGCTACAACTTTAGATAGTAATATTCTAATAAATACATAACATTATTATTTAATTTTGGAGAGAAACATTCTTGAATTTTTTTCAGAAGGAAAAAATTTAAAAAGTTTCATTGGAAAATAATTTTTTTGACACGGTTTATAGAAAATTTTTCAACAATGGTTGGTCAAGAATAGCATAAAATATAAAATATCTGATATTGGTCGGTGCATAAAATTGACTCAAGCGAGCAAAATTTGTTCCTTATTATTTTTTTCTGTGTCTCATAAAGTCGCACTCTGCAGACTTTAATCCAAAAAATTGTCTAGCAATTTTGATCTAGAGTCTCTTCTGACCAATTTTTTTATCATTTCATTTTTTTTATTTCCTTTATAAACAGCAAGATGGGCCTCCAGACATACAAACTTTAGTCCAAAAGCCTTTCATTTCGATAAGGATTTTGAAAAACGAAATCACAACTTGGCAAGCATCAGCTTTGGCCGTGGAGAAATATCTCGATTACGATTTTGACTTTACCGTCACAAACATCGTTCAAGGACTCGTGGATTTGCAGATTTCCACAAACGTGACGACCAAAATTCAACCAACAATGAAGCAAAATCGAAACGTTTTTAGTGACAGAGTAGCCCATTTTGAAAAACTCCTAGATCGGGAGCGCATAGCACTTGACGATTTGGATTTAGTCCTCTTTTACCCAACGATAGACTCTCTTCCTTTGGAACAAGAGGCGTTAAAATTAACTCAGCAACCTTTATCAGATGCTTACAACACTTTAAAACAAGCCGAGGCGGCAGTTCTGCTGAAATTTTTAATTGAAGTGAAAAAAGCTCTGCTCGATCAAGTATTTTTATTTTGTTCTTTTATTGACCATATAATTTTTATTTTAAAATTTTATTATAGGTTGGACCACTCGCTGACAAATTGAGAGCTGATGTAACAGAAGTGGAAACAAAAGTTCAGCAGTTTAATGTTATTATGGAGGCTGCCCAAGTCAGTCACGACGTGGCCCAAACTAACATGGAACTGGTTTTGAATGAGATTTTGATACAGTTAAGAAATAAAAAACCGTAGTTTAAATAATATAAAATTAATCTCTTTTAATTTTTCTACGAGTGAATTTAAAAGTCTTCAAATAATATTGTTTGAAGATATTATTGCTCAAGTTACTTTTATTTATTTTTAATATTAATATGAAAGTAAGAAATTGATCGACTCTAACTTTCCAAAGGGCAAATTAGTGTTAGTAAAAGTCGTTGGATTAAATTGTTTGAACTTATTGAAACAAATAATTATGCAGCATGGCGCAGCATTAAATCACCACACTCGTACTTAAATTCAGAGAAACCATCTAGGTTAGCGCAAGCTGAAGACAAATAAAAATGCTCGATAAGATTACAGAGCAACATAAATAATTACGTCTCCATTCTAAAAATCAGATCATTTCCGGGTGGACAACACAACAATGCGCACCATTCTATTCGTCACGTTGCTTGCGACAGTAATTAATAATTATTTATAAAATGCTGACTGTTCTTATAATCAATTATTTGCAGGCATTTTGTGCAGTTCTGAAGCCAGAAAATGTTAAAAAAATTGATTTGCAAACGCCTGAGGTTGCGGCGGCGCAGGTGGCGATCGCAGACTGGATGAGAGAAATTTTCGGCCAACGAGCTGAACACTTTCAAATGCATTATCTAATTCTTGTGGACATTTTGAACAAAGCTTCGGTGATTAGAAAAAAACTCGTCCAATTAGATGTAAGTGGGATAAATAATATTATTTTAAAATTAAATTTCGGTAATTAATTTTTATAATATGAAAGGTGTCAAACGAAACGATCTCGGACATAGTTTCGGAGGGGTTCATTCACTTCAACGTGTTCCAAAGCGCCTCTTACTCATATCTTAACGGTCTAGACATGCTTGTCCCAATAATGATCACAGCGACCGACAAATTGAGTGCCCTCGACGAAACCCTGATCGAGACATGGAAACTCCTAGTTGAATACTACAAATTAAATAATGATGAATTTGATGTGGTGCAAAGCGCTGTAAATACGATGATGATCGAAATGGAGAAAATAATTTTGGAAGCCATGGTTGGACTGGTATATAATAATTTCATAATGTAACTTTTGACACTAACTTACTAATAATTTACATCAGAGTGGCGAGACTGTCGTAGAAATTCGCTTAAAAATGAATGAAATTAAGGGAATGATCAACACAAGACAGGACCAGATGAATATGGTTTACAGAGGTTACGCGTGGACTGCCAGTCAAGCTTTGGACGCCATAAAAATAGTCGCAGATGAGCTTTTGGGACAAAGTGATTGTTTTGTACTCAATTGATTTCTAATAAAAATAAATGTTAAAAGGTTTCCATGGCGCATTGATTAAGTTTCGTGGATTTAATGTTGATAGGTATTTTTTTTTACATTTATTTGAAAGCAAATCAAACAACTTTGGGAAACGAAAGAGCATGAATTAAATTTTGATTAATCACGTTCGACATCATTCGTAAGATTAGATAAGTTGCCATTCTGACTGAAACTATAGCACGCAGGCCTAGTCTGCAACTTTGAACAATAAAGATGCGTTCTCTGATTTTAGTCACTCTCATTTCTACCGTAAGTAAATATTTGTTAAAAATTTCGCTTCACATAAAAATCCTCCCTTTTTGGAAAAAGGCTTTTGCTGCGGTTTTGGTGCAGCCGGAACGGAAAGAACCACTCGACAATGTTGCTGGCGTTGAAACTAAAGATTTAGCGACCGATGTCGCAGTCGCAAGGATCTACCTGATCGACCTTATGAGAGATTTACACACTCGAAAGCAGCTGCAGACGGAGCTCCACTACCTGATTATCGTAGACGTCGGAAACAAACTTCAGAACATTCAAAATTTACTTGAACAAACTGGGGTTTGAATTAATAACAAATTATAATATTTTTTGAATGTTCGAGAAATTTTTGGTAGATATCAAGCGACGTAATTAATGAGATTTTAGCCACCATTACGATCAACTTTAACACTTATCTGAGCTCGTACAACTTATTCACCAGTGGCTTTGACGTGATCAGGCAAGAGATTTTAAACGTCAACAATGATCTGTACCTTCTTGACTCCACCCTTTCCGGGTCTTATGTCAGACTGCAAAGTGCGATCCTGGCTGATGAAAACATCTATTATACTGTAAAAAATAACGTGGACACGCTTCTGCAATCTGGGGAACAGAGTATTTTGACAGCAATTGAGGGACTGGTATGGATATTCATATTATTAATCCTAATAACAAATTTATTTTAATAAATTAAAATTCTGAACTTTTAGTTCAATCAAGAGGTGATTGATATAAACGTAGCCATCCAGGAAATCAAAGGGCTTGTTGGCGCGAAGCAGAAAGACTTAGCGGATGAGCATTTGCTGTTCAATAGCATCGCCCAATTAACTTTGAGCTCCGTGAAAACGGTTGTGGATCAAATTCCCTAGAGTTATAATTCTTCCAAAATAAAATTCTCATATGAAGACAAAAATTTAGAATTATTAAATTTTACAAACTGTCATAAATTAATGTTTTATTTGAATCTATTTGGAATATAAAGAATCAACATTTTAATTCTTCCTTTCAGTAGAATAATGGAATATTTGCTTTATTCTCGGCAGCTCAACACTTGAGAATTTTTTGACATCGGCACACTGTCGTATCAACCGTGATTCAATATCAATGAGAATTTTGCGTCATAAAACTGCGTAAGTAAATGAGAAGATTTTTAAACATGACATAAGCACGTCAAACACGTGAAAGTGTGTCAACATTAGGTGCAGATAAAAGACTGTGAGACGCAGAAAATTTTCAAGAAGGGAGGGAAGGTATATGATCGGATTGAAAAATAAAGATCTTAGCAATAGCATTGAAACATAAAAATTTTAGCAGCGAGATGACACTTAAAACGCTACTCCTTTTAATCCTGGTTTTATCCGCTTCTGTAAGTTTTAATTTTACATTTTAGTTTACAATTTTTGTGTTGTATATTATACAAGGGAATTCAATTATTTAATTAATGCCTACCAAATTTTTACAGGTTTTTGCTGAATTTGAAAGTGATGATGCCAATATTGAGTTTGTGCAAACAGCACTAGGAAATTTCATTCGGGAATCAGTAAAGTACACAGCGACGACTATCAAAGTCATTCAAAATGTTGATGTCGGATTAAAAACAAAAAAATTAATAGATCAAATATTACTTCATCTGCAGATTCTTCAGGTAAATTAAATTTCTTTTTTGGTTCAAAAATCATATTTTATTTGATTTAGGTTGACCGAGGTGAAATAGAGAAAATAAGCGAAATGTTTGTGCACCAGTCGGCCCTCTTGGAATTCACATCGATTCAGTTTGAACGGGCTAATGATGATGCGCTTTCTACGGCCTACAAACTTAATCTCGAACTCAGACAGGGAAGTTTGAAAAATATTTGGAAATTTCACGACCAATTGGAAGAAAATGCCAGAAATTTAGACTCTAAATTATATCAGTATAAACAAGACGTATCACTCGCTCAAAGTGCTGTCAGTGATTTGATTTTCACTGCGATTGATGGAATGGTATCACGGGATAACTTTTTAATTCGCTTTCAAACTAACAGTCTCATTTACAGGATGGCCCAAACGTTTATGCCATTTATACTCTAATGCAGAAAGCGTCCGACTCCATCGATGCAAATCAAATGAAACGTGACTACGAGTTTTTGAACTACAGATTAGTTGCTATTTTAGTTGCAATCAGAGATTTATTCCCTAAATAAAATTATATATATATATATTTTTTTATTTCCAGCAGAAATAAAAAAAATTACAATTCGCTGAAACAACTAATTAAAAAATTAATATTTATGTGTACTTATTTTCAAATTTTAGACATTTTTTTCAATTTGTTTGAAGAAGTTGACACTCGAGGAGATGATCATGGAAATGAAGCGATCGGGCTTTTTCTGCAACGAGGAAAAGCCCGATCGCTTCATTTCCATTTTTTCAATTTTTATAGAAAAAAGAAAAAACCTAGATATGGAAAAGCGACTGTTGAAAAGTTTCAATGTCACACAGCTAGCAGCAATATGTAAAATAAAGATGATAAAAAACAAATAATAGGAATTTCTTCATTTTCAAGCAATTTTCGCCATTTAAAAAAATACGATTTCAACTCTGTCTTAAATTTTAGCTCTGATAATAGTGATAATTATGAATCACCTTGGCACTTCAGCCGGCTTAGATAATTCAATCAATATGTCATTTAAAAAAAAATGTTAACGTGAGATTAGTTTGATTATAAAAATCAAGCTAGTCGTCACACGTATTTTTTAGAACACCTTGTTATTCTCAATTTGTGCCATGATGAACACGAAATACGCAATTTTTGTGCTACTAATTTCAACAGCCTCTGTGAGTATTTTTTTCTTAATAGAATTGCAAATTTTTATTGTGTAATTGAATTAAAAAAAGGTGCTGGCTGCCGTCGACACTGATCGTGACTTGAACTCTGACATTGTGTCGGCTCAAACTAAGTTGGGAAGTTTCATCAATGAGGCCATTAAATTCCGCACTACTTATCAACTCATTTTGGAAGCAGACGTCAGGCTGGAAGTCCACAACAACTTTGAGCAAATTTATTCTTTGATGCAACAACTGCAGGTTTAAATATGATTTTAATCAAAGAAAGCAAAGAACTTTGAAAATATTAATAGGTGGATCAAGCGACCATTGACAATATTAAAGCCAGTGCTAATCAAGACGTGGCAGTTTTTGCGTTGGAAACATCAAATCTGGATGACGCAAATCTTCTCCTAATTAATGACGCATACCTTATCAACGTTGACCTGAGAACAGCTGACCTTGGAAGTGCCAACGAAACGTTCTACCAGTGGAACAATGATATCGACCTTTTCAACCGGAGATACACAATCTACCTCGTTTCTTTGCAAATCATTGGCAACTCAATAGAGCTTCAGGTTGTTTCTGCAATCACTGGATTGGTATGGAAAGATTTCACACTGACATATTTTATTTCCTTATTTCTTTTTTTATATGTATAATATTTGCGCTTTGTTTCTTTACAGGACGGGCCTGAGGTCACTGCCATTTACAGTCTTTTGCAGAAAACCAACGACCGAATCAATGCAGATGCTGAGCTAATGCAGAGGGAGCTGGTTTTGTACAATAATTACATAACAGAGGCAATATTGGCTGTTTACAGCCTCTTGCATTAAATCATGAAATTGTAACGTGTTGGAAGAATGCTGAACGAGCGAATTAAATAAATGGAAGGTTAATGTCATTTATTTATTTATTAATCCAAGCAGGTTTATTTTTTAAAAAAAATACGTCATATGCTTCAATAGGCGTTTTAAATGTTTTACTATCGAATGTAAAATAATTTTGAATTTCTCATCTTCACTTATAACTTATATTATTATTTATTTATTTACTTATTTTTCATTGTATCTGAATGGAGAATAAATAAATAAATAAATATTATGGTAAAAATAATGTCAAACAAGCGAGTTCAATCAGTTTACAATGACAAATAATTTATCTACTAACTAAGTGAAATAAAATGAAATATTGCGCATTTGAAATCTATTTTGCGTATTTTTTTTTAGATGGAATGAACACCTCGAGTGCCAAAAGGTTCCACAACGAGGACAAGGATCTCTATTGAAACATTTTTTTTTTAATTGTATCACTTTGAAATCCATGATGCTTGGAAGTGAACCTATTTAAGGATTGGTGCAAAATTTTAAAATTTGAGATATAAGATCAAGAAAATTAAAATGCATTTAAAAAAAGTGTGAAAGTTCAATTAATACGTTTTTAAAATCTTACTTTTAAAAGATTAGATTAAAGTTTAGAGATAAATACTCACACCCATTAGGGTACACAAACACTTCAGCGATGGACCGAAAACTGACGCTTGTTTTTCTCGCTACTCTCTTTCTCGGGGTAACAATTGGGTATTTTTGTTTTAAATTGTAAGTAGGTAATTTGGATTTAAAGAGTTTTAGCGCTACAATCACCCAAATTACCGACACGGAAGTAGAAGATGCGCGAAACAAATTGATTTTCCTCGCGGAAAAACTGCTGATTTTCACCAGAGAATGCAGATCATTTCATGAAGCTCATTGGAATGTGGAGACGAATAATTATTTTGTCGACACCCTGGACAGTTTGGTGGTAGTCCAAGTGAGTTTTGAATTTTAAGCTTCTTATTTAAATTAATTATATAAATGAAGGCAAACCCAACTTTGGTGGCCGATTTGAGAGTTCGGGCAGCCAATGAGAAGCAGCAAGTTATTGACAAGTTGACAGCTTTAGACGCAAGTTTTACCAGCCTGAGAACACAAATTTTCAAAATTGCCGAGAAACTGAGACTGGCTTTGTATGCTGAAATTTCCGAGCACTCGGTACAGTTAACCACAATTTCAAATACGATTGGAACTCAATATTCAGATTTTCAATCCACCTTGAGTTTCGTCATCAGCGATATTGAGCTGGCTGTTTTGCTTACAATTAATGGAAATGTAAGTCGCTCCCTGATTATTTTATATGTTGCGTAGCATCATAATTCATAATTGTATAAATGCGTATAAAGAACTTTAAAAATATTTTTAACTATAAAATAGTTAAAAAAGGATTTATTTTAGTGTCAAATAATTTTAATCATATTGACACGATTCACAAAGATCCATTATTAAATCAAAATGACTTTTTCCCCTTGGTCTTTATATTTTGTCATTTTCAAACAATAGACCCATCCCAACGTTGGTGACGTGAACACTCATCTGCAACAAAGCAAAGATGCGGCCAACAATGCCAACTTGATTATCTCACAAGCTGAGGCTCTTTATACAAACGCCAAAAATTCTGCAATTACCGCCGTCGACGTCATAGTCAGTCAAACCAAGACCACAAAACACGTAATAAAATTAGACTGAGGAGCTAAAAATAGTTTTCAATTAAGTTTATTTAGGTCCAAAAGCGCCAAATCAGTTTTATTCAGAAGGGTCAGGCCGCGCCTGAAGACGTGGTTAGCGCCCAGCTGAAAATTGAGATGTGGCTCGAGCACATGATCAGTCTGAACACCAAATTCACAAGACTGACCAACGCCATGCGACTCAAAGTATCAGACTCTTTTCATGAGATTTTCGCATCAATGAGGGAACTCCTGGTAAGATTTTTTTGTAATTGATTTTTTTCATTTTTTTTTTCAATTTACATTTCTAATAGGTGGATGAAGCGACCGTGTCCAATATCGAGACGGACAATAGAATCGACGGCCAGCTGCTGGAGCTGACGATCAGCTCTTTGTGGAGCACCATGCGTGCGGTGTTCCCCACGCTGAACTCGGTCAATTATCAACTGAACAATATTGACAAAAACACGCGGGGCGAGCTTCAAAAATTGCGAGACCAGCTGAAGAACTCGCAGATTGGTAACATCAATTCCGATTACAATACAGTTTTCAACACTATCGACACAAACCTGCCCGTAACCTTGGAAAATATTAGGACGGCCATTGCTGGTTACGTAAGTGGTGCAGTTACTTAATTAATTATAAAAATTTTCATCGAATTTGGAAGAAAAATTTTTGCGCTTAGAATTTCTAAAGAAATATGAAAGAAATCATAAATTTTTGTTTTAATGTAAAAAGGCAATACATTTTACATTCGTATCAATTACCTAAATTTTTTAGTACCATCTCGAGCCTTGTACATGAGTTTTTTTCATTAAAAATAGAAATTTACATTACTTTGTAGGTTTAAAAAAATTAATAAGAATGTAAAAAGTCAATGTCAACTTGCAACTACTTAAATTGATTGCTTCTTGCAAATCTTTTTAAATTAAAATTTTCATAAAAATATTATTTATGTTAATTTCAGAGTGGCGATCCGGTTATCCGCATTTATCTGGCAATCCAAGTGATTGAGGACTCTTTCGCCACCATCCGGCAGGACATAGAGAGCGAGAAGCCTCTGTACGACAGCAATATTTCCAGCTTCCTGGTTGTGCTGGACAAGATCATTGCTGACCTGTGCTCGGGTCTATTTTGCTGATTGCGAGAAAAGCGATACGTCTTGAAATAAAACTAAAGCCATTTGCAACAATCTATCTCTCTCAACGTCAATTGCGAGATCGCTTAATTCCGGGCAGGTATATCGGTGGCCGTTTATATCTGCTCCTTCCTACCTCTCGTGTGACACACGACCCTCTCTTATTTGACACCGGGCCGTAATGCCTCAGCCCACAACTTTTTCCCATATATATTTCACGTATTTCCCAAGAGTCTTCCAACGGCTCGTGTTTCTTCTTAAAACGGTCTCTACCGAAAAGAAGAAGTGCGGTTCGCATTTCACGATTTTTTTTTCTAAAAATAAAAATTTTGAGCTTTTTGGGCTCCTGAAATGTGAAAATCATATATCAGAGCAGGGAGGAAAAAGCGTCAGATCGATCTGGAGATTGCGTCGGGAGTTGGCCGGCTGTCTGCAGGGAACTGTAAAATGCGGCGGGCTCAGGTGTGCTTTATAACAAAAGAGATTAAAACGCTGCCGCGCTGCTCAAGCGAATGCCGCAGCTTTTGATGGAGCAAGAAAGTTTGCAGAAAAGTTAGTTGTTTAACGCAGTCGGACCGACGCCTCTCGCCATTTTAGTTGCAATTGCGTGTGGCCCTTCGCAAAGTGGAGGCGAAATTTAGAGCGAAAGAGTTTTATTTCTTCTTTGCCGGCCGTTCACGCCGACGTAATTGGCCCGTCTGCTTTTGAATTTATCACAAGCCTCAGGGAATCAAGCACTTTTCTCTATCGCATCAAATGGAGAAAACACGATTCATATGACTAAATAGTTCAGAAAAGATTTTTGGGAATAACTATTCACGTTTCAGATTTCAGTTTCATCACTAATGTCATTAAAATGCTCAAATTTTAAGTATGTATTTTTTACAAAATTGATTTTGTTCAAATGTGAAGTGGCAGCTTATTCACATTTTTAAGACTTATTCAATCTTATAACCTATTTTATTCTTGGAGGTTTTAATTTTTATTAATTCATTTAAATTACTTAAAATTTTACTTAAAAGTGAGACGGACTATATTTACTGATCTGAATGATGACATTTCTTTAAATCTAATAAAAATTTAATAGTTGGCGTTTGTTATTATAGCTCGGCGAGAGTGGATAAAAAGCTGCAAGCGTTTTTATATAAATTTCCGGATTTTGGATTATAAAAAGGTACTCACTCGTCAACCATGAGGAACTTGTCGCCCTCGGACGCGATACAGCGGCCTTTGAAACTGGCCCTGTCGCCCTCGATGACGATGGGCTGGCGCACGCCGGACTGAAACCAAGTGCCTTCCCATCTGCTTGGGAATTTGCACGAGCCTGCAACAAAAGAGGACGAAATTTTCATAACCATACACACGGTATATGTACACAGAGAGCAAGACACAAAAGAAGCAAAACAAAAGTTTCATACAGATTACACAAAAGCGCACAACAGAAGAAAAGAAAAAGAAGAGGAGAACGGTGGCTGCTGCTGCGGAGGAGGGGGAGGGGAGAGCACTTGAAAAGTCCATTAGGAGACACGCGGCCCACGGCAGGCCCTCCGGAGGCAGTGTACAATCACACGCCACTCGACTCCTTATATTTAAATGAGAAAGCGACAGCGCGCGCCGACGCCCGCAGATTTTTCCCTTTTGCTTTCCGCCGGCCGAAAGTTTTATCTTAATTACGGCGAATTAAAAATGCAAATGAGCCTCCGGGTGCTAATCTGCGTACTTTGTTTTGGCGCCGGCCGCCGCCGACGCGCCTTGTTTTGTTAAGCGAGAGAGAGCTGCGCGCCGGCAACAGCCTGATTAGCAAGTCCATGCGAAAATCACCAGTCTTTGTGAACCACTTTCCTTTTCTCTGTACCTAATTTTTTCTCTCCATTGTTGGTCGGCACTTAGACTGTTCAAAACTAAATAATTTTGGGTTTCGTTCCGAACAATAACGTAGTGCAGGACGTTTCAAGTAAAACTAGTTTTTAAAGCACCCCTTTTTAAAATTGTAATACCGGAGAAGTTGTTATGGAACAATATGAAAAGTGAATATATTTTTAATTGAATTTTGTAACAGGTTAATAATTATAAGTTTTTTTTTATCGTATGCCAATAATAGGGAATATCGCTAAAACATTGACTTTACAGTGGAATAAATTTAAGTGATTGTTAGTTTTTTATTAATCATTTTGGTCACAATTATCGTACAAGAAAAAACTAAAATTGAAAGTCTTTCAATAAAATGGATAAATATTATATTCAATCAAGGCGGTAACATAATACAGTATTTAAGGAAATATTTTGACTTTTAAATAATTTTTTTCATACTAAATGAGAGTAAAGCAATAGATCAAATTTAACATTGAAAGCCAAGGTTTAAATAAGAACAGGAAAAATACAAGTCCAAAGAATAAATAGTGTTTTAGGTCTGCATGAAAATAATTTGCAGGATGAAGAAATTTTATAAAAACTATAAAAAACTATAAAAATTTTAGCATCCGTTTTTTGGCGGTAGAGGCCTTAATAATACTTCATATTTCCAAAGAAAATATTTTCTCTGGTGAATATCGTGCGTCCTCGTCGCTCGTAAAGTGTTTGAATATGCAGAGTGGCTGCCGAGTTGTGCGAGGAGCGAACCATACGGCCTGGCATTATCACGCGCATCTTTATTTCATAGCCGACGAAACGGAAAGAGAGACGAGTTTGCCTTCAAGTAGCCCCTTCGGAGAAGACGTGAGCGAAAAATGAACTCGACGCCGCCGCCGGTTTGCTTTGGCCGAGAATTGTAAACTCTACCTGCTGCAGAATAGAGAGACTCTCTCTCACTCCGTCTTCTCTCTTTTGTATGAATAAATGCATGGATGGGGGCCATCAAGACAAGAGAGCGGCCACGGCTACACAAAGAATAAAATACACGACTCTCCGCACACGCAGGCACAGAGCGAGCGCAGCTGGTATTGAAATGTAGCCCCGTTTACACGAGGGACTCAAAGGTCTGTCAAGAGGCTCCGCTGCGAAATCAAACAAGGCAAGATTGCGAACGAAAGAAAGAGCGAGCCCAGCAAGAAAGGGTTGTTTTTGATACACGTGCGCAGACTTTCAGCCCGACACGAACAATTTGGGCAACAGAGAAAGGCGTCCTTTGAAAAGTGAAAATGCCGAGGCGATAATATTGATACGATACCATATTTGTTCTGTAGGCGCATCTAGGCAACCTGCAGAACATTCATGTTGCGCACGTTGCATGCAATTCATTTACAATACAGTAAAATCATTTGTCTCTTCAGCTACATTTTAATGGAAAAAACTATTGATCACATTTAATTTTAAATTAAAAATGAATCAAATAAAACTTATTTATGTTTTGCAAGCAAATATACAATTTTTGTTTTGACTTGCCTAGGGGGTGAAAAACTTTGGAAAGAATGGTAAAATAATATAATATCGTAATTCAAAATTTGAAAAGTATAGATTGTTTTTTATCTACAAATCTTAACTAAATTTACAATGCCTAATTAAACTCGAGAGAACAATTTACAGTAAAATATTTCTTCAGTGACTGCTTACTTTTCAAACTAAAACAAATCATTTTATTTGTTAATTATTTTAAAAATAAAATTTAAAACGTAAATGCAAACTTTTACGAATGAAAAATATTTTGCCCAATCAAAGTGCTGCCTTTTGCAAATTGAAGGATCGTTTCTTCCATTTGGCCAAATCTCAAGTCCTTTGAAGGTGGATGCGAATAGTTGCGATCGGTTTTGTATTTCGCATCAGGCGCGGCGAAGCAGAGGCGGAAAGAGGCTCTTTGCAACTTAATAAAGAAATAGAGCGAGCGACGCACAAAGCAGCGATTTTGCACTCATGATTGACGCACAAAGAAGGCTGCGAAAGGCGCGTGATTTGTTCAGCCATGTGGATGTGCATAAATTTCGATCCTTTGTTGTTTAGTCACGCAGAAAAGCTCATAAAAATATAATAACTGCGAGCGTTGCCTCTGCAGCCAAACGAGAGAAAGAGACGGAGAAGAGCTGGCAGGACTATGGCCAGGGTTATTTTAATATCAATGGTGCCGGCGGCGGCGCGTTCTCTGACCAACCGACGTCGCATGAATGACGGCTATTTTAATGTCCTGTAAATATTTAGCGAGGCACGCCAAAGAGAAAATGAGAGACCGCTCGCTCTCCATCTCTCTCTGATAATCTAATATTAATATCGCCTCTTTCTCTCTCGACCGGTTTTAAAATTCCATCTCCACTCAGAGTGTAAATTGCAAACTCGTGGCTGCCTCTGGCGCGCTTGCTTTCCACTCATAAAGGCTCGTCATTTTTCGAATTCCTCCGGCACCATTACGCACGCCGGAGCGATTTCCATTGTGCTCGACGTCGGACAAATTGCGTTCAGAACATTTAGACAGGCCCATTGTATTGTTGTCTCGCAAGGGAACGTTTTTGATATGGCAATCTTTTTTACTTTTCTCACAGATTTTGGAAAGCACTCGACGCGAATGTGCGTTTATCACGAGCTTTCACAAAATTAGCCCACATCCAGAGTTCAGCAACTTAATTGCTTGAATTCATTGCCTAATAATAATAAAATTTCGAAACTTTCAATGAAATTTCAGATATTCCGGGAAATATACTTTGGATCAACATATTTCATAGAGGTTCGTGAGAAGCCAAACAATAATCAAAAATATAATTATTATAGTCTATAATAAACACGTTTTTGGTCTTTTACTTTAAAATTTTAATCAGCAAGTATAAATCAAAGGTAATTTTTTGAAAAAAAAAATCGTCTATGGTCCTACAAATTTTAAAATTAACAGAGACAGTTGATGAAATAAGCAAATTTTACAAATGGAAAAACTCAATTTGACCATAAAATTTGTAAGACCACTGCGAGCATTTCGCCTTGTACCTAACTTACAAAAAAAATGAGTTATATTCAATTTTTTTCGTCTTATTTTGCCATTCCTCTATTAGTTCAATTACTTAAAAATTTGCTAAAAGTGAATAAAGAACAAAATATTGAAGTTTAATTGCATTAATTTCAATATTAAATAATATAAATGTTTGGACATATTTAGCTGCTTTTAATTGAAAAAGCGGGAATTCGGCGTATTTGCTCTCATCATTTTTTGCCCATTAAACACACGTCCGATTCAAGCTGACTGCTGCGCAAAATTCATCCGTGCCAATTAAACGCGTTGATATTTAATGCTGACAGCATCAACGCTGTGGGTTACTCGGAGCGGAAAAACGGCTCGCATCAGCGAGGCTTATTTTATTATTTTCCGCCGAGCTGACTGTTTTAGCCGAGTCAGAGAAATCCGCCGCCGACAGTTGGCTCAGAGTGGAATCCGAACGAATCAGTTTCAGTTGCTGCGATGATTTCCATTGAATTTGATAATGAAATATGCCAGGGTTTCCAATTCCATTTTAATGGATTGAAAATAAATTTATAAAATCTGCAAAAGTTGGTCTGGTGTAAATAAAGTACAATTTCTCTGCATCAACGTTGATATATGTACAATAATATGATCTACACGGGAAATAAATTTTGTTGCTGAAGTGTGAGTAAAGGCAAATATTAAATATTAAACAATATAGAAAAACAAGACTTCAAACCAAATTGCATTAAATTTAAAGATAATGTTATTTCATTAAAAAAAAAATTTAACAAGAAAACCACAGAAGTAATATAGTAATTTTTGCACTGATCTCAAAAGAGAATGCAAATAATTATTAATGCGCTAATCTTTCATTAAAGAAAAATTTGGTACTTATTACGTTTAGTGAATTTGATGGAATGGGAGGGAAAAGATGGAATTTAAATATTTATCAACAGCTTTGTAAAATTTATACAAAATTATTTAATTCCTTTTCCTCAAACTGTTTTCCTTTACATCAACTGTTCCTTTTCCTCAAAGAATAAAAAGTTTGAGGTTCAACATATAAAACTGTTAAATTTAAAAGAAAAACCTTGTTAGTTCAGAGATGAGACAAATTTCCACAAATTTTCCACAAATTTTCCACGACAAAAGATCATAACGATAAATTTAATATGCAAACAATTTTTCCTGTGGATTTATTGAAGTCCTCGTTTAGTTTGTTTGTTATAGCATATCAATGCCTGAGGCCAAAAAAATGCCAGGAAATAAAGTAAATAAAATATCAATATTGTATAAAAAGCCCTTTTCGGTCAGACCTGTGTTTTGCTCTCGTTTTCCGACCACGTAACCTCGCCGGCAAAGCCATTCGCCAAACCCTTTCCATCGGCTGATGAAATTTTCTCCGAGCGGGCTGCCTCATAATTCGCAACTCAGGCGCCCTTAAAGTCTTGGCGTGCGGCAGAAATGCGAGTTTTTATCTGTTGTCGATACGTAGCCGGCCGAGTGGTGTGCAGTTTACCTGTTTTCGCCGGCTGCATTATTGAAAAGGGTAGGTGGAGTGGCTCGCGATAAAAACGCCGTGTTTACGATCGGCGCGTACTTGTCAGCACTAAATACGGCCCAAAGCTTGGGCTAACACGCCCCGCCGGTGCATTAGCACTGGGGTAATGCACCCGGCCAATAAAACCCCCGAGAAACGACGACGGCCCGGAGAGAAATTTATGCGCCTGCATCATAACAGGTGTGTGCGTGCCCGGGGCGGCACCTGAGGCCGGAACCGGGGCTCGGAAAATGAACAAACTGACCCACTTCCCTGACAAAAGGCTGGGAAAAGTTTTGAACCTGATTGCAGGCCAAAAATAACAATTGAAAAAAAGAAAAAAAAATAACTAGCTGTAGATCACTTTAATCAGAATTAATGAAATTGAAAGACTATGTTTAATGACTGATGATAAAAAACGTGCAATTTTTTACCTGTTCAAATAGAATCACATTTCAGAATTCAGAAAAACATTTTTTTTGGTTGAAATCACTTTCCCATCAAAAAAATATAAATTGACCAAATTAATTTTTATTTCAAATAACCTCTACAGCTGAAACTCCTGTTCAGAAAACTCGAAATTCTACTATTTTTACATTGAAGGCAGATAATGGTTCCCTGCAGCTCATTTTATTTCAGTATTTAATTTATTTACTCCAGTTTGCTTTATTAAAAAAACTAGAGGGAGTGTTTTGACAAATTCATTCAATTTCAATTCATTTATTCTCAAAAAGTCAACGAGTAAAATATTTGAAGTGAAAATTACATAGTTTATTGCTCAAGAATTCATGGAAAAGGTTTCAAACGATGCATTCAAAGAAAGGTTTTCTTTTGTCTTATTTGACAAATGAAACGCCTCTGTCTCAGACAAACATCTGTGAATTTTCAGGGATTGTCGATGACAATATTTGGAATTCCAAGCACATCATCCCGATAGTAGCCAATCTTGTAGAAAACGCCTTCCTCGGAGTTGTCATCATATTCATTGCATTTCATGTCTCTGTGTACCGCCTGCACACGGTTGTTAACAACCAACACTGGTTTCCGTATAAATGTTGGAGTGTAGTAGGAGTCAGTATAGTAGTCCTGATTAAAAAAAATTCAATATTTATCTTATTGTTTCTTTTGGAGCGAAATGCTTTTTCTTGTGGCAAAAATGAAGGTGATTTTTCATTAGTTTTTCTTTTATACTGTTTTTTTTTTAATCATAAACGGATTGTGTATTCAGGTATGATTGGGCATGATCAAAATTTTGTAAAAAATACAATGTTCATTACAATTTTGTAGCATTTACAAGGGCAAAAGTAAAAAAAGAGTATTGATAATAATTTTTGTACCATGCAAATGTCGGTGGTTGTGTCCTTTTCGATGCATGCATATTTTGCGCTGTTACCATCGGCATATACGGTGGCATAGTTGGTGTCTGATAGCACCACGGTTGATCTGGACTTCAGAATCTGAGATTTTTATAAGAATGAGAGAAAATCAATAAAACTTAGTTGGTATTAAAAGCGATTTTCACTAAGAAAATCTTGCAGTGCTTTCATATTGCTGGATCTGGTATAATGAAAATGACAGTTATTTTACTTCATATTAACGTCAATAAAATCAATCTTCTTTTTTAAAATTTATAATTTGATTTTAATTGATATAACAAAATATTGTCCAATTTGGCTATTATTTAAATAGATCTGAATAGATCTATTGCTCTTTAGTCCGTGAATTATTATAGTCAAATTCTGACGAAAAATTAACAGACTCACGTTGGCCTCAAAAAAGAAAATTTGAGCAGCTGTGTTCGCTTGGTAGTCATGGAAATTACTCAAAGTCAGGTTGAATCGTGATGGTCCGAATTGCTTGCAGACTTTGAATACATTGAAAGGCCAGGTGTATCCTACTAGTCTGACCACTGGCTGGGTTTGAAGGGTGTGGTCTGTAACCGTGAAGTCCTTTACAACCGAGTCCCTGGGATGTATTGAGTAGTCGTAAATTTTTTTATCCTCATTTTTTAATTAAGAATTAAGTTTAATCGAATAATAATATAATAAATTTATGTATTTTGAGTTGGATTAACACTCACTCGTCGCCAAGGGTGGCGTCGACTAACACCATCTTGGCGCTTATGATGAGCCCAGGAGTGTTGTGTTCATATGATCGAATGATCTCGTTTACATTGACCTATTTTTATAAAATAATTATTCATGTAAATGAGGTAGAATCTTTTGGATAGAGAGGTCATACAATGTATGGAAATTGACTGGCCCAGTTCACAGTCACTTTCGGTCCGAACGTGGCCGAGATTGCTGTTCAGAAAAAAATAAAATGAGTTGCATTTTTGCTTGTTTTAAACTTTGTTTATTTCTGATAAAGATGATGTGGCTAGTTTGAATAGTTAGCAGTGGTGACGATATACAAATACATTGTCACGCAATATTCTATAGAGGAATGAAATTTTTGAACTTCTCTTTTGAGAACTATAAAATAAATTGTGAAAAATGCTGCCTTCAAAATTGAAAAACGAAGTATTCATAGAAAAATGATTCATAATTGATTTTTAAGAAACTATTATTATTATTTTTTTTTGACGATATATGCCAATAAATTAACAAAAAAGATTTTAGCAGCGCAAGAATAATATCTAATTTAAGTTAAACCTAAATCTCGCGTTATGAGATTTTGAAAATTGAAAATGATTTTAAAGAGACGGAAAAAATTCTTCAAACATGTGTATTGAAAATATCAATATCAGTCGCAAATCTCAAAGGTTGCCTTCTCTGTCAAAGATCCATTGAAAAGATAAGTGATCGAATGTTTATAATCGATTGCAACGCCAACTTAAAATAATTACATCGCAATATTATTAAATGCAACAATCTTAATAATCTTTTCATTTGAATTGATTCAATATTCTAAAATTAACACTTGTTTTAAAATTTAAAAATGGTCTCACGTGGCAAAAACAACAGTACGAAGGAAAGAAGACGTTTGGTTTCCATGCTGGCGGTCTAAATAGTGTCGTTTGCCTTGCGTGTTGCTAAAACCACTTATTATTTTATCTGCCTGAAAAAACAAACAAAATAAACTCACCCTACCTTGGCACTTCCACTTCTCCTTTTTTTAATTCTCTTTTGAGTTCTGTTCTAAACTTTCGAAATGTGGCATCTTGAAAACTAAAATATCTTTTTGTTGCATCATACGTCCGTTTCTATGTAAACTTTTTATTATTCAGTTAATGTGTGTTAACTTAGTTTTTGATTTTGTCACTTATTATTTAAACATAAAAACAGCACAAAAATAGAATTTGAAAAACATATTTCACATTTGTTTTTGCAATAATGAGAGTATTATGCTGTAGAAATATTAACATTTAAATCTTGACCAAAGGAATGTAAATGTAATTTTTCCTTGTAAGTTCAAGGCTTTTTACAACATAATTTCACCTAAAACAAAAGATAAAAAGTGACTCTATAATTTTAAAGCTACGTCGTCATGTTATCATTTTTCTTTCCAGCAGGAAAACAGAGCAAGGTAAAACGATTTATTTCTGGACTATTATAAATGCTGCGATTATTTTAATTCCTTGTTGATATGAAAAAAAAAAAAAGCGTAGAGGAGGCCTTTTTGTTACTTTATATTCTTTGATACTGAATAAATTAAAAAAGAAAAAATATCAATAAACAGCTTAATTGATCAACTTTAAAATAACCAATTAACTAAACTGGAGACCAGAATATTATCTAACTGTTTACACTTTTTTGGAGCAAATTAGCCATTTACAATTTTCTGTTTATTCAATTTTCTAAATTTATTGATTCAGAAATTCACAAACTATATATTAAGGTGAAACCGAAATAATTGTTTTATCAGAACCTGGTTATAATTTCTTTGGTGGGATGCGCGCGTATGATGCTACTTATTATAAAAGAATTTTTCTTTAAAATTAATGATCAACCATACTGAACTTTATGTTTCAAAAGTTTTATGCCTAATTATAGTATTAAAAAACGGAATTCTCGTAGAATCGTGTTGCCCATTAGGACTGTTGACTGACGCACAGATTTGGAATCGCAAGTGACACACGCCAGCTCAATAATCAAAACTACGCCCGTCCTACCTTTTTAATTGCGAAAACGTGTCGCGCGTGCCGTGCGCTGATCAATACCTGATAAAATAATCATTACCCGCGATAAAACCTGTTCGTGAATATTTTAGCGGCACCACCGGCGAATGCATAAATTCTGCGCATTGCGTAACGAGAGGCATTAATTACTCGGCGTTTCACAACCGAAAGCCATTCGCATCAAATAATATTAGTTACACGTACGCACCCGGCCGACGCTCTCACGCCGCGTTTATGTTCATTACTCCACGGGTTTAATTACTATTTTACATCCTGACGCAAAACGTTAATTTGGAAAACGTTTTTTTTATTTTCAACTGGAGATGTTAGTTGGAAAATAAACTATTTTGCCAGCTTCAAGGGAAATGTAATTCATTACGTGTTTTATTTCTTTCATGCACGGTTTGTGTTGCAAACTTAAATAATTGGTATTATTGCAACGAAAAAAAATCATTGCTGTTCTAAAATTTTCACTGATGAGCACCTCAAAAATAAAAACTCATAGAAAATTTTTGTCAAATTTTTAATTTATTTGTAAGCAGATATTTTTAGAACTCTCAAATCTACGGTGATAATTTCAGCATTTAAAGAGATTCCATCCGCCGCATTGATGTGGCAAAATTTCCAGCTTATATTTTTTTATCCATTCGTTGTAAATGGGTTAAGGCGAAATACAGTGCAAAATTGAAAAGGAAATAAAAAAATAAAAATTGATCATTTGGTTCTTACAATTATTGGCAATTATATTAAAACTCTTTGATTATCATTTACTTTAAAATTCAGATTTTTCTGTTTAAAAAAAAATTCGCTGCTCTTTCCGCTTTTTTCGCGGTGGTATTTCGCGGGCGGAAAACAAGACAAAAGCGCGGCGGTCATAAATCGTGCAGGGCGAAATCCCGGCGGGCCGACGAACATGACAATCGTGCCGCCGCTGCAGCTTTTGCAGAACAATCGGATCACATCAATAATAAATAAATATGTTGGAAAGCCGGAGAACAAACGGACGGCGAGAGCAAACACGAAATTGCACGCGCGCAGTTCACGTATACGTTCGAGCATTCCGCGCCCGGCCACATTAATTTGCGCCGGGCTCATTGAATTCTGACGCCAGTCCGTCCGCTTTTGATTAAAATCAATCGGCGCGGCTCCGAGCGTCGGTGAAACGCGAATTATTTCCAACATGTACGCGGTGGAATGCAAAAAATTCACAACGGGTTTGATTCGAGGCAGAATAGATGATTTTTCGATTTCAAAAATTACAATGAAAAATTATGGACCACAGGGATAAATATATATTCGTGATATTCGAAAATTAAATTTTCCTTTTTATATTTCGTTTTCAAATGCAACGTTTTCCTGGTGAAAAGGAAAAAAGTCAATTTTCCAGCGACAAAGATTTGCTACTGAAATTTTGCTATAAAAGCAATTAAGATATGAGAAGACTTAGGCATTATCAGTATTTTATGGGGTAAAAAGACCCTAACATTTTCAACGGAAATATGGAACAAAATTTTGCTGTTTTTTGCAGAATTAGATTTAATTCACACTTTTTTAATTGGAAAGTTTTGCTTTATAATGAGCACGAAAAAATATTTGTTAATTTTTAGCATTTTTTTTATGCATTCTCATAAATAAATCGTAAATCAGCTCTTTCAGCATTGAAAATATAAAATAAAATTATCTAATATCGATAAACAAGCATAATTATAAAATTATATTTTAATTAATATACCTTTTTAATAAAATCAATTTATAAGACAAATTCGCAAGGGAGAAAAATTAAACAAAGGATGTGAAAAAAGATATCACATTTCCCCTCTGTTAATTTTTAGCAGTGATGGCGACCATATTTGACTTATTGCTTATCCTCTCCCTTTCCGCATTTGGATCAGCGTTGTGGCTCGCAGGTGCTAAATCAGCAGCGGTCAAAACAATCATGTCCGTTTGTTCCCCCCTTTGTTTGCAATAGAAATCGAGTATGATATCGACTGGAACACGCGATGATTGCGAATCGGTTGCGCTGGTCAGCTGCTAATGCGCAATGATCGTTATTGGCCTGCTGGCTAACTTGGCAGCCCACCTGACCGACAGCGAAAGCGAAAGAGACCACCCTGGGGACTCACTTGCACTCCGCTTGCCGCAAATAAAAATATATAAAGCTCTTGACAGTCTTCAATGCTTTTTGGAACATCAATTTCTGCCATAAATTAACAAGATAAGAGAATCTGAGAAACTAAAACTGTTACAAAATTTAAAAGAAATTATTAGCAAATAAATTTGTATTGATTTTTTTATAATTTTTAATATTATTTTATTCTAAAACCATATTTAGTTTAAATTTATAATCGTCTTGTATTATCAATGATAGAGGTGGGAAAATGTGTATATTATAAAATGTGACAAATTTCAAAACATCATTCTAGGAGAAGTTTTCACTCAAAAATGCATGCGTTTTGTAAATATTAATTTATTTTTTTAAATTATTCTACTTCCAACTAACACATAGGTACATTAAACTTATTTTTCCTATCCATAAATAATTAATGTTTTTACAAACTAAATTATCATTATTACTGTTTCATTGTTGAACGTTCCCTGTGTACGTTTGAACGTCTGCTAAATTTGAATTACATCGCGTCAGCTTTTGCAAATTTTCGGCATTTTGATGGAGGAAAATCCGCTTTGACGAATCTGTAATTCCATCCGGAGCCAAAGTTTGTTCGCCCTGCGTGCACTCGCTGGCGGTTATAATTAAATCTTGCCGAGCAATTATGCTTGAAAGTTGGTCGCCCCGGCGCCGACGAGAGGTGTATCATCCTGCTCGGGAAGGAAGCGCCCTCAGGGGCAATTACTTTGCGTTCGGGTGGCGCCGTAATTCAGTCCTCCCTCGCCCCGGACCTTGTCTCTTCTTTTTTCTGCTGTTTACTTTGAGCAAATTGCAACACGCGCGCGCGTGCGATTGTGCAGGACGCGCGCCCGCATCGTTTGATTA